ATTTTTTGCTCTATTTTTTGAACTAAGAAGTAAATGACATTATTGAGAGATGGACATTTCGTTCATTAATTAAATGCGACCAAACAAAGCATAATGGACTTTTCATTATCACAATTTATCACAACACATGGTTGGTGTTCTGCCTTTCATGAAAGGTTATTGACTACGATCTTCTAAACAATGATATTCCAAACGGTTAAATTTTTGTGTTCCCTTCTGATTTGACCTCTGTATCCCAAATCAAAATCATTATTTCAAAGGAAAAAAAAAAAAAACATGTAGGATATTATGAACATCAAGCAAAAGAAAGGAACAACTTCTCATTTCTGTCATCAATTGCTACAAGCAATAATAACTTAAGATATTTGCACTATCAATATCAAATCGCGTTGTTCTTTATCATGAAATCAATGTAACTTTTTTTTTTTTTTTAAAAAAAAAAGGTATATGTTTATTAGTTAAGAAGTTTTTAAACTATTAAATCGCATTCTATGAAATGTAACTTTTGTTAGTACTGCTAAATTACGAGTGTGATGGGAATTCTTTGACTTCATTCGAATGAAAATGAATAATCTGATTGTATGTAAAAGATTTTTGTTTTTTCTCTAGAAAATGTCAAAAACAGAATACAAATTAATTAAGTTCGTTAATTAGTGTGCTCCTCCCTAACAATACCTATACATCGAATTTTATTACTAATAACAAAACGTTAACAATGTGGATTATATCACGCTAACCATGAAAGAAATTATCAGGCAATGGTGGTGATAATTTTTGCTCCAATTCTTCATTTTGGGAACAACTTTTTCCAGTTTTTCTCTTGCCTGGGCGTCAAATTAAAAGGCAAAATATTTTTTTTTAATTAAAAAAAAAATAGTGAAATCCTACGTGGGCTTGGCCCCTCAAACATTTTCATCTGGCACTCTCAAGCTCTAACTGCAACACTATCTTATTATGGGGGGAGGAAGCCGAGCGTGACTTTTGGGCGCACGTGATTGGGCTGGCCCATTTGTCTCCTGTCGCGCATGTACACGTGCGCGCCTTCGATCCCGCTGGTTCCGCTTCACAATCATATCCACCCTTGGACCCACCTGCCCCCTCTCAAATCTTCCCTTCTCAACTTTCTAACCACTGAAAACTAGCCACGTGTTACAACCGCACGTGTGCTTTGGCCACCTCCTCTGATCTGTGAAATAAATTTCACAGGAGTTGCCCTCTTTTTTTACTCTGGATCAATTGCACAAGGGTCCCCCACTTTGAGGAAATTTATGAAATGTGATGGGTTGTAAGAAAGAAAAGGACAATCAGCTTTAAGCCTTTAATAGGGGGGAAAAAAAGTGAAATTGAAAAAAAGAGGAGAATCTACAGCATAGAGATAGATAGATCGTGTATACCATATATGAATTTTATTTTTTTTTATATACAGTTACAAGTACCTAGTATATGAGATGTGAGATGTGGGGTGAAGCCTATGAAGAAGGGGGTATAATAATACTACTAAGGGGAAGACTCCACGCGCGCACGCCTCGATCTGATACTCGGAAGCCTTCCCGGCGGGTGCAAGATAACCTGCACAACTCAACACACAAATGTGTTGTTAGCGGGGTTTGAACATGTGACCTCTTGGGACCTTTAGGTTTTGATGCCATGCCCACTACCACTTGGACAACTCTTGTTGCCGAAAAAAAAATAAAAAATTCAATTTGCCCACATACATACACAATACTAGCATTATTTCGTTGATGAAACAGTCCAAGCATATCGACTACAAAAATAATATAATGCTCTTTTTTATTGGTTTCCATTTCTACTAAAAACAATTTTCCCTAACCATTATAATACATTACTATGCACCGTGCATTTTATACGAGATAAACACACAACATGCTTTTTGTTTTTTTGGGGTTTCTTTCTTTGTTTTTAACTAAAGAAAAAGAGAGAGAAAAAAAAAAAAAGGTTAAAGGGAATATTTGGCGATCCCAAGATGATGGATCGTGTAGCTTTTCTTTATTCTCATTCTCTTCTGTTCTCATTTGTTTCCGAACGGACAAAAGACTTTAGTACGTACGTAACGTAGCATTGCTCTTTTGTTTTAGCTGGTTCTTTGCGTTCACGAGGGAGCCAACGTGTTTTTGCGCTTTAGCCCTTTTCCAAATTTCAGAGATAGCAACGATTTTCTTAATTTCACAATATTTGTAAAGGTTTCGCGTCGAAAGGAATCTCTGGATTTGAATAATAATCAATTCTTTTGAAAAACCAGGTAAAGTATAATGCAGACGCAAAAGTGAAAAAGAAAGGCAATCATAGAACGTTTAAGCAAAGCATTTAGTCTTGATGAAGCAAGCAAAAGCCTCGTGTATGTATCTTGTTCAAATTTAATTTGCAAATTTTGTTATATTAATTAGTAGATGCAAGAATGGTTTTCACATTGTACCTCGAAATTAAATACTCTCTCCATCGCGAAATGATTTTCCAGTTTCAGATTTCATTTTCAGTATAATTAGTACTGAAAAATGAAAATCTAAACTGAATAAAAATTTGGGACAGAGGGTTAACAGTTTTATTTACTAGGAGAGAAGTATTTCTTTTTTCCCCAGTCTCTGGTGATTCACCGTGATTTTTTACCTAAGTAATTTCTACTTTACATATTGCATTATCTCCTTCTCCAATCTCCCCTAAGGCCTAAACCGGTTTACCTATCTAATGTCAAATAATATATCTACTACATCATTGGCGCAGAAAATTTGGAAACCTTAATATATAGTGGGTTTGTTTTCATGGTTTTGGATGCCATATATCTGTCGGCATGGAGGAGTAGTGAAAATTACGGTTGCTTTTGGTTTGAATATTGTCGACTGGAAAGAAAAATGATTGTGATAGAGACAACACAAGAGTTACCATTTCGATTGGATGAAATTAAAAGCCTCCCCCAATATCATTAATTCATTATCACATCCCATTCATATTACAAACAAGAGATCAAAGCTGATCATCAGTAAAAAGACTTCATAAAGCAATGGACATAATTGAGACGCGGAGGTGAAAACTTGCGTCCAAAAAAAAAGTCCACTGTTTTAACTCTCTCGATTCCATTGGATTCCCACTAAAAAATATTCATGCACAAACTCCTTGATAAAACACTTGTCCCAAATCAGTGTCGTGAGAGACTTTATATCAATATATAAAATACATGGACTACTGACCTCATTGCCAATTGGTTTTGAAGTAGAACCTCGTGGACTTCTATACTCCTCCTCATCATTTCCATATATTAGCTTAATTTTCATCACTTTAATTAATTTCCTACACCTCTAAAATCTGCCCTATTAATAATAAGTCAAATGGTGGTGTGCGTACCGATTTTATTGCTACCTCCGTCCCAAAAAAAAGAATATGCATTGAGTTAACAAATTTGTACTAAAAATAGTACAAAATTCAAAAATCAATGTGGACTATTTTTTGGACTATTTTTTTTAGAAGGAAAGTATAAGATACGCTTTTCGTTCATTTTAAGGTGTTCCGATACAGTTTTAGGTCGTCGAGACTCATGTCCAAACTATCGTATGGCTGCCTTTAATTGTATTGCTGTGTTGATACTCTTTTGATCAATTAGACAGACTCTGAAGCAACGAATTCGTATCTGCCTCAGAGTATTGATAAATCATAGGTCGTTTCTTAGAAATTTTTAATATATTTTCGAAACTCTTCTTATTTTAATCTATGTCAATAATCTATGAAATTTTATTGTAACAAAAAAAAATAATAATCTATGAAATTTTCAAACGTAAATAATGACATTGTATGAATTTCAAAATCACAATACCATAAAAAAAAAAATTGTAAAAATGATACAAGTTAAATCATTCGTCGGCTTTTCTAAGAAAACGAAAACGTCGACGCCATTATTTCTCCCCCCAAAAAAAAAGCATTTTGTAATTTAAACTGATCAATAAATCAAGAAACATTTGAAACCTACAAAATTTTCATTAGGCATTAGAATATGGTGACTATTTTTTAAATAACTTTCAGAACGTGTTTAATTTTTACTCAGAATTATGAAAGCCAATAATCAAGTAATAGTTGAGTGTACTCTATCAAATTCGGTATGCTTCGACTTTCACAACGGTCGTAAAATATCAATGAGATAATTTATTACCCTAAGTATTATATCTAAATCCATCAACTTTTTGTTTCTTTTAAGATGCAAACAAGCACATGCTCACAAGTTTTTTTTTAATTTTAAAAAAAACCCAGTTTATTTTTAAATGAGAATAATTTTTTAAATTTGTGTAAATGATATATTATATTCTAAAATTTTAAAGAGAAAGGAATTTAATCAACTTCTAATCCATTGTACATTAAAAAAGATTTCTAAAACTATACAAAATTAAGGATGTTTTTTTTCGTCGGCTTTGTCGTCGATTTGGCAAAGGCAACGAATGAGTCGAAGTATTCGCTTTTAAAAGAACATAAATGTTTTGCAACTATTACACTAATTTTGATATATCAACAAAAATTTTAGAGGAGTATGATTTAATGGGCATCGGAAAACTCAAAGTTTAAATCTTTTTAATAAACTTTTGGAGCTGGTTTATTTTTTTAGGTTATAACCTATGTTAATCAACTTTTTCAAAAAAAAAAAAAAACCTATGTTAATCATCTGCAAAATTTGAAAATTTTACCATAAAAGTGAAAATTATACTTAATTAATAAACCATAACAATATCAAAAAAATGTGAAAAAAAAGATACAAATTAATAGATTTTTTTTTTCTTCGTCGGCATTTCTAACAAGATGAAAAGTTCCCACTAGTAATTAACACAGAAATTAGGCATTTCGTGATTTTGACCCATTATAACGTTTCTCTATAGATACACATGAAGATGGCAAATTTTAGAGTTTTAAGTAAAGGCAATCATAAACGGAATGTTTAATTGCTACTAGTAAAATGGATAGAACAGAACTTTTATAATGAGCCTAGGCAAGCAGGCTTCAGGCCCTCATATATCTTGGTGGCTCAAGTCGATTAACTTGTACACATCTTCCCGCCTTTGTTTCTCCAGTGGGAGGCTTTTCCTGCATGATCCAAAGATTAATGGAGTAACAAAATTCATTAGTTCGATCGCCACAAGAAAAGAAAGGATGATGAATATTGATAAAGATCACCTTGTAGTTTTGATTTTGGAGTGGTCAATTTCTCCAATTACCACGGCTGCTTCATGTCCAGTTGTTGCAACGATTTCACCAAACTGCAATCCTCCATTCAGAGGAAAAATAAGTAGTACTTTTTTTCATGTACGTGTTGAATGAATTCTTCATCACATGATTTGACATTTAATTAAGAATCTGTAAGTACTACTCCCGCTGTCCCGAAATTATTGTCCAGTTTGAATTTTTATTTTTCATTCAAATTGTACTAAAAGTGAAATCTCAAAAACTCAAATTGAACAATAATTTTGGGACAAAGAGAGTAATAATCTTCGTACCGGTCCAACAAGAGATGAATGACCCCAGATGGTGTAAGAAGCAGCTGAATCTCTAGATGGGGAGCATGTCCCCACATATAACTATCCGCCAACAACCAGTAAAAAAATATATGAACACCATCACCATACCATACTGCTTTTGGTCTTTAATTCAGGCACAAGGGACTATTTGCAAATTCATGAACTAACCTGGTTGTCAGCTGCCCTGTAATTTCAACAATATTGTCTTTCTCATTTCAGTAATTTTGCCGACTTAATAAAGATGGAGCGGTTGGAATAATAATGATCTTGAAAACTCATAAACACAACCCTTTTGCTGGAGAATATCTATGACTTCTTATAAACTGATTAATGCTTATTAGCATCACCAAATTTTTGCACATTAGAGCAGAACAAGAGATAACTTGCCTAGCTCTTTGCTGCAGTTCCCACAATGACTCTCCTGTGCTCATGTTAAATGCCCCCGGATAAAAGATTAGGTGAGCTCCTGATCAAGTCACAGATGGAAAATCTACTAAAAAGTAAAAACATTTTGTAAAATCCTAAAGTACAGAGCAAGTGTAAAGCAACCACAGTAATTAGAGCTCGTTAAGAAGTTGAAAGAACCTCTTGCTCGATACAGCATTGCAAGCTCTGGGAAGCGAATGTCGTGGCAAATTCCAATTCCAATTCGGCCAACATCTGTTCATGTTTAGATGGCATCAGATGATGTAGCTCATAAAATGAAACAAGACCACAGTTGGAATGTCTTGAAAAGAAAAGTTTCGCAATTTATTTGGGAATGGATGATGGTGGAGTACTAATCAATACCGGTGTCAACCACAGTTGGTCCATCTCCAGCAGAAAAAGTATCAGATTCTTTGAAAGATAAATCTCCAGGCATATCGATATCAAACAGATGCATCTACAAGATAGCAGTTTAGGTCTCCATTCTTGCAATTGGCATTTTATGTGATCACTTTACATACTGTGCTTACTTTCCTATGCTTAGCCATCAAAATTCCATCAGGACCAAAGACACAACAAGTGTTGTACAAGAGATTGGAGCTCTGTTCAGGAATAGAGCCTGCAATGATGGTTACCCCAAGGCAGGAAGCAACTTCAGACAGCATGGATATCGTAGGCGAGCCAGAACCGACATCTCCATGATCGATGTCCTCAGCAAAGTCGGAGAAATAGGCGTGTGAGTAGGGGCAGTTCCACATTTCCTAACACAAACCAAGTTCACTTGTTTGCCTAATTTAGTCCATCAATCACACAATAACCATATATGTACAAAATGATGGATAGTGGATTCACAAAGAAATTGTCTAATGGACAAAAGATGAGTAAAACGGTATGCTAATTATGTGAAAGATTATGGTGGGATTTAGCTTACAGGTAAAAGCACCAGCTTTGCACCTCGCAAGGCAGCAACTTGAACTGCATCACGAGCTTTCGCTATATTGCGACCCTTGTTATCAGTTACTTTCAACTGACAGATCCCAATCTTAAACTGTCCAAAGGTTCGTAGATAGATTGACATAGTACTATGGAAACCTTGAACAAAGCTTTTAACATGAAAGAATCTAAAGCAACCAAAAGAAAAAGTACCGGTTTCTCACCTGAGAAATCTTAGGCATGTGTAGCTGGTGGAAAGGTTGACCAATTGACATGAACACCTGTTGAGTCACTTGAGTAATTTGCGCATGTAGAAGTAATCTTGATCTGGGTTGTTTGTGTTGACTTTCATGTTACTCACTTATCTAGGACCTTAAAACGAATGTGCTAAGGAACTTTTACAGGTTACAAGGAACTTTTGTCTGCTTGTCCGGAAGCTCCTTTCGCTCTTTACAAGAGACTAGAAACGAAAATACTACTCACATTGGGATTTCAAGTCTTGTACTGTTTTTAATACCAATTTAATGTTAACTATTCCTCAATCCCCCTTGTTATCATCCAATCCTTAAAAACCACCTCGTAAATGTTCTGTGTTTTAATGTGATTTTACAAATCAAGATCCATGAACCAGACGATACAAACATCTCCTATGTAACCTTTTCAATGGAAACAATCGTACGTGCTATGTAATGTTAGCTACTTCTGATGCAATCAATACTTATGAGATCAAAATTTTAGAATATCAAACGAACTTTTTTTTGGCTCCCTAAAGCCTCCTCTGTATCCTCAACGGAAAGGAAATTGAGTTCTCATCATACAATATCAGACCAAGCTATCAGAAAACTTAAATGGCAAGTATGGAAAATTGATACATTATGTTTAGATAGTCTAAACACATATTCCCTCCACATGCCACGGTCTCGCACTTCTTGATCCTCAGCATTGTGAGATGCCAACAAGATGCGCTGGCTAAAACATCAGCCATCAGGATCTCACAACAGAAGAATTTTCATAATCATGTTTTTAGAGGAGCCTTCTTCTCTCTGTCAGATATCCTAGCTGGGGCATTGGAATGTGATTTGAACCGCCCTCTTCCTCCATCTTCCTTTTCCTGCAGAATGGGTAGTAGATGTTAAGTTAGCGATTTGGGTTTTCATTTAACCAATAGTGCATGAATAAGCAGTCTATACAATGTCAGAAACCACATGAGAAAGATAGATATCAAGGAGATAAAAAGGTGGTATTTGAAGGTACCCATTATGAAAATCATCAACATTCAGAAGTTCAACAAACTAGACCACTAATTCATTTAAGCTGTTAAAATGTCATCGGAGAACATTCATCAAGTCCTTTCTTTAAACATAGTATATAGGAACAATACACAAATTACTATATTTTAACTGCCAAATGATCTCAAATATAAATAAATTCATATACAGTGAGGTCATCAATTCAATTTCCAGTAGATGTGAGATAGAAAACGTGTTTACCTTTTTCTTAACAATCTGGACAACATCTTCATCCTGAAGAGAATGGGACAGGCCACAATGCTGCGGGTAGTGCCTTGCACTGGTGCCCCACACTAACACATACTTCACATCCTTCAATAGACTCCTATGTATATGGTTACAAAAATCCTCTACCGTGCATCCACCGCGATCCTGATTGACAAGCCAACAAAATCCACATTTCAACAGAATTGCACATTACCGCGCAAAAAACAAAAAACAAATAAAGAATGAAGAGAACAACAGGATATATCTCCATTCAAAAAACAATAATAAAGAGAACAACAGTAATCTCCATTCAATAAACAGAAGGATATATCAAACTTACAGATGAAAGAACAACAGGATCGCCGAAATCCGGTTGCTGACCCTGAGGTTTTGTATAAACTCGTACTAGACCCATCTCATCCCACATCCTAGCAAGCAGTCTATCAAGATTGAGCTGTTTCAAGAACGAGAACAAGTATCAGCAACTTTTCCATACATGGATTTTTTGTTTTGCCAATGTAATATTGGTCCACACATATTACTATTCCTACCCAATAAAAAATGAAGACCTTTTTCAAGCCAATGTCCCAGGCAAATATTAACATCATATACCTTCATGTTACAGCTAATCACAATAGAATTTGGTTGCCGTGCTAATCTGTCCACGTCATCAATACCAACAACATCAATCTTGTTATAGACATAAACACACTTGATGTATTTACGATTTCCCTCAATAACATCGATAAGATCATCCACAGTAGCATCTTCACGAAATAACACCTGATAAACATCAGAGTGCACGAGCAGGTGAAAATGGGTACAGGGATAAAACTGAAAATAAAATTTACCACAATGTGAGCATATGGATGTCATACAGACACTGCCAACTGCTGAAAAAAGCCATATAATAAAACCTGGCCCTATGAATTTCTTTCCGATAGAAAGAAATGATCTGCACATACTACATACTTAAATAATGTCAAAAGTTAAATCTCAGTCAACTAAGTACCTCAGCGTTGTGTATCTTGTATTCGTGCAAAATTTGATAGCAAAGCTTCTCGTCCACATGAGTTAAAGGCAACGTGCTGTTGAAAGAAATCCCACCAGTCTTTTTCTTTTTGAAGTATATCTGCCAGAAGCAAAATTTTCAGAAAACAGGAAAAACAAAGAAATAAATAAAGATAATTTGCTGGCTGATGTGTACATGAAACTAGCAAAACTTACTTGAGGAGGTCTCTTGTTCAAGCGCAAGCCAACAGCTTCCAGTTCCTTTGTCAATATCTGCCTATGCCCTTCACTCTATAATTGAGCAATTAGTTTAATTTATAAGCCAACTCCAGGAACAAACCAATTCATACAAATAAAAACAAGCCATATTATACTTTTAATTGGTGCCGGAACTTACTTTTGAAGCGTCTAGGACCATCAGTACAAGGTCTGACGATTTGGAAACAGCAATAACCTGGAATTCAAATATATATAAAATTTACCAGAATTATTGCATATAAGAGGAGCAAAAGGAAAGCCAGACTCAACAGTAGAATGATAACATTAATCACATGAGCAAGTAAACCTTGCTTCCTGTGTTTAAAAAATGGATTGCCTCAGTGAGAATCAAACCCTCGACTCCATCTTAGTAACAATCCCCCAACCCAAACCCCTAACCCTCCCAACCCAACCTTACTTTCTATGTTATTAAATAAAAAACCACTCAAGAATTTTACCTGCCGACCGCGTCCCTTGCCTTCAGATGCACCTTCAATAATTCCAGGAAGATCAAGCAGCTGAATTTTAGTATCGTTGTAATGAATGATTCCAGGTATGCAGGTGAGAGTGGTAAATTCATATGATGCGGCTTCTGAGTGAGTTCCAGTCAACATAGTTAAGAGCGTTGATTTTCCCACACTGACAAAGAAAAAGAAAAAGAAAAAGCCAAAGATTCTCAGGCTCGACTTCAGATAAACCAATACAGCTTCCAAGCTAAGAAAATGACATTCAATGACTCGATTCGTAAAATGATGCATGGATGTCTTAAATCATTTTGATCTCGAGACCAGATACGTACTATTTTGCAGAATTATATGTTTAGAATATAATATTTCAGCTTTACGCATATCGAGCTGGGTATACAGGAGGTAGTCTAATTCATCCATGTCCATAGCATCACATAATGACATATTCCTCTTAAGTTCTATCAATGAAAAGTAGTAGTGGAAAACCTGGGGAATCCTATCAGGGCGACTCGTCCGTGACCGTATTTTGTAACCTCAAAACCATCTCCAGCGCCACTTGAACCCTGAAAATAATGTAAGATTTAATAACTTAAACTCCAAAACAGAACCAAACAGTCTTTACAAGCTTATCTCAGATTCTTCCAGGGCATTAATCCTATGATCTCAACGAAAAACACAAAAGAATTCCTTTTTTTTTTTCAGTAAAGTTGCTTACTTTGGGGGGCTCCAGCAACTGTGTCCTCAGCTTTGCTATCTTAGCCTTGAGCTGACCCAGATGATATTCTGCATTTTAAACAGCAAAAACCAAACACTAATTCCTACTCCTCAACTTAAATCCTCCACTAACCAAATCAAAAATGTATATCATCGAAATTGAACAACACATTAAAAAAACCATTCAACCCGATATGCAGCTAAATACCTAATTCGAAGCAAAAAGAAGGGAAAGAGTATACAGCATGAGTGCATACCTGTGGCTTTATTTTTCTGGGTCCGTGCCATCTCGGCCTCAATTTCTTTAATCTTTTCTATGATCCCCATGGCTCCAAGTCTCTAAATTCACTTTCCTGAATCAATAGGGGGGGAGTCAAGTTCCAAGCATGAAAAAATAAATATATAGTTCACAAAAAAAAAGCTAAGCATATTTTCAAAGATCTAAACTTGATAGCTCACAACAGCGGCATTGAAAAATTAACGAAATTGGCTGGCTTTCTCTGAAGCAACCTCGATTATATTAGAAATATGTAATCCTCAAAAAGTAAACTTAAAATTAACATTCCAATCAATTAAGAAGGGACAGGAAGACAGTACCCTTTTTATTGATTGTGGAGAGACAAGTCGAACCGGTCGGTCGGATGGCTGTTTTCCGACGGTCGGTGCCAGAGATTGGTGGAGGTGGGAGCAAAAGATGAAGAGAGCAGCAGCCGAGGGAGAGAAAAGCTGAGAAAAGTGAAGAGATGGAAAAACTATTGTACGATAATGGGCCGGGCTTATTAGAGACTAGTAGAATCCAAACCATGTCATTTAAGTGGGCCTCATATTTGGACTTCAATTGTGTGGAAACTTCATAGTGGCTTACTTCTTGATGACATATTTTTCAACATCTCGTCTTATAAGTTATAACTTCCATAATAATGCACAAAAATACTTCTACCTTAGAGACAAAATCGAGACCCAAAAACAAAAAACAAAAGAAAAGGTAAAATTAAAGGAGTACGCGTAAAAATACGCGTTAAATTTTTATTTTTTTTTTGGTGGAAGCGTTAAATATCTTTCTCTGCTTGGGTTTTTATCGAGGGGAGAGGAAAGAAATCAAGAAGGGTCTGGCCGGATCACCGGAATTCATTGGGCCACGTAATGAGTCTGAAAACCAGTTGAGCTTTAGTATACTTGTAATGTTAACTTCTACGCAGATGAGTATTTGTTTTGTATTTTGAGCAAGAGGTTAAAAAGATGGGCATTGGCACCAATGTTTGACACAATGCCACAGAATCCACGGTCTTTATGTTCAAAACTAACTACGCCACTTACAAGTCACTTGTTCAAGGCTATAACACAAAAGCTTCTAATAGAAATGAGGCTCAGCACGAATATCCAAAAGAGAACCATCTCCGCCGCCTAAAAGACTTTGTTAGAGAACTTTTTATGTACTTTTTGACTTATTTACAATTTCTACAAGAAACCTGCTCTTGTTTCGGTTACACTTCTATCATCTCCACCAGCAGGTCCAGTGAACTTGCTTTGAGGAACTTTTGTTGGAACTTGTGGTGCTTGCATTTGAGCCAACTCTCTCACTCGAATGAGGATTGAAGCAGGAATTGGCACTGAAGCATGCTTCCTAGCATTCTGTATTAACAAGAAGTAACCCAAAGAAATTCATGAGTAAATGATGAAAATGGGCAGCAATTCACAACAAACAGCAAGAACGTTATCGTGGATATTAAAGGTTCATTGATAGAGAAAGAGAACAGAAAGATATCCCAGAAAGCGTAAATTTATGTTACCAATTATCACAAATAAAAAAACCAGAATCACGCAAAATGTAAAAGCACAAACACAAAGATCCACAGATTTCATAGAGAAATCTCCTTTCAGCAAAACGTAATCTACATTATTTTTTGCTCAAGCAGCTTTTTGCGGCGGAAACCCTTGCACTTTTTAGTTTCTTGCATTTAAAACAATATAACTTTCTGAAATAGTCAAAAGACAGAAAACTTCTTCTAAAATTTCCAATCATTTCTTTGAACCACCAGCATTGCAGCATACAGAATTATAACAGACGGAAAATTCTACGAGCACACAAACTCATCTGCTTACCCCTTTTTCTCCAGGCAACTGTAATGAGCTGGCTTTCAACAGATTCCTCCACTTATCCTGCATATTCAGACCAAATGTCAGAGAAAGCATAAATCAATCAATCAGGATAAAAACATCATTTTCAAGCCTGCTAAAATTACCCACCTTTAGATCTACCGATGTCCTGTATGAGTATGAAGCAAAAGCAACTCGTTTTATTTCAGACCACCGACCAACACCGTATTTAGCAACACCTTCAACTAGCTTAACAACCTCGGTCAGAGACCAAGGTCGATGATGCTTCCTCCTCATTCCGCATGATGGAGTCCAGAGCATATTATCATCTGAATTATCCTCAAAGGAATCCATTCTTTTAAGTGCATACTCCTTTTCTAGCTCCAGCGCCTTCTTTTCCAGGCGATGCTCACTTTCCCCAGAAGCAAAGATCAACTACGACAGAAAATAATATTCCGTCAGAATAAGTCATGTATATTTGTTGTTGACTGTTGAGTGGTGGACAAGTGTCATTGTAAGGATTACAAGGCCAAAAAGTTACAACACACTTATAATGATAGACAACATCCGAATGATCTCTGAAAACACGCTGATCAAACAATGGTGAATTTAGATCCACAGTGACAAAACAATTGATAATTTCCAAGTGACCAAACAGTTGATAATTTCCAAGCCACCATGGTATGTGTGCTGCCGATTTCTTCACAATCAAGAACTAATCAACAAGCGATCTATGCAATTTCCTAACTTTCGTAACTCAACAATTGGTGTTCCATCCACAATCAATTAATGGTATATCATTCAAAACAATAAATCAATTTGGCCAATACATCAACTAGATTAGGTTAAACAATTAAAGTAACCAAACCTAGAACTGTACCATGTGACTTAAAATATTTAAGAATCAACTTACAGGCTGCTGACTACAAGCAGGAGAAAGTCTTGCTTGCAGGTCTTCGTCTGTCTCGTCTTCTACGGGCGATGGGGTTGGACCAATAGTCTTCTTTACACTTCCAGAATCCGCATCAACACTTAGAGTCTGAAGTTTCTACAGAAAAAGAAAAAAGCAACATAAAAAACAACTCTCTAAACAATGCCCTAAATCATAGTAATTTCAACAAAAATTCACCGCATGAACAAGACATGAAAGTATCTGGATACACAGGCACCTTTTCCTTACCATGAGGGGCATGAAATTTTCTCTAGGACGGCTTCTTCGGACTCTCCAAACATATGGAACCATAACACCAGAACCTCCCAACGAATCTTGCCTGGTAATCACAGGTTTCCCATCTGACCATACTTTCTGAACAGGTCTTGTATGAGGCTTCAAGTGTGGTAATTGTTCATGTTCAAAACTCTTTAAAGTTTGTGGAATCAACTTTCCTTTAGAGTCATCAGATTCCAATTCAGAAAGTTCTTCAATGTATCTCTTTGTGGGTTTCCTAATTCTCTTGGCTGCTCTACTTTCCAAGTTATGATCCTCTGAAACATCACCTTGCTCTAAGACTGTGGTCCGTGTATCTTGAAAAATATCATCAGAATGGCTTGTCTCTTGATTATGAAGACCATCGAATGGGGACACTTCCATAACAAAATCGGCAGAAGCAGCAAAAGTTTTGCTTTTTTCTTCTCTAAGTTTCTTCACCACTTTATTACCTTTGATAATAAAAGTGGTGGTTGAAACATCACAAGAATTGGTCAAAGCCATGGATATTCTCCTTTTAAGCCATAGTTTGTCTTTGACAGAAGTCTCCCTTCCAAAGGTTGCCCTAAAAGTTTCTTGAAGTTCTTTGACTGATAGTTTATCCAAGCATATCTCCCCCCTCAGCCTAGAAAAATCAGGCTTTGAACTAGAAGCGACATCAGGATTTGAAGAACCTTCTGCGAAGATTCTGACTGACTTAGGATTTTTAGTACTCAAATAGGGCATAATATCTTCGGAATTCGAAGGTTGATTACACTGATGAAAAGTTTCCTGGCAACCAAAAAAGAATGAAATATTTTCTGAGAACAAGGAAATTCTCCCACACGATCCATATAGTAGATATTTTCTAATCATGCCACTCACTCGTTATCAACAAGTAAACAACAAATTTTCTACTGTGATATACTCTTACAGCATTACAGTAAACACCCCCACCCATTTATGCCCCTCTTTAGGGAAATACTTATAAAACATAACCTCAGTTTTATGATTTATCCCACAAATGTGTAAGGGAGAAGATGGATAAAAAAAAGTAGGCAAAAGCCAGCCGTACCTGTTGCTGCACATTTTCTCTTCCCAGGCTAGCAGCATTATCAAGTTCAATGTTCTGATTTTCTGCATTAGATCTAAGTATTATTCACTAAAAACAAACATGATAACAGAGATAATTAAGCAGTTTTGACTAGCAAAACTAATTACAAACAGGAATTTTGGCAATTTTCTACGCACAAATACGAGGAACCTAGTTGTCAAGCAGAAAGTTTTGCACTTCTCTTAAACTCCATCCAAAAATCAAGTAAGCACAAAAAACCAAAGAATGGCTAGAGGCTCCACAGAAACCAAGCACAGAAGCATGAACATATAGGAATGATTTAAAATATGCCACAAAACTAATGGAATTCGCTAACACTAATACTGACCTTTCAGTTGACATTTTTCTGATTTGCTGCAAGATGTAGGTTGATTGTTGCCCGGCGCAAAATCTTCAGCCTTCTCAACTTCCAGCAGATTTTCGACCACCAATATTTCATCATCAGTAGCCGGGACTAGTCTCCCATCACCATCAACCTAAATAAAAATTAAAGGAATCACAAAAACAGATACAACACTTCAAGGACTACAAAATGCTAAAATTTCAATGATAAATGATGGGGGAAATTTTTCATATTACAACCAGCTTCAATTCAAACAGAGTACCATGGGAGAAACTAGTCAGAGAATCTCTGCTTTTTTACTTATAAAACAAACCAGCGTACACACTTTGGAACTAATATTAGAGAACTCAGTTGGCTATCCTAAAAGGTAAAGAGAAACAAACTATATTTTCAACCTTAGCCCATGATAAACATTCAAGTGCACATTCACGTGATGCGATCACCTAAAAAGGCCAGGTGGGCTTGGCAAAAGGTGAAAGAAGATGGATTATGAGCTTCAAGAAGATACTGGACCAGAACATAACATGTATATCCCATACAGAATCACAAAAAAAGCCAGGTTTACAACCCTTGACAAGTCAGCAAAATGAAGGCAATTGTACAGGATATTAGCATTCAGCACTACAACTAATTCTACTTTTAAAACTCAGCACATGGTATGACAAAAATGCAATAAGCCTTCCAGCAAGAAAGGTTGAAAAAGAAGTTTCATTAACACCCCCCCCCCCTCTCTCTCTTCCCCCGCTGCTCCAAAAAGTTCAGCAATCAAACTCGTCAAGAATCATAAGTAACACTACAAAATTTTAGATTAACATTGTTATTACACTAGCAAGTAAACATTTTCAAAAGTATTCCAAATGAACTTGTTATAAAGCACCTAATTTTAGGGGATCAATTAATCATACCCGAACAAGTTGATAAACAACAGGATCAGGATCAGGATTACTAGTATCAGATATCAGCTCTTCTGACCCAGCATCTCCACTGATCACATCCACCACCTCAACCTCGGCTTCTTCTCCTACTTCCTTCTCATGTTCCTCCACACCATCCACTGTCCCCATCAAAAACCCGCCAGATGCAACTCAGATAACACAAAGCTGAAATTTACAGTGCAAAAAATCCACACCCAACCAAAAAAAAAGAATTAATATTTTCTTTTTCCATTCACTTCGAAAGGGGCAATATATTTAATTTAATGCTACTGAAACCAAACTTAATATGAAATTCATGTACTGTAAACAAACCAAACGCTGACAATTATCACTGAAAGGATAAGCATAATTAGACATACAGAACTCCGCTTGGGATTGAATTCCATATCAAAATTAATTCTCGTACCATGAAACTGAATCAAACTCCGCTACTGCGAACGTGCCGATAAAGGGTTCCACATGATCATGGCTTAAAAATGCTCTGCAACACAAATTACCCCCACCAAAAAAAAGGACCTTTAAATAATCATCGCCCCAAAAGATATTTAACGATAATAATAAAGATAATTGAAGGGAAAAATAAAAACTAAAAGAAAAGAACTTAATTAACGAAGGTGAGAAATGAGAAACATTTACCTTCAGGAGATTTTCAATACGAGGAGGGGCAATTTTGGGGAATTAGGAGAGTTAGAGAGAGAGAGAGAGAGAGAGAGAGAGTTCAGTGATATGCTTTTCCAGTACGCTGAAGCTGAATCACTTCGCAGAAGTTTCGGATTCCAAATTGTGTTCAGAAGTTATAATGTAATGTTTGGCTTGAGGTTCGGATTCTGTGCTACCGCGTGCAGCGAAGCTTATAGTGGGCTCGTCCGTCTATTTTTGGGAAATTGTTGAGAGAAATTAATTAGGGAAATGAAATTCTCTTTGAAAAGAAAAGAAAATGCTGAAATAAAGAGCCTTTTTTTTTTTGGAAAAGCAAATAAAAGAGCCTAAAACACGTACATTTAGGCTTGCACTGAGATTAAAAATATTGAAAAAATTATATTTACGATTTTACGGGGAATGAAAAAAACCAAACATTATGGTAAACTGTACTACTATTTAAGAATTTTGTGCGTGTAATTATACTTATTGAATGCACATTATTCTAATATCATAAGGATAGCCATAATAATTAAAAAAGGGAGAAAGACCAGACAATTGTTGAGCTCTCATTCTTTACATTTTACGGTACAACAAAAGGATCGTAGTATGGCAAAAACAGATACTCCCTCTATCCCATAATTACTGTCTAATTTTACTAAAATGAAAGATTTTATTTTTAGTCAAACATAACTATATTTTACCTTAAACAATCGGATATACCCTTACATAAGTAATTATTTAACCACAAAAATTTTATAGATAATGTTTTTTACTAAGGACAAATGTATAACTTGATCAATAAAAAGTCAAATTAGACAATAATTTTGGAACAAAATTTTTTGGGCAAAGTGGACAATAATTATGAAACGGAGGGAGTAAATAACTTGCCAGGTGCCACAGTCACAAAAGAGAATCAACCAAAGTAAACCAATTTCAGATATACTATAGCAACTTGACTTCACATAATCCGTAGCACTTAATCAAAACCATAAATATATAATACTACTGCCGGGGTGTGAACTATCCATCCAAACGAAGAAATAAGTCGGGACAAAATTTAAAGGCAAAAGGTTATTGTCATCAAATCCTTCCAACAAAAGGAAACAAAATAAACCTATTTAACAACACTTGTCTCAACAAAAGGGGCTGCTTAAACATATATCTCAATAACATCTAATGCGGACTTCTGCTGCATATCCCCCCACTACATCTGCCAGGCAGAACACTTAAAAGAGATCTAAACAGCTCCGACATCAATATCGGCAACAGGTATAACTGGTCGGACATATTCCTCTTCTTCCTTGGGTTGATGGATAGTAACAAGATCGGGCAGAGGTGTGATAGGACCAACCTTGCCCTTTGGATCCCAGGCAAGCATGATCTTCACCTTGATACCCAGAACACCCTACAATATCCAAAACAAAAAACAATCAGTACCTTTTAAAACAAAATAAAAAAGTCAGTCAGAATGATACAGCTGAAATGGATTCAGGAGGTGAAAATATGCGCATTGTCACTAACCTGTCTGAGAAGCACGTGTCTCACAGCTGAGTCAATGTACTCCTTGACGGGCTGACCAGAGGAAATCATGTAGCCATCCTTGAACTTCATGGACTTTGCTCTCTGAGCCCTGAGCTTTCCACTCACGATGACCTGAAATGTGCATAAATCACGAATTCAAAACAGATTAGGCTATTACAAATACCAGCATTACATAAGAAGCTTCTTTTTTTTTCCTTCCTTTATTCCTGTTTGAGAAATAACAAAGTTCTGCATACCTCGCAACCTTTTGCGCCCTGCTCCATGACAAAGCGCAGAACACCATAACAAGCCCTGAACAAATATTTGTAATTCAAAAGTCAAACGACAGAAGAATTGATATTCCAAATGTAAACCTCCCAAAAAGTACTTAAAATTAGTTAATTTGACAGATATTTGTAAAAATGGGAGTAATTAAAACATCCTCAAGATAATATGGAGAAGTATAGAGCATCCTGAACATAAGAATTAAACATCCTGATTATAGGAGATTATTCCAAACTCAACTAACATTAATCAGCTCGCCAAGCCTGACAAACTCCACAACATTACTTTATGCATCGGTCAAACCCCTTCAACCCATTTAGATGAGAAAAAGAGTGCACAACAACCAATGCCACCTAAAGGAACTAGCATGAATAGGATATGGGAGAAAAGGGTGGGTAAGACAGACAAGTATTACAAAATTAAAACAAAGGTGTAAGCGTAAGGAATCTAAACAGCCTAATGTTGGAGAATTTTGAAAGCCCCATCACATAATAACAAGTCAAGAGGCCAACCAAACTCCGATATAATATAAGCATTAATTAGAAGTCTCTTTGACAGCAGACTTACAAAGAGAAAATAAGAAATCAATGCTAAAATCAGAACCAACCGAGTGTTAGAGGAATGAATATATATGAGCTTTACATTCAGACAGAGCAAACAGAACAATAGAAAGAAGCTTAACCTATATGAGATTTACACAGACAAAGAACCAACGGAACAAACAATCATATAAACAGTCTAGATACAAGGGGCACACCTTCGGACAGCAAGTCCTCCGAGAAGCTTGTAACGCAGAGACTCAGCCTGGGCAACAGCGCAAAGACCCCTGTTGTTAACCCTCTCAGCATAGAGCTCCACACTGTTTTCAGGGAACTTAAATCTCTTCTGAACAATGGAGGTGAGCTCCCTAATTCTTCTTCCCTTCTCACCTACATAAATTCAAAGACATAATCAGTCATCCTTGAATATACTGCATTTCATAATCTAAAGAACTTTGGATATAAAGGGCAGGCACTTCAGTATATTACTAAATCCTCCTATTTCCCCCTTTCCCAAACTACAAGCCAGCAAGCAGGTAATATATATTTCTAACTGAAAAGTATCAATCTTCTAGGCCTATAATCTTTATGAGCTATCAATCAAACATTATATCCACTCAGTTTCTCTGCCAGATTCCCAATTAACCTAAATCCCCGTATATTTCAGGCCACGTCCGAATTCCATATCCAATTAACCTAAATCCCCGTATATTTCAGGCCGGTAAATTCATTTTTTCTATAATTATTACTTAAAATAATTATAAAAAAAAGACAATCACAAATAATTCCATTCGGTTTGAAAAGGGAAAATAATAGCAAAGACTATATGGGGTTTATACCGAGAACATTCTGGGTACGGGTAGCCCTGATGATGATCTCAGTACGCATGGGAGTAACCCTAACTTCGACACCAGAGTAGCCATCCTCAGCGAGCTCCCTGGTCAACACCTCGTTCAGCTCGGCGTAGAAAACACCGTCAGCAACGAACTGTAAAATCAGAACTAGGTCATGAGCACATAAACAACCAAATCGAAATGAAAAACGGGAAAAATATCGAATCATGTCGAGATGGACAGATGGATAGATGGATAAGGAGAGACCTTTCGCTTCTTGCTCATTTGGGTCGCCATTTTTTCCGATCGATTTAGCGCCGCCTTGGCCGAAAAGAACTGCGGAGGTTTAAGAAGTGCTGCTGCTTGCGGCGATGAAAGGCAATGAGACGGAAGAGAAAGTAGTTTAATCGGCGGAATATATATGGCTTTGTTTTCCTTCTTTAAGGATTAGGGTTTTTCAAGTGGTCTCTGCTGTGTGTCTTGGGTTTTTTGGGCAACAAAATCGTTGCGTGGCTTTGTTGCTATTGGGTTTTCTGATTGGGCCTGTTCAATTTTCAAATTGTACAGTTACATCACTATTGGGTTGTTGTATAACTTAGCCCTTACACTATTATTACTGGGCTATAAATCCTAAGATCACCAGTGATGGTTCAAACCTTGGTAGCGGAAATACAAAAATAAATACTCTCCCTTTATTCGAAAATTATTATACATTTTAGATTTTCAACTTTAGTTCAAATTGTACTAAAACTGAGAATTCAAACTAAATAATGATTTCAAGATGGAGGGAGCTGATAACTATGATGAAATGCATCAAAACATAAGAAAATAGATGAAATAACGTACAACAATTTCGAGCATTGAAGATGGGAGATAATGAATCTATACAGTTAAGCGAGATAGTGACTTGTGAAACGACAAAAATAAAATTTCAATGAGTTTATAACTACTATAACATAATCAAGGACGATCAAGTAACTTTGAAAATTTTGACACTGTGAGTATATTCACCATTTGCTGTGTGACATTGGTGATGCAGTCAACATGCTTCCAATAAATAATAACTACTGTAAATTATAAATATCTAAAGTAAATGGTGAATATACTCACGTGTGAAAATTTTAAACAATGTTACATAACATATGATAATACGAAAATGGGACTTTCAATTAATAATTACTACTGTAAATTATAAATATCCAAAGTAAATGGTGAATATACTCACGTGTGAAAATTTTAAACAATGTTACATAACATATAATAATACGAAAATCTCCCATTAGAGCATAACGGTAAAAAATGAAGAGTTGTATGGAAAACCTTAATGATACAGTGAGATTCTGCAATTGGAATGCATAACTGCTTCCATAAGCATAATGTGACATAATATATCTTCTTTGTCTAAAAGTCTAATTTTTAAATAAAAAAATAAAAATTTAAATTAAATAATTATTTTAAAACGGAGAGATTCCATCCACTCAAAACTAAACATTGATGCAAAGTTTGCATCTTTTTGTTCCAAAAACTTTGTTGAAGGAAAGACCATGCATTTCAAAAAATATATAAATGGTGATCATGCAGTAGGAAAGGCAATAGTATTTTATTTTTTCAGTCTCAAATTTTTTTAATAATATGAATTATTTTAAGGCGAAAAGAATAATACTATCATTCCATCGTAGTATTTACGAGACGTATAACACTTCCTCCAGCCAAGCATGGCTGGGAAACGAATATACTATGAAGGTGTAAGGGAAGGGGAAGATTACAAGGAAAGAGCAGCAACTTGGACCAGCCCAATTCCCAATTTTCCATTTCCCATGTAAAGCTCTAACTTTGCTTCGATAAGCCCACACAAAATCTCACGAGCCATCCTCTCTCACTCACGCTACACTTACTCTCCCATTATTCCTTCTCCGCAAATCAAACATAAAATGAACCAACCAAAATGGTCGTGGTAAAGTGAAAGTGACTCTTTCACTCTTAACCATAGGTCGATGGTTCGAACTTTACCATGGACATGGAGCAAGCTTAAATACTTTGGTCAAGTGTCCTATTCATTGAGGTGCCTACAATTCGGCGGGAAAATTAGTCACTGTTGCTGACGGTGAACACTCTGCAAATATGTAACAAAAAAAAAAATGTAAAATGAACCTCATAAAATTTATATTAAAAACAATCACAAATAAAAAACCAAAGAACCCGTTATTTCCCGAATGGTACAACCAAATTATACGTGATTTGAAATTCGATTCATACAATTATCAACATTTTTTATCATTTAGCTAAAATCAACACTTTAAGTGGTCCATGCCTATGTGAACACTTTTATTATGAGGTTTGCTTAAGAGTATACTCACATATAATCTTTTTTTTTTTTTCTAAGCGATAATCATATATATTATGACAAAAAAGAGATAACTAAATAGTTATTCCAAGAAGAGAAACATTTATAGTCAGCGTGATATTTGATTATTACTCTTTTTTTTTTTAAGAAAAAAAAGTTCAGAATGAATTTTTAAATTCATAGAAGTACTACTTTTTGTATAAATTTGAAAACTTAGTCTTTATATATATATATATATATATATATATATATATATATATATATATATATACTAGTGATGTTGGGTCGCGCATTGCGCGACCCTGGCCCAATATATCTGTACATCTTAGAAATGTTTGTATTTGAGAAAAAAATATTTTGTATTTGGCTCGATATATTTTAGAAATGTTTGAAAAATTTAGAAATGTTTTATAAGTGTGATCGTAGAAATGTTTATATTTGGCATAAAAAGAAATTGTATTAATTTGACCCGCTACGTTTTAGAAATATTTGAAGATTTTAGAAATGTTTTATAAGTGTTACTTCTTAAATATAAATAAACTTGATCAAATATATGTCTTGAATTAAATGCTAGACAAAATATAAAAGCATCCTAATAATTTTAAATATTAGTAAGATAATTTATTGATGTTCTCCGGTTGTGCCAAATCAATATATAGTTTTGAAGATTTATAATAGCTCTGTTGTAAGCTTCTCCCAAGGGTATACGCTTATTGTTGAAACTATTTCTTTCAAAAGTTTATAAGTAGTAAAATATCAAAAATATGATTTTGAAACTGGTTAATTGATGAAATTGGTTGATAAAAAATATGAGAATAAAAATAATATAAATTTACATAGGTTTCAAATTATACTAAAAAAGAGCTCAACTCACTATGGCAAATAAAAAAAAAAGAAATTAAAAGATAGCCCATTTAAAATTGAGAAATTTATTTTTTTTCTGTAGGTAAAAATGTTATATAAAAATATAATTAAACGTAGAAACATCATTCTTTCCCTCTCTGCCTCAAATTCATAAAAGCTTTCTCGGAAATTAGTTAGAAGAAGCGACCTAAACTATTTAGATGGTGAGAAACTAAAAAAAATCCAAAAACCAAAATTCAAAAAGTATATTCTTGAAAGCCCAAACACAAAAAAAAAATGCGCTTTATTTGCAAATAAAATAAAATAATAATAATAATAATTGGTCAACTAGAAGTATGAAACAAAATAAAAAAGAATTAAATAAAGAAAAAACACACTTCGTAACTGACCATAAACAAAAAAAAACTGAGACTCCATAATTAAAAAAAAAAAAAAATCTAATTGAATGAAACATTAAAAAGAAATTTAAAAAACCATATTTTGTAACAAAAACTCAATTAATCAATTCAATCCAAACAGAACTAAAATCATACAAAACTTTTAGGCTAACTAGCTTCGTATGAAATTACATCATATTACCTGACAACGGCTACGGTAGCTGTAACGGGTCGACGCATATAAATAATAGTAATAACACTATTCTTGAACGGGAAAAACAAAAAATAATAAAAGCCAAACAAATGATCTGTGGAAATAAAATCATTTAAATTTTAATACCTGTAATTGTACCATCACAACGGCCGAAGCAAGATTAATGAGAATTTTCTTTTCCTTTTTGTTGATATAGAAAGGTAAAAAGAATATTTTTTGAAGTCGAAATTTTATCTGATCAGGATATAGTTGATTATCACTAATGAAATGATTGAACATGCTAATAGAAAATGAGTATATTTCACCACATATTCCCAATTGATGATTGATGAGGAATTTTTTTTTTTATTGTGGAGAAGGGATTAATTAGGGAGTCGATTGTCGTGGAGATGGGGATTAGGATTTGGGTTTTTTATGAACCCGTCTTTTTTTTTTTTATTTTGGCAAAAATAGGAGGTGGAGGTGGATTTGGACTGCATTTGCCTTTTAAGTCTAGGAGATGTGAAAATAAAGATTTATTTTAAAAATATGATGTGGAAATACCACATGGCAAATGGTGTTGTTTTCTCTTAAGTGTGGTTTTTGTTTCTAATATAGTAAGATGTGAAAATAAAGATTTATTTTAAAAATATGATGTGGAAATGACACATGCCAAATGGTGGTGGTTTTTCTTAAGTTTTGTTTTTGTTTCTAATATGGTAAGATATATATATTTCTTTTGAGGGAGGATTATGTTCACAATTTGCAACTTGCAAGTATTGTGTATACCAAGTTTCAAGTCTTGCTTAAAACAAGGGAGTCAAATTCCAGATGTAACAGACAAAACAAAAGATTGTGCAATAATTAAATAAAAATTCCATGTTACTTACAAAACTAAATTAATAGAAACCGTTAAACAGGGGAGAGTGCTAGAGTGGCAAAGCATAGAATAACTTTACGAATTTAAAAATTCATTCTTTCCTACATTAATGTTAAAAAAAAAAAAAAAAAAAGGTTTGGTTTTAACGGGCAAAGGTGCTAACTTCGATTTGATCCAGTCCAGCTAGCCTCCCCCTCTCTCCTTCGTTTCTACTGCCGTTTTACACACACTCACACACTGACTCTTCTTCTCTCTCTCTGTGTAAACATTTATTACTCGCCACTCCCTACGCCGCCCCCCTCCTCCTCCTCCTCCTCCTCCCGCCGCCGGTGACCCGCCTACTCATTCATTTGGCTTCATTCATTTCATATTGAGCCGGGGGAGTTTGTTTAAAGTTGAACTCCTTTTTTTTTTTCTTTCCTCCACTTGGGTGATTGATTTTTCAATTCGTGTGTAGCGGTTACGAGAGTTCGGCGAAATCAAGGGGGGAGGTGAATCAAGGGATGTTGACTTGTATAGCTTGTTCAAAGCAGCAGCTTAATACCGGATCTCTACCGGACCGGCGAGATGACGACGAAGAACCTGTATCTACTCCCTCCACTAAACATGCCATTAAAACTCTCACTTCTCAGGTTTTTATTTTTTGTTTTTCGCCTTTTGTTTTTGTAAGTAATGGAAATGACTGGGGGATTTATTTTTTATCCGAGGAAAATGACAAATTTGTTGTTTTTTGTTGTTGTTGTTGTGTTTGTTGTTATTAGATTAAGGATATGGCGATAAAGGCTTCAGGTGCCTACAAGAACTGCAAGCCCTGTTCAGGCTCGGCCGACCGCAACAATCACAACGGCCGTGATTACGCCGATTCCGAAGCTGGTTCTCTCTCCGGACGTTACCGCTTCTCCTATAAAAGAACTGGCAGCTCCAATTCTACGCCGAGGCATTGGGGAAGGGAAATGGAAGCAAGATTAAAAGCACTATCCAGTGGGGAAACCACTCCTGCATCGGTCAGTGGTCGGACGGAATCGGTTGTGTTCATGGAAGAAGACGAGCCTAAGGAATGGGTTGCTCAGGTGGAGCCTGGTGTGTTAATCACATTTATGTCACTTCCTGAAGGGGGTAACGATCTCAAACGTATTCGATTCAGGTACTTCAATCTCTGCTCCTGGTACAACTGGTCTTTTTTTGCCCCTTTTCTTTTTTTTCCTTTTTAATTTTGGGATCTAATCAAAAGTGTGTGTATATTTTTATTAGAGTTACAATTTGTTTGAGAGTGATGCATAGTACTTGTGGTGATAATGATATGAACTTTGTTGGGACGTTCAATATTGTCTGGATTTTTTTTATTGCTTTTGGAGGGTGTTATTTTAATGGTTCAACAGTGACACAGTTAGGCATGTGAAGCCACATTGTGAGCCACTAGGCCTGATATTATGGAAACTGGCCCCATTGTTGAACTGGGTTTTTAGTCTTCTTAAATTTTGAGTATTGACCACAATGTATAATTTTCAATATATATCTTTTATATATATATATATAAAAAAATCAGATTCTCGCTTTCTAATTCAGCTTACATCATCCGGCATTGAATCCTAAAGCAAGGAAGCGTAAGACTGGGGAGAGTAGGGGACCGTTTGTCTCACTTTCTAATGAATCTTAACTCATTTACACAGTCTGATGGACTTTCTTTTAGAAACAGTGAGGAGTATTATATATTTTGGGTTCATGGGGTCATGTCCCTTTGGAAGATTATGCTACTTTTTATGAGACCAAAAGCTAAGGCAGAAAGAAGCAGAACCCATTCTCCTTTTGTGTAGTTTTTTGTACCCAATTAAATTTTTTGCCAGGCTGGTGACTACAAATCCCACTTTTTGTTTTCATAGGGAAAATAGTGTTGCATTTGGAGTTTATTAGGTCTGGTAGAAACTAAAAGAAGTTATCTTGCTAGTCATGGACTATGTAAAGTAAAGAATGCTGCAGTTATTGGACAAATGCCACCAGTTAGACAGTTCATGATTCATTTGATTAAGATCCAAGTACAATTGGATATCAAAAGTTTTTATAGACATATTTGCAATCATTTGTGGATTCATCAATTTATCTTGCGCTTAATTTGGATGGGCTTCATTTAAAACATGGAAGGAGGTGGAAAGGTGATTCTTGGATTGTTATTCACTGTTTATAGTTTCAAACCTGGATGTTAGAACTGTTGCTTTTTAAGTTCCTTGTAACTGCTGTTAGATTGGCCAACAGCCGAGTAAATATAGTGCCTGTCGCATCTATTTAGTAAGTTTGTTGGTTTCGATTCTAATCTCTCGCTCATGGTGTCAGCCGGGAGATGTTTAACAAATGGCAAGCTCAAAGTTGGTGGGCAGAGAACTATGACAAGGTATTGGAACTATACAATGTCCAGAGGTTCAATCAGCAAGCTGTACCAGCCCCGACTCCCCCAAGATCTGAAGAAGAGGTAAATGCATTTTCCTTTTGGCTTTGGAAATATCATTGCTGTTGGAATGTATGCATTATATTAACAAGGGATGATCCTTTCTTAATTATGCTGGTATGTGATTATTTCCTTTCCATTTAGAACTCCAAAATGGAAACTGTTGCCGAGAGCCCTGCGACACCACCTTTAAGGAAGGAACACTTATCCCGGAGCTTACATCGTCCACCTGGTTCAACCCCTTATTCATCAGATTCACTTGAACACCACCGTCCTTTGCATTCTCCTCACTACTACGACTCAGCGGGGCATGCTTCAACACCGAAACTTTCCAGCATCAGTGCAGCAAAAACTGAGACCTCATCTATTGATGCCTCTGCAAGAAGTAGTTTGTCTAGAGACGCTGATTGCTCTGGAGAGCTATCGGTTAGTAATGCTAGTGACATGGAGACTGAGTGGGTTGAGCAAGATGAGCCTGGGGTCTACATAACAATCAGGGCTTTGCCTGGTGGAGGCAGAGAACTTAGACGAGTACGATTTAGGTAAGTATCTTTGTTCTTTTTCGCAATCTTTGAATCTTAACCAACGGACATATATGGCTCTGTTACATGAAATGTTCTGAATGTCATCGTTCATGTGTTGTTTCAACCTCTAACAATGTTCTGAATGTCATCTTTCATGTGTTGTCTCAACCTTACGAATATGCAATATATCGGTGCATTTGATGTTTATATTTGCGACTTAGATCAAAGCGACACGTGGCAAAAATCTCTCTTGTTCCCCACCTCTATATGTTTAAATGTCTATTTTGGTATCGTCTCACCTTCAGCTTAGAGCTGTTGCAAACTCTAGATCATTCAGAGACATTCAGATTGTGACCTTTTCGTTTCTGCATGATTACATGTCTACTCATGTTTCGTATCACCTTGTGCATTGAGCTGTTACAAACTCTGGATCATTGGAAAACATTACCATTCACTTTCCTTCCTTGACTTGCAGCCGCGAAAAGTTTGGAGAAATGCAGGCTAGGGTGTGGTGGGAAGCAAATAAAGCAAGGATTCAAGAGCAGTACTTGTGATGAAGTAGCACCGACCAGCCTCTCTGGAACTCAAGAGTATGATAGAGTGTGTGGATTTAGAAAAGGATTAGTCTGATTTTAACAAGAAATTGGAAAGTTATTGATACCATCAAATGTAAATGTGCTGCTACCTTTTTTGGGTAGGGTTTTTGTCGTAGTAGGTGCACACAACACTTGATTGTTCTTACCCTTCTCATCTAGATTCCCGTTTCATTCACATTTCCATATAGTGATTTATTTCATTGGGGTGGTTTATTATTTGCAAAGGTATACAGTAGTGACTAGACCAAAATGAAACAGACAGAATTGAATCAGACCAACTCAGTTGTAATTAGCGATGTTCGGAGTCATTGCAGACTTGCAGTTGATACTTCTTATTTTCCATCCAGATTGTTTGTAGTTTGTACTTTCTGCTTTCTACTGGTAGTGCCTTGAAGAATGAAGATGCAACAAAAAACAAGGCGTGTCTTGTGAGTTGGATTGGGGACTCCCCGAGAATTGACCAGTCAACGTGGGAGTTTCTGTATGTGTTGTTGGATTGGACCAAAGCTTGTATATTTTGTGCCAGTTATTGATTTCTCTCAATTCGTGCATGAAGAAGAGAATGCTCCCTGTAAAAAATTATGAACCGCCACCTTAATTATGGAAAGACGAACAATAATAATACTAATGAGTTCCACATAGGCCCCCACACCAACCATGCATGCGCAGTGGATTTAGATTTTACGAAGAAATGACTCTATTTTGAAATGATTGTCAAATGCATGTAAGGGAATAATTCCAAACAATATATGATTTTCCTTGGCGAATAAAAGTAACAAAGTACGTTTAAATAAGCTATTGAGAGACTAAAACCCTGATTAATATTCCCTATGTTCTAAAATTATTATCCAGTTTAAATTTTCACTTTGAACTCATTTTGTATAAAAAAATAAAAATTTGAACTGGACAATAGTTTCTAAGACGGGAGTACAAAATACAAAATTCAGCCTTTATTATTAACTTTATGTACCATTTTATTTAAACAAAGAAAAACTTTATCTTGCTCATTCTCCTCAATAATAGAACAAAATGGATCACAGCTAATTAAGTAGTTACCCCCAAAGTGCTCCTCAGTAATATAGCATCCCGACTAAGTACAGATTAAAAAATGCATGTAAAGCTTTCCTATTTGAGATTCCGCACCACAATAGGTCTCCATTAATTTACACATTTGATATAGTGAGACAAATTTAAACAAATGGCATATAATTATTAATAATAGAATACTATTGTATCTGTAAGCTAATGTATGCAGTAGTATAAAAATTGATTTGGACATGTAAAAACATGTCTTGAAATGGTACTAAATTAAAACACAAATTAAGGGGAAAAAGAAAAGAAAAAAAAAACACGTAATATCCGCTGGCCTAATCAATTGGTTCCTCATTTTTATTAATTTATGGTATTTCTCCGTATAATTGTTTTACATGATTGATGAAATTTGATTCCATTGGCCGGGGGAGCGGTTGAGATGAGCCAAACAGGATTGATGACAACTTAGACCGTCGGCCGGCGGGTTGACTCGGGGAGGCTGTTGATGAAGGTAAGACTCATTATGGGAATGGCGAACGCCGTCTCGAAAATAACCGCCTCATGGAATGAATCCATCGTACCTTGTGCTTCGAAAAGGTCCTTGCCCAAACTCTGGCAATAACTCTTCATCTTCTTCATCATCCGACTGAGTTTCAGCTTCAAGGATCTCATCCTGATCACCCGCTTCAGAAAGAACCCTCTCCACCGCCGCCGCCGCCGCCTGCCGCCGCCGCCCAGTCTAACCGTCGGCAGCTTCCTCCGCCTGAAGGCCCCAAGTCCCCGGCGAATCGGGCTGAAGAATTTTGCCCTGGCATGGGGATGATCAAGTTGGAGTGTCTTGGTGGACTTGATGGAATTTGCATGGTGGGATTCTGGTGAATTATGGTTCATAATTCTTTTGCTTTTGCGGAAATGAAGTTGGGATTATGAATTTGACGAAAGATTGTGTAGAATAATAAGGAAGCAAATTTGCAATGTAGCTTGCCTTTGATGGAGAGAGCTACATAGAGGGAATAAAAAGAAGCAGGGGAGAGTTGACCATTGGTTCCAGGGATCTAATTCCTATATACTTATTTTTTTTGGCGTGATCCATTTCATCATAATATTAATATAAAATATAGTGTTGAAATAAATCGTTCCTTTTAGTTTTTGTGCTAATCAAATTCTTTCTGCTGTCCAATCACAAAAAGAAAAAAAAAAGAATAAAATTTTCAACAAAATGGAATATCAACACCTCCCAGATACACCAAAGTACACCAATAATGGGTATTTGAAAAAGATACAATAAACTCAATTCTAGTAACAATGTTTTCGTGTCACCCTTTTCGTGTACAAACACAGGGTAACACACAAAAGTGTTGCAGATACGAGATCTCATTGTGTCATCATCAAATCGGTACCATTTTTGGTAGAGGTTGATGGATAATGATAAAATCACGTATAAATTATGGTTAAATAGTATTTTTTCTGTTCAAAAAAAAAACCCTAAAGTTTCTAAAGTTGTACTGTATAGATTTAGAAGTTCAATATTGACTATTATTCAATATAAATTTATAAATTCAATGTCGACAACTGGTCTAGAGACAAAAGGAGTGCCACCTATGTTTTATATGGCCTCCTTCATAGTAGTATTTGTGTGAGTATCTATGTTGATGGATTCTTTACTTCTTCTTTTTTTTTTTTTTTAAATATCTTTATAAATTGTAACAATGGTATTGAACTAAGTATTACTATATGAAAGCCTTGATTTCACAAACGCTAAATTAATTAATTAATTGATCAGTTACCCCTTTGTTGCTGTTGGTACTTGTACTTTTGAGATCCTTTGAGATTTGTAAACAAGTAGTTAGTTACCTTGTAAGGTATCCTTGAAAATGTAGTAGTACTACTAGTTAATTCCTTATCCACGGTTACTGCTATGCCACCCCAATCTTATTGATTATTAGGACAAGATTATCTGTCCCTATTCTATCTCTTTATTTCTTTTTTTCTGTTTCCAGAGAACTCTATAACTTATTAATTATATGTATCTTCTGTATGGTTTGACATTACGAAAGAACATGTGACATCATGAGTATATATATTTTTATTTATTTTAAAACATTAGTAGCTGAAGGTAACACGCCTCAACTAGAACATAAAATAGATAAAGCTTTTGGATAACATAATGAAAGTAACCTCCTAACGCCCTCTTTGTTGAAGTTCAGATATTTGTATCATATCGTAGTTAGGAACCGCGGCATACATAGTTCAACTTTAAAAGAGTTTAAAATAAAAAAAAAAAAAAAAAAAACCAGAAGAAGAAGAAATATCTCGTTGAGAAGTTATGCAACTAACTTTAGTTGAAGCTCTTTACCAAAAGAAAAAAAAAAAAAAAAAAAAACCCGTTAGTTGAAGCATTTCTTTCGGTAAAGACTACTCCCTCCGTCCCATAATTATTGTCCAGTTTGAGTTTTCATTTTTAGTTTAAATTATACTAAGAGTAAAATATTAAACTGGACAATAATTTTTAGAGAGAGGAAATATTTTTTTTTTTCTCAAATGTAAAAATGTGTATGAGCGTGAATCAAATCCATGTATGAGTCGACCTTGATGCAAGGCCCAAAGACTGTTTTTTCAAGAGATATAGCGAATGAGAGTCTTAAATCGGAATCCAAAAATATGTGAATCAACCAACCTAGGATTAAGATAAATTCCACAGCCATTTGGGAATCGGTGGCAACAAGGACTTTGGAAAAGCCTTGATGGTTCGGGTCATCCAAATTACTTCGTGTGTGTGTGTTTTTTTTTACAAGTATCTAATCTATTATATGTGGGGTGAATTTTATGAGAAAAGAGAGAATACTATTAAAGGGGAGACCTGATGCGCACATGCCTCGATCTGGTACTCTGAAAACCTTCCTAACGGGTGCAAGATAACTTGCACAACTCAACACACAAAGGTGTTGTTAGTGGGGTTTGAACCTAGGACCTACAGGTATTGATGTCATGCCCACAACCACTTGGGCAACCCCTTGTTGGCTACTACGTGTGTCTTAATAGGTGGACTACAGAGATTTGATAACCCGTCGTTAAGCGTCAGACCGTGGTTGAAACATGATTTAATAAATGTTGCATATCCTAAAAATGTGCTAAGTTGAAATTAGGCTTGTTGCCTGGAAAAAAAAAAAAAAAACACTAATCAATATTGAATTTTTAGAATACCTGATGTGACACGATTATCTTTTGTAAAAGATAATTAATGCTCAAGATGGGAAGCATCTGTAAATGTTTCAAAGTACAAGTAGCATTTTTAATAATCTACCGAAATTCAAAAGAAAAAAGGCCAAAAAAAGACGAAAAAAAAGCCTCCACTCCTCTACTTTCAGTCTTACATTACCAGTTACCACAAAGTAGTAAGGAACGCAACCAGTGAGTAAGTTTGAATGGGTGTTTGCCTTCTTCCGGCAGCCTTGCAGCGGTCTCTGGTGCAGAATACGCTTGAATTGTAACGCTTTCGGTCTCAGTTAAGAATTGATTCCACAAGAATTTCCACTGCAACGGAGTGATCAGTGTCCTCGATGGTGGAACCTCATCCCAAATGCTGGAAGCAAGAAGGTCATGATCCTCCATTGACGTAGTTGCTGCTTTCCGAATATGTCCCAGCATTGATTCGTTACAAGAATAACGGGTTTCGGCATCATATTCAGATAGACAAGCGTTGATGATTGCGGTAACCTTCTTCCCGAATTTCGGCACTAGTTGCGATCGCGCGATCTTTTCTATTTCAGGCCATTCCTCATTCTTCACAAAAGAATCAAAATTTTGATTTCGATATTGTTCAATATCCATCATACGCATGACCCAAGGTTAGTGAAGAGTCTTATTTCTTCTTATCATCTTTCATCTTGAGGATCCTGGAACCACAGCTTCCCTGTTTCCAGCAAGGCCACCACCAGGTCCGATAGAATGCAAGACTCGATGTCTTAGATTGGCACCTCCTCTTTAAACTTTTCTTCTACCTTACCATAATAGATAGATAATGCTACCACTTCCATATTGAAAAATTCATCCACTCCCTCCGATCCTTAATATAAGATATTTTGATTTGTAATAAATTTTACCTAATACGTATTTTTAATTGACGAAAAAATAAAAAGATATATTTACTATGACATATTTTTAAGGTTTTTTGTCATTTAAAAATGTGTATTAGATGAAACTCAAGACAAATCAAAATGACTTATATTAAGGAGCGGATAGAGTATATATCTTGGTGGGATTTTGGTTTGGGAACAGAATCCCAAATAGTCAGCATGTCTTCTTTTAGATGCTGATGTATCTTCTCCAAAGGGGTGGGGATTACAAACATCGAAGTTGTTTTCCGGCAAGGACTAAATAATTGCCATGGCCTGGAATACAACTCTTAGAAGAGGATAATTGGAAGCAGATACACGGCAAAGATCATGAGACCACATGTTCATGGGCACTATATCTGAAACAGCCAGAGCAAACAGAGCACTCTGCCTCGCAAACACAACATCATCATCTGATCCATCAAAACCCTCCAAATCTGGGACAAAAGTACAAGGTTTGATTCGAGTGCATCTTCCAAACCAGATCCCTTTTGTGGTTCCTTTCCTAAGCCATTTAGAATAATGCGTCTCTCTGAAATTCGTGGAGAAAAGATGAGTCAGGAGCCAACTTTTTAAACCACTAACCTATTTATTGTACCCGTGATGGATACAACTGCATAAGAATCTCCATGTTCGGCTATTTTTGTTTCCTTCCTAAAACCCTGGGCTAATTTTTTTAGTATAGAGGAGCAAAGTAAACAATAACAAATACTGGGACCACGTATGTGATATTTTCTTTTAACCATTTGCCACAAGAAGACCTTAAAAAAACAAATAAAGCAGCTCTTGATGATGCGAATCTTAATTATGATCTGAAAAAATTTCAACAAACGACAACAATTCCGGCATCTGATGTAACGTAACGAAGCTACCTTTTTTGTTTTGTTTTGTTTTTGCTTTTCTTTTCTTTTCAATTTTAAAACTTATCGATTCTTCTTTGATGAACTTGCTAAGTAAGTATTCATTATCAAAATTCATACAACTCGATCGATCTTTAAAATTAAGAAGATGACTGGAAGGAGATGACATGATTAGAGAAATAGCACTTGAGAGTAAGCTTGACATACTGACAAGCTATAACTAGTTTGATTTCAAAAGGACATTCCGACGGGAGAAACACCACGAGCGGCCTGAAAAAGGACCGGATCAAATGCTTTTCCGGCTTCAACGACATGATTCGCCACAAGGTTATAGCAAAAGTTCAGCTTCTTCTTTAAGAAGCAATACTTTTGCTTCCATGACCTCATTTTCACGCTCCTTCTAACAAAGCTTCCTCCACCTAGTTGAACCGTCGGCATCCTCCTCCTCCTCCTCCTCCTCATTCCCATTGACGGCAGTCTTGGCCGCCATATCGGCTTCCTAAACACGGTGGCTATAGAAGGCTCAACATAGCCAGAGTCTATGTTGATCGATGAATATGTAGAGAATGTAGTATTACTTTCGATTTTGTTGGCGAATGTTATCTGCTCCATACGATTATTACTTACGTGTATTTTTTTTTTCCTACATTGGTATATGTACTATAGATAGAGTATAGAACATGGCGAAAGGTAATGCCATTTATATACAAAGAGATGTTTGATCTAGAAGTTTATTTTATAATTACGATTTATTAAGTGAAGTGCAAATGTCACTTGTACGTGTAAAGATTCTAATAAATTGTCTGGATGGATAAAGTGGTGATTGTCTGAAAGAATATTATGCGGACGAAGCTTTGAATAACTTCAATTTGATGGTGCGAATGCTGACAATTATAACTGTTTTTATCATTTTTAAATTTTGACAATTTGGACCGTTTAAACTTGCAAAATTGCACTAATTAATATTACTCATCTTTTCCAAAAATAATTATCCAGTTTGAATTTTTATTTTCAGTACAATTTATACTGGAGTGAGCTCCGAAACCATACAATCATTTCGGAACAAAGAAAGTAATAAATTAGTTACTGTATTTTTTCTTTGAGAGAAATGGAGTAATGTATAGCATACACAAGCGAAGTGAATAATAACAAATACTAGCTAGGACCATCATATGGTATTCTATAGCTTTAGATTGATCTTCTCAGACCACTTGAAGATGTCACTGTACACCCGGTCGCCACCCAAATCTTCACCGGTAGCCCCAGCAGCAACCCTGATGATATCCTCCATCAGTGCAAAGTTACCCATTATGTCCACATGGGCGCCACTTTGAGTGCCGCGGCCCTCAAGGAGAAGATTGGATGGTGGAGCGTGATCATACTCCCTTACAAAAGTTTTTATTCCTGAAGGATTGAATCTGGTTTTTCCACGCCATGCTTTTGCGCACATAAAACCTGCGCTTAAAGCAGGCACGGTTTCATCCCCGTCAACCGTGTATACTCCGTTTTTCAAACACTTATCTTCATCGTCTTCATCTGCTGAGGTATCAATCTCAAAAGGAATGTAGCAATCTGAGGAAGGAGTCTCTCGATAAACATATGCTCTCTCAGTCGGGATCCCAACACCGTACATTGAGTAGATTTCCATTTCAGGAGCATTTGGTAACCTGCATGGCCAAAACATATGCATAACATGTTAAAATATTCAGGGATCAGCTGATGTTCTCAACTGAGGCTTGCACAGTAAAGAGGTATATATGTTCTTACTTTGTTTCCAACGGGTTTGACCAATACTTGTAGTGATTATACTTAGGGTCATCCAAATCATCCGCTATCCCATAGGAAAAGTGTTTGTCACCTCGAGCCATCATCTTGGGAGCGACAAAATGCAACAAATCTACTATTTCTCCAGCTGTATAAGCCTTGTATTCCGCAACCGCTTTGATGCCACCAAAGCCCATATCATGATACTCTGTCCACACATCACGACAGGTATTATTTGCAACATTTTTACCCTTGATGGCATCCTGCATATAAGCCGCAATATGAGCAATTTAGTATGGTAGTACCAGAACCCAAGATAGACTTGTTTGTGGTTACATTAAGAACACAAACATACATTTTGACTGTACAACTGATCTCAAGCAAAGAGGTATTATCAGAATTCAGTGGACAGATCCACAAATGGTATCAACTTGTTTCTTAAATCAATCATAATTGGTATGATTAAGAAAAGTCTCTTATCAACTTCTTAAGCCAAGAGGTAATATATGTCAAAAGGCAATCACATTCAATTACCAGTCAAGGTGAATGCATAGAGAAGGATAACTTGTAATTCTACTCATTAATTGAAATAAATAGAAAATCAATTCTCAGTGACAGCAGATAAACAACAAGAAAGGTTACCCTAAAGTCAATCCTTTTAATCTCAGAAGATGGCGCTTCAGCAACATCTTTTCCAAATGATATCATCCTTCCATATTTGACATTCCTCGATTTAGATTCCGTGCCACTGTCACCTGAAACCTCAGTAGAATTACTTCTTTGCTTTCTCTTCTTACTTGGAATGTAACCTTCTTCCGGTGACCAATCGAGACTGCCCCATATAGTGTCCCCGCCTTTAGGTATCATTGACATTGTTGAGTCCCATGTTCGAGTCATCTTCATTAGGTACTGTAAGGTCTGAATGTGAAATATATCCTTATCCAAAGCACCTGGTGCAATTGCCCTGTAATTTGAGCCACAAATAATTGAAATTATAATATGTCAAAGCACGCAGACATCCAACAATGTCTTTCAGGCAATAGCAGTTTGAACGTGTAACAGTGAATCTTTTGCCACAACTCCATATTTTAAGTCGAATTCAAAGCTTCCAGACTTTACTACAACTCCAGAGTCCAGATTGGCTTTATTAGAAATGATGAAGATCTATAGAGTTATTCCTAGCAATGTGAGTACTTATTCCTACTTAAGATATGCTATTTTCAACTTCAGTTCTATATTTATCCAAAGAGAAAATGCAAGATGAATTGTTCATACTTGGCCATTGCGATATCCCTGGCCTCAGCAGAGAAAAGCCCAGCTACTGCTTTTGGAACTCCTAAAAAGGGTCCTCCGATGTTCATTACCGCCTTGATATGCTTTGCACACCAATCTGGTCCACCACCACCACCCATAGGAGCAGGTGCCTCTACCCACTTCATAAAGTGGAGGAAATATATGACTCCCATTGAATGTGGAATAACCACTGCCTTTTTGCCGCCGTTAGTAGCCACCATCAGCTCAATATTACTTTTTATGCGGCTAAGTGTCTGATCACGCACCTGATCAAAACACATTTGGGGAAAATTTTTGCATTAGAACTGCAGTTATAACTTATAATACTTTTCAGATTTGCCGAAGAAGACTATTTACCTCATTATTCTGAAATGAAAGTCTCCAATCGTACGCAGCCATGTACATGGTTTTCTCTTCATATCCAATTCGAGCCAAATTAGCAATCAGAACTGCCCATACAAAGTACCCCGGAACGAAGTAATCTGCAGCGACAAGTCCGTGGACCGGCCTCACCCTGATACCAGCTGGATCCAACCCCGTTTCATTGTCCAGAGACATATGTTCTACCCAGCATAAAGGTCTGGAAACATACAAAAGAACTGATAAATATCTGGAAATGTAAACGTCTACTCGGATAATAAGCTTTGCAGACCTCGTCAACCATTCGAACAGTAATAGGTACGATTTTGGATCTAAACAAAGCAACTAACATATAAAAGTAAAAACTGGTCATCCTATGCATTGCCATTAATCTTCAGAAGACCAAAAGCACAAGTATAAATGACAAACTTGATTACATGAACTCTCATGAAAGTTTAATTATTAATTCAACAGCTGAACCGAAAAAGGTCAATACACTTCTAACCTGAGTTTCCTAAAAGGCTCATGAAAATACACAAATTTTTCACCTGAGTGGGACAAAAACAAACTTTTTTTTCCTTCATTCATACAGGAAAAGTGAGTAAACTGAAATGTCCTACTAACCAGACCTACTAAGACTCATGAAAACATACAAATTTCACCTGAGTGGCAAAAAAAAAGCTCTCCTTTTTCTTCAATAATACAGCAAAGTGAGTAACTAACTGAAGATCATTCCCATTTCAATCTAAGAAACAGGTATACTAATATACAAAGGACAAATCTTTATGGTTTTTCCTACAATAGATTAAACTTATTAAAAACAAAAAGGCAAACTCAAAATCTTTTAGTACCTTTTGTAGACTTCACCAAAAGTACCACCCCAAAGACGTTTCCGAAACAGCCCTTCAGCACACTGATGCCCTTCCCAAAGCTCAAGTCCTCCGGTAACGATTCCGGGAACAAACACCACCGGATGTTTCGCCTTCAACCCTTCTTTCTGAAGCTTAACTCCCGGAGGATCCGGAAGTGGGCCCGTGATTGCTTCCGTCACGTACTGCGGGAATGACGCCGGCATCGCGTTGTATAAGAACGTTAGAATCCACCATAAACTGCATATGAAGCCCACGAACCAGCAGCAGTTATCCACGCATGACCATTTTTTCTTCGCCTCCTTATTTTTCGCTTCATTCTTCCTGGAATGATGTTCTTTTTCTTCTTCTTCGAGTTTTTGCTCCGAAGAAGGCGCTACGTGTTGTTTTTCAGATGGTTTTCTCCTCCTAAGAAACGACATAGTTTAACGGAGGAGGAGAACGGCGGCGGTGGGCGGCGGCGGGTGGTGGTGGTCGGAGATTGGGATTCATTATGTTGTTTTTTTATGGTTATAGTAAAGCTTGTAGATTTCATAAGATTGGTTGGCTAGGAGCTAATGTGGGACCCTATGATTATGACTTTCATTTTGACTGGCTTGTATTTATTGTGGCTAAAATGAAGAATGTTAAGGAAGTTACTACAGTAATTAAGGGAATGAACGAATTAAATTTTTTTATTTTTTTTGGGGGGAAAATAATCCCTTCTTCCCGAAATTATTAATCTGATATGGATTTTTAGTTGTAGTTCAAATTGTAGGAAAATTCTTATTAAGCGCTTTCAAAGTTCCAAAACAGGGGGCAAAATTTTTAAAATTTCTCTCAAGGGTCACAAATATACCCTTCACCTAATATAGCTATTAATGATATTTATACTTTCCTTTACTTTATTTAAAACAATAAATCTTTTTTTTCCCAATTACTTAATCTTCCATGGAAATCCGCCCCCCAATCTTCATGAAAAAAAGTGATTTTTTGGCTCAATGCTTCGTTGTTTTGATGATCATGGTTTTTTTTTTCCCCTCTCAGTCAATGTTCAATTCGTAGTTGTCTAGGTTATTTTATTTTCATAAGGTTTTTTCTTTTTGAAACAACAATTTCGGGTTAAATTATTTTTTTCCGATTGGATATTTTTGGTCAATAACATTACAATTTAGAATTTTAGGTTTTTTTTAAAATTTATTTAGAGATTTTAATTGAATTATACTACCTCCATTTCATAAAAATAGTCTACGTTGAATTTTTAAATTTATACTAAAAACAACATAAAATTCAAAACTCAATATGGACTATTTTTGTGAGACGTGCGGACGGAATATTTGGGTTTGCCAACCGTTGCTTCTAAGTTATAATGTTTATTTTTTAAGAGTATAAATTTTATTGTTTTCCGTTAAATAAATGGTATAGTTGTTCTCATTAAATAAATATATGGTACAATTGTCAGAAACAAAATACTTAATGGATAAAAATATTATTACTCTATTGAGCGGAATTTTAAAAATTCACTTGCTTTCAAAACTAATAGCGCTCTTAATAGGAATTTTTCTTAAATTATATTAACAATGAAAATCTAAACTGCGATCAGTTGTTGGCCCTTGCTCTCAACATACAAATAGCCAATATACCCAATGTACAATTGAACGACGAAGACAAAGAAATACCCAAGTCCCAATATACAAATAGAGAGTGGGGAAGTTGACCCAGGTCCCGGTCCATCTATCTGGTGGTCCAGCTTCCGGTGCAACCTCAGTCAATCTGGATCCATCTGGCGGTCCACATTCCGATCTAGATCCCTGTCCATCTGGTGGTCTGGAAACCTAGGTCCATATCCATCTGGCTGTCCAACTTCCGGTCCATCTAACATACCGCTGACTCCAGAATTTCGGGAAGGAAGCAAAATTAGCGCAATATGTTGATTTTTAAATGTACATATTTATTATTAATGTAGTTATATATTTTAAGCTTAATTTATGAGTCTTTTTTTACATTTTGGGCTATAATTTTAGCACCTATTATTCTCTCTTCATTATGGGCCAATTAAAACTAGTCCAAATCGAAGAGAAATCTTTATAAGTTAGGTGATAAATTATTTTTGAAAAAAAAAACTCATAAGAATTTAAATTGTTATGAATTTTAAGTAAACTACTAGTAAAATACACATTAGTTTCGTTTAGTAGAATCATCTATCACACTGTTACCTTTACTTTCCCTCATAATTAATTAAATATTTATAGGTTTTGAGAAAAAAGTTATTAAAATTTATTTGGAGGATCTTAAAAAGAAAAATCATAACATTGAACAAGTGAATTTTTTTGGTTACAAAGAATACATAAATTATGATATAGTATTAATTTTTTTTTGCACTAGTTCATATTTAATGCGATGCAAGAATCTTAAGCTCTACATTGATCTATTGAAAAAAAATTATGTCAAATAGATAAACTTTGATATCATAAATTTTTGTGAACACTATGTAAAGTTTGATTTTTTTTTTATTAATGTATTACGGCCCCCGGTGATTTTTTGTTCTAGGTCTGCTTGTAATCAATAATAAGTAAAGAATCTTTTAGTTCTTTTATTAGTTTTGGTATTGTATAGATTTTTAGTTCATATTTTACTTTTGGGCGGGCCCAGGATTTTTTTTCTTATGATAGATACATAATTGTACTTAATAAATCCCTATGTTCAACTAAAACAAATGGCTATAATAATCTTTGTAATATTGTTTAATAAATTTTCAAAAAGCAGTTGAATGTATACTATTGAAGATGCGGTAACTTTGTCGAAAATTGATCGCAGAAACTAAGGATTATAATTCTTATTATGGCAGAAACTTTGAGGTTACATGTACGGCCCAGTATCTACTTAATTTAATTGTAATAGACAAGTCAAGTAGTATAATTTGATGGGATTTTAACCTTAGCACTAAAGAAACCATGGTTGTAGAGATTACATGATTTGAACCTGTACATCCATTTCATTTGATGTTTGAGATAGTTGAAATGAAGATGGACGGAGGCGGCAATGATCTTCTTAATTTTCCCACGACATGTTACAAAGAACCAGTGGCGGAGCTAGGGGGACCAGCGGTCGCTCCCTCGCCGGAATTTTTTCTTAAGGAGTATTTTTAAATTTTAGTATAAATAGAATTTTTTTTGATATTTTCACCCCTGTAAACTAAAATTTTAATCATTTCGCCCCTGCATTCATAAAATCCTGACTCTACCTCTGCAAAGAACCATCATCCCCAATGGCCTGCCCATCACTCCAGAAGCTGCAATAAAAATAAAATAAAATTCATCAATCAAAATTATTGGATTCATGCCTCGACAAAAAGATGATTCATAATCACAATTTCCATTGAATTAATTCGTTGAGGGTAGAACACAGATGAAATATTAGAAGAATATCTACAATGAAAACAAATCATATTAAATACCCTAAAAAATTAACGGTGCCCATTCGGAGTTTATAAAAGAAAAGAGGACTGTCTTGGAGAAGATTAAGGTAAAATATATATAATTTAAAGATTTTTGTTCAATGAGAAGTATCCCAATTGTTACCATTTTTAAAGTTTGAAACACGTTGTAAATAAAGATTACAAATATATAGCCCATTAGTTTTTATTTATTTTACGGATGAGAAAATTGTTAAAATATATTTACAATTTTACATTAAAAATTATCATTAAATGATGTAATGATGTGCTTGCGACATGTGGACTGGGTATCTAATTTTGCGCCACGTGGATTAGCCTATCTAATATCGAGCCATGTGTCCGATTGAAATCTATTCTTTTAATATATTAAAAATTAAAGATTAAAGATATACTCACTCCGGTCTTTATTATAAGGCATTTTGAGGTATTTTGATTTCATCATAGGTTTCACCTAGGATATCTTTTTAATTGGAATAAAAACCTTAAAAATATTTCATAATAATTAGGAGAATACAACGAATGTGAAAGTATATTTTTAAGGTTTTTTCTCTAATTAAAAAAGTATTATAGGTTAAATTTAGGACGAAATAAAAAATGCCCTATAATAAGGACCGGAGGGAGTATCTAATTTAAAATTGTTACAAAAATATTATTGCTTAAACAAACTTACTTATTTTTTTTTTCCTTCCGAACTTATAAAAAAAAACATTATTTGCCGGTTTAAAAAACACAAATTGGAAAATACTACATAAAATTTTGCCGGGAATAAATAACTAGCGCGTATTCATCACTTACCCGCAAAAGGCAGTCAAATACTATTCCAAAGGGAAAAAAAAAAAACAAATAAAAGCATAATCACGTTTACAGTTGCAGCCTTTGTTTCGGGTTTTTTTCATGGGTCACTAAGTTTGGGTCTGAATCAAAAATCCGGATCCGTGTTTGTGATTTCTGAATTTGGAAAGTTTAAGCTGCAAAAGAACCCATTGATTTTCCCATTCAAATCAATCTGCGAACCAAGAAGTTTTCGAAGTTCTTGAAGAAAAGTGGTATTGTGGCGTCGTCGTTTCGTGCGGTTGCGTTGCTTGTCTCCGCCGTTGATCAACCCCTCCTCCTCCGTCGCCGGCGAAACCCATTTCTTCAACCCCCAGATCGGAATCTTCTTCGAACTTAAATTCTACGGAATAAATCGTTAAAGGTAACCCCACGATCATAGTTTCTGGTTTTTTAAAGTTGGCAAACATATGAAGTTTTTTTTTCTCCCCTAGGGTTTTGAACATTTTCTTTAGGTAATATTGATTGGCCCTGTATATGATTTCAAGATTTATTTATTATTTTTATTGTATTTGATCTTGTTGTTGTAGTAAAGTTGCAGTTTTTGCCCCTTTCTTCTTTCGTGTTAATCTCGAATTTTATGTTCTTAGCTGAACTTAGGTTCCGTGGTTTAGTCTATTGTTTGACAATGTTATGGCATTTGTCCCAAACAAGAAGGAACTATCTTTAATGCAAGTTAGATGGAATAGGCTTTTGCAGCTTTGTTAACTGGTGAAACCATAAACCTTGAGATCAGTTTCTTTTCTCTCCGTTCGGTTTTCAGTTAGAGCGTTATTATTAGTATGCTATTGTTTTAAATGGGCTTGCTTGAAAGCTATATTTTGTTCTCAAATGCTTATGATTGATCAAGTAATAGGTCATGGGAACATACCTTTACCATTATTTCCACCCAAACAATGAAATTTTTTTGCCACTTGTAGTATAGCAGCAGTAATAGTTTGCAGTTGGCATCAACTGCTTTGAAAGGTCTCTTCTAGTGTTTTGGATGGCAACAGTTGCAATAATTAAAAGGATTTGGGGAGCTGCATATGCAGCTTTAAGGTAGGTATCATCTGCTTTGCTTTAGCCTTGCAGATCCTTAGGACCACTAGTTTCATTCAATCAGGAAATGAAAGAGTAGGCATGCTTTGTAAACTACTCGATAGGGAACTTTTTCAAAATTGTATTCCCATGACTTGTACCGCGTAGTCTACCGAGGAAGAAAGGAGTGCTGAACTAGACTACACACCTCTATCAGCTAAGGAATTCTGAAGAAAAGAGATGAGTGGGAACAAATTAGAGCAACAGAAGAATAGGTTAAGATGAACCTAAGCTGACTATTCAAAACTTCAAATGGTGTTTTCTTCCCTTTAGTCTTTCACACCTTAATAATAACTTTTGCAGCTTGAATTATATTGAAACCGAGCTCAATTTCCACAGATTCCTACTAGTATATCGTATGCTTTGCTTTTGTATTCTAGACTGTTGCATTTCCTTTTTTGTTGGATGTGAATAGTTGCATCAGAGTTTTGTAATTCCTTGTCATTAATGTTGTTGTTCTACTTTTGCAGAACAGAAATAAGGGACTGCTGTTTAATCTTGCGCATAGTGTCGTGCATATTTTCAGTATGAATATGCAGCCAGTCATACAGCCCCGCTCTGCGGCTAATGGTTTTGGCCGTCGTAGGATTGAAAAAGATGGTGGCTCTCGATTGGACAATAGAATGCAAACTGGAAAATCAAATCATAGTCGTTCAACAAGTATAGGTTGGTTTTCTGGCTAGAAGTCTACTATATTTTTTTTACTTTTGATGTCTGATACTGATTGTTTCCACCGAAGATGCAGGTCGGGAGAGCTCTTCACGGGATCGGCTAGTTTATTTTGAGACATGTCTTATTGGGCATCCAGTGGAAGTCCAGGTTGAGGATGGCTCCTCTTATTCTGGAATACTTCATGTGTTTGATGCTGATAAAGATCTTGGTATGCCTTGGAATATTCGAATGTTTTCCTCTATCCTTTTGTGGTACACTGTGAAACTTTAATTCGCTGGTTGCATTCATTTGTTTCAGGAATCATCTTGAGAATGGCTCGTCTGACTAAAGATGGTTCTCGAGGACTGAGCATGTCAGATCTTGCAAAGAAGCCACCTTTAAAGACGTTGATCATACCAGCAAAAGATCTAGTGCAAATTAAAGCTAAGGTTTACTTAATGGATCCATATTTTCTGCAGCATTTAGTTTCAAGGAAGAATAATAATCATAGTCATTTGTAGTTCCTGTGCTGTTATTGGCAGTTGTGTAGTGGGGTTTTCAGAATAAGCACGTGTTGCTTTTGCTTAGTATTTACCTGAATACTGTGACAGGGTGTCCCTGTGACAAAAGAGGGTTTGTCAAATGAGCTCCAATCTGTAAAACAGCAGGAGCTTTTGATAGATTCCTTCATATCACAGTCAAGTCGAGTCGACCAAGAGAGAGAATTAGAACGCTGGGTTCCTGAAGATGATGATCCTGGCCGTCCGGAGTTGGAGAACATCTTTGATGGCCACTGGGATAGGTTTTTTCTACTGCTTCAATCTGTTAACTTTTTTACCCTTGCTAAATATGTAAACTTCTAGTCTCTTTGTCAAGGAATGGAAGATTGTTAATTATAACATATTTCTATTATTTTCAGAAGTTTATATCTCTTGATCTGTCAATTTATGTTTTGTGTGGAAACAATAAGGTCGTCTTTATATGAAACTATTTGTGTATGTGTTTACTATTTATTTAAATGGTAAAATGCGTTTCTTTTTATTATGTGTGTTTTTTTCTTTTCGTTTCTCTTCAAAGGTCATATGTTTTTGTTACAGTTCATATGTTGATGCAATTCATCCTCTCTTTCAGGGGTTGGGATCAATTTCGTGTAAATGAAACATTGTTTGGAGTGAAGAGCACTTTTGATGAGGAGCTTTATACAACCAAACTTGAGAAGGGTCCACAAACTAAAGAGTTAGAAAAGGAAGCTTCAAGGATAGCTAGAGAAATTGAGGGAGAGGATACCCGTGATATTCATCAAGCTGAGGTCAATCCTTCTGAAATTTTGGTTTGTGTTCTTTTCTTTTCCAATTCCATCACTCTGTTGCATCTGAAACTCGCATCTTTTAACAGGAAAGAGGAATAAAACTGCTTGAGAAATTTGAGATTGATGAAGAAAGCAGATATTCATCAGTGTTAAGGGGAGTTGATGACAGCGGGTATGATGATATTGAGGACATTTTGGTGGATACTCGTAATGATGAAACATTTGGAGGTGGCTATGCAGGAACTCTGCAGTTCTTTCCTGGCAGTGGGAAGGTTAATGATGGAGCTCAAGGGTCAACAAGATCTTCACATATGGTACTGATTATATCTTAATTCTCATCTAAACGGCTGTCTGTGTTGTCTCTTCTGCCTTCTGCTGAATACTCTCTTTGCTCGTCGTTCTTCTTTGTTCTTTTAATTATTTGCTGTGTTTTAGATCATGCATTGCAAGTTTCTTCTGCATTGAAGCTAAAGTACGGGCTTTGAGCAATTTAGGTTAAAGGAAGGTTTTCAATATCTTCGGTGGAATCTCTTTTCAAGAAATGACAAGTTTCATCTTTGTGATGAATTAGGAGTTTTTGGGATCTAAAGTTTCACATTGCGACTTTTGTTATTGTTTCATTGATAAACTTTTGTTTCCTTTCAACTGTGTTCTGACATCAGTTGTCTGGATCCTTATTTGGAGGTTCTAGCTGCTTTCTGACCTTGTTCATAGTATGTATTAACGTTTTTTGTTGTGTTTTTGGTCCAGGATGAAGGATTTGCTTCTTCATCAGTTACATCCAGGGAAGTACACCAATCTGGCAGCGATGATGCCAGACAGTTGCCAGTTGGTCTGTTGGCTAAGGATTCTGAATCTGCAGGAGATATCAGGTCCTGTTATTTTATCATGATTGCATATTTAGTGCAGTTATACTGAGGAACGATTCTACAGATATTTTTCAATATTCTAAAAACTGAACCTCTGAACCATTCATTTTTTAGATCCTATGATAACCAGTTTGCTGACCATACTGGAACAAGTTACTCAAAGGACGATACAGAAGTGGTGAGTAGATCAGATATTAGTGGGTTTTCTCAAGATATTATCATACTTATCTACCAAAATTTAATTTTTGGATGCCCTTTCAATTTCTGTGTCTTGGTTTGGTAGTTCCTGCTTAGTAATACTATCTGATTTATGATTGTCAGGAGAGAGCTCAAACCTCAAAAGCTGATGGTGAGTGGAAGATGATTTTCTGCGCAGTTGTTTGATTGTTGCTGAGCAACCCGAAGGAGAAAGATAGCTATTTATGTATTTTGAGTCAAACAGAGATTTGTTTTAGAAACTTTTCATTGAAACTTCACTTTTAGATTGGTACTCCTTTATTCTACTTTTGGATCATGTGTATGAAATATGAACGCATTTATTTATTATTTTTAATTTTTATTTTCTTGCAGATTCAAGGCCATCTCTCTTGCCAAAGAAAGAAAGCTCTGATAGAGGTGGTTTATCTGCAACTGCGACTGCATATGCTCCATCACTTGTTTCTTCTAAAAGCCAGGAAAATGCCAGTTCTAATGATCAACCAGAGGGTATAGGGTCTTCGAAGGTCACTGGGACTTCGCAAGCTGTTGGTTCTCATGCTCGTACTAGTAGCTCTGCTTCATCAACTTCTGATTCTGGAGGTGGAGGTGCTGCAGCCGCTCGTGGTCCTGGATTATCTCCGACCTCATCCATGGGTTCATTGACCTCTGAAAAATCAACTCTGAATCCCCATGCTAAAGTAAGGGATTCACATCCTATTTATACTGTGCTTGTGAATACTGCTTACATCTGGCTCTATTGATGTTCGGTTTTGGATGAAATCTTTATTTTGCTCCTTTCAAACTTTTTTATTTCAGGAATTCAAGCTAAATCCAAATGCAAAGAGTTTTATACCCTCGCAGTCGCCTTTGAGACCTGCATCTCCAGTGGCTGATACTTCATTCTATTATTCAGCGGCTGCTGTACCGCCCATGCCTGTTGGCTTAGGGGTGAGTAACTACTCTTACATTATTATTAAAACATAGTTTCTTGCTTGACTTTCATAGTTCATTGTTTCCGAACCACTTGGTATATTTAATTGATGGTGCAAAATTACGTCTACCTCTTAGAACATCTTCATATACCATTCTTCAAGATACGTGAAGCCTTATTTTTTTCATCTAATCTGAAATTCCTTTCACTCAAATAAACCAATATCTTACCGTACAACTTGAGGTCCTCTTCTCATTTTGTCTATGTGTCAGCTTTTGCATCCTCTGCTCCCAAACTGTAAATTGTTAATTTGCCGCGGCAGTAAACTTTTGCCTCCTGATATTTATCTCATCTATGGTGAACATCTAGTGGGTTGGAGGAAACTATCTGATCCTTGCATTCATGGGTATTGATGGTTCTTTTATCTGTTTTTTCAGCTTTACAATTTTTCTGTGCGGAGATCTGGATTTCGTTTTCTTCTGTCATATATGCATATTATTCTTTTTTCCGGGTATGAAGCTATTGTTTACATTATACCTTGGCCGGCTTAACCCATCTTAAGTTACTGTTGCAGATTGGACCCTCATTTGCTGCACACCAACCTGTCATATACAATCCACAAGCTGCTCCACCACCACAGCCTTATTTTCATCCCGGTGGACCTCAGGTGATTGTTATTTACTGCTATTCTTTATGCTGTGGGTATTCCTATACATTCTAAGTTGTATAATTTGATTTTCTTAGCAGTATGGACGTCAGATGATGATTGGCCACCCTCAGCAAGTCCTTTACATGCCAGCAACCTATACTCCTGTAAGAAAGTTCTCCTTATGTTTGCTTGGGCATCTTTTATACCTTCATTGTCTGAATGCTTCTATTTAGGAGTATTTCTTGCTTCTTTAAGCCATTTTATTGTGGTTATGGTACTTTCTCCCCCCACCCCAACAACCCAATTTACTTTATCTACCTTTATGGTTTTAGCTTTAATGACTCAGTAGCAGCCTGTACATTTTATTGAGGAATTCTTTTTGGTGCTGCTGCATTAATTTCTCATTCTGTCAAAATGTTCTAGTTAAATTCTAGCCTAATCTGCGATGCTGATGGCATGTGTTCCAACTTCCAAGTTCTGTTATCTTCTTTCTCCAGTGCCATATCTATTGATAGACGTAACCTTGTGTGAAGTAAGAATTTGATTAACTTACCTCCTATTGTCTAAGATGGAAGAGAACATGTGTACAGTTAGTTCGACTAGTTTGTTTTCGTAGTTTCTTCTTGCACATTGCACCGGTCTCATTCACTCCACTTATTTGTCTTCTATATTGTCGACCTGTGTTTAGACAAAACCAAGACTTTTTTTAATTGCTTGGTCTGTGAACGACAGGAAATGCCATACAAGGGGAGAGAGTATTAAGCTTTGTTGGTTTGGAGCTGGTTCGTCCTCATGGTTTGACAAATTGCTGACAAAGAGTCTCTGCTTGGACCAGTGTTTTTTTTGGTGAATGAGCCCCAGCAGCTGACAAATATAGCAGTTCACAGTGCTTCATCGAGCAGGAAAAGTACCAAGTTTCGAAGATGTAATGATTGGCATAGCCTTGTATAATTTTTCCCCACCTTATAGTGTTCTTTTGCCTTTGGTGCTTCGCTTTTCTTTTGGTCCCTTTCTTTTACCGAGACTTTAACACTGCTTATTTTTACTTTTAACCTTTCACCCCTTCATCAATATATATGTGATTACTCTGTTTATTGGTAGTAACTTGGTGATTCTTGTCTCATATATCCCAACTTTTTAGATTTATTTGCTCATTGCTATTTACTTTTTTTTTTCCCCTTTTGGAAACATTGTTTTTTTTTTTGTATCTGTTTCATATAATAGTTATTGTATAACTAAATCTAAAAAAGTTGAATTTAAATAGTGGCTAGTGATACACGTCGGGAAAAATTGTGCAGAAAAGTGCACCCTTTTATCCAAAATAAATGTTTTTTTTTTTAAAAAAGGATCCAAACTAAATGTTGTTATACAAAATGCACATAGTTTAAGAAGCATTTAATTTAGATATAGAACTTATTAAACTATCACTAACCCAACTATTGAAACAAGTAGATGTTATTAATGTTACAATTTCATGTATGGCTTGAGAAGACTTAACTAATTCTACATTGAACAGCAATAACGAAATTTATTTTAGAATCTTTTCAATTTTTTCAAATGTCATTTTTAGTTTGGAATAAAGAAATCACAAAACATGATGTGTCAATATAAAGAGTAGTGTCAGGCATTCTGCTTCCTCTCTTTGTACCGAAAAAAATATAAAGAGTAGTGACACACGTCCTGAAAAAAATTACAAACTCCAAATTGAAATTTTAAAAATGAATTCGAATAATCATATTTTTTGTCATTTTCTAAATTTTTTTTCCGTGTTAATATCATTATTCGAGTTTAAAAATTAGGACAGAATTACAAGGAAAAAGAAAAGAAAATCTCACTAAATATCACGTGAGGCTTATAAACGAATTGGTCCAGCCCAGTACGTCTTAGCCCACTAAGTATTTAAGAGATCCGGCCCAGTTGGTTACCGGATTCATCATCCCACTCTCAAATACAGTTAAATCAGTTTCACATCCTCCAGATTCAAATCCGCCTCCCAACTCAAAAATCAAAAAAATCAGAAACCCAAATTTATTTAAAAACTTAAATAAATAAAAAGAAGAACAAAATTAAAACACCATTTAATAATAGTGTGACTCTCAAACCTCTCCAGAAAAACTACGAAAATTTCTGCACTTCGCCGCTCACAAGTTTCGACAAAATCTGTTGATTCCACGTCCGAATTTGCAGAACCCTTTTCGTTTTTCCTCCTTATTTCACCTTTTACTCATCTGAATTCTTGGTTTTCGGTCTTCAAAGTTTCAAACTTTGAAGAAAAGTGAAGAGTTTTTGGTGGGATTGTTAAAGAGTTTGGAGAAATGGACGGAAACTACAACCCTCGGACGGTTGAAGAAGTTTTTAGAGACTTTAAGGGCCGACGGGCTGGCTTGATTAAGGCCCTTACTGCTGGTTTGTGCTCTTTTTTTTCCTCCTATTGTAAAAGCTTTCAATTATGTGTTTTTTGGAGAAGTTCTTGACTTGACTTTTTTTTTTTTTTTTCTGTTTTGTTGGATTGTTGCAGATGTGGATGATTTTTTCCAGCAATGTGACCCGGGTAAGGAATTTGGTTCTCTTTGATTATTTTTGTCTTTCTGAAATTGGATTTTGTATTAGAATATCTCGTGCAATGTTTCATTGAAAAGAAATGAACTTGGAAGAAAACGTGGATTTATGCATTCTTTAGTTTCTGATATGGACCTTTGAAGCAAATTTGGTGGTTTGCTGATGCTTTATAGACCTTAATTGAGCCATCAAGAATTGTTGATTACTGGCATTGTTAAATGTTGTTTTTAAGAACTGGTATCAGTTGGGACCTTTGTTTTACTAATCAATTTTACAGCTATGGTACAATATGGCCCATATTCGTTTTAGTTTGGTTCTAGGAGGGAAAAAAGTATTTGCCTGTAAGATGTTTGTTCTGAATTTCGAGCCTCAGGGTTTTATTAGTTCAACAAACTGACTCTTATTTTGGGATGGTGGGAGAGGAATTGATATTTAGTATATGCTAATTTTGTATAGATATGTGGACTCCAAGAGTTGTTCTAGTCTGATAATAAGGTTAACTCCAAAGCCAGAAGAAGGGATCTGCCCTTTCCAATTTTTTTATGTGATGCATCTGCACAGATGACGTCCGTATTTCTGCACATGAATATAAGGTTTTGGGAACATTGTACTTTAATTAGTCACGTCAGATGGAGGACACTGTGTTTCCATGTCTTTATGATGTGTGTTGACATGGACAGCTTCCATAATTTAAGCATTCACTGGAAGCTTTAGGTTATATTGTCCTTCTTAGTTCTTACCATGACTGCCTGTTGCATTGTCATTCTATTTAAAAGTTTCAACCAAACTATATTTGTGTGTGCATAAAAGTTGAAATGATAGTCTGAGTAGGACTACAGGATACACTCTGGGTTGCGTTTAGATTTCTTTCGATGGTCTTTTTGGCTGTACGAATTTCTCTATCTTTCCTTCTTTCAGTGCTCAACTTTTATTATTGTCATCATGCAAATTTACCTTGCTTTATATCTTTTGTAGAGAAGGAGAATTTGTGTCTGTATGGTTTCCCCAGCGAACATTGGGCGGTCAATTTACCCGCAGAGGAAGTACCTCCTGAGCTCCCCGAACCTGCTTTGGGTATTAATTTTGCAAGGGATGGCATGCAAGAAAAGGACTGGTTGTCCTTAGTAGCTGTGCACAGTGATGCATGGTTGCTTGCTGTTGCCTTCTACTTTGGTGCTAGGTTTGGATTTGACAAAGCAGACAGGTATGATGATGGCTTCTGCTTTTTCATTGAGAATTGAAATCTTTCTGGAAATATGGAATGTAGGTGTGAAACTGAATAGTTGTCAAAAACTACTGGCTTAAGGAATGAAAATCCATTTCTGTTGGGTCTATTGTCTGTATTACTGTTTCATTTAGTAGGTCTCTGTTGTGAGTCTATCTGATGGGCCTAGCTTTACAAGGCCTGTTTAGAATGGCAAATTTGAATGCAGGAATACTCCGTGCTACTTTTAGTTACACTATGTCCTTTTATCTAATAGAAGTTATACTTCGCTGCTCACAAGATAATTTAGTGGAGTAAGTTTGCCTGGAATGTGCGTGTCCGGGTTTTTATTCACAGCAGCAAGCCCCTTGTTTGTCTGAGATATAAATTTTGTTAGAACGGATAATGAAACTGATTATCTCAATGATTATATTTCCATCTACATGGATTTCATTCTTGAGCTTTTGTCTTTCTGTATCTTTCTTTCAGGAAACGTCTTTTCAACATGATAAATGACCTTCCTTCAGTATTTGAAGTCGTGACTGGGGCTGTGAAGAAACAGCAAAAGGATAAATCCTTAACACCGAATAACAGCAGTAAATCCAAGCAAAATTCTAAACCGGTAAGTAGAGGATATATATTGATATGCTTTTGTGCACCTTTAGCTCTCTACTGCATGATTGCATTTCCATATGTTCAATTATTTCAAACTTCACGGAACCCTGATTTAGTAGTTAGTCTAAACTTTTGACTGAGTCTTTCCTCCGATTCTTACTTACCCTTTTGCAATGCTTGTAACAATAGCAGCGGGCATCTGAATCTCAAGGGAGGTATACAAAACCACAGCCGAAGGATGATAACAACGGCTTAGATGAAGAAGAGGAAGAGCATGGTGACACCTTGTGCGGTGCCTGTGGTGAGAACTATGCATCAGACGAGTTCTGGATATGCTGTGATATATGCGAAAAGTGGTTCCATGGAAAATGTGTAAAGATCACCCCTGCCAAAGCTGAGCATATTAAGCAGTACAAGTGCCCATCATGCAGCAACAGCAAGAGAGTTCGCGCCTGATGCCACCGCTTTTTTGATTTAGTTTTGTAGTCTTACTGGTGACTGTCTCCCCAAGTGATCATGTTAATCACCTCTTTTCAGAACTAACCTTGGAATGCATACTTGTTGAAGAACCTTTTATTTTGGTAGTAACTAGTAAGGCCATCAAATAACCTTGTTTTAATTTCATTTTTTTTTTTTTGGTTAGATGCATAGGCAGTAGTCTGTTAATTGGAACCAAGTAGTACATTCTACTCGTACCTGTTTCTATGTTCTTGACTTCTAATCTTGTTTTTTTCTTGTCTTTTCTTTTCTGTTCTTCTTTTTCTATAATCACTGTTGGGAAGGAAACTATTTCCAGCCCTTGAATCTCTGGGGTTTTTACTTTTTAGAGCACGCAATATTTGAGTGAATAGAAGGTAGCAGAAGAAGAAAGAGTTGTCTTTCCGGTCCAACTCACTTTCCGAGACTCAAGAATCTGGAAATGAAACACTAACAAAAGCATCCACTTTCATATCTTACATAAAATGTCGACGTGATAATTTTTTATATGAATAGTTATATTCAAACCAATGGATTATTTTGTCTTTTTTTTTTTAATAAAAAATGTGGTTAAATTCCCCTTACAACCCCCGGTGGAAATCGAATCATGGTTTATTACCAAGAAACACAACAACTTAACCACTAGATTGTCATTCAATTCTCCGATTTTGTCTTTTCTATATGCAGGCCATTCATGTAAGTTATGTAAATTTATTTATTACCAAAATAACTTTATTTTCTTTTTGAAATTTAGGCAAATAATCTAATCAGTTTGAAATTTTAGCGGTAAAAGGGAAGGATATTAGCTACTAATCCATGAGAAATTATTCCATGGAGCCGCTGCACCACATCAGCAACTATGATTTGGTGCAGCAATCAAATACTTATTTGACACATGTAAGTTTTTTAATTTCCACAATAATTTTTTTAAAAAATTATTTTCCTTTTACCGGTGCCCTCGTCATTATCAAATCTCACAAAGTGTATATTTCTAACCATAATTCACGCAGTATCATCGAACGCCGGCAGTGAAGCAATTTCATTGATGATCTATCAGGGGAGAACTATTTCACTAATTTTGTTTTAAATGAATAATGATTATTCCTCTAATTCCGCCACCGCCCGCCGGATCGGCGATCTGGAAGATTCTTGAATTTTTCTGCAATACAGAAGGAACAGAGCACTGAAATAGGAATAACGGTTTAGAAAATGAAAAGGGTGTACGTTGGCGGTGGATCTGGTGACTTAAGTAAAAAAAAATTGAAAAAGAAATGGGGACGTGGTTCTTGTCTTCTGTGAACAAAAGAAACAATCAAAATCTCAGAGAAGAAGAGGAGGTGAATTTAATGCAACAGAGCAAATAATGAAGAAGTGATTTTTCAATTCCTCTGATCTGGGAAAGAAGACGAAGAAGGTTTAGAAAAGATAGACAGTCTTTTGTCTTGGCTTTATTCACTCTAAATCATCCACTGCCCGTTCATTTTTTTTCAGTTTTTATTCCGGCATCGATGGCCGGCGTAGTGACTTATTTATTGATTAATAATGTTGGACCTTCCGATTTTGGCGAAGCAGTTGAAATCAGAATTTTCAAAAAATATATATATATATTTATTTTACACGTGTCAAATAAGTATTGGATTGTTGCACCAAATCAAATTATAGTTGCTGGTGTGGTGCAGCGGTTCCGTGGAATAATTTCTCAATATTATTCTGATACTACTCAACTTAATTAACGCTCGTTTTTTTATCTTCTGCGGTCCTTAATGTAAATTTTAAGCCTAATAGTGTATGCAATCGACGAGGTTTAATGAGCAGTTTTTAAGTGGCACTTTACAATGAGTTGCATATTCTCGTATGAAGTGCAGTTTTTAAAATTGCTTTTGGTAATGTTTAATTACATAAACACACACAGAAAAAGTAGTACAAAATTATTCCTGTTCAACTGAGACTTCAGTCGAAAGTCGCGCATTGACTTCAAAAGTACACGTTGCATCCCTTTAGTTTACACAAAATTTTCAACTACATGTTAAAAGAAGAAAAAAAAATAAAAAAATAAAATTGGGAAATCTTTTCTCCATGATGCTGAGAAACTAAAATTATTAATAGAGCTGATTAGAAGAGATGTATGAAAGGCGGTAAATTAGGAAGCAGTAATAGGAAAATGTGACTAGAATTTACGAGGCTTAACCCTTTTTTGTTTTTGCATTTACTGTGGCTGTCTGGAGTTTTTATTTTCTACAGTCCGTTCTTTCCCGTGTCCCCTGAGAAAAAAAACCCAAGCAAAGATAAACCCTGATCGCTATTGAATTGAGTTTTGCCGCTTACTTCTTTAATTTTAACTTTTTGGGTCTCAATTTTGTTTCTAAAAATTTTAAGTTAGAGGCGAAAAAATTAAAGGGATAAAATTTTGGCTCTCAATTTACTTCAATCTCATTAATGTTATATACTATAGGGATAATTTGAGAATTTAGTTATATTTTTTGCCCGACAAGTAAATAATTTTGCTGACATATGGTAACTTCAAACGGAAGTGCTGTGAATTATTTTTTTGAGCAGGTTCCACCTTTATCACGTATCAAGAAAGAAGTAAAATTCGGAAAAGGTTGGAAAAATCACCGGATAAGTGTACATCATAGATTCGAATGTGAGCACAAACGTTAGTAGTAAATCTGCATTTGCATTTATTTTTGTCATTACAATAATAGTACCTCTTGAAAGTTATCTACAGCATGAATTGCCCATGATTTACAAGAATATTTTGATTCCTAAGATCTGAAATCTACCCAAGAAAATAGCTTTTCTCCCTCCTGTACATGTTACTAAATCAGCCTGCAAATCTCCCACGATGGTTTCGGATCTCATCAACATTGACCGGCATTCAGTTAGGGCAAACCTTCTGCTGATTGTGGTGACTATAGCAGCAGCAGCAGCAGCAGCAAAAGATTTTATTGTGAAATACACAAATTCAATCTCATCTATTTAGTCCCTCGAATTTTGCATGAGCTCGAACCACTGTTTTATACGAGTAGAGAGAGGTCAGAACTGGTTCAAGGTATCAAACATTTCATGAAAAAAACTCATAAAAATCCACATATATATATATATATATATATATATATATATCTCACTTGTCTCAGTAGCTCGGCCAGTGTCCTCGGAAGCGCTTCAATGTTCTTCAGGACCACATAGTATGGGAAAGGGAAAGAGTCTAGATACTTGGACATTCGAACAACTCCACCTTGAAATGTTGCTTCCTGAGGGAGTAAAGAGGTTCAGCCGATTATTGATTTAACATTCCACATAACAATAACAACAAGAGCCAACAGAATTTTTACCTCCACGTCCATGATGGATTCATTTGGGCTGTCCACTATCAGGTACGCAACCATTCGCTTTTTGCCCAAGGTATCTCTGACATACCGTTTCAGTGTTTCCTGGATAGCCGCATAGGGCAGAACATTTAAGAACATGCGAAAAAGATGATAAATGGAACAGTGTATCAAACAGTAGAGGTAGTACCTTCTCATGGAATCGGCCATCTGCTATTATTAGAACAAGTTGCTGCAGGGGATTATGCCCAGAAGGCAGCCGTGCATTAACTACTGCGGCATCCAGCATATCATTTAGATATTTCAATAGATCAACCATAGGCTCATCAACTACTGTATTCTCTTGTTTGAATGTCAAGCTTGAGATCATCTGATCCAGGAAAAGAGGGTCACAATTTTAGATAAAGAATCACATATTAAAGCTAGTCTTTAGAATCCCCACATCAATATTTCATGACACCAAAGTAAGAACATGATTTTAGCAAATCCCACTCAATGAAATAAAAGACTAAATTGTACATAAAAGTAGGACATGGCAATTACTGCAAATGAAAAATTAAAAGGAAGAGAAAAGAAACACGACAAACTACTTATAAACTGTATGAAACCCCTTTTTCTTCTCCTACTCTTTTCTTTGCTTCAATTGTTTCATCTTTTTGCTGAAATATTGATGTCAAGAGCATAAACTAACCTTAATACCAGCTTCCCCAGTGAACGGCTGATCAAAATCATGGAGCAGTTTTATGTTGCCCTTCTTCCCAAAGCTTGCAACAGCAAGCTTGCCAACCTCCAACTGAGACATTGCACGGCAAACAGTCACCAACGCATCAATCGCAACGTTTCCACACTGACTCTCTTCCATACTACGTGAATCATCCACAGCAATGACCACTTGGTAATCACGCTTGTTGGGACGTGTCCTCCTCAGCCATATCTTATCTTTACGGTAATGACTTGCAATGTAAGGAATCACCTGAGAATGTATTAAGAATTTCCAGTCAACAAGATATACTTTCCAGAATCCTACCCACCGAGCCCAACTGGAAAAAGAAAAAAGGAAACCCCCAAACAATTCCTAACAACATTTCCTCTTTTCATCTCCTAAAAGCTAGAGAACTATTCACCTATCTGATTTATAGTTCTTCCTTAAACAAGACAGTTGAACAATCAAGCAATCAAAGAGTAATTGTACCAATTTACCAAGCATACCTTCTTCATGTTAATCCTTTTTCCAGTCTTGTAATCACCCTGGAGCTTGCTGGCTAGAGTGGGTTCCATAACTAGACGTAACTGTTCAGCTAACTCTTGGGACAATCCTGTAGTCCGAAGTTCGGTATTTCTCCAGCGGTCAGTAGCATCATCCCTAACATCACTAGGCATGTCCTCAAGTTTAGTCGCTTTGCCTAGTTCATCTCTCAAAGAAAGTTTAATAAATTCATTCATGTGGTCACTCAAGTAAGATCTTGACACAGACACCAAACTCTCTGACAACTTTGTGTAATCATCATAATTACTGAGAGTTTTCATTTGTTCCTCAGTTCCACGTTGCTCCCCTAACTCTAGATTTTCTGGCAAGCTTTCCATAGCATTGGAACGATTCAGAATGGAACCAGAAATGTGGGTAGGGTCTGATGATTGGTTTTGATCAAGCTCCATATCAATGGCATGATCCTCAATTTCTTGAGTCCCATCAGCACTGTCCAAATCCCTTTCTTTAATATTTTTTCCAATCTGGTCATCTGTTGCAGGCCCAAGTGCCTGAGCTGTCCCCTTTTCAAATTCAGCAGTATAACCATATTCATTTTCGGTCTCATCGTTGATATCATCTCCGCCAGGATCCTTATCATCAAGATCAGTGGACACTTTCACTCGTTCTTTCCAACCGTCCAGAGCATCTCCAATACTACGGAATGGATTAGGTTTCATTTTCTGGTTTGATGTTTCCTGAGGTGGAATAGGAGCTTCAAAACGATTATTGCCAAGTTTTCCTCCACTGGATGTGCCGGTAACTGGAAATTCAGCCGGCGAGAAATCAGGCAAGCCTCTACTTGGGGCGAAATCCTCATGAAGATTACTGCTATTTGACCACTTTGTTCCTGGTGCAACATCACCCAAATCTACTGCACCATGGTCGGATTCTAAAGGATTTGAGGGTTCAAATGTTGGCCGATCATACTCCACAGGATAAGAACTGTTTAATTGTGAGGTTTCTTCCGCTTGATCGTGCTCCATAGGGTCCCTTTCTCCATCTTTTTCACGATGATCTTCTTGGTTCGTCAACTTTGAATTTTCAGCCAGATTATCCTTGCCATCTTCTTCCGCGCTTTCATCCATCCCATCATCAGTCCCTTCCTCACACTTCTGAATGTCAGCAGACTCGTCAAGATCCTCATTTTCCTGGCTTTCAATGGGTTCAGTACCATTTGCGTCATCGACATTTGTATCTTCTTCAACAAAACCTTGAGGTGGCTCATTAAGGTTTAAACCACCAAGGTCTGAGACTGAATCTTCTTTTTCATCCAAAGTTGCATCTTCCATTTCATCACGACCAGCTCCATCTTCATTCCCTTCATCTTGCTGGTCAAATTCCTCTGGAACATCCTCAGCTTCGGCCACAGATGCAGAATCATTCTTTGCTCGAAGCTCCTTTTCAAGAATTTTTTTGTCTTTGAGAACTTGCCCGGACTCGTCTGTCTCATCCATGTCAGATGGATTCTCATCATCATTACTATCAAAGGGTTTCTCTTTAGCAATTTCACCAGAAGCACCGGTTTTCCCCATGGCACGTTCCACTTGCTCATCTCCACCGGAATCATCATTCTCATCTTCAGATTCCTCACTAACACTATGGCAATCAGCAGCATCAATATCATGTTCCATCTCTATTCCTTTCTCATTTTTACTCGGAGCACTGCTCAAACTGTCCTCCTCCTTGTTAGGCTGTAAAACAACAAAAATCATGAGCATACCATATCAAATAAAAGAAACAAGAAAAATAGGAAGTTCAGAAATCGGGGAACTTGTACCTTTTCCGAAGTCCCAAGGAGTTGATCTTCATTTTCAATCTGATCACTGACATCATTCAGGCCTTTACCCTCACCCATACCTGTTCCACTAGCATCTTGTATTGTTTCAGAATCATTTATCTGATCCTCTGGAATACCAAATCCTTTCGCAAATAATGAGGAAAGGACTTCCGCAAGCGCATGAGCTACGGCTGACACCTAAGTACACCCAGATATGCAAGAGAACGTCAATACAGGTGACAGAATTAGCATTCCCATTACAGGATGAATAACAAAAAGAAAAATTTGAAGACACCAAAGTGTCAGTAAGATGACTGATCAGTGTGTGACGTCCATTATGTATCTCGCAAATGTTAATGGCTTAAAACCTTGTACAGGTTGTACTGTAAAGAAGGAAAGAAATCCCTTTTTTGTCGTTAATGACAATATAGAACTATTTTCCAAAAGGGAATCCCATGTGTATCGTCTCCTGAACCCAACCATTTAACAACTCTACATTTTGACCCTTTTCTAAGCACAAAACAGATAATATTCCACATTCAGCCAGGAGATTTAAATTGGCGCATCACAGGCACAAATATATGAACTGGGAGGACAACATAAATTTGAAAGCAGATGTGAGTCGGAAAATGATCATTTCATGGAAGGTCTCGACCATCAAACTCACGAAAGAGATTCACACAGCATAAGAGGCAAACCATAAACTTCCTATTGTCAGATGGGAAGAAAGAGTAACATTTACCCAGAAAAAAAAAGGAAAAAAAAAACCAGTAACATTTTCCACTGCACTTTATTGATTCCCTAATCCTTCTTTTGTCAAATGGAACCAAAACTAGGAGTAGATGCATACTCCAAAAAGCAAATAAGGAATACCAAATGCATAACTAAATTCTCTATTTTCAAGAAAGTAAGATAATGATCTTCAGGAACTTTATTACATACCATCCGATGCATAACGAGGAAGTCTTGCAAAAGATTGTCACCAAAAGCCAAGATCATATTTAGCACTGAATACACACGCCTCAAATGAGACCAAACAACAGAACATAATTTGGGGTTCGTCGTCATGCAACGATTGAGTAGCTCTACCTGAACAAATAGTAGCAGTTAACCGTACAGAAACAGGCGGAACATGTTACCAGCAAAATCAATTCAAATTTGTCGAAAGAGCTGAAGGACTTACAGAAACAGTAATCAACTTCATCAATCCACTACGGATAATCTCTAACTTCAAACTCTGCGTATCAAATTCAAAGAAGCTTTTCCATTCACCAATATGTCCGAAGGACTCCTTATCTACAGTAGGTTTATTCTTATCCAAAAACATCCCGCGAAATGCAGCCAAGATAGTTTTATATATTTCCTTGAGCGCATCATGAAAATCAACTTCATAGAGACTGGCATCTTTTGCGACATTTTGAGATTGATTTCTCACTTCATTATGGTACCGGCTCATTACTGTGGTGGCCTGGAAAATTGTGGCTCCTTTAAATTTTAGCCCATAACACCTTAAGGAAATTAAGGAAAAATGCAGATATTTGCATACAGAACTTTACAGTACCTTTTTAAAAAGATCCGTAAAGTGCCCAAGTATCACAAATGTAACTACTTCTGCTCCTTGGCTTTGCCTGCTTAAAGAACTGAGATTGTTCTCGAGTATCTTTATAAGGTCAAAAATATCGTTTACCAACTGTTCCATTTTTTTTGTAACTCCTTGTGGAGGCAGCATTGCTCCCACATCAAGAATAACTCTATTCTTGCCAAGAAGATGAAGATCCAGTAAATCCTGTAAGTACATAACGTAAGCCAAATTTGTACAAGAACCATTTCCATGATAGTTGGATCAAAAGTAAGTACCTTAAAGGTCTGAACCCTTGGACCAAAGTTTTCAACGAAGTTCAAAATCTGCATCACATTTGCTTTGATACTTGGACAGGAATGCAGGTGACTATTCTCGATCTTTTGCAGCAATAAATGCACTTGACGCATCATGGTAGATAAATTATCAAGAAGATGCTACAGGGAAGACATGAAAGATCACCATCAAAATATGCTGTCAATGAAAATTCATAGAGTAATGTGGTATGCTCCCAGGTACTTTACCTTCTGATCCCACATGCATCTAAAAGTTGCATATTGGTTTTGGGTGAATGACCAATGGACGCCAACAGGACCAGGACAAGTATCTGAGAAAAAATTTGCTAAAGGCCAAACACAATCCCTCAAACACTTAAGCTGATAAGCAAACCCATAAGCAGCAGCACGTTGATCTTGCAGAATTTCTATGAGATGTTCAACAAATGAACTAGACCTTCTGACCTATAAAAACCATGGGATGTTATAAGTTGAGCACTTGAACATACGAACATGAACATGCCATTGCAGACAAGTTGGAAAAAAAAAAAGGTTTGACAAAAGACCAGTGTATTTAGATGTATTAAAATTGATCACTGAGGATTACCTGCTGAAGAGTAAAATCTTTATTAAAATGAAGGCAAATTTGCTGCATTACTTGCACAGATGCAATGCCTTTGAAGTAGAAACTGTTAGCATTTCTCCATTCACTATCCAAACTTTCAGAAGATGAACTCTTCAAGTTGCTCCCTGCCATCTGCATATCTCCACTGCAAGCACTAACTAGCGGGAGAAGATGCTCCAGATCATAGGATGGCTGAAGAAGCCAAAATCGGGACTTGCTGGTACCAAGCTGATTTCGACATCCAAACCCAAAAAGATAATGAGAAAGAATGCAAAAAAGTCATTTAACAGATACTAGGAAAATACTCCCATATTACCTCCTCAGGAATTGACTTATGCTTCGATAATCCACAGCTTTCTAAAAGTTTAAGAAGATCTGTGAAAACCCGCCTTTTTTGTGAAGGCTTGTGCTCATCTCCCCAAATATCACAACAATCAATAACAGTTTTGCAGACTCTCCCAACCGTGTCCCAGATTTTCATCCCTTCGTTCAGCATGAATTTGGGAGGTACACCATCCTTTATGAATCTCATAACCTCTGAATATGAACAAAATCATAACAAGGAACAAGTTAACCACCAGTCTATAGGAGACCTGACATCAAAAAGTAAAGGGGGAAAATTCCAAACCTCCTTCTACATCCTTGAAAGTAACATCAGCTGAGTTGACCCCTAATTGATCAATGAGATGCCAGGATTGAGCAGCCAGATTCATTCTCTTCAGGCTATCAAGAAACCATAAATTTCCAGCAGATCATCAGATACGATATTTTCAATCGGTGAGAAAGAGCAGGTGAGGATCACGAGAAAAATGTACGAAACCTGAGCTCATCCCGGACAGTAGTTTGATGGTAGATAAGTTGAAGAAGTTTCCTATCACTCTCAAAAGAATCAGCCAAGTCCAATGGGTTTTGCATGGACTGACTGACACTATTTCTTGTAACTTCTTGTGCAAGAAAGGTGGCAACAGGTTGCTTCAGTAGATCCTAAGGAAAGGAAGATATGACAATCATCTCTCGACAATAATCATACAGCTCTAGAAATTCGGAAAAAGAGATATTCCAAATGATCTAGACAATGAGGGTTAAAAAACTAACTTCTCAAAAACATATCGTGGATGAAGAACGACAATTAACATGGAAATAATGGACATAGAGCACATAAAGTGGAGAACGCATCATGTGAAGTAGAAATTTTAAATCATCTCACTTCACAAAGAGGAAAGCATTTTCTTTTCCCCACATGACAGTAGAATTAACAGCCATTTTGTTTAATAAGAGAACAAAGAGAAGGAATGGTAAAGAAGATGAGAACAACTCACAGTATATTTTTCTACTGTTATCCTCAACTTCTTCCGTGCCCTTCTTGAGTTCTCTATGCTAACACGATCCACATTTTGTTCCCACCGATACAACTTCCTGAGATCCTTCAACTCCTTCTCAATACTTCTTCTATTAGTTTCAATATGCTCCAAAATCCTTCACCCATTAAGTAAATAAAATTAAAAAAATAAAATAAAAAGAAAATTCCATTTAAGAGACTCTATAGGATAAGCCAGAAATATAGAATCACATCAAACCAAGAGAAAAAGGGTACATACTTCGGCAAAAACTGGATATAGAAGCCAATTGTGTTGTACAGAAGCTTCAGAGTCTCTTCTTGACTTTGACTTGTATAAGAACCTCGGTGTAGACCGCTACGTATTTGACCATAAAAAGCAATTAAAAGCTGTAGACGTCTTTTATATTCACCAATGTTGGACATACGTATAAACTCATCCAAACCCTGGATTGTATTCTCAGTGTACTCATTGGCGTTAGCTGAATCTCTATGTAGAAGAACAGAGAAAAGAGGAAACCAGAGCCTTGCAGCATTAACGTCAAACTGGACTTGGACTTCATCGAGTAAGGCAAGTCCAGATTCAAACTCCAATTTCTGCAACAACAGCACAAAAGCAACAATGGGATCCAAATGATCTCCCAGAGGAAATTTGGCAACGGTTTCTTGCAGAGCCCAAACCCGGTTTAGCAAGAACTGCAACCCTGACAGAACCTTGGCTAGAGGGGTCTTAAAAGGTATAGCCAAGACCATATCAACAGCATCCAATAATTTCCGAATAGCAGGATGATCATCCCACTCCTCTAAAAGCTCAAGGACACGCTGCTTAAGTTTCGAAATTGGCTCCACCATTTTAGCCAGAACAGGGGCATTCGAATCCTTGTAAAAGTTGTACACATGACCTGGTTTATGAGTAGTGAACTGTGATTCATGCTCCAGGCAAACGCGAAGCATGTGCTCAGGCATGAGATTAGCATCGATATCGGGCATAAGAGTACCCTCCAAATGTTCAATCATTTGAACTCCAAGTGTATAAGAATCAATGAAGGAATACAATATGTCATCATCAGATACACCAATCACTCCGAGATTTTTAACAAGGTCCAGTGATCCGAAGATTTGGTTATGGATATTGACTATGTCATTTAGAATTGAGTCCTCCGTGGCATTCCAGTCTTCTTCGCCCAAAGACTCGTTAAGTTCATCCTTCTTGATATCTTCCTTTAACTCTTCCCCAGTGACAAACTCTTTCCACTCGAGGAAACTCTCACCTGAAACAAAACTTCCAAGAGTTGAAATATCAAGATCAATGATGTTCTCTATCCGCAGTGCCCGGGGCCTGAACTTGAATTGTCGAGCATCATCATCTTTTTTCTGTTTAACTTTAAGTTTCATCCGCATCCAAGAGTTTGCAAACTCGTCAAATATTTTACTCAAGAGGTTAAAGGATGCATTGTCAAAAAGGCAAACCTCGGCAATGGAATGAACCAGTCGTTGTAGAATATTCTTGTGAAAGACTCTTAAATGGGGCTCTCTAGCGAAAGTAATCAGACGTTTGAGAAGCTCCAAATCCAATGTCTCTATGTAACAAGGCCATTGCACTTGAGAGGAACTGAAGGTACATAGATCATTCTCAATTTGAACATATACCTCGCCAGATGAACACTTTCTTGGAAACATCATAAAAGAATAAACACTAGAAAGAACAGAGTCCATACCATTTCGCAGTTCTAGTCTTTTGAGAACCTTTTTATCCATTGCACTTGAGAGAACAAGTGATAAGCCTAACTTGATCTCATATATTGCAACCAGAACTGGTTCAATTACATCAACATATGCTGAATACTTGGTTAACAAGCGAGACATGAAGCTTTTAGCCATCTCCTGCCAATTCCGTACTAGTTCTATCATCTGCTCGACTGACATGCTATCAACATAATTTATCCAACCGATAAAAGCCGTAACATGTTCACGGAAAACATCAAGCTCATGTTTCAACTTCTTGTAATTTCCAGAATCAGCACGAAACACAATCTGCCTTTGCTTTTTTAACTGCTGAGCCCGAAGTTCGGACAACAACTTTGTCCGATCATCATCGGCTTCACTCAACTGGAAGCATCCTGCCAAAAGGTTGCATTCCTTTCGCACACTGATTTCAAGCTCAATTAAAGCTATTCTTTCCATCAACTGTGAATACTTCATGGAATATTTTACAGCAGGATCCAGATCATTGCCAAGGGTTAAAAGATGATAGCGTAAACATCCAATCCTTAGCCACACACTTCCAATTGTAAAGACCAAATTTTCTGGTCCACAATCAATGTAAAGTCCAGTGAGCACTGGCTGGATCAGCTGATCAAGCAAGGAAGTGAAATCATCATGATTCGACGAAGCAATAGCAGAAACCAGGACCTTGATATCATCCCTAGTAATGGGGTTTTCCAAAGAAGAACGAAAGACAGACTTGATTAGATCATAAGTATCTGCACTAAATGACTTCCTATGAGAAAATATAATCTTCTGGAAGAGGGACCGAGCAGCAGATAGAAGGAACATTTTTATGTTGTCCATTCTGGGACCGCCTCCCCAAAGATCACGTGAAGCTACTCTAAATTTCAGGCTTTGCAAAGAAAAATCTCCAATAGAGCACGAATTCTGAAGCATCTGATCAACAGTCTCAGTTTGTATCGACCGAAAAAGTCTATGAGGCAGCAAAACACCATCAGCATAATGCCTGTGTAAATCATCGGAAGGAACAGGACACTGGGCCCACAAAAACCTGTGCCACCTGAACCACATCTCAAGCACATAACTGGCAAGTTTAGAACTCACTGCAGGGGTGGACGACCATGAATCCACAGCCCATAAGATTTTTTGGTGAGGTACGAGATCCATAGGAGGCCTCGATGAGAAGTCCAATGCAAACTTCAACGCCGATTCCATAGCCCCCGTCAAATTAGACAACACCAAATGTTGTGCTTTTACATCATCAAATAAACAAATCCTGCATAGCTCGTGAAGTAAAATCATGTCTTTGGAAAAACTCGTGTTATCACGTATAGGTGATTCGTCTTGCCAACTATGAAAACCAGACATTCTGCATAATAAATCAGGAGGGAAACTACAACAGACAGATGAGTCACCAACCCAAACTGTTTGCTTACAACCACTAGAATCATGCATCGCCAACTTGGCCCTCTCAAACTCCAGCCTGAGCTTCTGATACAATTCTTCTAATTGCTGAATGATCCAAGAATCATCTTCTTCAGGTTTATCACCAAAACAGGCAGACATTGAAATACATTGCATGGCACTTAAGCGAAGTTTCGAATTGGATGATAAAACCAATTCAACAGGCACATCACCATCAGAATACTCCAGAAACTGCATCCTGCTGGGCCAAACCATCTCACAGAGGTCAATAAGTTGGCGTTGCTTCTGATAAAAATCACAAGATGATGGCATGAATGGATGACCACCATGAATCCACAGCAATGACTTCCGAGAAGTTAAAGGATGAGAATACACATGATCCATACTTTTCCTCACCTCCTGCAAAGACGTTCAAGTTAAGCCTTAGCATAAAGACAAATGTTATTTGTGGAAGAGAAAGGGAAGGGTGAAGGGGCTTATATAACAAACTCACCAGAAAACGATCCACATTTTCGGGGCAAAAGTCACGAATTCTGGAAATGCTTTTTAACAAAGACCACCAAGAAACCAAAATTAATTCAGAATGAGAAGACAAAACACCACTCCAAAGCTGACGATGATTTTCAAGTAAGCTATCGTACAAGCGGAAAAGAACATCAAAATCAGGAGACTCCACAAGTAACTTAAGGACTGCCACCTCAACTGCTAGCAAAGCTTTCAAAGGGAGTTCGAACTGTTTAGTTTCCCCACCATATACATGTAGCTTTTCTAACCTCCATTGCTGGTAGCTACGTCTGACTAATCCGACCAACTTAATTGAGTTCCTCAGATGTTCAGCATCAGATTTCAGCTCCACATTATAAGCAGATAGACCGACCAAATCCATCGAAAGAATAGGTATAGGAAAGGCATCCAAGTGAATCGAATGATGTGAAAGTAACCTACCACGACAAAGGGAAACTTGGGCCCAAACAGGATGCTTCATTTCCTCCTTCAACATATCCACATAAGAACTAAAAAAGGGGCAAAAGGGCTTAATAAGAGATCCAAACCAGCTGAACCAGCAAAGGTAAAGCTCAATGTCACATTCCACTGCCTGCTCTATTGTCCAATTAGCAGCAGCAAACAGCATTTTGTTCACCAAGTCCAAATTGAATTGTTCCTGCACACCATAGCTTGCCACCATGTCCCTTGAAGCTGCCGTGGGAAAGATCTTTTGATATAATTGTCTTACATTCATAATGTCAGTTGTTGGAGAACCACAAGCAGCCGGATCATTTTCTTTTGAACAAGCATAAGATGCGCACTGAATCCCAAGGAATTTAAGGTACATGCAATTTTGTCTCACACAAGTCTCCCGAGAATAAAGAGCCATATCTCTTGTACTCAATGGTGTTGGCCACCCACCAGGCAAGCTTATCAATGAATCCTGAAATTTATCAATCCTGGAGACCTCGTCAGCGGATAAATAAGAGTTGATTGCTTGAGCAACGACACCTCTTCCTTTATCCTCACCTAAAGAAGAAAAATATGTGTGTTCCCAACTAATGTGGAGACTCCAAATAAGTTGATTGCCACTTGTAATAAGCTGCTTGAATAATTGCACCCAATGTGCAAGGTCAAGGAATGTAATGCGAGCACCGAGCTTTACACCCTCATTCTTAGCATAGACATGGGCTTTAGCCATCATGTCAACCAGCCGACCAAATGGGATACCAGAAAGAACAACAAATTTCATTGCATCTCTGAGTTCAGTCTCCTCAAATTTGCCGTCACATTTCTCACCAGGCAACCACGAGTGATGCATCAGATAAACTTCGACCCCTCTATTCCGCATTGCTCGGGAAACCTCACCGAAGCTCGGATTGACAGTAAGGAACATTCGAAATTGAGGATGAGGATGAAGAACCAGTGGCTGTCCATCAACTTTTCCGCACTCATTTATGGTAATAGATCCAGAATGCTCAACCAAAGAGTTAATTCTGTCAAGAACCTGCGAGAAAGTAAGACAGTAAATCGTTAAAATCTGTTGCGCGTTCATACTGAAATTATTATTTGAAAAAGAGGCATTTATAGTGAAACAGAATTCACATACCGTCGGGTTGCAAAGATTTGCATTTTCAAGAATAATCCACTCTCCATTCTCTATAGCCTTAATAAGGACTCCAGCTATCCATTCAAATTTGGCCGAATATTGCCCTCTTGACAAGCTTTCTTGAAATTTTTTAACTGTCATGAGATTTCTATCAAGGTCTCTGATTGACCAAGATACAGAGCTTAAGTTTTTCTCATGATTGAACCTCAAAATTTCAATTATCTCTATCAGCAACGGAACAGATTCAATGCATTTAGTTCTCCAACCCTCAACATTTGTAAATGCTGAACTTTTCGTAGATTCAATGTCGATGGATGATAAGAAGCCAAGCCATTTACTCAAGATATCCTTTTTGTTCATAAACCCATCCACAGAAGACTCTAATTGTTGGCTGAAGTACTCATTCAAATATTGTTCAACTTGACCAGTAACAAGCCGAAAACTTCGAAAGGCATTATGTTGTTCGAAGCATCCCAGCAGTTCAGATGTATCAGTGGAAGGCGAAATATTTACTTCATGAAGCACATTACCAGTGAGCTGTGCCAATAATCTTACCGACGAAGTTTTACCGGAAGAAGGTGAACCAACTAATATGCATAACCACTGATGCCTTAGACAATTAGCTACAGCTTCTAGACTATTAAGCAATCCAGGCATAATTTGCAGCTGATTACAAGAAAAGCTACCAGCCTGATAAGGATTCCGTTTGATTGATGCATTCCCAATTACTAAATATTCGGGATTGATCTGTATTCGTGGAGATGGATTTATATATGGTTTGAGCCCAAAAACTTGTTCATACAACTTCATAACTTCTAATCTATCAGCTGGCGTGCGCATTCTTTGCACGTAAACCGTGTTCAAGAAGCAATCAGCCTTTGACTTCTCATGTGCGCCTAAAAAATATGACGTGTTTTAGAACATGAGTCATCCTTATATGAAAAAAGGTAAGTTGTGAGTGAAGGAAAATTATACGAACCTTGTATCATTTCACATGAACGAACAACATCTCGCAAGTTAAACTCCCATGGGGAACCATCTTGGGCGAAGTTATGATAAAGCATAGTCTCATCATGGAGCCGTTTATTGAACAATATTAGCTTCTCAAGAATAAGATGGGATATTGACGGGTATAGTGATCTACAAATGGACATGTAGTCATCCTCGGACAGCTCATCAACGTAAACCTATTCATCGGAGTGAACATTATAATCACCACAGGAAAGGACCAAACCTCAATAATTAAATATTGCTATACCTTAGTGAAGCGGTTGAGAAATGATTTTGGGAGACCTTTCCGTCCTCCACCCTGATGAGAAGGATTTTGACAAGCAAAAATTCTAAATGATTCGGGGCATTTGAAAGTGCGACCCAGTTCAGGAATGAAGACTTCGGCCCGATGGTCCAAAATAGAGTTAAGGCCCTAATTAGCACAAAACGACAGAAGTACAATGCATGTAAGCAAATCATCAAGTTCTTACAACGAAGTCCATAATAAGTTTTAAAATTGTAGAAGAGAGAGAAGATTTCAAGTCTGACACCTCCAACACAGATTGAGGTGCAAGATTCAACTCATCCAAAAGGACCCATGATCCTGATTTTAAGGCCTGAAAGAGTCCAAACACCAATAGATGGGAAAACTTTTCAGCAAAGAGGTTGTATAATGAGAAACAACCAAAGGACTCTGAAAAAAAGTCCACCTGCAGCAGAATACCATCAGACCATGCGAATTGCAATCCTTCATCACTTTCCACTGGCAAGTCTGACCCAAGTAGATCCATGATGTCTGTCTGCACACCAGCAATCAGATCAAAATAACTGGACTCAACGGTTTCTAAAATCATGAAGGTAAACTAAAGGACAAGTATAACATACAAACCTGTTCAGACAAGTTTATTCGTACAACCTTGTGCCCAGAAAACTTGCCAATCGCAACAATTAAGCTAGTCTTCCCAACACCGGGACTGCCTTCTAACAGTACTGAAAGGCCAAGATAAAATGTCAGTGGATGGAGACAACAAGGAAACTGTGATTGTCCTTCAAAATGGGTGCAGTGCAATTATTTAAAGACACTTAACCAATTCTGCAAGTGTATATGGGCATATGTTTCAGCTAAACTACTACAAAAAATTCAAATCCTTATCACTACAGGCCACAGGATATTTACCAGGCTTTGCAAGTTGCATAGCACGAAGCACCCTTAATGCATTTCTCCGAGTAGTTGGAGCAAAGAATTCATATCCTCTCTCATCACATGTGTCATCACCTGAATAATGAAGAAGAAAACATCATTTATCAACAAGGAACGATCACCTCAAATCTATAACTCATAAAGTGGTAATGTAAATGGAGAAATATAGTAAGACAGTGGGAGACACAATGCTTTAAAAGATATATGTGCTTGCGCACACACATAAACACACACCTGCCACAGTTCATATGCATGCTCAGTAGTGCTGGTTTTCCACGGCAGGAAAGAAAAACCAAAAAAAAACTGCATCTTCACAATTTCTAAGAATATTTTAAAAAACTACTTGCATCAAGAGAACTGAACAACGCCAGGTTTCTCTAGTTGCTTGAACAAATAATACATGGAAACACAAACACAAAACGTGTTTCTTTATTCCACATGTGGAGCCTGATTTTGAAAATTTTTGAATTAGGACTCAAGAAACACTGAAGGAATGCATTATTACCTTTCAAAATGTAGAAAGGATGAATGCCAAACATATTGTCACATTGCATACTATGATCATCCAAGCCCAACGCATACGCAGGTACATCGGGATCAGACCAACCATAATACTCCAGATTTGAGACTGTTGAATAGTTCAAACAGCTGTTGGAATCCTACAGACATTAACAAACTTCATCTCAGACATGCATGCATCTGGGACCTAAAATTCTTAGCAGATTATTGCATAAGAAAACTACCATAGAAGCATCTTCCTGATGATCAACGAGAAACGCAATCAACTGTTGAAGGCATTTCTTCCGTAACTTCGCTGCATCAACTTTTGACAAATTTGTACCTGAAAGGCAATAAATGAAATCAAACAAATGACGGGAACTGATCAAACCATGCAAGAAAACGTGAAAGGAGAGGCAACGAAAAAGCAAAGACACAAGAGAAAGAAGAAGAAAAACAGCAATCAGGTATTCCCAGAAGCATCAAGAACAAATAAGAAATCTCTAATCATTATGTAACAATTGACACTCATGAAATTTGATTGAACACAAATAATTCTTCAATTAAAATCATTTTTTCCAGGCCAAATTACTCTCGAGCTATGACAACTCACGTCCAAGAGCATGTAGTGTATGATTACAAGTACCCGGGGAAAAATCATCTCAAAACAGCAAGACAAGCTTATACCTAAGTTTAATCCATCAAGCAAAACCAGAAATGCCCCATGTAAGAATGCATGTTCGGGTTCTAAAAATCCCTCAGTCAGATTCACAAAAGATATCCAGGACAAAAAATCTCTGACAGTGAGCATTCTCCCAGTCTCCAGACGATTGAACCCCTGCAAGACAGAACAGAAGTATGATTTTCAGCCCCCCCCAAAAAAAAAGAATAATTGAAAGTTCCACCAAAACCATAGCAGACGTCAATTTTCTTCTTAAATAGTTAATCAGACTCAACAAACAATATGAATAACCAAAGTATTTATCGATCGAACCAATAGAAGAGAGAAAATGTACCTTCCAAAAATCAAGCATGCCTTCCACAATCAGTTCAGGTTTTGCACTTGAGGTTCTGCAAAATAAAAACACAAATCAATACCACGCTGCCTCTATGGCAACCAACTATGAATGGAATTGCCAGTAGGACTTACTTGTGAAGACCAATACATTTAAGCTCATTTAAGTCACTGACAGAAGGAACCCATATCTCAGTAAAGCGGTTGCGAAGGGCAGGTGATAATTCTTTTTTACCGTAGTCACCACCCGGATTCATTGTTGCGAGAATGAAGAAGTTTAAGTCAGCGGTAATGGTCTCCAGATCAGAACCCCCTTTCTCAGCCAATGACTATCAAACATCAAAGAAGTGAGATGAAAAATTAATCTTGTGGGAGATGAAGAAAGTGCACTTGAAAGCATTGGTCGAAACTCAAGTCTAATAAAAAACTGAACGATACAATTCAGTATCCTTAAAATATATGTCGTAAGAGAATTTGTTTTTTTTTGGAACGAAAACATTTAAATCACTGCAGACTTTTAAAAGTTTTAGGTTCTAAAGCTCATAGGTTTAATGAAGATGTATAGAAAACGGCATGTCATTCACTCACCAACTGTCTTTCTGGCTCCAAAACACTGTTCAATCTTTCAAGCACGCTATCATCAGCCAAAGAAATTTCATCCACAAGGAAAAAGTCACCCTTCCTCAACGCTTCAATCAGAGGTCCATCTTGCCATACAAAAATGCTCTGCCACTTATTATGAAGTTTCTTTAACTCTTTATAAATCTCTTCTATGGAAACATCAGGGTGAAACACCTGACCCTGTCTGCCACCTTTGATAATGTCGGACAATTTCTCAAGAGTCCGAGAAGCGTGATTAATATCCGAAGAAATAAACTGCATCCAACACCAATGTGCAAAAGCCATTAATCCATGAAAATGAGAGAAAATAAAAAAAATAAAAAAAGAAGCAAATATATGAACATACAAATTCATCAGCTTTGGGCTTCAACTTATTACAAACTTCCTTGAATTCGGATATAATTGCTGACCTCTCACGTATAGGGAAGAAACCCTGCTCCATTATTCAATGAAACATCATAAACAGAAGTTCTGAAAATCATTAGGAAGTTAAAATCATCCCTTTTCTTTTGAAGAGAGGAGGGGATCTCCTCCGAATGAAACGAAGGCATACCCCAATAAAATCAGAAGTTTCAGTATACTGGTGGCAATTCAAAATGTGCAACTTGGAACGCAAATTTGCACTGAGCAATTGACAAACAGTCGTCTTTCCACCACCCGTTTCACCAACGAGGAGAACAGGCTCCCGTAACTTGTAGCAACGGTCCACCAAAAAGTACAATCTGCTCATGCTTTGAGTCCATGTGATCTTTTCTGCGCCTTGTACATCCTAATCATCACGTAAAAAACTTGTAAAACATCTTATGAATGATAATTCGTCATTCTTTTCCTTATCATCTATTATGGCTTTTACACTTTGGCAAACAAAGATTAAAGGAAACGGCAAGTAATGAGCACTCCCCCAATAAGTGAATTGTAAGCAATTAAAAAATTAGGACGACAATTGACTGCTGAAATGGAGGTGATGAAACTCTGAAACGAATAATCGCATGTAATGGACATTTGCGGAAGAGATGGATCATTAAGAAGACATAAAAATCCAAGTTCTAGGAAGCAAACATGTTTTAGGTCACGAAAGTGTACCAGCTTGTACATCTCATCCTCAACAAGTCGGCAGCCAAAGTTTCTCTCCAGAACTTCTTGCACAACTCTCCTCTCACTTTGTTCTCGCAGCCTTTCAGCCAGTAAGTAATAACCATCACAAGCTAGATCTTCTATACTGCTCCCAAGTACCTTGTAGCGATTGGCCCATCTAAACAAATCACGCGGAGTGATATATCCTTCTTTGCCAGCAAAAACCTTGCTACTCTGCCTGCGCAGTTGCAACTCCTTCATGACATTAACCATCTTTTTGGCAAATTTCGGAGGGACTTCACACCTCTTTTCTAGTATGGTGATCAATTCATCCCGAGGAATTTCATCAACATGGATCTCCACAAAACGGTTGCGGAAGGCGCGTGACAGCATTTTACGCCCACCATAGATATTAGGTGGGTTTTGAGTGGCAAAAAGCATAAAATTTGGATGCGCACGAACTACTTCACGTAGCTCAGGTATGTAAAGTTCTCTATTGTCATCAAGCAACCTGTTAAGTGCTTCCAACACATCAGATGGAGCAAGATTAAGCTCATCTAGAACTATCCAATGACCATTCCGAATAGCCTTAACAAGTGGACCCTCATTAAACACAAGCTTTCCATCAGAATTAGTGATGTAAGATCCTAGATACTCCTGAAGATCAGTGTGCTCATGGTTGTTGATCCGTACAAACTCGTGTCCAGTATTTGCTGCAAGATACTTTACTAAGCTGGTTTTCCCACTAGACGTAGGTCCTTGTAACAAAACTGGATATCTTCCAACAAATACAGCACGAGCTAGATTACTAAGATGCTCTTCGATACTTTTTGTCAGAACATATCTATCCGAGCATGGATTCTCTACCAAAGGGATTTCTCCTCCTAACAAATCTTTCAAGAAATCTTCAAACTCAGGCTGCTGAGGCTCTTGTCCATCTAATAAATATGAACTTATCATTTTCTGCATCAACTTTGCACTATGTTCATCTAATGAGGTCAGGAAAAACATGCAAAAACCATCATATAAAGCTTTTTGGAAAGGGAATTTCTTTCTTGCTTTCACGGTATATTCTAGTGCACGGTAAAGAGACCTCAAACTGTATTGTGGCTTTTGGTTGGCCCCATCCTGCAGCCTTTCTTCAGATTCCTTCTTTGCTGCTTTATAAAAGCGCACTATCTTCTGAACCAAACCACCAATTAAAACAGCATCATCCAAATGCTGCTTAACAAACAAAACAAGATCTTCATCATCCAACACATCATCAACAAAATATTCTGTGAATCTGCCCCTCAATGACAAAGGCAACTCCCTCTTTCCTGCATCAGTTGCTGGATTCATGCAGGCAAATATTCGGAAATCTGGATGTCTAGATATATACTCTATATCACCCCTTTCGGCCAAACACAATGACCCCTTTTCTTCCTCGAGAACACCAATAACTCGCTGCAAGATCTCCGGAGGAGCTAAATTCACTTCATCCAGCAATATCCACTCACCATTTCTAAGTGCAGTAACAAAAGCTCCTTCCACAAATGAAAAGATCATTCCACCTGAATCGTTAACTTGAGCATGTGCTCTTCTAAGTTTTGAAGAGAAACTATCCCACTGTTTCAGTATCTTGTCACTTAAAGGTCTCTTACGTTTCTTACCAGAACCACCTCTTTGAAGTTCCAGAACCTTTTGAACACATTTTTCAAACCCACTAACCAACATCTTCCAGTCCTTCCTGGTTACAAATATTTGCAAACGATCCAGAAAGTTTCTGTTATCCTGCACAAAAGGATTTAATAGCATAAAACGAATTGAAAATAAGGAACTTCAAAAGGCTAGACAAAGAAATGCAAACTCACCCTTGATGAAAATGTTGTAATGAAGAGATTTTCAAACTCTTTATAGAGAGGAATCAGAACCGATTGAACATCATTGGGTTGGAAACCCCCTAACAAATCAGCAACGTCACTTTGCTGGCTCAAATTCTGCAACGCAAATGGAACCAATAATCATTGACTCTCTCTCCCCCCACCCCCTCCCCCTCCCCCCTGCGAAGCAGGGCATACAAAAATTAAATTAGCATAATTACCAAAACAGTGAGTTTCTGGCCAACTCGAGCGGCTAGACTTTGCACAAGTGTGGTTTTCCCAGCACCGGTTTCACCGACTAAAAGAACAGGCTCATTAAACTTCACAGAGCAAGCTATTCTCTCAAGGGCGTGAACCGAACTGCTAATCTCCACAAAACGCTTCTTACTATGACCCACCTGTGAAAATATCCATGATCATGAAAAAGAACACTAAATTTGGCAACATAACAATTGTCAGATGAAACACAGATGAGTTTTGTTACTTACTGCCATATTGATGCGGGTGAGCGTAATTCGGCCAATAAGTAAATCAGCCTGCAAGTCCTGAAAATCGTTCCCAACTATTTTGTAAGAGACGCTCATGCTGCAAATTAATATGAAATCAGAAAAGGAAAACCAATATACTTGAATCACAGGTTTGTTGACTGGTAATAATGTCTCCACTTTGGGAACTCCCCATAATCTTGCAATCTCTTGCATCAGAGCCAACCGCTTTTCAGCTGTCGTTGAAAAGGCAGCAAAAATGTCTACTGCCTAAAGTGCACAATAGTAAGCTTCATACCCCAACCAAAACATCCAGATAACTATCAGAAGACTACATAAAATTTGAAGTTAACTATGCTTGACCTCTTTGTAAATACTTTCACAAGCCATAGATGACAGCTTATCTGCAGTAAAGGCTAAACTTAAACCAGCAATTCTCCTGCACCATTTCATTAGATCTCTGCCATTGCAAACACGTAAAAATTAGTAAACAGTCAATTCACATGCACGGGACGTAACTAGTTTCCATCATAATCATTTACTGGGACTCTTCTGGTGCTTACCTTAATGAGAACCTGCCATGACAAGCAGGGAAAGCAGATCTAAATTGCAATCCTGCCAACTGATTCATCCGTTTTAGGGTTTCTGCAAGGAATACAAAATTTAAATAATACTTGTACTGCAACAAGCCTTTTTTTATAAAAGCAAAACATGACCAACCTATGAGGCTTCCAGCCAGAGGAAACAATTCGGGATACCGTGCGTGAACAATATCCAGCAAGTCCCCATGTCCAGGAGCAACAACCATTACCCTTCGCCAAAGACCAGACAGGAAATTCTTACCTATGAAACACAGTAAACATATTTCTTCAAATGCACAACTTGCTCCGCTATCCTCATATTGGAAGAAAATTACAGTGCCAAATAGGAATTTTGCTACTACAACTAGAAGGAGAAGAATTCTATGTGACTCTGGTGCAATAGAATGATTAAGCTCAACAAAAGCATTCGAGGAATTTCTTCTCACCGAAAAAGTAACTAGCTTGCCAACAAACAAACATTTATTCTTTTCTTCACTTATATGGTCCACAAAGCAAAGCTCTTTAAAATAATGAAAGATCAACTGCAAGCACTTAAATAAATGAACTGCGTTCAAAGTGGTAGTTCTATTAGAACTGTATTCAGTTATAAGTTTTGCTTATAATAAGTATCTCTTCCTGCTTTATCAAATCAATTTTCTCCTTTAGATATCCTTCTAGCATATATTAATCAAAAGGATATTATCTGAAAGAATAGCAACAAAGCAGAAGATCTATCATATCATTTTATTTGTAAACTCATCCACCATCACCAACCAAACCAGCAGGAATTGCAATATAAGAGGAACATCAGTGCTTGAAAGGAATCACAAAATCGCCGTCTTAGAGAAAGAAAACTAGAAATCGCAAAGAGAGGGCATCAACTGAGTATAACAGCGGATAAGATTGTTGTGAGAACCTTCAGTTATAAGTGATGCATCAATCTTTTCGCTGGTCACTGTGGAGAATAATCGGAAATCTTGATGAACCCTTACTGCCTACAAATACAAAAACAAAAATGGTTCAGCATCAGTCCAGAGCAGATAAACTGTAAAGTCCTTTAACAGCTGCAAATGACACACCAAGAAAAGGGAAAAATATGTTAACCCTGAATGCTCAAAGACCAAGCTCAATTCTGACAAGACATTAAAAGTATGCAAGTGATGACAATTATCTGAAAAGAGTATGAACTAATTAAAAACGTAATGTGGCAAATGCGAAAAACACTAACGGCAAGGTAAAAGAAGAACTTGAACAAGATAAAGGAAGTGGTTCCTTGAGAGTAATAGAAGGAACAACTAGATCATCAATCATATGCATAAATTTATTGAAGGAAGGAATCCTCAATTAATTACTCAAAGCCAATAAGAAAGTATTTACCCCAAAAGCGCAAAGAACAAATACGCAATTAGTAGACCAATACACAAATACGCAGAAAAAATCGCAAATAAACTAGAAAGCTTTCAAACTGTAAAACTGAGAGAAGAAGAAACTCCTGAGCGGACAAAATTATAGTATAACCGTAAATACCTCCCCAAAACCTGAGGAAAATGAACTTGCACCCTCCAATAAAGGCAATAAAATCGATTGAACATCAGGTGGGGCTTTATCAACATCCTCAAAAATCACCCAGTAACCCTTCAATACAGCCTGCATAGAAAGTGTAGGCCGCATGTAACAATGACGTGCTCATCTACAGTATAGAAGTAATAAAATATGCATACCTGTGTTAGAGAACCGGGTTGCCATCTGAATTCACCAGGTTGCTCAGTACAAACGTAGCTTCCAAGTAGCGTCTTTCCATCAATGTGCTCATCCATGTGGATAGACAATACTGAGATTTCAAGGCACAGGCATTAGAGGCTAGAATTAGCAAAAGTACAAAAAATCATTCCCCGCCGATAAATCAGCTATTCTAACACAATCAAAAAAGGGAGACCATGCTGCAACTAGTAACCTAATCTATGCATACGAACAGCTGATGTTGAATTCACCGCAAGTGATCAACAAATCTTTCAGCTTTTGGCCAATAATGGACTAGATCAAAATGGCTCTATTAAATTCCAACACCTCAGTGAAGTTGAGAATATACTCGGTATGTTGATGTTGATATTGATGATATAGTTGATTCCACCACAAAAGAATCCTCCTCAAAAAAGTACGAAGGGAGAATGATGACTCTAAATGCCAAAAAAAAAATTGCTTTTGCAAATATAAACCACATCCATGACACGACACCAGAAGGGAAATGGTTTTCATTTCAAAATAACAAGATATGCACTACAAAACTACGATGTACAACATAAAGAAGCAGCAGTACAAAACTACCATTACTAAATAGGGAAGCAGAACTGCATAGTCATAGGAAGCTAATTAAGAAACAAACTCAAGCATGTACGCGTAGGTGTTCTGTACCTTGACTCGACCTATGTTGAGCCAACATATTAATCAATGCAGTTTTTCCAGAACCAGCGGGACCGTGTAGAAGAACAGGCCACTTCTGATTCACTGCTAGGTATACCATCTCAAAACTTTTCTTTAATGATGCAGTCAAGATAAAAGGCATTCCATTTCTCCTGCATAGATTCAGGTAACCAATTACGTAAAGGAAATTTGTTGTCGCTAACTAAAAAAAAGCTTAAACAGAAAGAGGGAGGAAGACAGATTACTAAAGTGGAAGAACACCAACTACATATCATTGAGAAATAAAAAATATGCTTGAGGAAATTATAGCCAGTCTCTCAATCACTGTATCTTACCCAGTCCATGGACTAATCTTCCAGTTTGATGCTAAAATATCATGAAATTCTGAATTTAGTTCGGACAAACTACAGCTAACATTACTCATATCAGAACCAAGTTTCTCCACATTCGCCGCACGAACATCAATAAACCAGCTTGCTCTCTCTAATGAAATATCTTGGCAAGATTCTAGCCACCTGCGATTTAGAAAGCAGTGGACAGATTTACAGCAGTAGATTTACCATATAAAACAAACTGTCCACTATAATCTATGAACAGCATGCTTAACTCCAAGAAGAACAAACATGCTGCCCGCTTAACCACAACTAAATAGAAGGAAAATAAATAACTTAAGACAAACACTTGCCAAACCATGATTTCTGTGACAGGCATTGGTCAGATTTAGGTTATTCTTCCCCTGGCCAATTCGAAATGCTGCAATGCAAGCATGACCTACTTAACATAATGCTCAAGAGATCAACAATACTAACCGTAAATAGCACAAAAAGGCTTCTTCAGGGCCAAGGTTAAATTTTGAAGCAGCCCGATCATGTAACTTCATAACCCAAGATAGTATTTGTATACCACACCATCTGATGTCCAGAATATTCCTTTTAAGCACCTCATCACCCTCAAACAGGTCACTGTTGGCCAGTAGTTGGACAAAGTCCATGAAACTGGACCAGTTCCATAGTGTAGTAAAGACTCCTGGCTCTGCTAAAAGGAAGCGGTACGATGTACGTACAACTTTCAGAAGCCGACTACCTACCTAAAATAGATACAGTAAATGTCAATTGCTGATCAATAAACATGCTAATAGCACGTATAGTTTCTAGGATAGGGATATTTTGCGGTAAACAACACTGTGCGCTCTCATGTTTCATCTATAAAATTATTACCCCCCTCCCCCCACAAAAAAGGCGTTCAACCATACAAGTGTCACTCAATTTGGTATGGACCCAAGTATGTGTAAAATGAAATACCCAGTACTGTAGCCAAATAAAGAAATGAAAACAAACAGTGGGATTAATAAAAGGTAATAATCTTACTATCAACAATTCCCGATGAGAATATTCTGTCAACTTTATCCTTTCGAAGGGAGGAGGTGCAAACTTAAAATAGTCCAACACAGGCCTGCACCAAGTGGATTAACTTGCTAAATACACACATCGCATGCACACAACAGAACTAAACTCAGTAAATTAAAATATCCATACAACAAACAAAGCCAAAGAATGACAGGTGCCAAAAGCCACCATAGGAGAACTATAAAGGGTTAACTTGATAATAAATCCGCTGACACTGCCTGCCCCTTTTCTGAAGTGGTTGAACAAGATATAAATACTAATTACAGGAAAAGACATTACAATGCCAAGCTCGGCAAAGCACCAGTTACATGAGAACACGATATATAAGGAGAAAGAGCAGGCAGAAGCTTAACAGTTAAGCTTACCGCAATAGGAAAGGGACCAATTCTAAAGCGCGGCAAAAGGCTAGACAGGAAATCTCATGAAGACTCAAGCCCTTCCCAGTTCTAACATAAACATCAACAACATGCATAACTTCAGCATTATCTAAATCTTTGTCTTCTCTAAGGAACTTATCCTCGTCAAACTCCACCATAGAATCATCTGAGTTAGAACTCAAGTCAGGAACTAATCGAAGCAAACCCACAGCCCTTTCCACAATCTTGACCACAACTGGACGAAAACATCCCACTAAAGGAATTGTATAATTTGGATGCAGAAATAGTTCCCCAACTGCTTTCACCACCTCTTCTTCTGTCACATTGTCTCCCTGCATGAAACCCACATTATATCACAAAACCACATTATCAAAAATAAAATTGTCATATCCGAATGAAAAAGGGTAGCTCATTATTATAGAGTTCATAGTTCCAAACCCAGGAGTAATGGGGGAAGCCGAAAGTACCTTCTTTACTAAATACTCGAATTCGGGAATAACAGCAATCCTTGGACATCGAGAAAGAAACCTCTCCAGCTCAGAGTGAAGATTAAAGCTCCCGTCAATTGCCATATTGATGATTCAGGCCACCCCAAAGTAAATATAAATTTGAAAATAATAATAATAAATCACGTCCTTGCGCAACGACCTTCAATCCACCTGCTTCGCCAAAACATTCATTAAGGGTCCATCAAATTTCGACCAAAATTTCAACTCTAAAACAGTTCTAATCCAAAACAAAAATGATCAAGGTCCCAAAATGATTCCCATAAACCCACTCAAATTCTTCCCCTCTAATCGTTGTGATTAACTAAACCAGTGATAATTGAATAAAATTAACGAGCATCGGTAGAGTTTTAAGGAAACTGACCATAGAAAAGTTTAGGGCTTTCTGTATTCGTCTATTATATCGTGCCTGTCAATCTTCCTCTGGCTTTCAGGACTTTCAGGGTTTATAATTTTCGTTTATGAGGAGGGGTTTAGGCTTTAGGGTTTAACGAAGCCGGTTTATATACGCGTTCAAAATCCGGGTCGGCGGGTTATTATTGCAGATGGATCCATCTTGGTTAAATAAAAAGAAAAATTTAGACAAAAGGCAGTGGAGACTAAATAATTAATAAAGAGCCAAAACACTTTGGATAATTCCTTTTATTATTCCCTATTAAAGCAGAATACAGATATTGATGTGCCAATATTTTATTAAAAAATTTTGGCTCCAAATGCACCATATTACATTAACCATTTGGCCACGTGTCATCTTTTTTTTGAAAAAAAAAAAAAAACTTCTTATCCAGAGAAACAAAAGCTACTTTACAAAAATAATTACACAATTTTAATTCCTAACACTTATCATTTATCAATCAAATTAAGATAACATTTAAATTTGCCCATAAACTTATCCCCTTTATTACTCCACATTCTTTTGTATGATTTCTCCATCGTTGTACTTTTCAATATTTTTTCTCCTTTTGCAGATGATTTTTTTATTTCTATTTTTATTTTTGGCTAAAAAAGGGAAAAAAAAAAACAAATGTGTAGCTATTTTATTTTTTCCAAATCAAGAATTCATTTATTTATTAAAACAAAATTAAAGTAAAAGGGGCGTCCGGGCATCTGGCCGGGTCAAGCATCTAGTTTATATTAAGGGCATATCGATTCATCTAAACAAACATAACTTTAAATTTAACTTATTTTTCCTTTTTCATGAACCCAAAACATAACAATTATAGCAAAATTAAGATAGAAAATTCAAACAACAAATTCAGGAAATGATGCATAAGAGAGAGTGTATAAACGAAGAAGAAGCCATAGGTGGCTACTCTATATATTGACTTTAAATTTAGCTATTAATAAAAACTTTACTATATGAATTTAAATACTTGGAAAGTTAATTTAATTTGTTTTTCTCGTTTAGCCTGATTAATATAAAAATACTAAAATGGTCAGTGATCACATATACTTAAAAATAACATCTTTTTTTATATTATTATATTTAAAATTTCAAAACATGGAAAGGGGCTGGCCACTTTAGTCAGTAACCACATAACTCTAGTAAATATGTTGTATGCCTCGTTTGAAGTACAAGTTTGGGAGGGGGTTTGAAGTACAAGTTCGGGAGGGGGAGGGGTTATATGAAAGTGAAAAACAAAATTTTACTTGGAAAAATAAAAAAATATTAACATTATATTTACTTAAAAATAATTACTTAAAAATATTAACATTATACAAAAAAAAAAATCTCCTATCAACAATTAAGAATTATTAACATTTTTATTTTTAAAGTCAACGTAATATTTTTTTTCATATCCTTTAATACATTACATTTTCCATATTGATACAAAAATATAACAATCACTAAAAGATTTAATTTATGTGTCTAAAAATCAAATGAAAAAAACAAGATGCTTTTATTTTAAGAGTTCATATTTTTGTTGTTTAATTATTACGCCCCTAACACAAATTATTTAAGAGTACTACTTTTTTTATTAATTATTTATTCTCTATTGCGCCTAATCTAAATTTTTCATAAATAAAATTAAATTTTAATTACTTATTAAGCCCAAATACGTAAACCAAACCAAATCTTTGGGCTCGTTGTTTGGATTAGTTAACGACACTCCACGGCCCAATTAGCCACTATTTCTGTAAAGAAACAGCAGAATTATGGGAAAAAATAAATAAGATGCAGGAGGTAAAAAAATGGACTAATTACAATAGAAATTTTTTTTATGAAAAGAAAAAAAAAAAAAAAAAAGAGTAAAAACACCAACCCATAAAAATGGCTGTCAGCGTTTCGGGTATCCAAGACCAGCAGGTAAAATGTCTTCAAAATAAAGAAAGAACCTTTCTTTGAGATTCTTCCTTGCTTCTTGTTCTTGGCCGATACAAAATTTACAGCCTACAAGAGGGATTTCTTCAATCTACCCATTGGCCCCTATATGTTCTTTTGCCACTGAGGTACAAGATTAATTCCATTAGCATGTTTCTAGGTTTATATGATGACAGCAGTTTTTATGGATTTCTTTGGCTTATGAATCCCTGGGGATTTTTTTCTGGGTTTAGGGTTACATTGGATTGTTCTATTGATTACTTAGTTGATTCATCTAAGAGCTGCATGATTTATGTTGAATTACTAACTGGGTAATGAAGGACAACAATGTGTGGTCTAAGAATGGTTTAATTTTTATTAAAGACTGCCAAGTTTTCAACTTGATGTGTTTTGGATTACGAGCAGAGCTGGTTTCTATATTTGCTGAACTAATTCTTTGCGGCTAAAGTTGAGATGTTTGGTTTTATTCATTTTTATTATCATTTGGTGAGAGCTTCTGTTCATCTGCATTTATAGTTTTGTATCCCATGGACCATTACAGGTCTATTTTGTCAAAATTTACTAGATACTGCAGCATCTGCAATGTTTGGAGCGAGTCTGTAGGCATTACTTCCATCGGATATGTTGCCTTTCAATAAGGAAAATGTATCTCTTTACATACTGTGGAGAGTACGAATGAGCTGATAGTTCATCCTTCGTCTTGTGCAGGAATTAAAAGACAGGATATAGAAGTTTGTGGTTCTGAGTTCTTGCGTTGTGGGCACACATGAATCAGGGTAATTTGCTCTCTCTACATTCTCATTTGATAAAGATTTGTGGACCATAGTCTTTTGAGTTTCACAGGTCTGTTGGCTCTGAAAATAATTTTTGTTTTGGTTCAAAGCTGCATTGACAGCCGTGGGTATATCTATATATGAGTGCATATCCTTGAGGTTTTGTGGCTGAAACATTTTGATCAGTGCAGCTCTCTTAAAAGATCGGAAGCATCATAACCAAGAGGATCCCCTCATTGGAGATGAAGCTCACGGCCAGCTCGGAATTTTCGCTAAACCTCTTCCTTGTTTTGGTTGTGGCATAGGATGGTTCTCGTGAGTCCTTTAAAAACTTCTTCCCATTAGTCTGTTCCTTTCTGGATGTCTCTTGAGTTTGTTATTCTTCTTGCAGGTTTTTGCTTGGGTTTGTGTTTCCTTTGCTATGGTACTATGCCACAATTCTTTACTTCGGGAACTACTATCAGAAGGATCCTAGAGAGCGAGCTGGGCTTGCCGCCAATGCAATAGCTGTGAGTACTGGAACCCATTTTTTTATTTCTATTTTGCTTGTTGAATGAATTATTAAAGATTTTGTCTTGCTCATTGTTCTTTATTCTGCTGAAGCATGACCACTAGGTTTAGGCCATCTTCTAGAGGATTGCCATGAACTGAAACTGCTGAAAGCAAATTACTCATGAAGCCCCATATCGAAAGCTCTTTTTCTACTCTGATTATGATACCTTCATTCTATTTACTGTCGGAATGATTTTAGTTTTAGAAGGATGAAAAATCAGAACAGGTCCCATGCTTTATCAGTTATGATATGCACTTGTGGTGAATTAATCGGTAAAGTAGGCCACGGCATTTAGTGTTCTCTGAGCTGATATGTAATTCCGAGTATTCCAGCTAGATGGCTGTTTGCTTACCTTATTCTCTATTGATCGTTGACGTTTATAATTGTAATTGCAGGCTCTGATATTTACGGTTGCGCTTCTCATTGCATTGGCTGTTATTCTCTTGTAAAGCCCGTTTCTGTGATCCTTCTATGAGTTCTATCAGGTATGGCGATGGATTTGCTAAACCATCTGTACTAAAATCAGTATCCCACTGTTATGAAAGAATGTTACATGCTGTCTCCCTTCTTCCGATTTATCCTAGAAATACTATTTTAGAGAGTAAACGTTGCCTTAAAGCCGATTAGAAAACTTTGTAAGGCTCTTCGGAGAAGTAAAGACAGCAACGGTTGTACACTTGTATTATACCTCTGAACACTGTACAGTTTTTCAAGAATGAACTTTTAGGAATTCATTTTGTTAAGTGCTTGTTTTTAGTGAGATAAAGGTTTATTGTTGTTACGCGTTTCTTTTTAGCGGGATAAAGGCTTGTTGTAAGTGAGAATTGTAACCGAGCAGTTTGTTTAGGGCACAAAGATTGGAACTTCGAAAACACGTGTTAGGTTTATCTCTTGAAATCAAAATAGATTCGTCGCAACAAAGAAGCATTAATACGAAAATATGCAAACTTTGACGTGCAAAACTCAGGGTATGTTTGTTTCGTTTTTTTAGTGTGTGGTTTTTGTATTGAAAATGTAAAAAGTTATATTGAAAATGACAAAGTATGCTGAGATGAGACATTTATTATTTTAATATTATGAAAAAACTATCCAAAAAACAAAACAAACAAAGCCTCAAATTGTTGCCTCTATTCATTCCGCTGAAGCAGAATTGAGAAAGATAACCGAGAATAGCTGGAATAGGACCGCGTACAGGTAAAATACAGTATCCACACTGATAGCTAATGTATCAGTCAGTACATAAGTAGAGAATGACATCGACTCAGGAAGAATCAAAGTAATATCCAAAGTAAATGTGTGTGCTGAGGCTCTTCCACATTTTGCTTTGACCTGGTTATTCAAAAGTGATTTTTATTTATTCGTCCGTGTTTGCAATATGTTAGCTGACCTACTCTTTTGTACATTGCGTTGCGTGCAATTTTTTTGCATAGTTCAGAATTGGTTTTGCAAACTTTTTGGCTTCCTAATCCTAGCTCATCATCACATGTCTTATAAAATTTTGATAAAGCTTGGCAATATCGTATCTGGTCCTCCTTTTTATACATTTGTTGTATTCATCACCATTGGGTTCTTTTTAGATGCTTTTGTTCTTTTCTCTCCATATAGCCGTATGAAAATGTTGGTAATACAAATTTGATAAGATGACAATTGACACTCGTGATGCTTACTTTTCTAAAGTATCCAATTAATTTTTTTTTTTTTTGTTTTGGCATTTGTTAAACCACCATATAATAATAATAATGTAGTACTCCTTCCATTCTAAAATAAGTGTCGTTTTAACAAAATAGAGAAATTCCAAAATAAGTGTCATTCTCACATTTCAATGCACTTTTTGTCAAAAGTTTCCAAAATTAACTTCAAAAGAGTTGATGCTATTGGTGGACAATTTTATAATGGGGTTAGTTGAGGATATTCAAGTAATTTTATTACCCTATTTAAGAGTTTCTTAAACTTTATGCAAATTGTAGGACGGCATTTATTTTGGAATAGAGAGAGTAAAATAGAGCCACAAGGAAATTTCAATTTTCCCAATTTCATTAGGTTTTGTTTAGTTGTCATTCTTGCAAGTAAAGCCAATCTGTGAATCATCAGCTGTCATTCAGCAAGTCTGATTGAAGGCTTTTTATGACTCTGACTACTACTAATATATGCATGGTCTGAATCTTAATCCAGTTGTAATGTTTTTTTTATTATTTATTTATTCAATAATAATGCAATTTCTACTATGAAATTCTAAACTAATCAAACCAAAATGTGACACACAATTTCACGAATTGTTATTTAATTCCCACTAGTTCTACATTCTAGAACCCTAAAACCCTGCTCATTCCATTTCTTTATTTCCCTATAAATAGATGCTCAATTCCATCAAAAAGGGAAAAAGAAAGAAGCCAAGAACAGATTTTTAAAAACCCACAAAAAGCATCAAACTTCACATTCCTTTCAAAGGAAGTTGTTGAGTGAAAAAGCAAGAAAAAGGTGCCTTCTTCTCTTAAAAGGCTTTTATTATAGCGCGCCCATCTTTTCATTCATTCACTCATCAAAAGCATCCAAAAGTACCAAAGCCAAACCCAAATGATGGAGGAAGAAGATGGGGAGGGTTACTTGAGTAGTCCATTTTGGGTCCAAAGCACCACCAGTCGCCGCCACCGCGGGCGGCGGCTCCGGCAGGGTATATCATCATTTTTCTTGAGCTCTGGCCTCCTGATTACCCTTTTGCTGGTAACAGCTGTCTCCTTCTTGGTTTTTGTCGTTCCTTCAACTATTTCTTTGTCCAAACAAATCTTCAGGCCAAACAATGTGAAGAAGAGCTGGGATTCACTTAATTTGGTATTAGTCCTGTTTGCATTAGTCTTTGGATTCCTTAGCAGAAATAGGAATGAAGATCGAAACTTTGATGATGAGGCTTTCAATCAAACAATTAGCAAGAAAGCAAGGGATGATGAAACCGCCCAGAAATCAAATCCATCTACCCCACAAAGATGGTACGATAATAATGGCTATTCCATTTCATCATCAGTTGAAGCTGAAGATTCCAATCAATCAAATCCATCAAATCATTTTCAATGGTTTGGATATTCAGATCAGACGGCCTATAGTATCAATAACAGCAGGGGCGGCGGCGGACTGAAGAGGGCTAGCAGCTCATATCCTGATCTACTTGAAGTTGAAGCTTCTTCTTCTTCTGTATTGGCCGATCCGTCGAAGTCTCCGGCGCAGTCGGTAGCCTACGATGATATGCACATTAACACTTCTCGATTCTCCTCCCACGGCGGCCAGATTTATCGCCGGCGAAGCTGGAAGTATGCCTTTGATGATGATACTCGGATTGAAAGCAAGTACCTTTATCAAGATGAATTCGTGATTTCCCCAAAACAACCACCACCTTCAATCAATATCACTCCGGCTCCTCCCGCTCCATCTAGTCCTGCACCGGCTCCTCCCGCTACGAACAGTCCTCCGCCAGCTCCGCCGTCTCCGCCACCAGCTTTACCACCATTGCCTCCGGCTTCACCACCGAGACAAGAGCAGGAAGTGAAGCAACTGATGGCATATGAAAGTGTTGCAAATAAGAGGGAAAGGAGGAGGAAAAGGAATCTGCCGAAACGCGAAGAACCCATCTCAGAACAACCGGCTGTAACTGCTCCGGCACCTCCACCGCCGCCTCCGCCGCCTCTGCCGGAATATGTGGATCAGATGAGTAGTGACAAAATGGACAAGAAGAGAAGTGGGGGAAATGCAACCAAAGATTTCCTGAATTCTTTGTACCATAAGAAGAAAAAGAAACAAAGGCAAAGAAGCGCTGAAAATGCCGATGCTTTATTGCATTTACCTCAAACACCACCCCTGCATTTCCAATTACCACCGCCATCTCCGCCGCCGCCTCCACCACCACCGCCGCCCTCTGTTTTCCAGAACTTGTTTTCAACTAAGAAATCCAAAAGAAAGACGTCGGAGACAGTGATTTCAGTTCCAATTCCTCCGCAAAAGCCCATCCCGAGAACCAGAGCTTCACAAATTACACATCGAACCATTCAGAAGAAGCCTCCACAGCCGAAGAAAGTCAGAAGCTTTGGCAGCGAAGAAGGTTACTCGAACAGTGGAGGAGAATCTCCCCGAGTCCCGGCACCTCCTCCGCCACCGCCGCCTCCTCCATTCCTAAAATCTCCTACGTGGAAGTTCGTACTTCAAGGGGACTTTGTTAGATTGGACAGCGCAGTCAGTTCACGGAGTGGATCTCCGGAACCAGATGAAGAATTAGAGTCCGATGTAACTCCGACAGCTGCTGATGTTGACGAAACTGAAACGCTGCCATTCCCGGCGTCGCCATTGTTCTTCCCCCCGAGCCCCGACGTGAATACAAAAGCCGATAACTTTATCAACCGCTTCAGGGCCGGGTTGAAACTTGAGAAAATGAATTCCATGAATAAAAGAGGAGTGGGCTTGTCAAACCTTGGCCCGGGTTCAGGCCCAACTCATAGCTGAAGTCCTTTTTTTGCTTGGTGCATTTTGGTTCTTTTAGCCATAGTTGGTTAGTTTGATGAGGCAGAGAATACTTCAAAAGATTTTGAGAACAATAACAAGTGATGTGTGATTCTGATTCCTTTATTCAATTTGTTTTATTGTGTATATGTAGTAGCATTTGATGAAGACTATAACTCGTAGTATTGTGTACCGCAAACTAAATGGATAATCAGTCTGGATGAATTGGATTCCACCAGCCATGAAGATGATTTCAGTCTTATTTTCCAGTTTTAGATGACCCCAAGATGGGATAGGGTTAGGGTTTATCTTCATGTTATCATTTGATTCTGATTCTGATGATTTTTCCCCGGAAATAAGAGACAGTTATATTAAAACACAGAACAAATAATACACATGAGGATTGAATCCTCAACCTCGCGACTGAACAAACAATACACATTGGAATTAGAATTTTAACAGGGAAGCAACATTTTGTTTCACTTCGTGCTGCTTTCTTTTTGGTTTCATTTCCTGGAGAAGATAAAAATGAAAAAACACACGGAATCTACTTCCAAGTAAGGAGGTGCCTAGATAGCAAATCAAACATGTCTTTTTCCAAAGACAACTCAACAACAGCTATCTTGATAGGAAACTAGTAAACTACAACGGCTTTTAGTAACAGAAGATGCATAAAAAATAACGTTTTAAACTGTAGTTTCTAACCAAGTTCAGCCAACCCTCTAGTTGTCTCCAGCTCTGCAAGTAATTGAAACAATTAAGACACGGCAGATGAAATCACTTTTTGGACGCTCTTTGTATCAGAGAATGGTAGAATTGTCTTGTGTAATTGTGATAACAAGCTAGCCACTTTATAAAATGAGTTACACAAACAGATCCATGCCTACATGAGAGGCACTGTAATGAAAAAGGTACTATTGTTCCCAAGATTCAGGCACATGAAGCATTCAAAAGCTAGGTTCCTCAACAGAATCAGAAAAATTGGATCAGTATGTAAAACTAATTCCTCTAAAACTCATCATCAAAATGAAAGCTAAAATAGTACAGTCCTCATTCTCAATCTATGAAACTTCAAACAGCTCCATTCAAGGAGAATAACTGGGAATCCAAAAGAACAAAGAAAAAACAACATCATCATCATTATCTAGAAAAGTAGAAAAACTCAACCAAAAACATCACAGCACAAAAACACACGAGCAAGACCTTAGATTATGCTCACGAGTTAGTTCATCCATACTTTTAGAAAAAGAAAAACAAGAGTCTTCTTTTTAGAACTTGGACTCCTGGCTCAACAAGTACTTCTTGAGAACATCCATGACTGACCCAAAATCTGCCTTCACTTGTACAGGTGGATTCGCATAACGGCAATTCATATCTTTAATCGCCCCTGAATGATAATCAATTTTGGATTGAGTGAACTTCAATCCATGAGCTGTACTAACCACTACAGTCCTATCAGTAGGCCCTATAACTCCGCTGTTCCGGAGCTTGATCAATGCAGTCAATGCCACACCAGTGTGTGGACAAATAAACATCCCAGTTGAATCAGCTTGAGCTGTAGCATCCATTAGTTCCTCTTCGGTAGCTTCCTCAACGATGCCATTGCAATTCTTCAGTGCATAAACAGCCCGGTCAATCGAAACAGGGTCACCAATCTGAATAGCAGAAGCAAATGTAGTATTAGCCTTGATGGCCTTGAAATCCTTCCAACCCGATTTGTAATGCAAATAAAGCGGATTGGCATTGGCAGCTTGAGCACAAACAAGCCTGGGCAACCGATCAACAAGCCCTAATTCTTTGCACATGTGGAACCCTTTATAGAATGCATAAATATTGCCCAGATTTCCACCAGGAACAATCACCCAATCAGGCACTTCCCAATCAAACTGCTGCAAAATCTCAATAGCAGCTGTTTTCTGCCCTTCCAACCTCAAACTGTTCAACGAATTCGCCAAATATATAGGCAATTCAGCTGTAACTTCCCGAATCATCTGCATACAGCCATCAAAATCGGTGTCTATACTCAAAACAAAAGCCCCATTGGCAATGGGCTGGACCAGTTGAGCTATGGATATCCGATTTGCAGGCAAGAAAACTATAGATGGAATACCAGCAGATGCGCAGTAAGCTGATAAAGCTGCTGAAGTGTCCCCAGTCGAAGCACAGCCTACGCCGACCACCGGACGCTTCATTTTCCGCAACCTATTCACTTGGCTCACCAAAACAGTCATGCCCAAATCCTTGAAGGATCCCGTATGGCTAATCCCACAGTGTTTGACCCACAAGTCATTCATGCCCAGAAACTGTTTGCCAAAACGCTCGGCCCAGAAAAGATTAGAATTTCCTTCAAATGCACTCACGATGTCGTCGCTGTCGATCTCAGGCAAAACCCATTCTTTTTTGGACCAAACGCCGGAGCCATATGGCCATGTGGTCTTCCCAACGCGTGAATCGAAGAGGGAACGCCAATATTCCCCGTCGAATTTCTTCAAGGCATCCATATCATGCTGCACGTCCAAAAGCCCCCCGGACCGGCTCCGATAAACTATCTCATCGAGCGAATACGACTCCGTTGAACTCGCGTCGGCATTAAATGGGACATATTTGGCCGAGAAGTTGTGAGACGAGGTGTTCTGCCTTCGCGCCTCCTCGCGGATGTTTTCATTGGTCGGACGGCGATGCTTTATGGGTGGTGGAGGAGCGGAGGCGGCGGAGGAGGAAGAGGATTCCGGTGAGGAAGAAGCGGCGGCTTTGATTGGTCTGAAGTTGGAAGTGGGGCAGTGGGAAGGATTGGATTGGGAATACTGGGTGTTCAAAGGCGAGGAGAAGAAGGAGGATCTGAGAAGGGTTGACGCCGCCGCCATTGCTTACTGAGAATGAGAAATCTGGTGATTGTTGGATCGAGAGTTTGTAACCTGCCTCTCTTACAGTAATTAAGGGAAGACGATGAAGCTCTTACGTGGGGTTGGATCTCCGAAATAATTTGTGGGCTGTTGGAATATAGAATTGGGCCGTCCATTGTTGGCGCATGCGTCCAGGCCTATACGAGCTCAATGTGCACAGTATTATCATCATTAGTAATAATTTGTGATTTTTTTAATAATAAATTTCTAAAATAGTGCTTATAGAAAATACTCATAAAAAGTAGTGGTTATGTATAACCAAAAAGTGATTTTTATAGTGCTTACAAAAAAGGCCACAGAAATACTAGAGAAATAAGCTATAAACATGGATATGTTCTCGTGGGCAAAATATCTTAACCGATTTAGAGAGTTTTAAATTCGTTGTTATTTATCGCATTTTAAATGTTTTATTATAAGATAAAAATTATTCCATTAGAAATTCAATTTAAATGGATCCTCCGCTATCCAAAATCATAAATGTTAATTCACTACATTAAATAACGCATTCAAGAAACAATTTGAAACTCAAACTATTTTTTTCCTTAAGAGATTAGGCGCAATCACAATCTCAAGAAAACAGGTAACCGAAATGCTATATCAGTTTTAAATTTTATTTGGGATATTAGGACTTTGGAGTGATTGCTTTTGTTCCCAGTATAGGTCTAAAAGTCTCTGGAAATGACTTTCAGGGCCCAAAAAATATTGGAAGCAAAAATATTGGGCCTCACCCACAATGGGATCATCGGCTTTTGTTTAAGCCCAGACAAGCGGGCAGTGAGACGGGCATACCGCCCAAGAACCACTGGGTGTAGCCCAGAAATCTGATAGTCCCTCCCAATAACTTAAGGTGTCCCATTGAGACCGTAAACCCGGTTAAGTGACGGTGATATAAACTAGTTCCCCAAACCAAAGGATTCCGATGTGGGACTAAAGCAGCGGACATAACTCAACGTTAAGCTATTCTTTCAAAATGGGGTTTTACCGACAACAAACATCTTCATCTATTCAGTAGTAGGGTTTATTACATAACGAGTTCGGCGCTACTTTCAGTCGTAAACAGTTATAAGCTAAAACATGTCGAAATCGAAAAACAAGAAGAGAAGGGAAGTCCAAGAGCACCATGAGCAAGAAGAATCGGAGAAGAAGAAGAAGAATATTGAAGAGGAAGTGATAACGGATGTGAAGATTGAATTACGGGACGAGAACCCAGATAAAGTTGATCCCGTAATCGGATATTTTCCGTCCGGGTATGACCCGAGTGGGGGAGGAGAAGGAACGGAGGAGCCTAATGTTACGTTTTATAAGCATCCCAAGCGGGTTAATCGGATGAAGTTGGTGGTCGATCCGAATGGTGAGAACTCCCGGGTCAATTTCGTCGGAACTAGCTTCTCCGGCGAGGCCATGGCGCCTCAGGTTTGCACTTACCGTTTAGGGATTCTGGATAAGGCAACTCAGACGTTGAAGATTGTTCCAATTGCTGCAAATAAGGTTAGTTGTTCTTTTATTCTAATTTAAACTGTTTAATTGCTGGTGCGTTTTGGTAGGGAAAAAAGGGAAAAGAAGAAAATGGTTCCAACTTTTGCTGTTATTTTGTGTATTTAGTTGCTGAGAAGTTTTGGTAGGTAGTGAAAAAAGATGTTTTTAACTTTCAGAGTTTCGTAATAAGTGTTTAATTGCTCTACAGTTTATGTCTGTTTCTCATAAGCATTGACGTGGTGATTGATGATGGATGCTATACTTGTTTTTTTGGTTATGTAAAGTTCAAAGCTTTACTGATTCCTGTGTATGATATTTCCTTCACGAGTCTGAAGATTGTCAGTACATAATTTGTGATTGTTAATGGCGGCTGTGTAGTTCATCTTAGAGGCTCTGGCTGACTCGTAGAGTTTCGGGTGGATAGGAACTTTGAGTCAATATAGTTGTATGTGATACTAATTCCGTGCATGGTTTTGGGCATGTACACTCCCTACTGTTTACAAGTTGCCATTAGTTGCTTTAGTATTATCCGTATCTGCAAAATTAACAAGCCCTTTATGCCTATCATTTCATGTTATTTGCAGATATTCAGGTTGGAACCTAGAGTTGAAGGTTTTGACCAGCCAGAGGATGAAATTGATAATGAGAGACGTGAAGAAACGGCCGAAGAGAGGAACGCAATGAAGGATAAACTGACCAAGACGTACTCTACCAAGAAGAGCATGAGAGAGGTTTGATTCTTTTTATCCACATCAATGCTATACTTCGTGGCTCTAACTCTTTGCTGGACCTTTATTTGTTGGATTTTTAAGTATTTGTGTTAATTTAGTTCTGGCTGTTAGAGGAGGCTTTGGCGAAGCCGTATCTACTCTAACTACTTCATTGTTGAGTACTTGTATTCAATTGTGCAAGCTGTAGTATGTGAAGAAGCACCATGCTATTTCCATAAAACTCATGATCCTCGTCCCATCTTCTCATACCCTCCATCCACAAGGCAATTTGAAGTGTAGAAAATGGAGTAGTTTTGAGAGAAACAAAAAGTGTGGATGCATAGTTTTTACCTGCTCTTGTGTAAATATTCAGCCAACATGATACATGGATTTGTTTTGTATTTTCAGGCTAGGAAACTCGAGAGACTTCGTGAGAAACCTGATGAAAATACCAAGAATGATTTGACTAAGCAGTTGGATGGGGTCAAGATAAATGAATCTGCCCTCAAAGATCCAGACACTAACAAAGATGCTCGAAATATCCCTCCCTATGATCTGGAAGCCACGACACCTGAAGCAGCATATCCCTTGAACAAGATCATCTTTGAAGGCGAGTGGGAGTACCTATTGGATGTACTAGAACTTTCAAATACTGGAGCAGAAGTTTCTGGCGATGTTTATCCCACCTTTGTTCGCAACCGAGTTTATAAATTGGGTGATATCAAGGTATGCATTTTATTTACTCTATTTTCTCCTCTGTGACTTCAACCCTAGTTAAGAGCATGTAACGTCTAGATTCTCCTAGAATAAGTTGTCAAAACTCATATTACTCATAACCTACCACGTTGAATGGATTTTTATATTTGCTGTGGTATTCATTGTGAGCATGGTTTAGGAACTTGAGTTTATGCCCATCAGGAGCATTGGAGTTTATATGCATGCTTTAGTTCACGTTATAGTACTTGCGGACGCAGTCGATGCTTTATTTTGGTAGAATGAAGGACCGGAGGGCCTGGAAACCTAGTTTTTGTTTCTGTGATCCTCCGCGTATACCAGGCTAAGAAGCAATCTGGTCTCTTTGTTCTTTTGCTAGGATTTAACTTTTGAGCGAAAATCAGTTCATCTAATATGTTGCTCCTGGATGTCGTAGAATGAAATGGAGAAGCGCAAGGTTGCAGGTATATTGTCATACATCACTCATCTTATCAAATTCAAGGATAGGCATTCAATGGATGGTGTTTCATCAGCCAAGAAACACAGATTTCCGCCCATCTTGTTCCAGAGATTTTTTTCGTTGTTTACCCCTTCAGAGTCTAATAGAATCCCTGGTGACAAAATGGACCTTCTTATTAACTATATTCTGGTGCTTACTCTGTATGCTGACGAATTTAAATCAGATTTTTCTGACATAAAAAAAGATTTAAGAATGTCTGCTGGAGAGTTGCGAAACTACTTTGACTACTTGGGTTGCAAGATTGTGAGAGAGAAGGAAATGACGCTTGCCACCCTGCCTCTGCCATTGCATTTTCGGGATGGTCATAGGAAGCGGCAGCGGCGAGTGTAAATGGTCAACTGTATGTATTGTCTTCCTGGATTGTCAGCTTGTCAAAATGGAACCAAATGTGTTGAAGTTTTGAGCATCGCATCATGAAGATTGAGAAGGAAAAGGAAAGATAATATTGTTGGCACAGGTGAGGTTTGGTATTATGTTGGGAATTCAACTGGTTTTGTAGTGTTGGTATTTGGAGATTGGAGGCAAAGAAATGTAGGGTCCTGTTCCAAATATGTTAAACTCTCAGTAGTTTGGATTCTAGCTTTTTTAATTAAGTTTTTGAACCTGGCTTGATATATGATTACTCTGGAGTATATATACATTACCTTTTATCTATGTGTATCCTCAATGTTTTTGTATCCTTCCAACAATTTGTAATAGTAGTTCAGACCGAATGATGACAGGAATTGCATAATCCAATGTTGAAAATTTCCTTTGTGGCTAGATGCAAAACAAAATGTGGATATTACGTCATTCTCTATGCTACATGGCTAATTTTCTTCTACTCTACTACATAACACTATAACAGTAACTAGTCCAAGGTGAAAAATAAATGGACCAAGCTATAGTGACAGCCAAGAAAGAAAAATTATTCTGTATAAATCTAGATTAATCTCCAAGATGATGATGCTGAAAGTTTGTTGTCAAGATCTGGTCTTGAACTTCCTTTGAGCTTTCAGATCTACAACGATGACAGATATATGTTATCCCTACTTCCCTTTTGAAGAGCAAGCATGGAGAGGTAGTCTGCAGGCGCTCGCGCTGCAGGATCGACCCCTTGTCGCCTTTCAGGAAGAGGGTTAGCACCATTCTTCTTGTGCCAAATCAGTATACGTCTCCTAGCTACTTCACGAGCTTCCTCGTACATCCCACAAACCATCACTGGCCAAAACAAGACACTCGTCCTCCCTGTGGCTCGGGGTAAGAATGTGACTTCTGGGATAGGTAAGAATGTAAACTAGTGAGTACCTTATCTTGCAGATGTTTGAGCAAATACTCGCTTCCACCAGATATTATGGCCAGCATGTGAAAATTCAGTTGGACAATGTTTGGTGCAGACGTCGATACTAAATTTGACAGGGAAAGTTAGTAAAGTCAGAACTGTACATATAAATATCCATATAAATATGGTTAACCTGGTAAACAAACTCACATTTGCTTGGATGATCAGCAGCAACCATAATTCCTTCCTCAAAAGCAAAACCCATGGCAGTCGTTCTCCTTTCAAATTTAGGGCCATGGGGTGGAAAAGAAGACTACCAGAGAAAAAGAAAAATCATTATTTCAAAATAAAGCTTACAGATCAAACCTTTTTTTTTTTTTTTTTTGACGAAGATCAAACCTTGATAAAAAGGTAAACAAGAAAAAACTTACGCCATCCTCATTTAGATAAATTCGCCGGCGCGTTAGGGGTTGAAAAGGTTTGGTCGTGGTTCTAGTAAACCTTATGTTTTTAAACCTCTCTCTCCCCGTTTGCTGACCAAAAGCAACATCAAGTGGTTTGCTAACCACCATTTTCCCATTCATCTTTGCAACCTGCCAACAGCAAAAATAAAAAATGCTTAATTAGCTTCCACAAATAACATTGATCAGCACCCAATTGTGAAGAAATTTACTCTCAGCTTCGCAAGCTTCCACCAGATCAGAGAAAGCAACAACCCCTATACCACTGTGCATCCCACTAGGACAGCGCATAAGCTATATAACACAATGGAAAAGCCCACAGCCAATTCTATCAAAGGCGGCCGCTTGTACGATTCGAAGATTAGGCAACTGAAAAGAATGAAAAACCAAAAAAAAAAACCCAAGTTGAACCTTGCATTTAGCTATGGTGCCGAACTCAGAAAACAGTTTCTTCAGCTTATCATCATCAATGGTGTCATCTAAATTCCCTATCTCCAAATTCTGTGTTTTGCTCAAAGGGAGTCTTACAAAGAAGAAGTTCCTCCTCCTTCAATCGGAGCAAAATGAACAAAATCAAAACTGATGGGGGTTATGGCCTACTATTCCTAAAGCTAATAAGATTCTTAAATCTAAAATAACTAGTAGTACAAGTTCTTTTACCTTCTTCGCGGATTTTGACCAATCTTTGTTCAGAACTTTTTAAGGCTTTCCCAACTTTTTCCCTCCCAAAACGGTTTCTTTTCAATGTTTAACAATTTCTCAATTCCCCCCCTAAATAATCTATAACTTGTTCTATTCAACCCCCCCTCTTTTTGGTCCCTTACAGCCAAGCAACAACAGCACCATTAACTTAATGACTTTCATACTACAGTATTTTTTTTCTTTTAAAGTATTATTTCATTAGCACTTATGTTTAAAATTGATAGCCATTGAGAATTTTAACCCTATCGCTTGTTATTTATTCATTCGATACTTCTCTCTCTCTTTTCTCTCTCTCTCTTTTTTTTTTTTGGTTGAAGGTTTTCTAATACTTGTTGTTTGTAAGTAGTGCAATATATGTATGCTAATTTTCTAACATTTTCTATTTGTTAGTGGAATGGATAATATAATGAAAATTTTTAGGATTATTATTAGTAGAAATAAATTGTTCATTTTTCAAAACATCAAGTAGTGGCTCTATTTTATTTATTTTTGAAATAAAAACTATATTATATTAACTAGAAATCGTCTATTAACAATTAATAATGAAAGATACACTCGAAACAATAACAAAATTTATAATCGAACCTATTAATATTGCTATGTTTCATGTGAATAAACTTATTTAGATTTATATAATACAATGATGACTATATCACGTGTCTAATAATTGATCTAGCAAAGAATATATTTCTAATCATCTAAAAAAACCCCTAAATCATATATCCATGGCATAAATTTATAATGAGTTAATCTTCTCGAACCGCACATTGTAAAGCAGCAACTATAACTACAAATAACGTAATAACAATACGGAAGATATTACGAATGGTGCAAGAAAATATATACCCTTTGTGAACAAATCTCACTAATTAAACGATAAAAATAACTAAAAACTAGAAAAGAAAAATCAATTCCCCTTTTCGATCCATGAGGAAGTGATGTCTCTATTAGGAGCTATGCAAAGCTTATGCATAGACAATATATGATATCATCACTACACTACAGGAAATGTTATTAAGTTTTCTTAACTAATGCTTGTATGTTTGTTTATATTCTTGCCACAATTGATCCACAGGTTTCCCGAGCAACTGAACAAAAAACTCATCACTAAAATCATCCTTCATCTTCTTATTAAATTCCGCAACAAACCCTCCCTTCAAGCTTTCCAAATACACAAAGAACCGCGCAGTAACAATATACCCTGCATCCCACCGCTCATTTTCTCCGGGCTGCTGTTGCAACCACGATCCTGGCGCCAACCCAGCTACAATCATCATGTAATTAGCAATGCCTTCGATGACTCCAACGTTTTTATTGTTCCCAAACCACTGCCAAACCTGTGTGTTTTCATGGAACATTATTGCTGATACCTCTGTTTTCAGGTCGCACCCCTCGAAACTAGTAAAGTTCTGTACGAACGAGGCGCTTAGTTTGGTTTCATTCCCTACGGTCACGGCGATTTGATCAACTTTGTCAAGGTACCAACTCACCTGTGTGTGTCCTCTTGTTTCGTCCATTGATTTCTGATTGAAAACCTTCCAGATGAACTCTGTGGAGTTTTTCAGGACATTTCGGACGTAATCCACGCCCATTTCACGGTCGAATCGTTGGCCACCGCGGCTGTTTGGGACTTTGTTTTCAACTATGTAGTCCAGTCCATGGCTTCCTTGGATTTGGAGCAAGGCAAAGGATAACAAGGTGAAGAAATTTATAAGCATTTGAGCCATTTTGAACCTTTTTTTTTCTTTTGGTCTCAAAGGTTTTTTCGTGTGTATAAATAATTATCACTATTTAGTTTTCTATCATGTAAGGCCAAGCCATTTTTTATTAAATTTATTCCTATTTCAATTTCTTCATGACAACCCGTCTTTCTCTCCCTCTCTGTTGAGTTTTTTTGAAAAAAAAAAATTTGGATGTTAGTTTTTGCGTTGATTAAGTCCTTCTCTTGAGGCCATAATAAATGATTTGCAACAATGTATTGTTGTTTCTAGAATAATTGCTCCGAAAAAAAAAATTAAACTAAACAATAATTATAAACCGCTGAAAAAAAAAAAAAGAAAAAAGAATAGGAACATCAAGAAGGTAACATCAATGACCAACATGTTCTGACCGTGAAATTCATCATGTAGCGTGATACCGTCCATTTTTTCCTAAAGTTCTTTCTAGTTTATTAACTGATTGCGTTAATTTACTTTTGGAAGAAGATTGATGATTTTTTAGGGACATCGGTATAAGAATAAAATAAAATAAAGAGCGAATAGTATGCTACATAAATTATATCACTATTCTCCTAGGGTACGCTACACCTACTATGTCGTGGTTAAGCCACCAAAATACGTCTAGTGAGGGTGAATCCAGCCTTATAAGACTGGTTGGATTTATCACCGCCGGCGTAGCCAAATAATCAATAAACAAAATTATATTCTCTATGACTATGACGAAATACCACCGTCCAATCTCTCAATAAAAGCTCCCCGATGGCTCGCAGCAGACCTTCATGCTCGCACGGAGGTCTATTCCTGTCAAGTACCATTTGCACTACACTTTGGTTGTCCACTTCAGCTTCCAGTCTTCGGTACCCCTTATCCCAGGCCAAACATAAACCTTGGAACAGCCCCCCAGAGTTAGTGGAACACAGTTAGGGCGTTTATATGAATTGACGAATCAACTTTGTTCATCTTCGGCTTATTTTTTTGTTTTTGGTTTTAGATCTTAAGTGAGAACGAACGATTTCGTCTACCATGCACCGGAATCTCTCTTACCGCTTTTGAGGAGGCCGTTTGAGGGCCAATATTTCAGTAGTTTTGGATGTGACTTTTTTAATGAAGTTTTTTTAACCTGGCTTCATGTATATTACTCTGGTCCACTTGTTATCTATTTGTATCCTCAATTTCAAATGTTGAGATTTCACTCAAAAGAAGTTTTGCAACAACTTGCAGACAAGGAATTTCGTAATCCGGTGTTGGAAATTTTCTTTTGTTGCTAGTGGCTACCATGATATAAAAGCAAAACAAAATTTGGATATTACGTCATATCTCCAGAGTTGGTATAATATTGGTTACATTGGCTAACTTTCTTCTATTGACGTACACAACTGTAACAAGTCCATGGTGAAAAATGAATGGACCAAGCTATCTACCAGCCAAGCAAAGCTTTATGATGTATAAAACTATATTAATCTCCAAGATGATGCTTAAAGTTTGTTGTCAAGATTTGGTCTTGAACTTCCTTTGAGCTTTCAAATCTACAACGATGACAGATACGTTATCCCTACTTCCCTTTTGAAGAGCAAGCATGGAGAGGTAGTCTGCAGCCGCTTGTGCTGCAGGATCGACCCCTTGTCCCCTTTCAGGAAGAGGGTTAGTACCATTCTTCTTGTGCCAAATCAATATACGTTTCCTAGCTACTTCACAAGCTTCCTCATTTGTCATAACATCCCACAAACCATCACTGGCCAAAATAAGACACTCGTCCTCCCTGGCTCGGGGTAAGAATGTGACTTCTGGGTTAGGTATGATTGATGGTTTTAGGTAGCGATCACCTGCACCAATGAGATAAAGCCAATAAATACGCGAGGGCAACAGTGCCTACTGGAGCTATGATAATTGTGAACTCGGAACCTGAAATTTTAAAGGAAAAAAACTCACCTATAGATCTTGACATTGCAAGTACTCCATATACACGGTAGCCATTCCACTGTATGACTTTGCCCCCAGATGCTTCAATTCTAGCATACTCATCTTCTCGGTTCGGCTGTTCAGAGATATTTTTTTGAAACAGAGGGAAAAAAAAAAAAGATTAGTTCTCCTCTCCTTCAGCGATAATTCCGCTCACCAATAACCAACAAAATGTACACAAAAGTGGGGAAAAAGAAAACTAGAAAACATTTCTTACTTTATGATCAACCGACAATGGAATAGCTTCTTTGCCACGGTAAAGAACTGCTCTTGAGTCTCCACAGTTTGCAACTATGATATGGGAAGAACAAAGAACTGCCACCACAGCAGTGGAACCCACAGTCTCAGGAGCTACCGGTTCAGATGTATGGATGCAGGCATCAGCACCACAATCAGGAGATACAGTCCGGCTGATATTTCCTCCAACTTCATCGTCCACCTTTAAAAAACAATTAGAAAAGACCTTTTCCCACTGCAGTTGCCGAGTATCTACCAGGGTTTCCTCTAAGGAATCGTCTTTTATGATTCTTACCTCCTCAGACAAGGCCAAATGGATTCGATCGCGACAATAGTTAGCAATCTGCAAAGGAAAATTTCATATCTTGTGAGCTTCCCTGACACCAAGTCCTAGTTGAAAAGAACTGTCAGGACAATAACTGCATGACAAGAAGTTGTGTATAGACTATAAACCAAGCAGCGAACAAATCCTTCTCTGGATTGCAAAGACAAATCTTTTTGGGGAATAACTAATAAGAGAAGTTATCGGCTGGAAATAACCTCTATCAGGAATATTAAAAAGCTAATACATCGTCATGACAAATTTTAGGCAATGTACTCATTTGAAAGTTACCAATCAAGCTACCAAAAGTTATCAATGAGAACATGCTGCCATCAAAGTTAAAAATGCAATAGTAAGAGTCATGCCGCGTACCTGCGATCCTCCGTGACCATCATAAACTCCAAAAAAGTGAGAATTTAAGTGAGTCAATGTCTGGCTGACACCATCTCCAATTCGGTCACCAATCAACATCTTTATAGGAATTCTCATGAAATGTGGTGCAACCATTACTGCGTCTTCCATTTCTGGCCTCTCTCCACATATAGAAGCAGATCCCCAAAGAGGTAAGCATTCTAGTTCATAAACACTCTTCACATTTCCTTTTATAGGTTCTTTCTCATTCGGCAATTGAAGAGCTACAAAAGATGCCTTTAGTTTTGGTTTTTTCGGGTTGTCATCAATGGGGGTAGATGCAGCAGTAGAAACAACGTCTCTTTCTTCCAAGCTAATAACTTTAGCAACTATCTGACCATTGTCAATGCCCTCGATTTCAACAGCTATAGGTAAGCTAATTTCCGGTCTCGTCTCTAGTGGGACCACCTCCACACCATTGATTTTATTATGATCATCTCTAACCAATAAAATCTCTTCCTCTTCACTTTCCTGCATTATAACATCTACCACAATCTCATCATTTTGTGGCTTTTCCACAACCTGTGAAAACTCAGGTATTCCGATAGTCCCTTCGGTCATTGTACTATTGCAACTTCCATCCCTACCAGAACTTGAAACAGCATGCAACAGCATGTCAGCAGTACTACCCCCAGTTATTGTACCACTGCAGCTTCCATTCCAACTAGATCCAGAATCAGAATGCAAAGACATATCCATACTACCCTCAGCTTTCATACCATCGCTATTCCCATCCCAACTAGAACTGGAATCAGCATCCAACAAAGAAGCTGAATCTGACAACAAGATGGCTGTGTCTGTGACTATCTTCAGTCGTGTAATCTCCATATGATTTGACATTGTCGAATTATCACACATAGGACCACCTAAGCCAAGAGTAACTGCAACTGCTGGAGGAGACATCTCTTCCATCAATTTGTTACAGGCTTAGCAAACTAATTATACCAATCAAGCTCTTCAGACTTCCCAGAGTCAACAACAATTCTCTAGTTCATTCATCTACCTCCAAAATGCTGAATGGTAAGAAGGCCACAACCAATAGTGAAATATTTAAAACTGGAAAGTTATTCTATTAGGTCTCTAATCAAGCTGGTTTTGGATGGACAAAAGAGAAGTTTCGGATTGTTGGAAAGCTAAAGTCAACAGCAAATCTAGACAAGAAATCTAAACGGTAGGCTCATCAAAACAGCAAACAACAGCCGGATTTTACACAGGAAGTCAAAGAAGGGTGCTCAGATCTGGAGCACAGATGGATCTAACATTCCAACTTCAGAAAATTAGGTTCACAACCAACAGGGTCTCCACTCCCCCCCCGAGTTATTTGATGCTAGAAAAGAACTAAACCAAGAATACCAAATCCCATGTCCATCACCAACTCTTATAAAGACTGAACCAGGAGGAAGAAGACAAATTAATTAAATCCTTATCCACACACTGATCCAGAAGCGGAAAGGAAAAGAACTCCATGGAAAGAAAGGTAAACACGAATCACAGGAAAAAAAAAAACTATGTAAATAGATTGTCTTTCCGCCACATGGAACTTTGGTTTCAGGGATCTAATGTAATTCCTACCAGCCTCACAAAAAATTTCTTTAAAACTTTCACTCAAAAATTCGATCTTTTCATCTCCACCTTCAAAAAACCAACAAACTTTCCACCTAAGAAGAAAACTTAAAAGAATCTCGAAATGACTAAATTCGACACGTATTACATCTTCGAGATGAAGTCACAACTTAGATTCTACTTTAAGAATCTGAAAGTGGCAAAAACAAACTTAAATTTTTGAAGATCAAGAATTGGGTCACCACCAACAACCCATAAAAAAAAAAAGAAACAATCAAGAAATAAACTTGACACTTACAATCAACAAAACCGAGAAGAGAGCTTGACCCAAAAGCTGAAATCAAATCAAAATCCTCTCTTTAGATACTCTGTAATCTCTTAGCTAACAGGACCAGTAAAATATAATACCAGGTTTTGCAAGATTTTTTCTTTTCCTTCTGGGCATGAAGAAATTAAGGTTAGGTGTACTGTACTGTATACCTAGGTGGAAAAGCTTTTACTACTGGGGGTTCACTCCAACAGAGGACACGTGTAGATTCAATTATCTGACTCCAATCAATGCTCATTGACAGCGGGCCAAAAAAATAACAATAAAAATAATGTAAAGAACGAAATTTTGCTTTAAGGGAAAAGGTTTTGCTTACATTATGGATTAAACTAGTAGTTTCCTTGGCTGGCTAAGGAATGAGGATTATAACAAGGCTCCTTTCATGGACTTTTTTTTTAATAAGACAAAAGAAAAAAAAAAGAAAAAAAGAAAACTTCAAACGAGAAATGGCAACGTGTCCATACTTCCTGGGCAGCTCAACCTAAAAAGTCTCCAATAATCATGTGCTTTTGCCTTTTGTTGTATTGGAAAGAAGGAAAGAAACATAAAAAAAGACCTGTTTTCTTTTCTTTTTTCACATTTAATTTACAGCTTTTTTTAACTTTTTTTTTACTTCCTAACTACCATACTTTATTTCTTTTACTATTACCATGGAGAGAAGATTAGATGAGATTTCTTGTTTTGGTCCCTAGTATTTTGAGAAATAAGTTTTTTGGAATCTATAAATTCGGGGATTTGATCAAGTTTGTGTTTGAAACTTTGAATGTTCCCATAGAGAACACACAAAGTGTAAAATTCTTTCTATCGATGAAAGTAGTATTGAAAAAATTAAATAAATTGTCACGGTTATTATAGTATACTATTATTTTAATACAATAAACATAATAACCATATTATCGAATTTGAGCACTGCTTAGAGTATATGTACTTCCATTTCTTTTTTACCTAGGAAAAAATTGTGACTATATAAATATACAAAGAATGATAACTGTCCTTCACAATATTGTTACAAACACGCATTTTTGTATTGACTCAATCAATCTAAAGCAAACGAATACCGTGATAAGTAATGTAGGTGGTTCATAGTCATTCTTGTTTTTGCATCTCATACCTCATGTGGTAAACTTTTTTGCCATACATAAGCCATTATGAATAATGATAATCTAGAATTTAACTATAATTTGTCCTAGTATCCAAGAAGAAAAATAGTTTCCTCTTAAAGAAAGGTGGACATATTTAGCCAATCATTAATTAATTAAACTACATGATTGGAATTGATGTATGATGTTATCTTACCGGAAATTTTAATTATTAAATTCAAATTTCTCACTCTAGAATATAGTTATAACTTTTGCTGACCCTTCTAAAATAAGAACATCGTTACACTTGTATTGAAATAGTTGAATATTTTGATAATTTAACAGTTTGATCCGAATTTGCACCTTTAGGACAAGTAGTGCTGATTTGTTGACCCTGAACTTTGGATCAAGCGAGGCGAACTACAAGTTAAATGGATTAAACTTTGTTTTTGTCAAACGAAATTTGCAAAAAAAAAAAAAGTGCTAATAACAAAAGTCAATACAAAAAAAGGAGACCTGGTCAGAGGACATAAAAGAGAGGTGCAAAATGTAAAATAGAACCAGCTAAGACATTTTGTTAGGAATACCAGGTTTTTGGAAAAAAGGGGAATTCAAACGTGAGAAATTAAAGAGGGTTTTATGGTCCTAAGATTTCGATCATAATTCTCCACAATAAAAAGGGAAACGTTAAAACAAAAAACAACAATCTGTGAATTGTTTTATTCATATCACCATCTTTTAGGGTGTATAGTACCATTGTACCCTTGTGAACGTGCCCATTTTTGCTGGTTCGTTTTTTTTTTTTCTTTTCTTGAAATATTGATATTTATCAATATTAATTAATTAGAAGCTTTCTTTCTTTCGTTTTAGTTCATTTTTTTTCCCTTGTCTGATTTGGAGACGAGTAAAATGGGGGGATCACGTTCACAGGAGTCGATGGTGAATGCAGCAGTAGCAATAGACAAGGACAAGAACAGCCAATTTGCTGTGAAATGGGCAATTGACAACCTTAATATCTGTGGTTTCATCACCATCGTTCATGTTAAAACTCAGCTCAATTTGTCACCCAGTACGTCAACTTTTATCGTATCTTGATTTTCGGCATACACAAATTTTATTTTAGGACGAAAGATGTAATAATAAAAAAAGAGCGGTCTTTGATGAACAAAATTATTGCGTTAAGAGTTTTCCAATTGATATGGACAATAATTTTTATTTTTTATTTTTTCCATTTGGAGTTAAATGAGAGAATTATTTTCAAATAATACTAATAATAATAAACGAGAGATTTGAGCTTACATTATTTATTATTTATTTTTATTGTTTTCTACAGAAGAAGCTGTTCCCAAAGAAGGACGTGCACCAACCCAAGAAGAATTGAAGCAATTCTTTCTTCCGTATCGTGGATATTGTGCTCGGAAAGGGGTACATTCATAGTAAATCTGAATTTTTTTATTTATTTTTTTTTTTTGCCTGAAATTAGACCCGGGAAATGGAATATTATGTCAGTTTATGGATGATGGATCATTTTAAAAATAAAAAATAAAAAAAAATCCTAAATAATTAACTCAATTTTCAGGTTCGAGTGAATGAGGTGGTTCTTAATGACGGTGATGTTGCAAGTGCATTAGCTGAATATGTTATCGACAATTCCATTGCCGCAATTGTGCTTGGTTCTTCATCTAGAAGTGCACTAACTAGGTATACCCTCAATCTCTCTTCAATTGTTATTTTATTCCTGTTTATTTTTTTTATTAAACCGTCTCTTGTAAAAAAAATATTTGAAGTACTCAAATTAAAGGATATCAATACTCATTTCATCTCGCCCGTATAATATACATGCAAATGTCGTCGTGTCTATTTTTTTTTTTTTTGTTGATATTAGAACTCATTCCCTGGCATATATTTGAGTGCACAATTTTTTCAATAGATTAGATTTAGGTCATGTAGAGCTTGAATATTAGCAGAGGAGGGATTTATCCTAGATGGGTATATATAACATTGTTGATGTTATCTCTTTTGTGGCATTTTACTCAACAATATGATGAAGAGAGCTCACAGATTCTTCTGGCTGTGTCTTTGTCATCCAAACAGGGCATTTAAGAACCAGGATATTCAAGCTAGCCTGGTGAAATCCATCCCAGATTTTTGTTCGGTTTACGCTGTATCCAAGGTGAAATCTCAACTCTTGAAAAGCGCCAAAAGATCTCCCAACCCTAACAGCTTTGCTGGCTCCAGACACCCCAATTCTCAAACAGGATCTTTGCCTGGAACCCCACTTTCTGAGCAATTTTACAGGTAACACTCCCCCCCCAAACCATGGAAAAGCCTTGTTTCCACATTTTATCATTTTTGGAAAGGCTTCTGTAATCCAAATACGAATTCCCAAAATGAATGCTTACAGCTTCAGGATGTGATGAAAATTTTGATTGCTGAATGATCTTATATATATGCTGCAGCCAGGGGAGTTGGAGAAGTTCAGATTCGGATGATGGAGCATATTCGGCTAAAAGTAGCGACTTCATGCCGGGGAATTCGAGGAATAGCCCAAGCAACAGCAAGTTTTCTTCTCCACAACATTCAGGATATAATTATAATGCCATTCCAAGGGATATGCAATCCAGCAACAGGAACACATCGCCCCGGCATCCTTTATTCGGTGGCAGCAGTCCTGATAAGCAATCCAACAACAGCATGAGTACGTCGCCCTTCAATCCAATGTACAGTGGCAATGGCATGAACAGAAGCAAGATTCCACCGTCCCCTGTTCATCGACAGACTCAAGGAAGTCCATCCGATTCTGTTTCCAGCTCCAGCGATCGCTCAGGGCCAATGAGTTTCCAATCGTCTAGCATGTCCTTTGAGCAACTTGACCAGCCGCGTTCATCAGATGCTTCAAGGAGCTCCTACATCTTGCCAAATCAGGTATGTTGTAAAATGTGGGATTCATTAGTTTTAGAAATTGACAGTTGACAGGATATAGCCTAAGGATATTATTTAACTGTCTAATATTGACAATAAAAAGTAACACTTAGTTAACGCTCGATGAGGCCTAATGTGTTTCTTGATGCTTTAGAGTTCCTAACATTCAACTCTTGCGGATCACCCGATGATTTGAATCCCATTGGAATGACATGATTTCTCTCAGATTAGAGCTAATAATGAGACACTAAAACTAGAATGCAAGCAATGTGAATCAAAATTTTGTACTAAAATCCAGTCACGGATGTGTTACAGGGAGAGTTGGAGGAAGAAATGAGGAGATTGAGACAAGAACTGGAGCGTACCATGGAAATGTACAATTCAGCCTGTAGAGAAGCATTAGCAGCCAAAGATAAGGTAACACTCTTGTCTGAAATATCTGGTAATTCTAAAATCTAGTGCGACGCAGGTAGAAAAGAGATCCTTGTGGTTCAGTCCTAAGTATGAAATTTGTTCCCAGGCTAATGAAGTTGATATATGGAAGTCGAATGAAGCACGTAAAATTGAAGAAGGCAGAGCTGCTCAGGAGGCTGCAGTGGTTTTGATGGAGATGGAGAAGACTAAGTGCAAAGCGGCTATTGAAGCCGCACAAATGGCTCAGTGCCTAGCAGAATTGGAGAGTCAAAAAAGAAAGCAAGCAGAAATGAGATTGCTGCAGGAGTCAGAAGAGAAGAAGAAAGCCATGGATGCATTGGCGCGCTGCGACGCTCGGTACAGAAGGTACACCATAGAAGAAATTGAACAAGCAACAGATCATTTCTCCACTTCAGAGAAGATTGGTGAAGGAGGGTATGGCCCTGTTTATAAAGCCCATCTTGATCACACGGCTGTTGCTATCAAGGTGTTGAGGCCAGACATTTCTCAGGGACAGCAGCAATTTCAAAGAGAGGTATTTGAACTTTTTCTATGTTTCAGATTAGACACATCATATATGTTTAAACTTTAAACATGCTGTGCAAAAAGATTGCATCTGCTATGCCATGCTTTCCCATTACAGTAATTGAACCACAATAATCTGAAACATGTCCATCTTTCACTCTAATATAGATGAATGTCAGAATAACTTCCATGATAATCACAAATCTACTACATTAAAAAATGCTTGATAGCCTAAGTTACTGTTATCTATCAGTTCACTGTCGTTGTAAGAGAATTTTCAGTGAGCAAAGAACAATCATGAGTACTTCATAATATGATTACCTGGTGAAGAATGATCCATAAAGAAATTTGTCTAACCTTCCGAGTTTCCTGATGGAATGTACTAAACAGTCTAATCTAAACATGCAGATTGAGGTGCTAAGTCGCATGAGACATCCAAACATGGTTCTGTTATTGGGTGCCTGTCCCGAGTACGGGTGCCTTGTTTATGAATACATGGAAAATGGAAGCTTGGAAGATAGGCTTTTCTGCAGGAATGGCAGCAGCCCTATACCCTGGAGAGTTAGGTTTAGAATAGCAGCTGAGATCGCAACAGCCCTTCTCTTCCTTCACCAAACAAGACCAGAGCCTCTTGTTCATCGTGACCTCAAACCTGCCAACATTCTCCTAGACAAGAACTACGTGAGCAAGATTGGCGACGTCGGCTTGTCAAGACTAGTTCCGTCATCAGTGGCTGACAGTGTTACTCAGTATCATATGACTGCAGCAGCTGGAACATTTTGCTACATCGATCCAGAGTATCAACAATCTGGCATGCTTGGGACCAAATCTGACATATACTCATTTGGTGTGGTGTTGCTACAGCTCATTACAGCAAAGCCTGCAATGGGTCTGACATATCAAGTTGAAGAAGCAATTGAGCAAGGCACATTTTCAAGTACACTGGATCCAAGGGTAGCTGATTGGCCAGTAGAGGAGGCTTTGTCATTGGCCAAGTTAGCTCTGCAATGTTGTGAACTTCGGAAGAAAGATAGGCCAGACCTCGGAACAGTCGTTTTACCAGTACTTGAACGACTACGAGATCTTGGATATGATGCTGAAGCAACAGGTGATGGTGTGAACGCCAATCTTCAAAACCAAAATTCTCAGGAAAGCTTGCCTTTCAGTATGGTCAGTAAGCCACCTTCCCCAAAACAAAAAAATCAGAAAACTGATAGAATAAAAGCAACCATAGTGGCAAACAATATAAGCAAATCCCGTCATAGATAACAATCTTCTTCGTAAATTACATGTGCTGATACTATGACTTTTTGTTATGTTTAACCAGGGAGCAAGCAGCAGTAATTCTGGATCTAAAATGGATTATCTATGCTCATAAAACTTCACAGAGTGGCAGCAGTTCCCTTGAAGAAGAACGTTCTCAATCAAGTCTGGACGATGGACCAAGAAACCAGATTGCCTCCTAGTTTTTTTTTTATTTTGTTCATTTATACCAGACATGGTCCCTTGGGATTCCTAGAGCCCAATATTGCGCATGCCCAGCACTGTAAATTAAGCCTGAAGTTGTGGCTATATTCATTGTGATGCTGTAGGCCAGAAGTTTAAACTCAGTTTTATGAGGATATGACTCAAAACCTATATCTTGCAAAGCCAACACATTGAAATTTCTTTTTAGACAAAACTCAATGAATATCCATGCTTTCGAATTCCAGTTCAAGTTTACTTCAACTCGTAATGACTATATCTTGTAAAGGCAAAATTACAGTTAATCACAGTTTGATGAGGTTCCCAATTTACAAAAGAATACATCCTGCCCGCACAATAAAAGATCCTTGAAGGATACTTTTTTTTGAGGTCGCACCTAATGGTGCTTTGGAGGTACCTAGGCTATTACAACGAGGGTAGATGACTGATTTCCTAGGTTCCAACACCTAGTATAAACAAGCATGCTCCTTTTCGAAGGCAAGGCATTATACAAATTTCACAGAAAGATTAAATGAACAAATACCGGTCATTGAGGTGCCTGATTTGATGAACCAGGACAAAGTTCGCACAGGCTTGACACAAGTAGCAAAGAAGATTGGCAATCAGACATGGTTGAAAACAGCACGTACCCAATGCCTAATAAAAATAAAAAGCAGAAGCTCTCAAGATAACAAACAGATGGAAGTGGACAGAATACAATAAAGTACTCCCTCTGTCCCAAAATTATTGTCCAGTTTGAGATTTCACTTTTAATACATTTAGAGCTAAAAATGAAAACTCAAACTGGACAATAATTATGGCACGGAGGGAGTACTTTCAATCTTAATGAAAAAGACTTAACAAGAGAGATACATGGGAAGATTAACTTGTAAGCTTGAAGTGCAAAATTTGAGGCATCTAAACTACAAGCTAAAATGCCAAGCAGATGTTTGAGTGTGTTACAGGAACAAGGAAGTTCCAATAAACAAAGGATTCATTTTCAAGGAAATTATAGAATGGAGTAGAAAAACTTTGAAATCAACAGTCCAATGGCAAATAGGAGAAACTAACAATTGCACAGGCCAACCTTGACATGGTAACATTTTTGGAACGATTCTCGATTTGCCTGCAGTATGTATTTATATCTACAATCTTGAAACCAGCTCCTACAAACAACGAGGTCAAGAAATCCTCTGAAAAGTAAAATGAGCACTGAGGAGATGTTAGTACAGAATAATTAGGGAACACTAAAGACAATTACAAACAATAAGGGCAATTATACATCCAAGTTGTACACAATACTTACAGTACCATCTCCTCTGAAGCAGAAGTTTTCATCAATTATTTGATTTCTCCTCTGTAACTTCACCTGAATAAATGGGAACAGTTAAAAGAACTTTGTAAGATGAAAAATGGTTAACTGATTTAGATGCGCTCTTCATTTAGGAAATTTTACTAGGAAACTACAGGGCTAAGAATGTATACAATCAATACATGAGCTGTGGTAAAGAGCGAATTGCATAGTTTCAAACATAATCCACTCCTCATTGATCCACACATAATTCCTGCCTCATTAAGAATTTGAAGTTGTTTACAGGGTTTAGAAATAGCTTTTATCTAACTTGAAGTATACATTGAGTGAAAAATTCAATGTGAAATAAATATGCATAGCATAGTAGAAGGATGTATTGACATCAAAGACAAAGTAGATAAATAAATGGAAAAATGAACTTACCTGAGCAGAATCTCCAAGTGCATAATCTCGTAAAAGAATGTGACCATTTGGCTGTGGAATTAGAATAGGTTACATAAAATGACACTTTTTCCAAACCCAGAAAACTAGAGAAGTGAAAAACCAAAACAGCAGAATCATATTGAAATACCTTCAGAATTGTTTTCAGGTTCTGCAACACCTGAGGCATTTTATTTGGTGAAACTGCAGACAACATAAATATCTATCTTAAGTAGTTAGTCATTCGTCAGCTTCTCATTCTGCATAGATATATATTAATTCCATAGGATGTACATGTGTGTGGATCTTGTGAATTGGCTACGCACATTGTGAGCTGTCCAAAACTAACAAGTATTTTAAATAATTTTAAGAAACAAATAAAATTAAAAATCTTAGGCTGCACTTCTTATACATCTCTCGCCTACTTACCATAGTAACAACATCAACAGAAGAAGGTCTAATCCAATTGCAGAGGTCATCTTTGGCAATGTCGCAAACAAAGACATCTATTCGTTCATCCTTGAAACCCGAATGCAACTGCACTCGGTATGACATTCAAATTTATGCGGACTCAGTTAAATTCAGTACATTGTGCAATAAATCAATATACATGTTAATGCAATGCATATAGATGAAAAGCACACTCAAGCAGAATACTTCCCTTCAATTTCAACAATATCTCAATGCAGACGCTAACAAAGTTCAGCAACTAAATTCGGGATTCAGGAATGAAGTAGCTAAATTGTTGAAAATATTTTGATTGAAATTTTCAAATAATACAATGTGAGTCACCCGAAATTTTTATTTTTCAGAGGCAAGAAAACTCAGCTCATTCAATACAAATCCTGTAACCGTTCTTGCGACCATATCGCAGAAAACAACCTAGACAGCAAAGTTAAGGAAACATATTAAAGGACAAACCTTCACAAGACGGACAGCCTCAGAGGAAAAATCACAAGCGTGAACGAATACATTAGGATATGCAGCAACAAGTGGAAAGAGAGTGTTCCCAGTTCCACAACCCACCTATTAAATGGCACCAAACAAACAATACTAAGAACCAAAGTACACAGCATTAAAGACACAATATCTAAACAAAACTGTGGAAAGGGCTGCCTAAAATTCCATCATAGAGAGTAATTTTCCGGTAAATTTACCTCCAGAACAACCTTTCGAATGCTTGATTCTGCACCGCTGGCATCATTACTGTCGCAGAAATACTTTCCCCAATCCTTCTCCAAGTAATGCCTATCCTTAAAGAACTATCCCATTGTCCCAAACACATATAAACATCAGCTCAATGAATTTTCCGTATCAAGATAACATTTTTAGCCTGAAATTGGGATAATAAAATGCAAACCCAATTAAGGGCCAATCAAATTCACCTTGTTCTTATGGCGCTTGTAGAACCTGTCCCAGAAATGACGCGAGTTTCTGCTGTAGTAGTGTTCTTCCACTCCTTCTTCCTTTGGAATTTGAGCAGAATGTGAGGACCCACATCTTACTGTACAGACACGAGGATTGTAGTAGCTTTGTTGACGAGGATCATTCGGTGAGATTGGACCTATAAAGCATGGAAAAATAGTAGAGGAAGACATTTTTTCTTTTTCCTGGTAAAAACAGCTTTTCCCGGGGAAATGAGATAAGAAAGAAGAAATGTTGCCGGGAAATCGTAGGGTTTTCGACGCTTTTAAGTTGGGTGTGGAAGAGAAGATAACTGCCTAAAATGTTCTAAAAGCGTTAGTCAAAGATTGACCAAAAAATAAAAACCAAAAGTTACGTTGAGAAATTTGGGCCAAGGCTCATTTGATTTTATTGGGCTTAAAAAGATTCCAGCTGTTGGGCTACGAAAAAAAAAAAAAACCCGAAGAAAGCAAAAATAGAAAAAAAAAACGGCTCAACCTAATAATAACAAAAGAATATCAGAACGTTCCAGTTTCCTTTCCTCCCACCATTTCGACGAGTTCTTGGACCTTTTCTAAAACCCTAAATCCCCAAATCAAAAAAATCCCAGATTAGGAATTAGGGTTTGGAAATTGGAGCAAAGATCAGAAAACCAGTCGAAATCCCAGATGGCTTATCGACCTTCGTTTCCAGAGGACCACAACAACAACAACAGCAACAACAACGATGGAGGAGAAGGTAGGTTGTATAATCCGTATCAAGATTTGAACATCCCGTACCAGACTCTGTACAGGCTTCCCACCTCGCCGGAGTTTCTGTTCCAGGAAGAAGCCATGGCGCAGCGCCGATCCTGGAGTGAGAATCTGACGTATTACACCGGCGTGGCTTACTTAGCCGGTGCCACCGGCGGAGCTTCCATGGGTTTTGTTGACGGGGTCAAGGCCGCGGAGGCCGGTGACACGCTCAAGCTGAAGGTTAATCGGGTTCTGAATGCGTCGGGTCAGACGGGCCGGAGGTTGGGGAACAGGTTTGGGATCCTCGGTTTGATGTATGCCGGGATGGAGAGCGGAATGGTGGCGTTGAGGGACACTGATGATGTTTATAACAGCATAGCGGCTGGGTTGGGGACTGGGGCGCTTTACAAGGCTGCGTCGGGGTTCAGGTCCGCGGCTGTTGCTGGAGCTGTTGGTGGAGCTGTGGTTGGTCTGATGGTGACCGGAAAACAGGTTTTGAAGCGATACGTGCCGATCTGATTCTTTTGAAACCTGTACCGTTTGTTCTGAGCTGGCTTGTTTGAGCTTGCTGAATTGAGATAGTAGGTTTCTCTTTTTTGTGAATTTGTTGACAAAATTTTGATGAAAATGTGTCGAGAAGGATTCTCGTATATGAATGCAGTAGTACTATTAATTCATGAACCTATCATAAGCGTGAAAGATGCTGATTTATTCATTTGCTCGTGAAATGACTACATTTCGAGGATACATTGTAAGGTAATTAGGTGCTGAATAATACCAAGTTATCAGCTTTCAGTTCATTATGTTGTGAACCCTAGAATTACGTCCAGTGCATTTCGTTGGTGAATGAATACCCTGTAAAAGGGCTGCTAACACATAATTTTCTTTGCGAGCTTTTGAAGTTATGTCTATCACTTTTGGATGTAATTTGTTGTTACATTTCTCCTTGTTTGTGATGATACTTTGATTTATGCTACCTTTGTCCTACGATTGAGTTTTTGATTGGAGCTTTTGCAAAGCTGTAGTTTTATCCATAAGCTGATATGCTTTTTTGTTCTTTTTGTGTATGGCAAGTGTAGGAAAGTAGCAAATTTATCAAAAGACTTTTGCTTGAACTTCACTTCAGATTTTTTCACCTATAAGGTTGTTAGATTAGTTTGAAATTCGATGTCCTGGAGGTGTAGTTTTGGGCTAATGTGTTTGGCACCTAGGTTGCGCAGGCATTAAAAAATTTTGATCTGGAGAAATTACCGCCACCTCCAAGCAATGTGGAATTTTGACATCAGGCTCTCTTTCTAAACAAGATTTTCTTCTAAATGACGTACTCATGAACTGTGCAATGTTTAATGCATTTCTTGTTCTGAATTGACTGGTTATATTGAATGAGATCTCTCTTAGATCCCTTTACTTTGGAAACATGGATATCGGGAAATCAACTTATATTTCTTTCTTTTCTTTTTGCGAATTTTACTGTTATTATATTTTATTTCAAACTTTGTGTGGCTGTTGTGGAATGTATCGATATGAGTTTGAATTTGAACTTGAAGCTTTAGGACAGTTTTAATGTTCCTCTTTTCGATTTTCACATTCACAGTTTTGATTTACTGTACTTTCCTAATAGAAATGATGATGCACTAGACAAGCTAGTGTTGCTAAACTTTGAAAGGAAATCTGTTCTTTCATTTTGATGTTATATATGTGAGATATGCAACTTGTGAGATGCATAATTTTCATCAAACATTGTTCTCAATGATTGATTCTGACAATATTCAACAACACTAGAGAAATTTACACATGAATCCCTCCCTTACACAGCAAAATGAACAAGCATTTCCAAAGTTCGTTTCTCTTGATTCAAGTCAATGGTTGGGCTTGTAAGAGCCAAAAGCGACACTGAATTCTAGTGGCCATGCCTCAAAACGTACAAATAGCCCGCTAAATTATTCAAAATCTGTCTCCCTTTTATATATATCACTGAAGAGACAAGTATATCAAAAATTACAGGGAAAAAAAAGTTATGGTTACAAAGAAACTCCTCTTTCTTACTCAACAGAAAAGTAGAGAAAATGAGAAGTGATCGAGAAAAAAAATGCTTCGTGGTTCTAGGTGAGAATCCTCATTGTACTCTTAATCCGTGGGTCGACATCCGCTTTCTATTTAGAGCAACATAGATTCAGGATTTTCAATGTATCCTTTGAATGCTTTCAGCCATTCTGCTCCAATTGCACCTGCAAACCGTAGATTATATCGTTAGTTTAGATTACTATACGAGGGAAAGGCAGACTAAAAGCACAAGTTTGAGATTAAGACGAGTGACCAACCGTCAATAACTCTATGATCACAACTTAATGTCACAGACATAAAGGATGCAAAGTTGTACTGATCAGGGCCTAAACCGGGCACAACTCTCTTCTCAGCTGCACAGAAACAAGTTTATTTGATCACAAGAATGAATCAAAATCATAATCATTATGGAATAATGGAAGCAAGATTCATCCATACCAGACCCTACTGCTAAGATGCCAGACTGAGGAGGATTGATAATGGCACAAAACTGCTTAATTCCAAATGGACCCCCCAAATTTGAAACTGTAAATGTGCCTCCCTGCCAAACAGAATTTTGGCTCTAATGTTGTAAGGAATTCAATCACCACAGAGATACTGATGACAATAAATAACATCTGAAAGGATAAAAAAATACCTCATAATCTTCGGGTTTTAGACTGTTTTCTTTTGCTTTCTGGGCCAACTGTTTAACTTCATCCGAAATCCTTGACAACCCTTTCTTGTCAGCATCCTGCATAATATTGATAAGACGTCAGGCACCAAATATGGAACCACGTCAAAACCCAAAAAGGGAAATCAAACTAAGAACAAATTGCATACTCTGATAACAGGAACATATAATCCATTCTCTGTCTGCACTGCAACATTGATATTCACATTGTGATACCTGCATACGACCAAACAGATCCACAAAGAGAAAACAATCGGAATGGATCTACGTTAAATATTTATCACAAGACAGGCAAAGTTGTTATGCTTACTGGCGAATGTAGTCATTTGTCCATGAGCTGTTGCATTGGGGAACCTTCTTAAGAGCCAAAGCAGCAGCCTGCATGACAAAGTTAAAACATAAGCAGCTCAGATACTCCACAGCATATCATGTATCATTATCAAATGCTTTTATTTCTTTTTTATTTCTTAGGGGTACTAATGCTTTTATTTCTCCAATCCAATATTTTCCATATGCTCAAAATCCTCCCTTTGAACAAATAAGCAAGCAAATGCCATGTTAAATACCATGAGTTTATAATGCCATGCCCAAGAATGATTTCCTTAAGAAGATGGACGAGGCTTGGGGATATGCCCAAGGATCATTCATTGAGAATGCAAAGGGAAAACAAACTAGAGTTATTTTTTTATACCTTAATTACGAGATCATTCACAGATATTCTCTTCCCACCTGAAGCTTCTTGCAGTGAGTTGAGCTTGGTGCGCAAACTGCACGAGAAGTACAAGAATGACAAATTAAAGCACTGCATAACTATAGAGATCAACTTCAAACAAACTTTCGAAAGCATCCTTACTCCATCAGTTTGTCCACACATGTATCTACAGTGAGATAGTAATGAGGAATTGTTTGCTTCGAGAGTAACAACCGTGAAGCAGTCACCTGTTAATGTTGTAACAGAATTTAGCTCCCAGAAACCAAAACAGAAGTTTCTGTTATGTGAATATCTACAGAAGAACACTTGGCAGGGACAATCTGAGATACCTTTCTAATTTGAGTGTGAGGGATATCAATATAGTCCAACCCTGCTGCCACTCCTGTAGAAACCTTGGAAGCGGGTGCTTCCTTCCCACGAGAAGCTACAGAAACGACAGTTGCAGTCAAAGAAAAGGCACAATACAGAGAATGAATCTGAAGAATAAAGTTGACCAACTACAACTTATAAACATGAAGCATGGCCATGATGAACACTGTAACAGACAGAAAGGAGTACCCAAATATTCTTCAACGTCAGCCTTCACAATCACACCATCAGGACCAGTTCCTTTTATGCTTGAAAGAGGCACCTGTATTAAGATGAGATAAAGTGATTGGAAAGGCAGCCAGGACACCAAGCTAAGAGAGCTCCTTATGGCATTCAAAGCACAAATGCATACCTTATTCTCTTCTGCAATTTTCCTAGCGAGAGGACTCGCGAAAATACGACCTTCCGCAGGAGTTGAGCTAGGCTTTGAAACTTTTGGCTCTGTTGAAGTGACAGGTTCTCTTGTAACCTCTTCTTTTGGTGGAGATGGCGGGGTAGGGGGCTTCTCAGCTGGAGCGGCAGAATCTGATGCAGAAGGCGCGTAGTCTTTGAACTTTGTTATATCTTCCTCCTCTTCTACTGTTATTGCAATCACCTGCAAAGGTCTTTTGTTTATATATTTCAAGGGGAAGTAACCTCTTCATGGAAAGTGTAAAGTCTGAAACCATGCCATTAGCTGACAAAATGTTGTGTGATCAAGATGTATCTTCTAAAATGCAGTCAAATTATAGAACAAGATTCGGTGTTGAGTGAAAGGCCAGAAAATCAACACGGAAGAAAGAATCACTCAGCATCGTGAATATACAGAGACCTTGGAAATCATAGCATGAGTAGACTGACAAATGATTTGATGAACAAGGAAAGAACCGTACAGCTAGAAGAAAACCTAGAGGAGATTCAGGCCAAATGCATTATTCTAGTAACTCATATGTGTTTCACCAAACCGTAAACAGAACCTGGAGATCTCAATTTTTATCAATACGAATAATCACATTTGAAGATGTGGACAATCATAAGCAACTGTCAACATATGCCAGACAGACAGACAAAAAAAATATACTTTTCCTTAAATACAACATAAGTTTATGTGAGTTTTCTAATCTACTTCATCTACACTCTATCAATTCAGAAAGGCAGCCGAAACCAAAATGAAGAGATAAATGTAATTCGGATAAAGTGATTATCTACACACAGTAGAATACCTCGCCAACTTTTATTCCACTTGTCCCATCCCCTCGTACAATTTTAGCCAGGTATCCCTCCTCCATGCATTCCATCTCGACGGTGGCCTTATCCTAGAAGAAAATTGAAAATGAAAGATTACATACTACACTATACCTAAAGATAAAACACATATAGAGGGAGAAGAGAGACAGATTCACATTCCCCAGGAAAAAAAAAAAAACGAAAGCATCCTACCGTTTCAACTTCGCAGAGGACTTCACCAGGAGAGATTTTGTCACCCTCTTTCTTTAACCATCTAGCAATATTTCCCTACAGCATAAAAACCTAAAGTTATTAATTGATCAAGACAGAGAAAAAGCGGAAAAGCTTGTAGCTCAAGAGTAATAGTAACCTCTGTCATTGTGGGTGAGAGAGATGGCATCCCAATTTCCTGATGAGGAGGAAGGCCTGAATAAAATAAATTCATCATGAAAACTTCCTTTGCAAGGTTACTTGTGGATTTAAAGGAAACCTCACAACAAAAGGTAGGCACAAAACGGATAAGACCCCAGTAGTGGTGATAAACCTTGGAATACAAAATTAAATTTTAAATCTCCCAAACAATTTTCTCCTTTTCCTTTTTGGGTTTCGGGATGAAAATATAAGGTGGCCAACTCCCAAATCTTAGTTTAGAATTGAGGACGAATCAATGGGATCAGAATCATGCAGCATAATAATGGAAAAAGGCCTAAAGATAAATGTGCTCCAAAGATGTGCATTTATATCACTCACCTGAGTTTGTACAAAAACTCCTGCCATATTGAATCTCAGACCTGACATCAGAGAAACTGATAAACAATATATTTACAATGTTATCATACAACTAAAGCTGAAATCAGAATAGAACTAACCATGATGGTTTATGGCTGAACAGCATGCCAGCAGTAGGAGCATTTATCTTGCTTCCTGTCCTCATAGAAATGCCTTGTTGTTTTTGCACCACTGATATCTACATGATAGAATCCAAGGGGATCTTAATCAGAATGACAACCATTTGCCAAAGCTCAAACATATTATAACTACATTAATACAAGGGAAAAAGGGAGAAAAAAAATGCAGCAGGAATTAAGAAGAGAAACTGGTCAAGTCTCATAGATTAACTCATGGAAAAGGATAACATTACCATGGAAGGAATTACTGATTCGCAACAGTCAGCGGAAGATGCAAAACCAGCTTTGCGAAGCTTGAAGAGATCTACATTACAATTAAAACAATTGTCATGGAAAAAATGAATGTCGTGAACTACTCAATTCGAGAAAGAAGAGAAAAAGAGAATATCAATGAGTTCAATACCATTTGCTCTATTAGCAGGTAAACTAGGACCGCTACTAAAGCAGCGAACCAGGACCAAATAATCATGCCGTACTAAGTTGGTAGCGTTTCTGACCTGGAAAGAAGTGTTCAGCTGATAAAGTTCCATGTAAAATAAAATAGTATTGATAACAGTAGTAAAATTAGAGCTATGCAATCACTTAATTCTAGCAGCAACTCATAAGGCATGAAAGAGAGTGAAACTCTATCCAGTTTTGCCTAGAGCATGTTTAACACATGTATGAAGGTTAATGCAAAGTTTACAACAAATCACTCATGACCTACAACTGCTTTTAATGATAAAAACTATATCAAATTCGAATGGTTGTCAGAACTGAAAAGCACAAATACAAACCTTTCCAAGGGTCAGATTCAAAATTACAATTGCTAAAATGACATATATCAACACAAAAAAAAAAAAAAAAATTGGAATGAACATTTCTAAGAATATGCTTTACTATTCAACAATGCCATCTTTTTTTTTCTTTTTTTTTTTGTGCTTAAACAACTATACCTTTTTAGAGTGACGAAGGACCTGAGAAGTGTAAGTCATGATACCAGGCTAGTTCAATTCCCAAAGCCCTTTCAGTCAATTGCACTCCTGAAAAATTTAGAATATGTTATTTCCACTTTGCAATACGAATCATTCTTAATTCCAATACAAATTGTTACAGTTTCAAGGCGAAACCGAACCAAGACACTCTCAAACAGACCCTACAACATTTTGGTTGAGGTTCCATCCCCAAACACGGGAAAATGATAATTCAAAAGCAAAGCACAGTGATTTTCATCACCAGGACAAGTAAAAAAAAAATACTCGAATTTTCAGTAAGAATCACCAAAAAAAAGATCAACGAGTAATAAAGGCTGCACGTTAATTAAAAATCAGCGTTTCTACTACTAAGACTTCCAGCTCAGAAAAGGCACAAAAGGATCGAAACTATCCAAATCTAACGCCAATTCAATGATTCAAGGATGAATAAGCAATCGAAAACCAAAGCAGCAAAAGATGAACGATTCTGAATCGAGTGAATATGAGGCGTATGGAAATATAAACATTAAAAAGTGCGTTTAACAGGCGAACGACGGCGAAACTCACCGACGATGGCGGTAATTGGAACAGCGTTGGCCGTCAAAGCTGTTATGTATCGGATCTCCGGCGGGTTTTTGTATGAAGAAGAAGAAGAGAGACAAAGGCCAAGTTAAAGTTCGCTGCTGCTTTACGTTGACAATCTTTTTTGTTGTTTTATTTATTTTTTTTAATTTATTATTTTCAATCGGGGAATAAAGTAGAGTATGTATTAATTATTGCGCAAAATTAGATATCCACTTCTCGAACAATTAGAAGTCTTCCTTCGGTCTCAATATCTCTATATTTCATTACAGATATTAGTTTGGATTTTAATTCTTGATTTTTTTGGGGGAAAAAATTCTTGATTTTATCTAAAAAAAAGAAGAAGTAATGATATTTTATCTAAAAAGTAAAAAATATTTTATAAAACGACTACTATTAGTAGTGAACAATTTTTGCTTCTCCTAAAAAATTCAATAACTAATCTTTTACTTACAATAAAAATGTCTTATACTACACCTTATCGTCTTGTTAATAAGAGATAGAATACATTGAACATAAGGATAAATAGGATGGAGGGTTTATTTGAAGGACAAAAGTGGTGTAAAATATGTCCAAAATGTTATTGTAAAATACTAAATAGAGGCTGTATATTCCTTATTTCCTTATTCCATCAGTCCGACTTACTTGTTAGAACATGGAAATGGCCAAATGGGAATTAAGGCCATGACCGTTTAACTCTTTTTATTTATTATCAATGGCATTTTGAGGAGACCAACATTTTGAGAGTACTGAATCAATTTTTGCAATGATTAATGGCACTACTTGAAACTTGAAAGTTGAAACAAGATAAATATTGAATTATTACTTTTATAAATCTTACTATATAAGAAATAAAAATCACACTTCAAATAGTTCCCCTTCAATTACCACGTAGCATTTCCACTTCATTAATTGCCATTAATTAGCATTAAAAATTCACAGATTTTCATAATCCCTCCAAAAATTCAATAAAATTCAAATCACCCTGATTACTTCTCAACCGAAAACATTTTGGAGGGTAGCAGTGACCATCTGGATAATTTGTCAGGCCTCTGATTCCACCAAGAGTAAACAAAGATGCAGGTTTCAATCCAAGATAATCTGCCACTTTAGAATTTAATCCGTCGCATCCAATCAGAGCCTGTGAAGCTTTAGTTAGCGAGCAATATAACTTAACAACATTCCACAGTTAGATTCTTCTCATTTTGAGATATGATAATCTGATAACAACATTCCACGTAGAATGATAAATTTTTGGAAGTCCTCATAAGCATTTAATTTCCCATCATGAAATGGAACTTAGTTTTGATGTTTAAGTACCGGATTTAATTTGTAGCATCCCGTTTATGTAGTTCGTTTTGAAAATTGATGATTCGTATATATCTTACTATATAAGAAACAAAAAACCCCCCTTTCAAACAACACCTACAATTGTCACGTGGTAAGTTTAAATTACTAAATTGCCCTCTCTTTTTTTTTTACATCAAAAAATACAAGTTCATTCATTCATAGCAGCAAGACTTAAAAGTTAAACAATCAAGCGTGATCACAGGTTGACATCACACCATCTCTACAAAACAGAGTCGATGCCCATAAGCAAAATTTATTTTAAACTTCCATCACCACTACAACCCTACAATGGAAAGCTCAGTTCTTTATAATCAATTCGCTTAAAACAGAAGAATCCTACAAACAAGAAAGGATTAACAGCTAATAATAATAAAAACTGGGTTGAACTATATAAGCACTAACCAAATAATTTATAAGCACTAACCAAAGATCATATGCTCCCTTTACCTTTTTAAATTCCTTTACTCTTTTTTTTTTCCTCCTTTAATTCGTACCATAATGTCTAAATAATTTATTTCTACCACTCAAAAAATAATCTATCTTTACTTAAGCGAATATTTTTTTATTTACGCATTAGTAATGATCAATCTTTTCACATCATATTTTTTTACACATTATTAGCATGTTAAATCTTTTCATTAGTGATGATAAACAACATTTTAATTGGATAAAATTTTGACTTCAGGAAATATTCTATTTATCTCTCTATATAAACGCAAAGGAAAAAAGGAAAATTCTCATTGATCTTGCTTCGGCCGTTGTGGTGGTGCCATTACAGGTATTAAAATTTAAATGATTTTATTTCCACATGTTATTTGTTTGGCTTTTATTATTTTCTTCTTTTCCCGATAAAAAATAGTGTTATTATTATTATTTTTATGCGTGCACCCCTTAAAGTTACCGTAGCTGTTGCAAGATAATATGATATGATTTCTTATATGGTTACTTACCCTAGAATTTTTGTATCATTTTCGTACTATTTGGATTGAATTTATCAATTAGGTTTTTGTTACAAAGTGTTATTTTTAAAATTTCTTTTTATGTTTCATTAAATTAGAGCGGGTTTTTTTTTCTCTTAATTATGGAGTCTCAATTGAATTGATCAATTAGGTTTTTGTTAAAACGTGTGATTCTTTTTTTTTTTAAGCGTATATCCTTTGTAGCAAACTTATTTCAAAGTTATTAAAAATCTCCAAAACTAAGTATTGATTTCGCACGACTAATGGAGAACGTCAATAAATTATCTTACTAATATTTAAATATATTAGAGTGCTTTTATATTTTGCCTAACATTTACTTGAACAAGACATGTATTCGATCAAGTTTATTTATATTTAGTAAGTAACACTTATAAAATATTTATAAAACATACTTGGTGAAATATATATTTTTTTTTCAAATACGAATATATTTATGATTACACTTACAAAAAAAGTTCTAAATTCTTCAAATATTTCTAAAATATATCTACCCAAATAAAAAATATTTTTTCTTTCAAATATAAATATTTCTAAGATCTATAGATAGACTGAGCCACAGTCACACATTGCGCAACCAGACATCGCTAGTAGTATATATATATATGGAGGAGGCCGAGGCTTACATTACAAAAAAACTCACCGGGAGTGAGTTACCTAAGACGATCCAATTCTAACTTTCTTAGGATTGATTCCGGAGGTATTGACAAAACGTGTACTTCGGAACCATAGGCAAAGGCCGATTTGGCCAATAAATCGGCCGGTTCATCACTTTAACGACTAATGTGTCATACTTACATCGTCCATATTATTGATAATCATTCAACAAAATTAAAAGTTGGGAAAAGTGTGTAAATACTGTAGTAGGAATACCAAAGGATAATACTAAGCGTAGCCCACTTAATGTTAGTGAAGCCTAATTTTTTACGATTTTACTCTTATTTGAACAAGTATAAAAATTAATCTTTCTTTATTATTTTAAAATTTACAATCTTCTAATCTTTATTAATATTCTAACTCTTTAAGTATTTCTTTGAAGAAATCATGGCAAATTGCCTCACAAGAGAAGGAAAAATCTTGCTACCGCAAGTATTTTTTTAAATTTTATTATTATATCTATTCATCATATTTAAAAATAAATAAATATAAAAAAGAGTGAAGGTCACGCTCTCACTGTGCGAACCGCCGGTGGCGCAGCACCTAACGACCGTGGGCAGTCCGACGGTGACCCGCACTTAGAGGGTGAGCAGCCAATCGGTCGCCCGTGTTAACCAAGCGAGCGACCAACTGGCTGCCCGCACTCTCAGCGCGAGTCTCCATCGGGCTGGCCGCAGTCGGTAGGCACGGCATGGCGCCGCCGGCCGTTAGCCTAGTGAGGGCGTGACCTTCACTCTTTTTAAATTTAATGTAATTATTTGTTTATCCACTTTTTTTTTTAAAAAATTACATTTTATGTAATTATTTATTTTATTTATGCGGTTAATTATATTTGTTTCTTATTACTTGATGTAATGTGCAATAATAGTTTTTGGTTTTTTTTGATATTAATTAATTGAATTTGTTTTGGTTGAGGTAAAGTTAATTTAGGCCAAGTTAAATACTCATTTATTTAGGTAAAGTTAATTTGTTTTTGTTGTTTATAATTATTTAGTTTATTTAATGTTATCTATTATTATTTAATAAGTAAAGTAAATTATAAAATTATACAAGTTAATTTTAATAATTACTGAATTTAATAATAATTCCGTTAATGTCAATTTCATTATTTTTTTAATTTAAAACTTATGAAATGTTAAAATAATGATTTTTTTATTAATACCAACGGAAAAGGGCAAAATTCTCCTCTAAAGATTAAGTGGGCTACATTTAGTCACTCACATACGGAAAACATAGTTTTATCCATAGCCCAAAAAAAATAGCCCGCAAGTAAATCTTGGACTAGCCCACTTAAGAAGAGGCCGAAATCCTAGGTCTCGAGGAAACATCGATAAAAATATTCCACAAATCCATTCAAAAAGTTTCCAAAATTTTGTACAGCTCCAATTTCTTATATGAGTGAAAAAAGATGAAATTCATGCACTCTTCCTGATCCTTTTGGGCATCTCCGGGTCGGGTAATGTAGTGTCAGTAGTACTATTGGACGTTGAATGGGAGTTTCGCGTGATTAATTTTTATTTTTTTTTTTCCGTAGAATGAGTTCTTCCTAATTTAATCCGCAAATTTCTAATGTACGGTATGAGTTAACCCATATAAAGAAGCAGCGTTTGGCGGTGTTTTTTTTTTTTGTTTTTCGGTGGAAGGAATGGGGAATCCGAAGCTGAAATGGACGTCGGAGGAAGAGGCAGCCCTAAAAGCCGGAGTCGACAAGCACGGCGTCGGAAAATGGAAGTCTATTCTTACCGACCCGGAATTCGCGCCCTTACTCTTCAATCGTTCCAACATTGACCTCAAGGTGGTATCTTTTTTTAATCTTTTTTAGTTACTTTTTTTTTTCCCCTAACAGTCGCCATTTTAAAAGAGCTCTTTATGGGACTAGGGGAGGGTTGATTTTGATCCTATTTCAGAAGGGTTTATCGAAGTTTGTTTCTTTGTGAAATTTTGGTATTGTGGGTGGTAACTGCATTTAGCTATTGAGCTAAAAGGGATCCACAGCCCATGTTGCAAAGAGGCATTAATGTCCCCACTTACCTGTATTATTACGTATCAAGTAAATCACTATTTCAACGGCTCTTTTTTTGATATATATCTTACAATTTCGACAAGTATTCGTTTGTTAGGGCAATATTTTCTGAAACGTAATTTATGTGGTGGAAAGAACTGGTGCTTAATATAGTTAATTTGATATTTATCACTTATTTATGTCATTGTGGTTTATGTGAATAGGATAAGTGGCGCAATTTGGGTCTTAGTAGCTCCGGACAAGGCCCCAGAGACAAGACTAGGGTAGTTAGATTACCACCTACACAATCATTTGCCCCCATTACCCCAGAATCTTCTGCTCCTGTTTCACTTGTTGTTATTGATGATGATGATGAGATAGATGACAGGTGCAAAAGCTCAAACAAAGAGAAACCCACATCCTATCCCTGGTATGTGACTTTCTTAAGGTTTTACTTTGGATAATTTGAGATGGAGAACTGACACTAACAATCTTGATCATCTGTCTTCTGTATCTTCTTCACAACTTGTGGTCTTACTGTTGAATTTGTATGCATTTTCTCTGTTGACAAATGACAGGGACAATTCCTTGATCCTTGAAGCAATTACCGCCACGAGGGACCCCAATGGATCTGATTTTGGTGCCATTCTTCACTACATCGAGGTTTGATGTCTTTTGCTGTTTACTATATATTTCGATCTCTGCCTCTGCTTATGTACTTTTGTCTGGTGAGACAAACAAAGGTTTTTCTATCTCCTTGCATCTATCCTGAACACAAGCCTTAGTCGATTGCTGCATTATGGACTAGTTTGCCTTTTGTTTTTGGCTTTAAGTTGAATTCTGGGGGGACATTCTTATCATATATTGTTTTAATTACTCTGTTTACAGCAACGAAGTCAGGTCCCACAGGATTTTAGAAGGCGCTTGAGAGGAAAGCTGAGAAGACTTGTTTCGCAAGGGAAACTTGAAAAGGTTAATCTCCTCTCTGGATTGGTGATGTACTTTCTTTCTTCCAAACTGAAGTAAACTTTAATGTGTGTTATACATCCCTCGCCCCTTGCCAAAGAAAACAGAGAAATATGGACGCGTCCTCATATGCTGATGTTATTTCTGATTAATATCTGGTTTGCTGGTCCGTTCATGTTCCCTTCTGTTTTAACTTAGAGTAGAAGGATAAATTTTGTTTATATTCTCCAGTCTTTCTTGTTGGATGGTTAAGAAATTGAAAGAACTGGAAGGAAAGTTTGTTTGATATCCGGAGAGCTTGTAAAGTTCACTCATCTTCTGTTGTAATTTCCTCCAGGAAGAACCTCAAAGCACTTACTTTATGTTCCTTTTTCCCTGTGTCTTATGTTCCTGTTGTGGTTCCAGCTCTCAGAATTAAACTTCTACAAACAAAGAGATCGTTCTGGAGCTAAGTTACTTTGCAAAACTTTCCTTGTTTATTGACTTCATTCTCTTAGTTTTTCCCTTCTGGTGCGACAAACTTAATGTGCATGTACACATGCATAATTTAACTATGCCATGAGAATCGATTCGAGTTATATGTTTTTCTCCCTTGAAAGCATCTGTTCTGTTTTTCTTGAAGCTTGTGAATTTTTAGTGCCTTTAGTAAAATGTCTTGCAAAATGCAACTATCTGCAGGGTGAAAATCTGTTCAAGATAAAAGATGTGGGAATGCAACTTTCTCTACTGAAAGATAAAGATGATGGCCAGAGCTCATCACAAACTTGTAGTTTAGTATCTCTTTCTGAAAATCAGTGTGTTGCATCCCGGGTTGCTGAGGCAGAAAACAAGTCTGTTGCGTTAGCTGGGGCGGTTAAGGAGTTTGAAAGGATCACAAAACTGATGGAAGATGCAGAATCCATGCTGGAGGTAGTGAAACATATGTATGACAAATGTAAGTTTCCTTTGTGCTTTTCGGTTATGTTAATTGCTGAGAATGTATGAATGATGCTTTACTTTTGAAATGACTCTGCATTGCAACCTTGCTCCTTACTGTCGTGAGATCAACACTTGGTGCAAATTCAATATTGTTTTCCTTATGGTATTGAGTATTATCTTAAACATTAGAGCTGAACCTCATCACTTCGTCTGTTTTGTGGGTGTTTCTGCAGGTTTGAGAGGTGAAATGGTTCTCGTGTAAGTTCAGCACCGTCAGTCATTCATAGCTTCTAATATTGTACATAAAAGGTTACCCTTGCAGCAGCTGACTAGTCTGCATTTTAGTTAGATCGTGACAGACTTTGAGACAATTTCGTAGATCACAAAAGTTTCTAGTCTGTTTGGGTGCTACTATGGTAGTGGAACCTATGATTCTACGGCATTTCAGAGCTCTCTTGTACATTCTAAAACCAAATTATGGGCGACGGTTTACCATCATCTATTGGCTTTTGGTTAACGCCAACCATAGAAACAAGGATACTATTTACTCAAATTTGCTTCCTTCCTGTCTTCAGCCTCTCTTTTTTTTTTTTCCGCTTATATGTTTGGGCCTTTTGGGATCCATTTCAATTTGATGAAAGCCTAAAAGGATTTGTTGTGTTCAAATTTGTATACGTGATTTTCTGCCAATGTAACTTTCACAAATCCTAAAAATGAAAAATAATAACAGCTTCCTGTTCCAAAATAATGGTTCCGAGTAAAATATAATCATTTTGAGACGGAGTGAGAAGAGTGGATGGTTTGTATGATGAGTCTGTCACATGTTTCTTTTCTTTTCTTTTTTTCATTAGCGAAATAAAATCAAATGTTTCATGAGCGTATTTGACCTCGTTATGATGATTTTCTACATGCCAAGTTTTTATCAATCCGAGATGTTACCTCTATGTTAAGTATTTACGCATTGTAAAAGGATTTTAATCTTCATTTTTTTTTCCCAAGGAGTCATTCAATGACAAAAGTAATATGTAAATGAAAAAAAAAAAAACAAAATTTATAATACTACATCCCTCTCGAAAAAGTAGTCTGCATAAAAAATTTAAAACTTAATGTTGACTATTTTCTTGGGACGGAGGTAGTACAACGTCTTTTCAAGGTATACAAATTAGTTTTTTCGTGAGATAAAATGAATTTTTCTCAAGTAGAACTGAGTTCGCATTTAGCAGATGCAAACAAATTCTTTTGGGCAGAAGAAATTGATTTCCCCAATCCAACCTTCTAATAGGCCGGCCCAAGCCCAACATAAAATCTGGAAATGTATAAAGCCGGAAAAGATTAAACCCTAACTTCTCCAATTCAAATGGCGCGGAAACGAAAATACTGCGAAAAAAAAGAAAAAAAAAAACGAGTCACGCCTTAAAATGGCCGACTCCTTAAGTCAAGCTTCCCATGTTTCAATCAATGGATTCCCAGAAAAGCTCACTTCAGGTTACCTCTGGGCCACTCGCTTTTTTTTTTTTGATTCATATTTATTATTTTTATATTATGCCATTACATGAATTGACTCTGCTCTGTTCAGCATAGAGATTCTTTCTGTTGAAAGTTGGATTTTTTTTTTTTAGGGAGATTTAATTTCTTTCAATTTGATTTTCAGTCAGTATTTTATTGAAAATTAACGAACGCCATTAAACTCAGTCAGCAGTTCTGTCTGTTGGTCCTTATTACAGATTTAATGTAAAGCTCTGACGGTTTATTTATTTATTTATTTTATTTATTTTGGTTATTTCTGGTGGATTCAGTGAGGCGGAGACGGAGCCGTAGATCAAGGGTTTGGAAAAAAAGAAGTTATCATGATAATTAATGTTTATTCCTCTGCTTATTCTGTTGGGTTTGGTGGGGACTGATCAGTTTTTTGGGAGGGGGATATCTTTCCTTTGTTTCCATTTTTATGCCTTTGATTTTTAATAGTTGATTTGTTTACTTAAGTTGATAGCTTTGATTGTTCTTCTATAGATTCCATCTGGGTGTTTCTTTTTCCCCTGTTCAAATAACTTTTTGGTATCAAGTAATCTGGTTGGGCTTTTTTTTTTTTTTTGGGTTATATGAAAAGTTTGATTGCATTGTGTTCTATTTTAACTTGGGGTAAAAGGCAAAGGTGTCTATCATTTGCTTGGAGGCGCCTGCCTTTTGGAAGAAATCTGCTTATCTGCCCCAATATAGAAACAGGAGTTTAATGCTTGTACGCCGAAATTGTATAGTTTGCAAGTTTGGCTCTTCTGTGACATTTGTATTTTTTTTTTTTTTGCCTAATTGAACTATGTTCGGGTATCAAGTAGTCAGGTTGGACGAAAAAACATTGTTACGCACACTTGGCAATTCAAATTTCATTGTGCTGTATGGGGCCGTTGTTTATGATTTGGGGTGGAAGCCAAAGGTGTCTCTCATTCGTATGGAGGCACCTGCCTTTCGGATGAAATCTCCCCGAATATAGAAACAGGATTTTAATGCTTGTATGCCGAAATCGTATGGTTTGCAAGTTTGGCTTTTCTGTAACATTTATCTTGTTTTTCCCGAATTGAACTATGTTTCGGCAGCAGGTGGTCAGGATGGTGATTTTTTTTTTACAAACATTTGGCAATTCTGATTTCACAGTGCTATATGTGGTTGGTCTGTTCGATTTGGGGTAGTAAGCAAAAGTGTCTCTTTGATATGGAGCCACCTGCTTTCTTGAAATATAAATGTGGCCCAACACAGAAACAGGAGTTTAATGCTTGTACACTAAAAATCGTATTGGTTTGCAAGTTTGGCTCTTCTGTGACATTATCTCAGCACCCTTAAAAATGCAACAAAGAGAATTGTGCATGCAACTTTTTCAATATTTTACCAATGTATTTTTTTAATTGTTTTTATCATTACTTAAAGCTAGCAGTTTTGCACAATGCAGGTATCTGTGATGTCAGATCGATTCAAGATTGATCCTTGTGAGGTTAAATCAAGAATAAAAGAGACGTAAGGTTTTGTTTTATGGAATTTATTTTTCGTGTTGGTGTTATACAGTTGTTTGTTTGTTAGATGTCTAAGTATTGTATGCACTTTTCTTGATTGAGTACAGGTTGGAAGGAGACGATTTTACTTCTTATGATGAGGTTCACAAAACATTTGACGCTATGGGTCTGCAGGAGAACCTTGTCAAAGGAATCATGGTATCTGCTAAAAAAACATGGCTGTGTAAACTTCTCTATTGAAAAGTAGTGATGTTGCCCCCTTTGAAACTACTCCCTGCCCAAGTCAACTTTTATATCATATTGTTTGATCAAATGTTTTCCTTCTTTATTTTTTAATTCATTTTTCAGTCCACGTGTTTGAATGTGTTTTCATTTTTATTTGTTTTGAAGGTTTTCAGAATCCCTTTGCAATCCAGCAAAGAGGTGTTGTTCCCTTCTGCAGGGGCCTTGATGTGATCCAACTAGCTCAATCTGGAACAGGGAAGACTGCTGCTTTTTGTTTAGGAATTTTGCAGCGGCTTGATTATGCCTTGATTCAATGCCAAGCTTGCAGAATGGATTGAAAAGTTCATAAAAACGCTTGGTGAGTATCTCGGAGTAAAGGTTCATGCATGTGTTGGTGGGACTAGCATTCGTGAGGACCAGTGCACCCTTTCATCTGGTGTCCATGTTGTTGTTGGCACTCCTGGTCGTGCATGACATGCTGAGGAGGAAGGCTCTTAAAACGGACATCATTAAAATGATTGTATTGGATGAGGCCGGTGAATTGCTTTCACCTGGCTTCACAAACCAGGTACATTACTCAACTCTCTTTTGTCTTTGGATTTATATTTTTGTAATTCTACTTACTGGTAATGTTGAATCTTTCTTGTTATATTTGTTGTTTGATTCTACATCTTATTTCTTGTTTTCTTTTCCCCTAGATTTACAGAATTTTCCAGCAGTTTCCATCCACTATCCAAGTTGGAATCGACTCAGTTACAACACCCCCTGATGCCCTTGAGTTTATCAAAGATTTTATGAAGAAGCCAGTTAGGATCTTGAGGAATTGTGATGAACTAACTCCTCAGGGCAGCTAATGATCTGGTGGTAACTGAGGACGGATCACTGCAAGCGTGACTCAAAGAGTGTAACTTTGGTGTATATGCAGACTGACCAACTCATTCTGGAGAAATCATCGTGCGTGGAATCTCAATATTTTTCTTCTCTCATTTTGACAACCACGGGCTCCCACTGTTGGTTTGAAGAAGAGAATTGCTGTCTGTACAAAGGATGATGAAAGAATGTTGTGTGATACCCTTAAGTTAGTTGCTGCTACAAGACTTCCAAAATGTTGTAGTTTGGCTTTTGCTCATCTCCTTCGTAGTTCATATTAGCTTCCACTTCTCTCCTTTCTTGCAGTGAACCAGGCTTATATAAGTTGTATCCTAGCTAAAACACTAATTTCACTGGACCAGTGATAATATTTTGGGGAATTATTACTCTGCTAATATTTGAGTGTTGGGGTTTCAAGGCATTTTTGGATCTTGAAAATGTGGATTAGTATACTCATCATGGGAAATGCTCCAAAAACCAAAACTCTTGTTACTGAGGATTGAAGTTGATGATGCAATGCAACTAGTCAAATCTTTTGTAGCGCTTACCAAAGTACCAACCTAAGACGAATACATATACTTGAATCATCATCAATCAAACGAGATCCATATTCTCAGTATTCTTAACATGAAAGCAACCGAAATTCGAATTCCACGTTCTTGTGCCAACCTCCCAAAAGGCAAAAAGTACTACTGTTTGTCATAAAACAAAAAATAATAATAATAAAACGAGGGATTTGATTTGATCATCTGATCATCATCATTCATCAGATGATGTTATATATTCAACGGTCAACAGCCACATGGGCGACTTACGTAACTTTGACATTTCTATCATGTTACTCTTCCAAATTCAAAAAACATTTTAAGCATCAGACATGCAATATATTACGAAAATCGAACGAAATCTAACTACACAATTTTAATTTAAAAGTTGGGGTTTTTCAGCACACCGAAAAGCGAGAATTGCCATTAAGATTAGTCATCAGGGACTTTGGCAACTGGTTAAAATAAAGACAAGACCATTTAAAATCCACCCATAATCCATTCATTTCCCACTTGGGTTGGTTCCCTTTTTCTTATTCTTCTCCTCCTCCTCCTTCAATTCCATTTCCAAGAACCAATTTTTAAAAAATTTCAACTTTTCCTCTTCAAAATCTTCACAACCTGATTCTCTCCAATCTTCCTTGCTTTCTGTGCCTGGAAATGGAGAATTATAGATCTCAATCAACAAGGGAAGGAAGGAATGGATATGGAGTTGGAGATTGGTCAGCATCAGCATCATCTTCATCAGCAGGGCAAGCTCCATATCCAACTAGTATGCAGGATTTGAGGAGTTACAGCACTTCTTATGCTTCTTCATATGTCCAGCCTCCATCTCAACAGCAACAACAACCAGCCCAGATGGATTTCAACACCAAAATGAAGAAAGCTGGCAAAAGCAGGGTGGCCTCTTCAAAGAGCTGGGGATTCAGTGATCCTGAACTGCAGAGGAAGAAGAGAGTTGTGAGTTACAAGGCTTATGCCATGGAAGGAAAAGTTAAAGGGTCTATCAGAAAGAGTTTCAGGTGGATCAAAGATGTGGTTCATGGTTTATGGTGATATACTTACTAATGTGTTTCCCCCCCAGTCTTTCATTTCTTATTAGTACTACATTTTGATGATGAGTTTATTGTTGGGAGAACAGAGGAAAAAGGAAGACATTGTTTAGTTTTGGTTAGTATTTTGGGCTATGAAGTATGAAGTTCCATTTTAGCAGTTTCCAAATTGGCCGTAAGATCCTGATGCAGTAAACAAAGCTGTAGTTTTTGATTTGGTGGAGTCAGAAATCATCTCGAATGGAACTCTTTGTGTTGTATTTTCATTATGGCAATTAGTTTATTTCATTGTTCTTGCTCTTTTCTTTAACCTTTAATTTTGATTTGGACACATATATATTTTTTCCCAATCCTCAATCTATTCTTTTCTTCATTCCCCTGATAATGTAGTTATGAATCTGGATACCTACCTTCTCATCTTTTGATCTCATCCTGTGTAGTGTGCACAAATGACATTGAAGGCTTGATAATGAACTTCAAAATGGATGATCTTTTTTAATCTTCTCTTGGGTTTGGATAAACAACATTCAATCAAGGCAAGAAGAAATCCTTGCCTTCCATCATGTATGAAATACCAATTTGTATAAATTATGGATGAATGTCAAAGTGTCAAGGCCTCAGGAGGTGTTCTATTTCTGCAAATCCAGGCAACCATTTGGAACTTGGAGTAAAGCTCTGAAAATCATGTAGTAAATTATAATTAATGTGCTTCAGGCCAAAAACATTGCTGGAAATATGGCTTCTTGCTTACTGTCTTCATTAAAGTAGGTGAAACAAAAACAACACTCTTCCCTGTGTTCATGTTCCTTAGCTGTCTGCTCTTTGCCAATATTAAAATATTTAACTACTCTTCCACGTATACTAGTACTTTTGTTGTTCATGAACACAGGGATTTCGTGGATTTCAGCAACAGTTACATGGATTTTTCGCAGCCCGGATCATCTTGTATTTCCTCACCTATGGTGCAGTGATTTGTTCAAGAAAAAAGAGGGGGAAATTAAATCATTGAAACTTCCTTCAAATGTTTTGGTCTACTTTTCCGACGAGTTGGACCAGCAAATCATCAAAATATACATGTTCATTTCTTCCTTAACCACGCTGCTAATGATTCTGTTGTTGACTTGATCTGCAAAATTTAATACTATGGCCCAAATGGTCATAATAACACCACCATTTATGACAAATGATCATCTTTTTGTACACGACAATTCATAATTACTGCAAAACACACAGCGAAAATGACGAATTTACCAGATCTTTCTCATTTTTTTATGAATTAAATCGAGAATGAGGGGAACTGTCTGTGGGCTTCACTCTTTTTTTTTTTTAAGAATCATTTGGAAAGAGCTCGAAAAGAGTAATAAAGAGATTTGCTCCCATGCAGTTTCAAATTCGAAGACATCATAAGCAGTCTAGGTTTTCTTTTATGTGTTTCTTTTTACACTTTTTGGTAGGAGAATCATTTTTGAGACCATCATATCGACTCAGTAAATAAATAAAAGTAAAATGATGTAACATAAATAAAAGATTTTTTTAAAAAAAACCCATCAATTATGTAAACTTTACTATTGCACCACATAAATTAGGGTCGGAGCGACTATTTGACCAACATCTCCGGTCTTCTCCTCCCTTTCAAAAGAATCTAGTCATAGATGAAGAGTTTAGCATGGTAATAATAAGTAATACCACTATGGTTTACTATATAAACTTCCGTGTCTGGCTAGTGGATGAAGCCGCATACGACCTCAAGCGTCACTAATGGACATCATTAACAAGCTCACTCACCAAGGTTACAAAGCTTGATTTCCATTATCACTTGAAAACAAGAACCGGTTGCCGGAAAAATGCACCCAAACTTGCCTTCATAACCACAACATCGTCTCTCTTCATTGCTCGAGTTTGGTGTATACATCCCTGATATCTACCCGAGTTGGAAGATATCAGGGTTTCCAAGGTTGCCCACTATGAGCAAAAGTTTCCGCCATCAATAACACATAATCGGCTAAAGGTGCAACCTTTCTTCATTCCTTAAACTTAGGCCCTCCATACCCTTGAGGGTGGATTCGTAATTCTTTAAGTTTGAGGAACTGCGTTTATGATCGGATGATACAACTGGAGAGCTTCTTCGTGTAGTACTAGGAACTTTACGAAGTAATCCTGGGCTGGCACCGGCTGTACGTGTTCGTGACGATTCGAGTTCATTGCCCACAGGGTCACGACTACTGGAGACTGCAGCTGGTCCCACAGGGTCACGACTACTAGAGACTGCAGGTCTCTTTGAAGAACCACTTGCCCGGAGAAACGCAGAACTTGATTGCTGCAGGGCACATTAGGTGACGAAGTAAGAAGAATTATACAAGGTATGAAATGGGAGATGGGATAGAAGCACAAATGAGTTGCAAGTCAAGAAGAGGACATACCTCTTTACCAGTTAATTCACTGCCAACAAGATTCTTTTGCCTAGAGAAACTTGCCGAATTCAACTGCATACGAGACAGATTACCTGATGACCAACCAGTAGGCCTACCGCCGCCATCTTCATCACCTGCAAAGCAAAGGATAAGTCATAATCAGTAAGAAAAAAGGAAGGGGCAAAAGAGTCAAAAGAACAACCGTTCCCAGTGAGAAAAATAGTTGCTTAGTTGATCAATTATTGCATGAAAAACCAATGCACTCGGACGAGAGTAAAAATGGGAAAATTATACCTTGGTGCTTATCTAGATTGGCACTAGCATGATGCATCCCCGAACTAGTTCCAACAGCACCCTATACCAAAAATCTCGTAAGCTTCTGAAAGTATTGAGGGTGAACCAAAAAAAAAAAAAAAACCAGCTTTTCGGTCACTTACAAGAGAACGAGAAGGAGGGTGGGCTAGCTGGGATTGCTGGTACTTTAAGATTGTCCAGTCAAATACATAATCAAACTGAAAACCTGAGGAAAACTGATGATTAAGGAAAAGAAAAAATGTATCCAGATGTAGTGATAAGCATGCAACTTGGTGGTTTTTGACTTTTTTTCACACTTCAAATTTAAAGAACATAAAGATGCTGAAGTATCGAACCTTCACGAATAAATAGGTCACGGAAAATTCTCTTCAGGTAAGCATAATCTGGTTTGTCATCAAACCTCAGTGAGCGACAAAAATGGAAATAAGATGCGAATTCGGTGGGATATCCTCGACATAAAGCCTAAAACCAGAAAATGAGGAAAAGTTACAAACAGCCAGTTCCATAACTTAGAGAATCAACTGTGTTAAAAAAGTGAAATAATACAAATTACACAATTACCTCTATGGAGGTAGAAACTTTCTTTTCACTGATCTTTTCATACTTTTGCTTCTTGGTGCCTGCTTTCAGCCCTTGCCAAGGGAGACTGCCAGATTTGGAGCCATTCAGTATGCATAAAAAGGAGACAAAAGTACTAAAAGGGGGAAAAGAATGGAGCCAAACCTTCCCCGTAAGAAGTACATAAGAACATATCCGAGCGATTCCAAGTCATCCCTTCTACTTTGTTCTGCAAGTGAGCAGAATAATCAGATGCAAAATGACTATAAATTAGAACAGAAAGATGAGTAAGGAAAATGACGCAACTTACCGATACCAAGGTGAGTGTTCATACTTGCATATCTGGCTGTTCCAGTCAAATTCTTGTTTTCTCTGTATTTAAAATAAGCCATCACCAATTTAGACATATTTATTATTTAACCTAATTAAAGAGGGTTCTTAAGCTGGACGTTCAGAATAAAAACCTACATATTGATAACTTTCACATATGCATTGGCAAGACAGTAAGATATACAAATTAAAATCAAAGCCCTCTTGAAAATTTGAGTTCTGTTATCTTCTTGGGTTAATTCTTAAAACTAACCTATATGGAATGTGTTGGTGGGTAGATGAGTCCCTATACTTCTTCGCAAGTCCAAAGTCAATACAGTATACCTACAAAGTAATAGAATGTTAGAAGGATAAAAAAAATTACAAGAGTAAATACAAAAATAAGCCTGATGAAGTATGAACTAGCAGTCATGATAACCTGATTTGCACGCCTCCCTAAGCCCATAAGGAAGTTATCAGGTTTAATATCTCGGTGTAGGAAAGATTTGGAGTGGATAAACTCAACCCGATTAATCTGAAAAGAGTGTAATTAGCACCAACAAAGAAAAGGGGGAAAGTCATGGCATTTCTGAAAACACGTGAAACAAAGCAACACTACCATCTGATCTGCCAGCATCAGGACAGTCTTCAGTGACAGCTTTCTACTGCAGAAATTAAACAGATCTTCAAGACTAGGCCCCAGCAAATCCATTACAAGAACATTATAGTCTCCTTCAACTCCAAACCATCTAACATTTGGAATCCCAGCTATAAAAATTGCAAAGATAGCCAACTGATAAGCACAGGAAGCTCATAAAATACATAATAAAAAATCAGCAATAGTGAGATATGTGAAAAGTAAGCTCTTACTTCCTCCCTGCAGTATTTTATACAGCTTTGATTCATATAGTAACTGCGGGTGCTTAGTCTTCACGTTCTCCTGTAAAAGGAAAAAGTAAATGAGTAAGAACAGAACTTTAAATACAATTCCAACCCCTCAAAAGAATGCAGAAGATGAAATCAGGAAAAATAAGAGACTAGCAAATTACTAAAGAAAGCATCTCAACCAACTATGAGCATCCACAATTCAAACAACAGTCACCTATTCCATTCGAAACAGAAGCCATACAAAAAATCCTTCAATATCTCAAAAACCCTACAAGAAAAACTACCACTATTGCTAAAAATTCAGTCTTGCTTCTTAATTGGCACTGTGCTAGGCAGCTCTGCTTTCAAAAATTACACATTTAACCATGGCTAATTTCGATTACCATTCCGTGAAACATCCGAATATCATCACAGATGAAATTAGATACTGTTAAGCCAGCTCAAACAGCTCCATTAAACTAAAGAAACGAAATTCGGATGCAAACCCCAAACTTTACATACACAAAACAATTTCAGCAAGAATGCATCAAAAGTTAAAACAAAACTTCAAATAAAGCAAAATCTGCAAAAGGATCAGACGAATTCCAGCAAAGATTTTACCCAAAGAAAGGACATTATCATAATTAACTTACAAGCTTGATAGCAACCTCTTCATTAGTCTGGATATTAGTCCCTGCAAAGGGATTAATAAAAAACCCAATTAACATCTTAATAAAAAAAAAAAAACTGTAGACAGAAAAAGAGAAATAAAAAACGAGGAGCAAAAATCATCATACAAACACTAACCAAGATAGATCTCCCCAAACGAACCGCTACCAATCTTCCGACCCAGCCGAAACTTATTGCCAACCCGAGGCTCCATTCATAAAAATCACTTCAAAAACCCAACAACAAATCCCAGAAACCCACTCCGTAACTCACAGAAATTTAGCCTTACGTCCACGCTGATTGAGCACAAATGATTATCAAATCCAGCCAAAGAAGCAAACTTTAATTGAAAAAAGCTAAGGGGAAGATACAACAAACTCCTAAAATCTATTCTTCACAAATTGGAACAATTCCCAAACAATAAAAAGATTAAAAAAAAAAAAGAAAAAGAAAAGCTGGAACCTGGAAATTAAACAGGGTGAGAACTCAAGAAGAAGGGGAGAAGGTGGGCGTGAGGGAGATATTATGATTATATTATAGTACATTATTATTAGTACACGATGCTCTTTGTTTAAATCGATGCAAGAGAATTTTTACAGCTACGAGGCTAATATGCCTTTTCTTTTTTAATTTATTTTTTTATATTTTAGTAGTTTTGGTAGCACAGTAAAAACTATAACGAGTAACGACGTTAACGTAGTACAATCAAGGCAGTAATTTATGACAGAAGTGACTGTTAAAAATTTCATGGTCAGACTGACTTCACTGAGATATTGGCTTACGTTTTTGTTTGTGTAAATAATCTGCCAATTTTATTTGCGTTGTTGTTCCCGCTTTTCTTAAAAGGGCATCATTCAAGTTTTTTTCTTGCATTCCTACTGAATAAGAAAAACAAAATAGAAATGATGTGGTATCAATTCGAGGTATGGAGCCAATTTCGTGTTACGTATTTTACGTGAGTAATAATATTTTTTGGAGCAATCATGTGATAAAAACTCAAATCGGGTTAATCGTTTCGGATTGTTTCTATAAATCACGTCGTTGTATCAAAAATTCACACTCCTAGATATTAATTCTATTTACTCCCTCCTTTTTCTCTCAAAAAAAAAAAAGAAAAAAAAATCTCCGCCGTCTTGAAATGAATGTTACATGTCTTGTTTGCTGTATATTAAAATCATTTCGGAACAAAAAGAATGTAAAAGATCACATTTTGGAGACGGGGAGAGGAATGGCTAATTATGTGCATTAACTGGCTATTTTCTTCCCAAGCTTTTCTGCAATAACACCTTTCATAAACTGTGTATCGTACATACAACAGCCCAAAATTTTCACAAAACGAATCAACCCTCTCTCACTATATACTATCTACTATACCCCCCAAAAAAGAGAGAAAAAAGAATAGTGTAGATTCTGTAGAATAAGGAGGTAAGTGACCAATTACCCCATATCTGAAATGGCCACAATAAGAGCTATTCTACAAGGAAGAATTGGAAAAAAGAAGAGAGAATATCACAATCATGAAGACAAAATACTTCTTGCACCCATGGTTGAATACTTCTTCTGCAATTTACCTTTGAGATGCCGGATTCTAGCATCCACCCTAGCAGTGAACCCGATCTTGGTTTTCTGCCTCGCCTTGGATCGTTCTCTTCTCCACATAGATCGATCCTCCACGTCTTTCTTATAGTATTTGATCTCTTGAATTACATGGTGATCCATGGGGTTAAAGCATCTCTGGAATGAAATATGCGCCAAGTACGGAAGATTGCATGCTACGGTTACAATGAGGGTGGCAGACCAATAAACTGGGGCAGGAGCTAGGGCTTCAACCAAGATTTTATACGCGTTCCCAGAGTAATACGGGCTTATCTGGCCGTAGATGAAGAGGAAAACGTACCAAAAGGCAACGCTACCCCAGACAAGGAAATGCTGTATCCATGTGAAGTGACTCATCATGAGTGCAATCTGGCAGTTAACAGCCCAGATAATACAAGTGAACATCGTTGATCCCACTGCACTCATGTCGGCAGTCTGGCCTCCAGCCCGGAAAGCTTGGTGGTAGAAGATCATAATGTTGAAAAAGAATATGACAACTGATGTGTAGAGGCCATTTGCCATCCACCCAAATATCCTAGGCCAGTCAAAAAACAAATTTTTGGGACCTTGCTGATACAGAGCAGGAAACTGCAAAGTCATTAAGACTTGGCATCAGCATTCAACAGTAACAACAGAAACATAAATAAAGTCAAACAAATTTTGGAATTTTGAATGAACAGTGTCATTTGAGAAGACTAATAACCTGTAAGCAGACATCAGAAGAAACATCTTGTTCGAACACTCCAAGTGAAATGACGGGCAATGAGGTTAGGACGACATTGAAAAGTATCATATACCAGTCATCGTAAACAGATTGCCCAGAAAATCCAGTGAAGGCCTCAAAATAGAAGAGAGTGAGGCCAAAAGCAATGTTCTTGTAGAAGAAATAACAAATCTGGACAGATGGAGAGAATAAAAAAGGGTTACAAAACCAACGAACATCACAGACTATTTTGGAGAAATATTAACAAAAGTTTGTCAGATTATATTACCATCTGGGCAATCCTCTTGTAGCACCAATGCCCATGTATGACCAGAAGTCTCTCGAGAAACCGGAACTGAGCAATCGCAAAATCACTTGCCATCACAGCCTGTGAAAGAGCTGATTAATTTGTCAGGCTGATTTAAAGATCTTAAAGCAAAGAATGCTTGCAAAATGATTTCACAAATTCACTGGACATCCAACCAACATGCAGGAACTTCTAATGAAGTAGACCTGTTTGAAAATGACAAGCTGCAACAATGAGCAAAATTTTCCTCTGGTCACTATTGACTTCTCTAATACTAATTCCTTCTCTCAGATCCAAAAGATGACATTCACATAAAGAGCCATTTGAATGTTTTAAGGCGTATTCATGTACTTTCATGTAGCAGCTATTGCAAATTGTGAATGACTTTCTTCACAATCAAAAGAATGAGAAATATAAATGATCTGAAAAAAATACAGGTGGTTTACATTTCCGGGCTTTAGTCACAGAACACAGCTAGAAAGGAATGCTCACTCCAACAAACACATTACCATAAAGAAAAGAACACGGCAACCTGCAATTGATACTATATATTTGTACAAATCCTATCAATTTAATAAAACAACAAAAACTTAAAAAAAAAAAATACTATGCTAACCTGCATTCCTTCAACTCCACTGATACCCACCCCGATGTCTGCTTCTTGAATCATTCCGACATCATTTGCGCCATCTCCAATGGCTAAGGTCGTCTTTCCAGTTCCTTCTTTTACTAATCTTGTCACCAGAGCCTTCTGCTTAGGAGAGACACGACAGCAGATGACAGATGCACAATCAACTGCTAAATTCAAGAAGAGATACTTCATATCTTCCTCTAAGGCATGTGTTAGAGTTTTCCCATCAATAATCAATGCAAATGCAGCATGTGGATCCTTTTCGAGTTTGATCATTTGAGAGGCATTGGCAATTTGCATTGCTATGGAGTCCTTTGCAGCCTGGTCAGTTCAGAGGGGGGGAAAGGGTCAGTGCTAAAGTAAATCAAGAATTAGGTGCCATGAAATTTTTCCAGTAAACAACTACCTTTTTGGAATCTTGACCAAATGAATCTGCATTAGCTGTTATACAGATTTGCCTCATACCCTGTCGAAGCAAACTACAAGCATATCTGCCAATATCAAAGCAAAAGTTTTAAGATGAATACTATAGAAGCTATAATTTATAATCATGTATAACAAAATCAGAGTTCTGTTTAGGAAACAAAATGACTGACCCAATGTTAATGGCTGTTTCCATCTTATCACCTGTAAGAACCCAGATCTTAAGACCAGCCTGTGCCAGTTTATCAATGCATTGAGGCACCTAAGAGGAGACAAGAATAGGTTGCTGAGACTCAAATTTAATAGTGCAATCAATTAATGAGACTTATCGGACAGAGAAAATAAAATGATACCCCTCTCTGGAGTTTATCCTCCACTGCAGTGGCTCCAACAAGGATCAATTCCCTCTCCATCGTATCTGATACACGTTCAAGCATTGCTTCCCTATCCCCACCAATTGAAGTTTTCGCTTTCATGAACTCATCATTCCAAGCAGAATACTCAGCTTCCTCGAGCTTCCTGTATGCAAGTGCAAGCGTGCGCAAACCAGCTTCCCCATACTCGTTCAAATGGTTTGTGGTAGATTCAAGGAACATTTTGCCATTCTTTGATAACCTGTCGAAGATGATACTGCAAATTCCAAAAGAAAGGAACAATTTATCAGAGTAATGTATTGTAGAGAAACAGAGAGTTACCAGCCCGAAGTCATACAAAAAATACACCCATTTCATTGTCTGATCACTTAGACTAATTGAAAAGCATAAAATAACAAGCTCAACCATCATGTTGCAGCACAAAAGGTTGAATGACAAAGAAACATGAAAGTCCCCGAAGATCACTTCAGCTCAGTGTTCTGCAAGCATAGGACCTTACTAAATATGAAAATCCCGGTTACATTTTCTGTTATTCCTATTACTGTTAAACTATAGCAAATCATTCTGGAAAAACAACAGGACACCACTTCAGAAAATTCCTAATTAGGGGACTAAAAAAGAATATCACAGATGTTGAGGGCTGGACCTGTCTGCTCCTTTACAAAAAAGGAAAATCTGCCCATTCTCATCCCGCAAAATAACAGACATCCGCTTCCTCTTGCTGGTGAAATCCAACATATTGAGAACTTTGTACTCCCTAATATTTCATTAAAGAAAATAAAAAAATACATCAGATGGAGAGAAGCAAAAGAGTTAGACTACATATGACTATAGTTAACAGTACTGATAACTTGCCTTTCAACAGGCTCTTCAACCGAAGAATATCTCTCTCGAACAATAATGCTCGATTGGGTTCTCTTACAAAACTCAAACCCAAATTCCCTAGCTGCAACCAGAAATGCTCCTTCATCAGGAGATTCTGCTTCATATGCTAGAGTGCCAGTATCCTCATTCATCTCAGGAATTGCGGTGTGGCAAAGGGAAAGTATCCTGAAAAACAGCAAGATGACATCTGCATTGGGCTCTTTTACCCAACTTCCATTCATGAGACGGTCATCCTCAAAGCTAAATCCTTTGATTGCAGGCGTACGGTCTGCTTCATCTTTAGAGGTGATGACAGTCTCTAATTCTATTTCATCGGCGCCACTTCCACCCCTACCATTGCTTTCCCAGGGAAGTGTGGTATGATCTTTAGGGGTCACTGGATTTGATAAATCAGCATCCTGTCCATCCATTGCCATCTGCTTTGCGGCAGCAAGTTCAACATCACTAGCACGCTTTCCATATGAAGTTCCAGCAATTGAGCATTTGAGAAAGTCCATCTGGTTACAAGTCAATGTTCCAGTTTTATCCGAAAGGATTGTATCAACCTGCCCCAACTCCTCATTCAAGTTTGAGGTCCTAGCTTGAGCTGGAGTTCCAGTTTCTTCGTCATACATATGAATATCACGATTTATGAACAATGCTTGCAGGACCTTTACAATTTCAATTGACACGTAGAGGGATATCGGGATCAGATAGCCATACATTATGAGAGCAGTGACTAGATGAAAGGTGCCAGACAACTGTGGCATGTTGGGATTATATAAGTTCTCTTTATCTGGGGCTTGCAAATACCACCAATTTGGCATTTGGTACTTCACCTTCACCGCAAAACCTATTGAGCTAATGAGGGAAATTACAACAAGAAGGGTAAATAGGATGTATATTATTTTGTCCATCTGTTTTTCGACCCTGCTCCTTTTTGATGGTGACTTGGTAGAATTCTGCATAACCTTGCTATCATGACCAGTGAATATTACCACACCATAAACATAGGCTGTGTTTCTGAGCTTTGAATCTCTGAGGAGTATCTGACTGGGATCAAGAGGATAAACCTGATGATCATAATCAAGATTACCCACAAAAGAATAAAGGTTGGGATTGGGGTCTTCACACCTGATTGTTGCACTGAACTCCTTGAAGGATAAATCTTCATCCAAGGGTAGAGTTACCTCCAGAGCTCTTTTTACCTTCAAGTTCGTCTCTCCATCTAAGTTCATGGTTTCCACATAGCAAATACCATCCTCGTAACTCGAGGATAAAAGGAGTAGATCAGCAGGGAAAAAATTATCCTTTTCCACCTTTACTATGTCTCCAACTCGAATCATCCTCCAAGGTCTATACCCAAATACACCATCTCCTTTATGTACACCTGCTTTCCGCGAATTAACCTTCATATCCTGCATAAACCTGCGCCAATCTTCCAAAGCTTCTTTTGCCATACTCAACCCAACAACAAATGCCAAAGGAGCAATCATGCTAACCGCTCTGAACGGAGAAACTGGAGTGAGCGACAGGCAAGCGGCCAGAAGAAAATATAAGTTGGCAACTCGCCTGAATTGCTCAAAGATAGCCTTAGGTAGGAAAGTAACAACATTATACTTTGTAGTGGATATATAATTGCTGCGGTATTTTAGAGGTTTCTTTTCATGAAGATGAGGCTGGTTGCAGTAGACCATTCGTGAATAACCAGGGCCATTGAATTGATGTGGCTCCTCAGTCTCCAATGCACTAGGCCGGAGGCATCCAAAAGTATACAAGTTACTTCGGCGGATTTTCGCCCTGATCCTACCCCTAGCCATTTTTTATGGGTCTTTATAAACTCAATATCAATGTGGAAGCAGGGGTAAACCATCAGAGCCCCACAACACTGTCTTCCACACTCCCATCAAAACTTTTATTCCTAATAACCATACAATTTAGCAGGCTATCATGGCGTGACCAGAGAACAACCGAAATCAAAGAAAATAAACCCTTGGTTTTGAGGATTTCAGCAACAAATGATCAAAAGATATTTCACCTGAAATACAAAATTTACAGGAAACCCAAATCAAACTCATTGGTGAAACCCGAACAAAACAAGTTTCTACTGAAGGATAAGGTTTAAAAGTACACATTTACTAATTACAAGAACTTTTCCTCTCATTCAGCAAGGGCATGGAAAAATGATCGAATGTCAAGATTCTTTTCAAGATTTCAAATAATTACGCAAATCAACCCAAATTAAAACACCATAGCCACTGAAGTTTAAATGACTCTAGAGAAGACACAATAGTGGTATCAACAGACATCCATGGACCAAAAAAAAAAATATATTCAGGTGAAAATCCCATAAAACGAAAACCAAAAACCAAAATTCAAACCTTTTGTTGTTCGTTCGACAAAATTTCAAACCCACCCCACCGTGAATTACCTAACAAACACCCCCTTATATAAGCCAATTACACGTCTCCAAAAACCAAGAAAACTACTACATTGCAATGCCAGCTCAAATTGCCCCAACTATCCCCAAGCAGATTCAACAGATCATAAACCAAAGAACTCAATTCCCTTGTCAAGAAACAATCTTTTCTTTTTGTTTCTTTTCTTGCACCCTCAATGAAGACTAAAAGAAACCCAAATAACCCACAACCCGTGATTAATTTAACTTCACATGCAAAACGAAAAAACAGAAAAAAAAAAAATTTAATTAGACCCAAATCAGACAAAAACGAAATTAAATTAAAAATTTAAAAGGGGTACCTTTGAAGAGCTTGATGAGAATGCCAAAACGAACCCAGGTTGGAAAACCAATGAGATTAAGGACAAGAAGCTAAATAGCTGCAGAGATCGCGATTTTATGGAGAGAGAGAGAGAAAAAAAAAGAATTAAAAGACAAAAATGAGAAAGAAATGGGGCGGAAGGAGGAGAGACCGAGGGGAGGGAGGAAGGGAGGGAGATTTAGGCAGGCATATATTACGTTTACTCTCTCTTCCTCGCTTTTACTGTGTTTTGATAATTCTATAGAAGGATCTTTTTATTTATCTATATTTACTTGTGTTATTCAGAATTATATGATTTGTAATCTTGGTCTGCTTTTTTTTATAGTATTATTATTGCTTTTTCTTTCTTTTTCCAAACAACTAGGGCTACATTTCACGTAAAAAGAAAATCTTAGTAACACTTTTTTTTTGGATAAAAAAAAATAATAATGATAGATCTAATTCGTCAACATTATTCATTCAAGTTGCCCTTATCAAAATTTTAGCCTAAATTTGCGAAAATCAACACACGATTCAGTATTTTATTTTTTTTGCCGAGATTTCAACATCATAGAGTAATGGTTTATGTATTAGTAATAATTAATGTGATAAAGATTTGGGGGGACAAATCGATATGATAATGAATAAATACACCTGCAAACTTCTTAACATCTTAAGAGAGGGAATGAATCTTGATTTTTTTCAATATAAAGAAATCGTGTGTCTCTCATATATATCATGAACAATTTTGCTATTAATAAATCTTGTGTCACACATATAAATCTTGTGTCCCATCAAGATGCTTGTAATTCAGCGAGGAGGGAAATTAGTCACCCGGCAAATATGCATGAATAAAATAAATAAATAATAAATCTTGTATATAATATACCAAAAAAGAAAAGTCTTGTACGTAACATATTAGATTTAGTTTAACTTTGAAATATATAAGTGATATTGATTATTAGTATTTAAAAAATACACGTATATGAAGGGCAAGACACTACTATATATTATATTACTAATATAGTGTCACTAAATGGATTTGAAGTGAGAATTACTGATGGATTGACTGATAAAAATATCAAACTTAGTAAGGACAATTGAGAGCTGAAGTGGAAACGGATTTTTACTACAAACTGACTCTAAAAAAGTGTCAAAATCAAGATATTTAAAACAAAAGGTAGTCGAAAATGACTTGACACGGCTATTGCCGTTTTCCTCCATCTAATTATATCCGGAAAACGGCCGGCCAGCCTCGTCAATCTCATTTTCTTCTTCTTTTTTTTTTCTTTTTTTTCAATGTCACTATTTCTCCCTAATAGAAACAGTAGCTATAACAAAATGTAGCTACATATATAGATATCAATTTTTGGTGTGAAAATTTTGAATTAATTAAAATTATAATCTTGTAAAGATTCTTAATTTGTTTGAAAAGGACGGTAGTCTTTAATTTAAAAACTGATAATAAGTAGTTAAAAATAGACCTAAACTTTGTTCTTAATGTAATCAAACAAGAGAGCATGATTTGGGTTTTTTTTTTTTCTTTTTTGGTATAGTTATAGTATCCTCGATGTAAACTCTTAAAAAAAAATTCTGTATTATTAGTATTAAAAACAGGGGTCGAAAAAAAAACTGATTATTTTTCTAGTCTGTATGAATTTTTTTTAAAAATTTTTTTATCCGCGAATTTATTGGTGGTTGTTGTATTTGATTACAACAATGATATACAGTCACAAAGTGATTAACAACAGTTCAAAAGGAAACAAGAAAACGTTAATAATAGCTGGTTACAATAACATTATCATTTGTTGAAAAAATAAATAAAACTGATCTTTTGCCTGCAAAAAAGGCACAGGTTTTTGACTTGCACTATAATTCAAAATCCAGCCAATGATTTTCACCAAAAAAATAAAAAAGATTAAAAAAAAAAGTAATCCAGCCAATGATTTAAGGCAAAATATATATATATATATATATATATCTCTAGGGTTTACGCGGCCATTATAACGAATTAATTTGTCGTGTTAATCTATAAAATATAATCCATATGTGGAACCAATCTGTGATTTACTTTTTTTCTGTAAAAAAAAAAGTCAATATAATCTACGGCTATTTTTTTTCTTTTAAATCATAGAAATTTCGTCTGATTTGTCTATGCGTAACCTTTAATTTAAATCACGGATAATTATTAGATTTGTACGGTGGGTGATTATCCAAACAAATAATTTAATTTGAAAAGTGTTACAAGCCAATCTAGTAAAAACATAAAACACAATTCAAATCTCAGTAAATATTATTCCTTTATTTATTTTTTTAATTGTATTTTTGGAGTTGAGACTTTTTTTTGTTTGTTTTTTGTTTCATCGTATGATTGTGGTTAGGGACAAAACGTGCGCCCAAGCAAAAGTCACAAAAGTTCGGGGTTGGGATGGAGGGAGGAGGGGGCCCACCAAGTGGCAAAACGGGCCTAGGTGGCAATGAGAAGCCGCGCCTACTAAGCGGGGAATTCGGATTGGATTTTCTGACATTTTAGAAGAATGGCCCCCACATGTGAAGCGCCCTGATATTGATGGAGAGCACAACCACATTTATCAGCCGTTTTTTTCCCCGCTGTTCTTCTTTTTCTTAATATCCGGAAATTAAATTCAAGTCGGACCAGCGATTTATTATATTATTATTAGGTGTTTAATACACTTAAAAAAGAATTATATAGAGTCTCTAAAAAGTTTTTCAAGTGAAAAGAACTTTTCACCGTTAGATTGATTTTCAGCAAAACAAAATACTCCCTCCGGTCCTTTATATAAAGTAATTTGATTTGTCTTAAGTTTAACTTACTATATATTTTTTGTTGTCAAAAAACCTTAAAAATATTTTATAACAATCAAGAGAATACAACAAACGAATGTAAAAATATATTTTTAAGATTTTTTCGTCAATTAAAAAAGTGTATTAGGTGAAATCTAAGACAAAATCAAAATGGATTATATTAAGGACCGGGGGAGGGAGTATTGGTAAAAAATAAAAAATAAAAAAATCTATTTTAGTGAACACATAAGGAAATGCAACTACCTCTCATTCAGAGAACTTTATTTTGAAGTTCTGGTTAGAGTTCACAAGACAAAGGTATAAAAACATGTTGTACAAATTGTGTATTCAAATTTATCTCAACAAAATGCGTTTTTATTGTTTTTGTTTTAATCAAAATCAAGGTTGATTAAGAAACACGACTTGAATTAAAAAAAGAATCGAGTTTAGATTATGGATTGGGATTAGCCTAAGCATAGTAAAATTTGTATTCTTCCTGTCCCAAAATTTTTGTCCAGATTGATATTTCACTTATAGTATAATTTGAAGTAAAAATGAAAATTCAAACTGGACAATAATTAAGGGAGGGAGGGAGTATTTTTTTTTAATATGACCCACAAGGAGAGAAGCCTCTCCCACTCGTTAACGAGGATGATGAAGACATTAGAAACGGACTGAAGCAAATAAAAAAGAAGAAGCTTCTTGGAAATTTTAACACGGTTATAACTTGGACGTGGTAAAGCCTGCTCAGTCCCACCAACCGACACTTTATAATCGTCACTCACTTCTCTCTATTTTTCCCACACACACAAAAGACAACACCAGAAAACGTATTTGTGTGGGTTACGCAGTAAGCTATGGCACTCTCAGCGCTTTCATTCTCAGATGTTTACGTTTTTTCTAGGATACTCTCATTATCCCGTCCCATTTCTTACTAAGACAGTTTCATCAACTTTGAAACTCATCCATTCGGCTATAGCCCACAGCTTGCTCATACATATTGGCTATCCTACTTACCTTCAGTCCAATTTTGATAAGGCACAATGTTAAAGTTTTGGATTGTGTCGTGTAAGTAAATGGAACCGGAAGGAGTAAAGTGAGGACTAAATATGCATATTGCATAGTAATAAGAAATGACTTTTTTCTCATATATAGTGATGTACCCAGTTGGAGGGGGACAAGACAACCTCTAAAACAGTGAAAATAACGGACATACATGCGAGGCGTCAAAAAAGCGAGTTTTGGGAAAGAATTTAAATTGCCCAGAGTCCACCAAAAATGACAAATCAGAATTACAAGAAATTTGTTGCTGACATACATCATGAAGGCGATCTTGTCTACTCAGAAGAATTGCCGCTTTCTTGTCTAATCACGGATGATCATCTCTCATCGAAGAAGTGATCTTGTTAGATGCTCACGGGCTGTGGCTAGGGCTTGGGATATTGTCTGTGTATTTGACAGAAATTTCACCAAGTCAAATGAAGTGGAAAGGAAATAACCACCACAACTTAGACCTGCTAATTTCACATTATGATCCATATACAGTCTATGTCATTATTGTTCTCTTATCAACATACATCTTCAGTCTATATCATTATTGTTCTCTTATCAACATACATCTTCAGTAAGGACACAACTTTCCTAAAGAGATATTATGAGCATTTCCAAAGGGCTTTAATTCCCTCAAGCATAACTGTGACCTTTCACACACACACACACACCACTGTTATTTTGTCCGCTGAACCTAAAAGTTTACATATCCCCTGAACACCCATTAGACCATACAATCATGCAGGTAAGTGATAGTCCCCCTTCTAATTTTGCACTTCGTATTTCATTACACGACAAAGAAACTCAAAGCAAAATAGTTTTATCAGTCACCCCAGTATAGAAGCCACACTCTTACAATCATCTTTATGTATCATATTTTCTAAATGACAACAGATGACTGAATGAGGAGACAGAAAGAATACAAATAAAAAATACCTGTTCAGACAGCGGTGCACCATCATCCATACTATGGGTGGCTACTTTTCCAGCAATTATAGACCCATCAGTCTCAAGAATCATCCTGATATTGAGCATGAATTGTATAACATATTAAATATATCCACGTGATTTGAACTCCACAGGAAAAGAAAAAGTACAACAAAATCCTGTTAAATCACTTTTGAAATGAAAGATGAAATGCATATCTGATAGTTCACAATCTTAATTTGGCAAAAATGAATACATTCTTAACTAGAAAGATGATATCTTTATCTTAGGACCTAAGACAAAAAGGTCTGTTAGGATGTCCTTCCAAAGCTTCCACAGCATGTGAGGAATATTTTGACATGTGCTCTAATGCAGTGATTTTTATCTCACTCGGATTCATTTTCACCACTTATGTGCCAAATGGTGAATCTTTCAGCTTTGAGAAAGTGGAGTTGGTTTAAATTGTAAATGATGATCATAGATGCATTAACCTTTTGATCTTAATTGGCACTCCAATTTATTGGTCAGAAATGAACTTAAAGCTCAGCTGCAGGCCAGAAGCTTCGTAAGTCAAAGGACATTCCATGCACTATTCGACTTAATAGATAACCAATCAGTGATAACATAAAAACCTTATGGCGACTGATCACGTAAGAGTTGCTTCTAATACATAATAGTTGATCTATCAACACAGGATGCAAATCCTAAGCTGCCAAAAATCTAATGTAATTGCATAAACATCAAGCTTACCCTCCATCAACAATCTCGTCCAGGCATAACAGAATCAAATCTAAGTTCTCCAATGCCTCCTTTTGTTCAACATTGTTCCTGAAAAAAAGAGATAATTACCTAAAAACCAACAAAGAAAAGCAAGATGTATCTACCTAACCATACGGATCATACCTTGCCATCTATCAAACCATCAAGTAAAACGAAAAAAGACAACCCTAAACTTCAATTACCACACCTTAGTAACAGAGTCACAGCATCAAAGAAACCTTGTAGAACAGTGGCTAAGATCAGTTCGTTTTCCTCATCACCCCCGGTCACGAAAAAATGCAAATCCTGAACAAACCTGTACACGATGATGTTGTTCTCAAGCATCGCGATCTCAGCTGGAAAAGCAAACAAAAACAATCACCAAATAAGATCACATTCATAAATCCACTTCAACTCAATCTCATAAGAATATAGTGACATTACATCATCTTCTTCTTTTCTTTACTTCTAAACATTACATCGCCAATCACAACTCTTAAAGCCAAAGCAAAATCCACGATCTTTAAATCTACTCCTAGGCATAAATTAAGGATCTTTGAAAAGCACGATTCAGTACCTTCAGTGCGAGCATTAGTCTTCTGGGTTTTCGTGAAGATGGACTTTTCAAAAGCCAGTTTTGCAGCATTAGTAGGCCATTCATCAGTGTAATACTTTACGGCCACACGCTTTCCTTCCGAATCCAACAAAAGGATGTTCTTAACAGTCGGAACAGCCTCCTGCAGCATCATCAATTCCAAAAGATTAACACAAACCCAGAACATAAACCAGATCAATTAGGGCAAAGGGACATTGCAAGAGAAAGACTAAATAGAATTGGATGTGATATTGAGAGATCTAAATCTAGTTCTACATTAGTTTAATGAAGGAATTGGGAAAATTGAATTTGAGGGAATTCGGGAAACAAAGGGACTTACACGGGAGAGAGAGTAGGCGGACATGGTGGCGGTGGCAGGAGGTCAGAGGGGCGGCGATCGACGTCGGAGAATCTAGCTCTGGTGCTGAACGACTGTTTTTTTTTTTCCTTTTCAAATCTAGCTTTGGTTAGTTGCTAAAAAATGTTCAGTTTGGCGCTGTTGGTTAGACTGTCTTGGGCTTTTTTGTTTTTGATTTGGATCTGAGCGCAACTTTCGGCTTCAAAAGTGATGAAATAAAAGATGTCCACGATGATGCTTTATTGGGCTCAGATTAATAGTGGGTGCTTTGGTTCCCTTACGTAAGATCTCATGTTCGAGCCGTTCACAATGTTACAAGAATTTCGCCCTCATAAAAAAACTTTCCCGAGTCAATGCGGATTAGTTTAAGTGCAAAAAACACTTAGAACACCATATATGTCTCCTAGTCAGTGAGATTTTTATTTTTATTGCCACTTCGCTTTCCTATTTCTTCTTTTTCCTATTTCATTATTAGGGGTGAAAATCATCCCACAAAACTCTTTTTTTTTTTTTTTGTTTCTCTTCAGTTTTTGCCTTGAATTATATAGAGGACAAACTTGGTGTTGGAATTTAGGGATGCAAAACAAAGGCAAGAGAAACTAAAGGAAATTGCTTCAAAGATAGAGCTTTTCTAATGTATTGGGAGCTGTAATAAACTTTGGAAGAAAAAAAAACAGAAAGAAGCAGAATGAGTCTGTGTGAGAGTGTAGTACCAAAATTCAGTGAGCCATCAAATCATATAATAGTGTCATTACTCACAAAGGTCAAAAAAAAAAAAATAAGCAGAGAATTCTAGCACATTTCATGATGCAGATCAGCAGATTACCTTTACCTGCAGAAACCAGCTCACCATTCAGAATGACTGAATGACACTGAACTTGCCAGCTTTGAAGTTAAAGCCATCCAGTTAACGCCTTTTAACCTTTTTTAAGGTATTGTTCATTTAATCATTCTAAAAGTAACAAGATTTACTATTGAAATGGGAAAGTGGACTATTACGGCATTTGCTGTTTAGTCATATTGTGCACAAGAGGATCACAGTTTGGAAAATTATTTTCCAAATGCAAAACAAAATGTTGAACCAATATCATAGAGGTTATTGATATGTGAAAAAAGCCCAGGTTTTAACCCTAAACTGTTGTAGTGAGAATTCCTTTACAATATGTACTATGTTGTCAACTGGAGGCAGTAAGCCAGTAACTGTAATAATGCTAGCATCACACAGTAGTAATCCTTAATGAGTGAAACTGAACAATAATTGAAAGTCACTGTATAAGTCACTGATGGCAAATTGATTGGCAGTAGTATTTTTTTTTTATAAAAAAAAATAAATAAATTTGACAGTACAATACTGATCTGGGTATATAGAGCATAGCCAGTAGTAGTAGTAGTTATAGTACCTGCAGTTATGAGCCTATTACTTAATGAACTCACTGCCTATCCCTATTGGTTCAGATAAGTGACTAAAAACTGGTGCAAATCAGCTTTCCTTTTCTTTGAAGCATTGGTTTCTGCAGTGCATTTCGAGGAGAGACCTTTTGATTAAAATTATGAAGAAATAATTGGTTCCTTTTTTGGTTCCATGTTAATAGTTGTAGTAAATGCTGACTGCTTTTCCACTTTCCAGAAGCAAAGCAGGGCTGGGACTGGCTAGTACTGTTCATTAATAACTCCATTGATGTCAAACTTCAAAAATTTACCAACTGCCATCTTCTTGAATGAATGAATGATTGCTGATAAACTTTGAAGCTGCTCTCCCTTACTTCTCTTAAGGTGTCTCAGTTGTGAATGTGTAAACACAGCTAAGACGTCGCTGAAAAATCACGATTAGAGTAATACAACAAGATTCGTAGGAAAAAAGCATAAGATATGAACAAAATGTGCTAGGTCCGTCTTGCGAAAACAGTATTTATATGAATATTGCTAGTCATTGACCCCTGAATCTAACTGATGTATGCCTGCATGCACCAATTTGATGAAATTTGATCGGTATTCTTTCCTTTTTATGAAAATGTTCCAAAAAAGTAGTTGGCTGTGTACTAGAATCTTCATTGTTTTATAGTATCATTTATGTCTCGGACATTGATACTTCAACAGTTATTAGCAGCATTCAATAAGGTTACAGAAAAGTTGTAGACTGGGAGGCCTCTGACTGGATTTCTTTTTCCCACCTCATATGGAAATGCCCATCAGGAAAAAGAATAAGGCTCTGCAGTCTGCAGTAAATATATATCCTCACTCATCTGAGGACTAAACTTCCATAGCTTGTGGAACTAGTAAGAGAGCTTCTGAATCCCAAGAAAAGGGCTACAGCTTATCTACCCTAAAAGAAGACCTATAATAGACCAACTCCACATCCAGATAAAGAAGAAGTTTGCTTATATCTAAAGATTGACGCAATGCACTTAGATCAGACGTATAAGGACAGAAATCTCCCCCAACAACCAAAGACTCCAGTACTTAGGGTCGTACTACTTCTACATGCCTAGATCAAAATATATATGTGGTCCTTATAGTTCTAGAATTGTCATATGAAGGAAGAAATAGTTAATATAGTACGCCTTTTCTGCCAAGGGAATAGGAAAAAGAAATCAAATGCCTTGTTTGATAAGCAAAATCCATCATATGCAGTAACCCAAGAGAAATCAGAAAAGGTACTCAGTGGAGTCCAAAAAATGAACCTTTTGAGATTGATGGGTTGGCCTAATGGCTATGAATGAGTTAGCAGTGTGGAACTAGCATTTTGGGAAATGGGCACTTGTTTCTTTCTTCACCCCTTTTCTTCCCTTTCTTATATAAATGAACCACACACACTGCGATCATTCATATGACATGCACCCTGCAATAATTCCCTAAAACCAATTCCATTTTCCTGTTGTCTTCAAGTTTCTAGACTCCTCAATCATCACAGCAATCATCACCATTCCGTTCATACAGGTTCCTAAAAGTAATGAGGGGTCAATTCCTTCTCTTTATCTCAATTCTGCACATACTCAATTTGGCTGCCACCGCAAACAGCAGGCCTCTTGTGCCAAATGGTAAGTTTTTTAGCCTATGTTCCTCTTCCATTTCCTGCTTCTCATCCACTTCTTTTGGTTAAATTTACTAATGCTATTGCACTAGTTTTCTTTCATTTTAATCATTACATCCTAAATCCTACCTGGGATTGTGTTACTGATCAAACACCAATTTACATCAGGGACAGAGCTGCCTAATTCATCTAGGTCTTCAGGGACAAACCTAACCTTCAATAAGGTCTTTCTTAACTATCTACCTTTCCATACTAATCAATACATTTAGAAGAAGAAGTACTAACCTTCTTGAAGTAATTGGCAGGAGAATGGAGGCAAGGAAAACTTGGAGGAAGCAGAAGAAAACAGAGAAGTGAACAGAATAGGATCAAGTCCACCAAGCTGTGAGCACAAGTGCTATGGATGCATGCCATGTCAAGCCATTCAAGTGCCTACCACCACTGGCCATGTGGGAGTTCAATATGCAAATTATGAACCTGAAGGGTGGAAATGCAAATGTGGTCCTACATTATACACTCCATGAACGGCAGAGCCAAAAAATGCAGAAGTCCTTGAGTCTTAACTTGGAGAGGGAAACATTCATACTGCAATCCAGAATGTGTTTCTACCTCCCCAATGTACTTATCTCTCACCTAGTACTATGTAGTAATATCCCTCTTACCTAGTATAATTGCTTCCTTCCTACATTGTTCAATTTGAAAGAGGCTAGTAATCCAGAACAAATTTTTCTTCCTATTTTTCATAGTTGTTAAAAGTTGCAACTGAACAACAAATGATACCGAAAGAACTACCGAAAATGGATCCATTGAGCTAAACTATACACAGTGAACAAACATTTTGAATAAAAAGTAAACCTCAAAGCTGACAAATTTTCAGAGCAAAAAAGAGAAAGGAAAAAGAAAATGTTCACTTCTTGGGATGAACAGCTTCCACAACAGCTTCAATCTCTTCTTTCACACGCTCAAAAACATTCGGGCCCTTGACTTCATCAGCAGAGGTCTTATCATCAATGTCATCATTTCTTCCATGTGTTTCCTGGTGGTGCCTAGGTGATGAGGGTTTCCCACCATGAAACACTGCTTCAATTTCCTCCTTAGCTCTCTCAATTAAATTGGGTGATTTAACATGTTTATCTTTTTCCCCTGAAACAGGATGAAGATGACTAAACTATATCAATAATTCGATGGGATTGTACATGGAAAATTCAACTAAATTTGAAAAAGAACAGACTTTAGGAATTAAAACAGCTGAGATTAATTTCAAGAATGGGGTTATAACTATCTCAAAAATCCAATCTTGAATTGATTTCTGCAATCTGAAACCAGCAGAATATGAAACTTGTGAATGATAACAATCCATCATGCATGACCATACAATAAGACACATGAGAAGAAACATTACCAAGAGCTGAAGATGCGATCCCCTTTCTGTTATCGTCTGCCATGGATAGTGAGGATTGAGGAAGAGAATTCGTGAGCAAATTTCTTTTTCTTTTTTTTGGACCTTTCTTCCCCAGAAGGTTTTTGTTTCCCGAATTTTTTTGTTTTTAATGGCGAAAACCAAAAAAAGAAAAAAAAGAAAAAAAAATGAAATGGAAGAAAATGGTGTATTAGTAGGCCTGGTGCTGTATTAACTTAACTGGCCTTTACAATTTTGCACTAGGCCTCAAGTTTTGGGCTTCAGTGACTCACAATTGATTGGGCTATGGATATTTAAGCCCATCTCTACAAAAAACGAGAATTAACACTGGGCTTTATTAGAAAAATGCATTTAGGAGAATGTTAACCCTCCTTTTCCTCTTTCATTTAACGATTCTTGTGATGATTCATGAGCAGCATTGATTAGTTCGGAAACGAAGAAGCCAATTATATTTAAACATTTCATACAATTAACGGCCAAATTGTAGTTAATGTTTGCATTATTTAGAACAAACGAGTGCTTCTATCAAAGTGAAAATGTAACTGTTAGGCTATTTTTGTAGAACATTCGTAATAATTATGACATACTCCCTCTGTCCCATAATTATTGTCCACTTTGCACAAAAAATTTTGTCCTAAAATTATTGTCCAATTTGATTTTTTATGGATCAAATTACACATTTGTCCTTAATAAAAAACATTATCTATAAAATCTTAGTGGTTAAAGAATTACTTATGTAGGGGTATATCCGGTTGTTTAAGGTAAAATATAGTTAAGTTTGATCAAAAATAAAATCTTTTATTTTAGTAAAACTGGACAATAATTATAGGATGGAGGGAGTACAACGTTGATTGATGAACTACTAACACGTAATGAATAAGAGAAAACTTGCAAATCCTCAATATTCAAGTAGTGACAAAACCATAAAAAAAAAATAGTAAAATAAATTGATGCATTGACGCTCCGCCGGGTGGGACGGGAGCGGAGCGGAGCGGAGCTTTTGTTTGATGTGATGTGAATATGTGATCAACAAATTATTATATAATCACAAAGAGGATTACATAAAAAAAAAAATTAAATTAAATTAATCTGCATTCTTCTTCCACCAAAAAAGATGTGTTGCGCGTGCCGTACACTCCCAACAACTTTGCCTTATTTTCAGAAAATTAAAAAAAGAGTAGAAGAACCCTTTCACGTCCTCCTAGGTGTGTTTTACGTATCAAAAGAGGATTTCAAAAAAAAAAAAAAAAAAACCACGTCGTTTCAACATCTCCATAAATGGTTCTTCTTTAAGAACATACTATCCGTTACAGGAAAGACAACTCTTCTTTTTTGTCTTTTTTTTTTCTTTATTTTGGATTATTCAAAATTCAAACAAAAACCTTTGCCACCTGGGATTTCACTACTTAAACCTCCTTACTCGCTCCTCCCCAAGTTTTCCATTTATATACTTTTTGTTATTTTCTCAATCTCACTTCAGTTCTTGATCTTCTTCTTCCTTTCTCCATTGAAAAAAAAAAAAAAACAAATCTCTTGTTTGTTTTATGATTTTGAGAAACAACCCAGATTAAGGAAACAAGTGTTGGGTATATAATGGGTTCTTCAGGAAAGTGGATTAAATCATTGATTCCCCTCAAAAAGTCTCAACCTTGTGATCATGTAATCAATCAGAACTTTTTTTTTTTTTTTGCATTAATTTCCAGTTCAATTTCATGCCGTTGTTTCCAATTTTTATCATATTGAGCATAAAGGTTGATTCTTTTTTTAATTTGCAGGAGAAGGGGAGTGGGAAAAGCAGGAAATGGAAGCTGTGGAGGACTTCATCAGGAGGTTTATCAATGATGTCTTCCAAGGGTCTCAAAAAGTCTGGAAGAACGGCGGAATCTGAGTGTTCTGAATCTTCTTATGGTGGCGCTTTTGAAGGCCCAATGGCCGCCGCGGTGGCTGCTGTTGTCAGGGCTCCACATAAGGATTTTGCATTGCTCAGGCGAGAATGGGCTGCCACTCGAATCCAAACCGTGTTTAGAGCTTTTCTGGTATTCTACAATTTACTCTTCATTTGGGTGCATCCTATTTGGCTTGAATCAGTTATTTCCACTCGGTTAAAGATTGCCAAATAATTGGACTGTCTGCTAATTGTTGTTTTTAGAGTTGGATTTGAGTTTTTACAACCAATAGTCTTGTATGCTTTTAGAATTTGAGAATCTGTCTCCTTTATGCCTAAAAAGTTGAAATTTGAAGGAGGTCTTACAGCAACATCATTTGTTTTTTATTTCATATGCTCCTTTGCTGGAATTTCTTATTATTGGTTATACTCGATCCTGGCAAGGAAAAGGGCAGCCATGTTTCTTTACTTGTTACCTCTGTTGTTCTTTTCTGTCACTGATACTTGCAATCGTTTAACATTTGCAAAGTTGATCTTTATAGCTCATAAGGGTTATTATTTAATATATGATTTAAAGAGTGATTGATTTTTTGCTGGACATAATTGATCCTTTTAATGTTGTGTTGATGATTATTGAAGGCAAAACGTGCTTTTAGGGCCTTAAAAGCAGTGGTCAGGCTGCAGGCCATATTTCGTGGTAGACGTGTCAGAAAGCAAGCTGCTGTGACATTAAGGTGTATGCAAGCATTAGTCCGAGTTCAAGCTCGAGTTAGAGCTAATTCCGTTCAAGCTTCTCAAGACAGCCAGACTCTAAATGGTGGATACAATGGCAAAACTGATCCAATCAAAGAGGCAGAGGTACAATTTTACCATGATTGCAGTAAATGATAACTTAGTTTAAATGTCATTGATATCATATTTGTTTAACATTGAACAAAGCTACAAAAATCACATGCCTGAAAATTGCAGAATGGATGGTGTGATAGTCGTGGCACAGTACATGAAGTAAGATCCAAGTTGCAAATGAAGCAAGAGGGTGCTGCCAAAAGGGAAAGGGCAATTGCATATGCTGATGCTCAACAGGTAGAATGGATGGGGTGATAGTCAGTTTAATCTCTAACATTTGGGAAATTCATTATGAGATACAAAGTAAACTTGTTTGTTAATATTTGCGGTTGTTTTTCAAATTTCAGCAATTGAGGCGAAAGGCTATGCCAAACAAGGGTAATGCAAACAAGCGAAATCCAGAACTCAGCTGGTTGGATAGTTGGATGGCAACTAAGCCATGGGAGAGTAGACTGATGGAAGAATTCCAGACCAGCTCATTAGACATGACTCCAACTTCATCAAAATATGAGCGTGACAGTATTACTGGGGGATCACTTTCCAATTCATCAGAACATGGCTCAGTGCAAGTTAGACGAAACAACATTTCTACCAGAGTTTCTGCACGACCTTCTACTACAGGCAGGCTTGCTCGCGCATCCTCAGATCCAATTTCTGACTCTTTATATGATGAGAGCACGTCGACTTCATCATTGTCAACTTCTGAAACTCAGGATTCAAACAAGACCCCAGTAGAAGGATACCGTGCGAAAAAGCCTAGCTTCATGAAAGCTACTGAATCCATTAAGGCTAAGCAGAGAGTTCCGGCTTCGCCTTTCCATCAATCTCATAGTACGCAATGGCGTTCTGTTGATAGTCCACAGTTTCTCCAGAAACCGAGCTCATTTTCTGGGAGTTTAAATAGAAGAAGTGCTGATACAGACCTTTATTCAGTCCACTTGTGCAAGGATCTGTATCCACCAACTCATCTCGACAAACAAAGTTCTTCCTGAAGTTAGATTAAGCGGAAGACAAAGTAATGAAGTTAGGAGACTCCATTTGAGGACGAAAAAAGAAGGGAGCATCAGATTGGCAGAGATGCACTAGAACAAGTTCAACAGCTCGTTGTCGCGATTTTTGGCACGCTTGAAAGAATTCTTGTTATAGTTTTTAGTTATCAAAACTTAGGGCAACATTATACATGAGCATAGAATACATAGGAAAAATGTACATTTGGGTGCTTATTTTCTTGCTGTTTTTCGAGTGTTTTCTTTCTTTGTTTTTAGATTCAAACATTGTGAATGAGACTGCATTTGTGTTTGGTGTGAGGATTTAACACCCCTTTGACAGTACTCCTTAGTTCTCTTGCATTCTTCGTGTCAACCAAAGAAATGAAAGGTGTGCTTATGGATTTGTCTTTGTTGCTGATTTATCAAACTGTGAGGAAAAGTAGTTATATAGAAATGATTTATCCTTCCCGGTTTTACTACTAGTTTTACTGGTCACATTAGTTTAAATCGCTTGAACAGTATATATAGTTAATATGTAGAAAAGTTGATGTAATTTTTGTTATAAGCATTTAGTTCTTGTTTTTTCTTTTTCAAAACCTGAAAATGAAATTTATCTCTTCTTCGATAAAAAAAAAAAAAAGAAGTGATGTAAATTACTTCAAACAAATTGGTGCTACTACAGAATTAATTTAATTTTATTATAGTACAATTAATTTGGACCGTAAGGAATATAATTTATGAGTCCAAATTTCGTATGAATTTGTTTCAAATTAAATAGACCACTCAGGAGGAGATGGTTCGAGGGTCAATTTCAAAATCAAAGCACTCTTTTGGAGCAAGTTAAGTGGAGTATCCAAAATTTGTTAAAACTTTTTGACTTGTGTAAAACTGCATGGACTGCATACCCATGTGAGAATATTGCAGTTTTTGAAGGCATGAAATCAGGATGCTCTTCATAACCCAAACTGCAATATTTTTTTGGTTCATCCTCATTGGATTGGGACTATCTCGATTTTGATGGGCATGACAAAGAATGTACTAATTGGTTATTTCCCCCCCAAGTTTTCCTACTTCTCAAAATACTCCTCCGTAGTAAGACTATAATCAACATGAAGGAAAATGATAAAGCTGCTGCTAAAGGAAAATAATATATACGGTGAAAATGATATACATTGGTACGTATTTTTTTCACTTTGTCATTGTTCATACTAGATGTAATATTAACTAGCTCTTCCCTCGTTACAATACACACAAAGCTAAAGAAACTATATATACATTCAATACATTTTGTACTGGATTGTTAAGACTAAAAATCGCGATTGTTATTTTTTAGAGTATCTTGCGAAATACGAAGAAGTTGAAAGGGCTTATTCCAAATCACTCTTAAACTTGAAATGGGATGATTCAATTTTGTTGGGGAGAGGGGGAAGAATACTTTGTGGGGGATGAATTTTGAGTACAGAAGCAGTCTTTCTCTCATTAGATTGCCATTAACAGAAGGAAGTCCAAATATGGAGTTGATGGCATTTTAGTGGGGTCAAATTTTTGAATCGAGTCTTTTATTTGGGCTATTTCTTGCGTACCCTTTTCTCACGGCAGTTCTTGGGCTTTGTTTCACTATCTTTTTGAGGAAAAAAAAATTCTCAATATTAATTTTCTTTCAAAACCTTTTTTTTTTTTTTTTGCCATTTGAAACTATGAAATGAGTTACTAATAATGAGGTCATGTTGTTCTCGATTTTGGAGAATGATATCACCTAGCTGTTTCCACTGTTAAGGTTTGCCATTTTAGCCAAGTGGCTATTGTCATTGACCATTTTGCTTGAAACTATGAAGCCTAATGGCTTTGTTTGTTTTCTTTTTTAGTTGGTTTTTTTAGAATTAAATAATAATAACTGTCCTATCTCAGCATATTTTTTTTATATTTTTAATACACTTTTTTATATTCCCAATACAAAAAATACCTAAAAACACGAAACAAACATACTTGTTATTACTCCCTCCATTTCAAAATGTAAGTCTTTTTATGTGTTAAATATCTCTTTTACCCTTCATTGACTACATTAAAATTATAAACAAGACTAAATAAAAATAGATTAGCATCATTTATTGAGTGTAAAATTGGAAAAATAATCATTAATTTGCTTAGAATTCGTAAAACGACCTATATTTTAAAAAATCTCTCCAAACCTAAAACGACCTACAAATTGAAATGGAGGGAGAATCATTTTTTTTAATTTTATTTTTGGGTTGCTTCAAGACACAAATTAAGTCGAATCACAAATTCCACACTTAAATTAAATTAGAAACTACTAATAGAACCTTCTTTCCTTTTGTTTTTCTCTCTTTTCCTTCAAGGATTCCAATTCATTTCCTCTTAAATGCATCATCTTGAGTAACAAATACTCCACCCGCTCCAAAATGAATGTTTCGATTAAATTTTGTGCTTTTGGCACAAATTACACTAGAACTAAAAAATTTAAGCCGGACAATTGTTTTAATATTCTTCAAAAATCATAGACATTCTACCCTAGTTTGTCCTCAAAAAGAAAGGGTAAAAAAAAAAACAGTAAAAACCTGTAAAAGTCTGTCATCCATCTTCCATCTCGTTTTTTTTTTTTTGGTTTGTTAGTCATCTTCCATCCATATGGTTTTATAACCGTCGAGAGAGTTGGATGGGTCTTAACAAATAAAGGGAAGAGAAAGGGCCAATCGGCCATTAATGGTTGGCATGTGCCTGCTTTAAATATGAATCTCTCGATTCTGTACCTCCCTCTCCTTTTGTTTCTTTCATCACAAGTTACATCACATTTTTACGTATTTTCAGTTTCGTTCCTGTTTTGCGATTTCACAGTTTTTCATTGTTTATAAAATACACACCTCACAAATTAGGGTTTTTTTTTTTTTTTAACATTGTAATATAATTTGTCTACTTTTGAGTGTTACAATATGGAGGGAAAAAAAAGGGATTATCGAAAGTAAGCTGGAAACTGCAATTGTCATTTATGCACTAAACTATGAGTTAGCTAGTAACTGTCATGTGTGGTTGGAAACTAATTGAAATAGATGCTTAATTACAAAGTAAATTAGCTTTGTTGATTTTGACAGTTAATGTCTTAGATAGTTTGTTTTAGGCTTTGTTTTCTTTTGACGTGAAACTAGTTAGTTTACTGTAATTTGCTTGTTCATTATTCTCTTGATCTCATAGTAAAAATATCTTCCTTTTATATATTCCGTCATATAAAACCATCCTTGTCAAACTAAACACTACTACAACTTCTAATACCAAACAATATATTATTTTAATACAATAGAACATAATTGTTATTGTGAACTTGTGATGCAGTACGGAAAAACCATCTTATAATTAGTTAACTTATTGAGATAAATTAAGTTAAAGGAGGAGTCGAAATTGGATTTCCAGTACTACATAAAATTAAAAAAAAAAAAGTCCTATCATTAGGCTCATAAACGTTCATCAAAGTAGTTAATTAAAGGACATAAGATTGCTTTACAAAGGAAGAAGGGGACCGACTAAAGGATTGATAGTTGGATTCTCATCAAATTAACAATGTCAGCAGATTGAAAAAGTGTTGATGACATTCTTTTGACACATATAAATTATTAGTACCACGTTTTGATTAAAAAGAGTTTGCAAAGCATATCATTATTTAGGTTTCCTTAATTGGAATGCTTTTTCCTTGCTATTATCACTGATGTGGAACTATCAACATTTTATGCCGGTGAACTAAACTATAAACTAGCACATCTTTTTGCCATCCCTCGAGGAGTTTAATTATTAAGCACCAAAAGCTAGATACCCTTTACTTCAAAAAGTTTAGAATATTTTTCTCTCAGTTACTACAAGGTTGTGAACATTTTCGTCTCAATTAATGGAAAAAAAAATTGATTCGTAACTTTGTACTCCCTTCGTCCCGTAATTATTGACCAGTTTGAGTTTTTATTTTTAGTTCAATTTGTACTAAAAGTGAAATGTTAAACTGGACAATAATTTTGGGGGAGAGGGAGTAATTAGTATCGGAAGGAGAACATTGGTCAATGAGAACCAAGTTTAGACCGTAACTAAGATTTATTCAGAAAGGTACACAATCGGATGTTTAATGAATTAAGTCACTGAGTTATCAATGTGACTATAATAGGAGTAACTCTATCACTAGTAGAACCAAAATGCCTCAAATTTTGTCACTCAACTTGTCGGGCTGAATATTTAATTACTATTACAGTATTATTTTACTGGTAATGGTTCATCAGTGTATACAAGGTAGTACTTGTCCCGGCACAAAATAGTAAAACTTGTAATTAAGTAGTAAAATGTTCATCACTAAATAATCACAAAGGTCGTTATCTTCTTTAAAACATGATTAGCTATAAGAGCTTAACACGACTTGGCATAAAATTAAGTCGTAAGAGAAGCCTCTATCCACTTGATTATAAATGATGGGTGGGGAAAAAAAAACGCTTTTAGCACTAAATAATGCAAACAAGGCTAATAATCCTGGGGATAAATTAATTATTATCATACTCCATAACTAAGCAGACAACCCTATTTTTGGAATGAACGCCCACTTCCCTAACATGGAAGCAAGCTATTCTTCCACGCACCAAGACCATTCCGCAATTATTTTCTTTTCAATCTTCGATTTTTTATTTGATGTCTGATCAATTTCTGAAATTTTCTATTATATATAGTCTTCCTATAATTTCATTTTGATGACCAATGCTCTGGGTAACATTAGACAATTAACTTATATCATAACCTTTCAAAAAATTCTCAAACAAGATATTTAGTGACACTTTTGGTGATGTAGTATGTGGTTTTTCTTCTTTAAGATTCGTCCAAAGTTCTTTAACAAGATATTACGTGAACACCCCGTGTTAGATGCTAAAAAAAATACTCATCTGTCGTAAAATTATTGTCTAGTTTGAATTATTATCTACTCATATGTCTCTAAAAGTATTAAAGAATGAATTATTATTCAGTTTGAATTATTGTACTAAAAGTATTGTCCAGTTTGAGTTATATTGTCCAGTTTAAGTAGTTTGAATTTCTTTCGATAACTTAAGTATGGGAGAAATAAAAATAATTAAGGACCACCTGGTAATGGAATTGTCACTGCCAGAGAATGAATTAAGAAGGGTTGGATCACATTCTGCTGCAAGCAATGATCGAGATGTACAGGACATTAATTAATACGAACATTCTGAGTGTTTGAAAGATGGAGTCACCATAACTCAATTCTAATCTGGCACAACTTGATTATTGAGTCGTAATTATCATTATAGTGACTTGACAAATTAACATTCCTTTAATTTCTTTTGTAGGTCTCACCGTTTTGATACCTAATTACGAACCTCAACCAATTAATATATTCGCCAAGAAACAAAAGACATAGGGAAAGCGAAAATATACAGTAAAATGAGGCGCACATCTGTAATATTTCACTCGAACAGGACAGAAGCTCATCTTAGTTTCTTTATCCTTCGAATTCAAGGAAGGGGTGTACTACGTACAATACATTATCAATTTGATCACATGCTACGTTGCTAACAAATAACAAAGATATATACTCGTTACTTATTCTAATTTCGTTCATCAATAAAAAAGAGTCACGTTCATCCTATTATTTCCAATCAAATAATAAATAAATGTTTTTTATTATCTGAAATTAAAGTTTCGCTTATTTTAGAACGGACGGAACATAGTATTTCAAAAATATAAACATGCCACAAAAGATTGCGTTATTGATACACTAGGGGGAAGTGAGTGTAGAGGAGAGTCCAAAATGAGATCCCAACGGTGAACCCACAAATCTAAGATGAACATCAGCAAATGGGATCAAATGACAAAGCTGGGGGAGTTGACCATATCCCCCACAATTTGAATTTGATCTTCTGGACGGACGATACTCTCTAGTCTCTAGGTTGTAGGACCCCCTTCCCTCCCCCCTCCATCTGGGTCCCATGCACTTTGCATGGATGACTCGTGGTGTATTGCATTTGCAGCAGAGTACTACTACTACTACTATTTGTTTTCTTCTTCTTCTTTTCCTATTTCCTTTCTTGCCAAATCAACATTAGGACCTCAAACTCAAATGATTGTCATTATTTCTTCATACTATATACTCAAATCATAACTTAAGAGCCCCCCCCCCCCACCAAAAAAACTAAACTCGATACTGAACTAGGATACAATTATTACATTTTTTTAACAGTGAAATCGACGAAATTACATACGTATTATCTCTGGTCTTATTTATAAACCGGTAATACTAAAATTTGATAGTAGTATGTGTATAACAACATTTGTAAAGACAAGACTAACAAGTGTACAATTATTGATGATTATAAACAACAAACCTTTGTAGTATAAGACAATGGGTGAAAGCTGTATATATTTGCAACTTTTACAACCATAAAAATATATAAACTCCCCTTCCATGGTCATGGAATACTACTTCTTCACAGTTCTCTCCACATTAAATTCCACAACCTTAATGTACCATTTTGTTAACATCATCCATTTCCCCAGGAAATCAGAATGCCACATTTCTTTTTACTAGTTTTGGGCTGGCTGTTTTGAAACCACTGATTTCATTTCTTTTGTTTCTTTGTCACATCTGTATTGCCATTGCACATGTATGTATAAAAAACAACTTCCTGTGTGATTGACTGCACCATATATACCAGCCCCCCCATCTTCTTTCTCCTGCAAGACTAGCTGTGGCTTCTCTGAATGATCAGATCATCATCTCATTTACAGAGAAATTAAAAGAAGGAAAAAAATTAATTAATCATGGGACACCATTCATGCTGCAACAAGCAAAAGGTGAAGAGAGGGCTTTGGTCTCCTGAAGAAGATGAGAAACTCATCAACTACATTTCTACTTTTGGCCATGGTTGTTGGAGCACTGTTCCTAGGCGCGCTGGTAATTTTAATTAATCTTTATAATCATGGCTTCTTCTTTTTTTTTTTTTTTTTTCTTGGCTTGTCTTGTTTTTAGGAGATTTGCTTAATTAATTACTTTTAGTAGCTAGCTACTGCTCGATTTCACTTCAATATAATTAACCCACATCATGATTTGGTTTGTAAAGAACATAACTTTGTTGTTGATCAATTATATATTTTGGGTGCAGGGCTGCAGAGATGTGGAAAAAGTTGCAGGTTGAGATGGATAAATTACCTGAGGCCTGATTTGAAAAGGGGTAGTTTTTCACCACAGGAAGCTTCTCTCATCGTTGAGCTTCATAGGGTTCTTGGGAATAGGTATTTAAGTTCTTTGAACTCTCTAATTAAGCCACTTACTTGTACTTTGTTTTCAGTAAACTCATCCAAAATGGAGCTGAAATTCATGCACTTGTTTACTTTTATCCTCTTTTTACTTTTGGGCTATTAATTTGTGCAGATGGGCTCAGATAGCTAAACACCTACCTGGAAGAACAGACAATGAAGTGAAGAACTTTTGGAATTCAAGCATCAAGAAGAAACTCATTGTGTCTTCATCTCATAGAGGCCTTTCTCATGATCTGTCCTGCAGTTTTCCAACTGCTTCTTCATGTGGTGGAGATATTGTTTCTTCTTATGAAGGAGGGTTCTTCTCAACATCACCACCACTCATCAATGCAAACCCTAACTTCTTCCCAATCTCTCAATTTGATGATAAGTTTCTTTACACTAGCAATAATACTATGCCCAACATCACCCCAATAACAAACTCAATCTTACAAGGCTTTGATCATCATCATGCCAACAACATTATCAAATTTGATTCTGATTTAAGCCACTTTCCAAATTCAGTCCCTCCAGTACCTGTCCCACCACCCTCTTTGATTGACTCATCATCTTCTTATGATCCTTCTTCACCATGGTCTTCAGTAGTGGTTGGGACTCATCAGAATCAGAATCTTTCTGCTGCCAACTCACTTTATGCTTCTTCTCAACAAGCTTATCATGATGAACAAGATCCACTTATGATGATGAGGCCTAATGGGATGCCAACATTTTCTGAAATTTTAAAGGGCTGTGAAATTAGCCTACCATCTTTAACCACAGCTTCTCATCATCAACAAGAAGCTCATCCTCCATTTTTGTTGCCTTCTACTACTACTAATTATCCTCAACTTCATGATGATCAGATTTCTCTGCCGGCGAATCGGTTATTGGAAAGCATGGAATCCCTTGTATCGTTATTGCCTTCCTCATCTTCTTCATCTTCTTTGTCTTCTTCATCACCTTCTTCATGCAGCCAAATCCTTATGAACCCTAGTCTTCCTTCAGGCTGGGTTCCATAAGGTGGCTCTGAAGCTAAATGCACACTCTAGCAAAGAAAAAGTTAAATCCCGGAAAGGAAATCATTCGGAGAAGCTGTGTATCTTTTTTTTTTGCAGAATATTGGATGAATGCATCAAAAAAATATTTGATGTGCAGTAGCCAGTATATTTTAGTACTACTAGTACTGTATATTTTTCAGTATCTCCTTTTCATCATGGTTCTCTGTTGTTTTTCTTCCGTATTAAATTGGTATGTAATATACACATTTTTATAATTTACTCTTTGTTTTTTTGGTTGTATTGTAGTATATATTATTAATTAATCAATGTGTCTCCAAGATTTGGATATTCATGAAACTTATTACTATATGTTTGCCACTTCTTCTTTTGTGAATCATTAATGTTGCTATACTTTTGACTTGCAAAAGGAATTGATGTCCGAGTTAATTTATTGAGCAAAGGTATAAATTTAAGACTAGCAAAAAGTACACACACAAATGGTGGCACCAATTACTTTAGTGTAGTTATCAACGGTCATCGAACTGTGAAAATATCCACTAGAATTGTTATACTATCACGTTAAGTTAACTATAGATATCTGACATGATTTGTTGTAGTGGTTGGTTCAACGTTTTATAATCATGGAATTATTGTATGATAACTTGTGTACATTAACATTAGTTACGAGCTTATCAAAAGATTTCTTTCTTTCCTATAGAATTCACACAATAAGTACTTGCCCCATATGATGACATGTTGAAGAAATTAAGGCAAAAAACACATGTAAGTTTTGGTTTTGTCTCAATCATGTCAGAAGTTCAATGAACTGTGTAGCATAGATGAGCAATACTTGGGAACAAAATATATTACAATTAGCATTCTCTGAATTGTTCAAACCCAATAATGTAATCCACATAAAGGGTAAGGAACAAAGACGTACAGAAGTATTAATTCTAAGACAGGAATCCATTCCCAACAAGTAAAAACTCTCAAGCATTCAACCCCTTTTACCCAAAAATACATCTTCAATAATACAAGACAAAGTTCCAGTCTTATCTTCAACTTATACTCCCTCTGTCCCAAAATTATTACCTAATTTGAGATTTCACATTTAATACAATTAGAACTAGAAATGAAAACTTAAACTGGACAATAATTATAGGACGGGGGAGTATTATTTATAGGAAGAGTATCACCCCCGTCATCCCTTTTTCTATCTTCACCAAAATGTGAAAAAGAGAAATTACAGCAGGGGAAAATGACAAAATGGAGGCGTAGAAAACTTCAATTCGTAAAGCAGTCCGTTGACATGGCCAAGTTCATTTCATTGCAGAAAGAGACGTTGGAAAAGCAAAAACAAGAAAATTACCATTTCGTTCGCTGTGTAGAATTCTCTGTACTGTACAAGTTGTTTTGGTACAAATAGTAAAGCATCTTATAGCTAGCTAGTGAAGAAGAAGAAAACTCGTATGCTTTGGTACATTTTTTTTATGCGAATTAATTTGAGCTGGAATCAACAACAAATTCTGGACCACAACAGCCAATGCATTCATCATGTTCATGAGACCCCAAATCCCCTAAAAAGATTGCCACATTGTACACACACATCCTATACAAGTACATAAGACAAGAGATTTCTCTACCCTGCCCATTGGCTTAACTCCATATTCAGTCCTTTTCATCTTTCTTTGCTCAGTAAAAGATTTTGGTCAGAGTCAAAATGAACGAAATTCGAGAATTCCTGGAAGTACATATTGTATTGGTAAGCTGTTAAAACTTAAAATGGAACAGAACAGAACAGAAGGCATTACAGGTTCGATGAATTCTCAGTAGAACTGGGTTTGGACTGTAACGTAAAAATTTATAACAAATTGGGCCACCAAATAAGCTAATTTAAAAGAACATGGTTTGCTCAAAGTGAAGTTCCTCGCTTTATGGGCAGCAGAACCACTTCTAACTTTCCCCAACAATGACAAAAACTAAACAATTCCCAACTAAGTGAGATCGACTACATGGATTATGTCATCGAACATACCAGCAAGCGTTTGCATGATGCTGACATGTACAAAAAAACCCACGCAAGTAAACTTGGCACTTCACGGTGCTTATCCCCAGATGTTAAGCAGAAAAAGTAGCAAGATTATAAGCAACATTAGTCAAACGATGCGCGTGAAGTTGAGCCCCTGAATAACAATACAAACCAACTCTCCTTTCTACTTTCTCAACCTTATCATCAGCGAATCGAGCTCTAGGAGCTGAATCCATTCTAGACACTACAGAATAAGGCCCTGCATCTAAGGCGTAATTCTTGCTCGGCCTTTTGCAATTCTTCGAGCTATAACTCTCTGGCCACCCTTTGTTGCTTTGCTGCTCACGCAATAAACAAGATAGTAGGATAGTTGTCAGCAGTAGCAAATTTAAGATGGCATCATAATTAGTGAAGCAAACAAAACCTATCCCTTACCAGCAATTTGACCAAATGCTTCTCGACTATAGTTTGTTAGCAATGTTTAAAAGTCAGCAAAAGGCAATTTAAAAGAGGCGAGTGCAACTTTATGAAAAACAAAAGCCAATTTAAAAAGGGATGGAAAAAGCAGAAGATTTTTCAAGTGCTACAGAAACATAGAAAGAGATGTATGCAAACTGAAAATGAATAATACATCTCAAAGTGCCTGTTAGTTTATGGGTGCTTTTGTGTGTATATGTGGTGAGACAATGAGAGAGAGAAGCAACATACCGTGCCAAGAAGCCATGGTTCCGCTTACGTCTAATGTTGCTTGGTTGGTAGGTCCTCTTAGGAAATAAAATCATTGGATCGGATGAATCCGAATCATCCCCTACATACCCATAGGAAGCGACGAGTTTAACCCGAGTTTACAAAAAACATAATAAAAGAAAACCAAAATAAAGAGCAACAACAAGCAAAGCAGCAGAGCATATATCCCATATCAAACAACTATTTGATCATCTATGCGAGGTATCAGCAAAAAGCTTAAAAGCTTTCCACCGGAATAATCCTAAAAGTTATCTCAACGTGTCCCTAGTAGATTTTCGATGCCTGGAGGGGTATTCAATCAGTTCATAAAATCCGAGTTTCCAACATAAACGCCCCCATACAGATACAGTTCCAGTTCAATCCAAATGTGATACCGCATTTTTTCATAACAGTGAATGCAGGAATTCTATGACATACACCTCTCAACATTGCTACGTTCTTAATCAACCAGCTCCATTACAGAGCAGCCTTGCAATCACAACCGCAAAGCATAACAGGCCCCCTTGGGCAAACTATAGTTCATTCAGAATCTAGGGAAAAAGAAAAGTAAACAAATCCAGTTTTATAGATATACAGAAGGAAACAATCAGCTACAATACAATTCTCATAAAATTATTAAGCTGAATCAAAAGCATTCATCACTGAAGTATAAATCTTTAGCCCACACAGCCAAATCGCAAAATAAAGAAAGCCCAAATAATGTTAGCAGACCATTAATATTAACAAGAGCTAAGGAAATTGAAAGCAAATACCATCGGGGAGGAAGAAAGGAAGGGAAGGGAGACCACAAGGGTAGAGGAATCCTTCGGAGAGGAGCTTCTTCGATATATCGGCGTCGTCGTTTTGAGGCAAATGATGCGGAATGCCCTGAGACTGTGACTGTAACTGCGACGGGAGAGAAGGGAAAAGCTTGGGAGAGAAAATGTCGAGGCCCCGAGTTGGGGCGGCAATCGCCGGAGTGGAGCTCCGATGGAGAGATGACGATGCTGCTACTGATGATGTTGATTGATGCAGAAAACGGGTCGCCAGAGAAATTCCGTTGCGAATCAGAGCTTTAGAAGACGCCATTTCGAAGACCTTTTGCGAAGTTCGACAAAAACCCTAAAAGGGGGATTAAGTTCTCCAATTCTATTCTATCACATTGAAGAAGAAACAACCGGGTAAATTTGGGCCTCCCCTTTTTTACTTTTTGACTTTTTTTTTCCCTAATTCTTTTTAATCTTTTAATAAAAATGTTTTAATCCTGGGAGAAAATTTTACTAATAATATTTTGGTTTTAGTTTTCTTCAGTTTTGCTTCTTTTGCTAGTATTACTTATTCCCGCAAAATATATCAAAATATTATTTCTCCGGTCCAAAATGATTGTCGAGTTCGTATTCTTTCTTGCTTTTAGCACAATTTGTAGGGAGAAAAATTTAAACAGGATAAATAACATTATTGGTTAATGTTGTCTCTATAATGTGGGTTGCTTCACTGCTCAAGAAGTCAAATTAAGCATATACTGATATACTGGAGTAATGATAGGTACAGAAAAATTTTACAAGAAAAACTTACAAGAAATGAGTTGTCAATCATCTAAACTATGCCTTAACCTTAAATGCTTAAACTTCAAATGGAAAGTGTTAAAAATGAATGGTCATAGTCAATTCCTTGTCAATTTTCCTTGTCATTTTTTTCCCTATACGAATCATTGTCTGATATACTGCTGCAACAACAATACAACATTTCAGGAAGAGGAAACTCATCTCCTTACTTTGCAGCTTTTTTTGTGTCTAAAACTGTGTATGGTTACTGACTCTATCAGTCTATCTACATAAAACCTACACGATTGCCTCAGAAACAGCAAAAATTTTCTCTCTGAAAGAGGCAAACAAAGTGTTTTTTTTTACTGTTATCAATTTAAATTAGGGTTCGATTCAAGATCGGCCTGAGAGCCGCTTTAAAGTATTCAAAAAATCGATCTTCTGAAAACCTTGCAGCGCGTCTCCTTGCCGCTGCTGCCATTAACAGTCTTTCAGGTTCTGGCATCTCAATGACCTTAACGATGGCGTCCGCATACTCTTGCACATTCTGGGCAAGGAATCCAGTTGGTAACCCATCTTCTTCTTCGGCTAACACAATGTCCATCTTGGGTCCTGCTGAATTATGAGCTGCAAAAAGAAATCCCAGCAGACCAACAGAGCACTGTCACAATTTATTACCCTGAGAACCTATCTGCGTAAGTGTAATTATAAAGACATAGCATTTATCAGTCAAATGGTTCAGCGTGTGATGTGGTGTATGTAAAAATATAAATGAACCAATGTCATTCTTCGAAATGTGCAAATAATAAAAGGTCTCTGTGACAAAGGAAAGAAAGAAGGAAGGTGTCTAACCAATTGGTATGGCGCCTGCAGCCATGTACTCCACGACACATATGCCAAAGTGCTCATCGATCATAGAATGAAGTCCTGCAATTGCACCACCCCAGAGCCTCACCAAATCACTGCAGCAGCGGTACAAGAAATAAAACTACTTTTTACAAGTTGCTCCATATGAAAAGATGAAAATTAGAACGAAAACAACTCCAATAATAGCCAAACATGATTATGATACATACGTTAATGAACTAGATTTGAGCAGACATGCATTAAAGAAGACGTGCAGTTAGATTCAAACAGATTATTTGAGCAATAACAAACCTATACGGCACATTAGCATGAAATTCAACATCCTCCACCACGTTTAGTTTGACAGCTAGATCCTTCAATTTCTGCAACCTTTTCTCATCTGCTACATTTCTACAACTACCCACAAACTGAAGTTTGGGTCTTGCTGCCGGATTCACATCCAACATGTTTAAGGCAACAGAAAATGCCTCAAGCTGAAGGGAATGGGCCTAATGTCCATAAAAGATGTTTCAACAAAAAATGTAAGATGATGAAAGCAGTACATTAAGCCAAAGTGACTTGCATGATTACATATAACCACCCACCTTCTCTGGACGGAATTGGGCCACAGAAATGATCTTTGGTGGTTTCATGGATCTTTCCAATGGAAGTGCCTGTTAGAAGCATTATATCTACTTTTTAACCAGCTAAATTCAGATAAAACTATCTAAAACCAAGGCGCCCCTGACGCCATTAATGAAAACAAGAGTTTACAGGCAGCTTCTACACAATCTCTATGACACAAAACCCATCTCCATGAATCTTGTTCCAGGATTTCAATGACAGTAACAAGGAATCCATGAAACCATATACATAGGACCTTGCTGTAATCCAGAATTTTCCTTAACTTTATCTGTATCTTTTTGGTTTTCTTTTCATTAATATTATTTTCATAACCTTCAGAGAATCAGGTCCCAGCTTTCAAAGCAACCACAAAACTGAAAAAGATGCATGAACAAGAGTCTACAAAGAAGAGACTAAAATCATTGTTGACATGATAGTGCATTCAGAGGGTGTAACTTTGTGCATAACATCTTTCCTCATAATGCCAATAGCAACATAAATGCATCAGAATGCACAAGATAGAAAGATGCATTTCAAGGGAGTCCAGCAGTGATACATTTCTTTTAAGAATAATGCTTTAGAATCACTTGATACACTCTTAAAAACAACTTCAGTACCAGTCCAAAGGACGAAAAAAAGGGAGCAAAGAGTAATAGAAACCTGAAGCCTTGAAGTGTCACAGGGAGGGTAGACAAGCTTAATACGGTCAGGAATTCCCCAAAGCTTCTCAATGTGAGATTGCGTCCAAGAAGAGTTAACCATTGCGAGGTGCGCAAATGAGCCAACAATCCCATACAACCAGCTAAAAACTAAGTAATATAAAACCTTGCAACAGGAGAGCAATTTACTGTACCAAAAGAATAAGAACGAAAAGAGGTTACATAAATGAAGAGGACAGAAAACAAAAGAAGAAAATATTTGATCAACTTCATGTATATGATCTTGCAAAAACATCACCTAAAAAGGAAAAGAAGACATCCCTAAGGAATCTACCATAAAAGTTAAAAAGTTTATCATAAAAGGGGCTCGCTTCCATGAAAACAAGGACTTTACAGAATAAACTATCATTAATTACATTACCATAAGTTAAAAACCAAAAATTGTAGGAACAACATTTACATTCTATGTAAACTGAGATCATTTTGATTGGCTTCTATCTTTGAACTTCCCTATTAAAGAGAAATTATAGAATCAGAAAATAGAAGTCATTAGTTAGGTTAACGGCCAGTATATTACCGACAAAGAGATGAAACAAAATAACAAAAAACTGCAATCCTGAAGAGCATATCTAGCTAACGGAAAAATAAGTTACCTATTAGCAATAAGCGTGTCATTGTTGTACATAGAGCTCCTTCCATGCACTCGAGAGAGCATGTCCAAACTGATTGTTGGATAATGAGTGTAGCAAATGACTTTGCATCCAAACAACCTGGCAACTGGATAGGTAAAGGCATAACCACTTGTGTCGAAGAAATACCAAGGTGTGAGTTTGCACAAAGCTTCCCATGCGAGACCCACAGAACCAAGACTTTGACCAATCATGGTAAAGCGTGGATAGGTTGCTTCTTCAATCAACTTCCTCTTGTATAGGTGCTCCACCTGAGAATAACAATTTTATCCAATAATTAATCCTACCGCATAATACATAGTATTTCATAGGGAAAAAAAAAACCCACTCATAGAGTGAGGAGCCAATATAAGAACAGAATGACGGCACAGTAGTATGAAACACCTTGTAATTACCAGCTTACTGTGAAATCAATAAAATCTATATAAAAAATCCAGTTTTGATAAGAAGAATGTATTCTCCATTTTGCTTTACACCTGTTTCCATTAACAAATACCAATTGCAGCCATTGAATAAAATGAAAGTACCTCAACAGGGTAGAGCAACTCGACTCCAAATAGACTGCGGGCTCGATCACGTAGGCTCTCAGGAGAAGCATCACGAAAATCCCCAGTGTAAATGACACAGTTAATACCCGGATATTCTTCTTGGATGGCTTTAACGGCACACCACAGAACTCTCTCCCCACCACCTCCATCATTGGTGAAAGGATGGAAAAATCCGACAACCTTCTTTCGCTTTCCACGACAACTGAAGACAGTTGATATGCAGTCCACTATAAACACTACTGGTATGGCAGCAAACAGTAACCAGAAATACAAGATCACCTTCGTTGGAATCATCACTGGAAAATTAAAATTCTCGTGTTATTAGACTATAAAGGGGGGAAAAAAGCAAAAAAATATTAGCACTAGGACACCAGAGCATTACAATAACATCATCATCAAAGGTGAAATCAATGTCACAGCAAGAAGTCAAACTGTCACCTAAAGATGACAACTTTAACGACCCAAAACTCAAAACTGATTAGACTCGTTATCAAACTCAAACTTAAACCGAAACCGTCAGAACTGAGAATCATCACTAACAGAACAAATTGATGGGTATCTTCCTTGAGAACTCCATGAATTGAAAAGTGAATAATAATTACAAAAGCCAAACTCAAATAAACAATATCCCAAGATGATCGACAACAATTAATTTCAAGGAATCAACAAAAAAAAAAAAATCAACTTAGACTTACCTTTCACCCAAAGATGAGGAATTTGGTGATTAGGGTTACGTTTGCGAGAATTGACGAAGCAAAGATCAACTAATTTCTGGTCTCCATTTCCGTAGTCTAATTCTGGCGGGAGAGATTAGAAATTATTTGGGCAAGATCAGCCCAGCGCCAAACTCTTAAGCCCACAAGCTATCTGAATTATTTGAACTAATCTATTTTCACTCCCTTCATCTCCCAAAGCGGCAATTAAAGTAGGATCCGAATTAATATTTTGAAATGCATTTTCGTCCCATTTCTAATTGGAAATAAAATTTAAACAATATATTTCACATATATTGCGTTTTTTCAATTATTAAAAAATATTTTTAAAGTTCTTTTTGTTGAGTATAGAAAAGGAAACAATCGCCTAGAGCATTAAACCATTAGAGCACGTTAGTTAGATATACCTCATATAGTAAGATATACCTCATATTCTAAATTATCGATGTTTCATAAGATCTTATGTACAAGATGATTTTAGGTTCAGGAAGAGTGTATTTGGGGGGCGGGAGAAGTAGAGGGTGATTTGGCGTTTTAGTGCTTGTTTAGACCTCGTCTTACATTTCATTTTTCCACTTAAAAGTGAAAAATATTTTAAATTGAAATTAAATGGGAAATAAAATGTTGTTTGGATGGTATTTTGAATAAAAAATTATTTGGATGTTAGTTTTGAAAAAAACATATTTTGAACTATATTTTGAAGTATCAAGTACGAGTCATCACTAAACAATTAAATACTGTTAGTTATAGTCACTACAAAGTTGACCTTTTTTGAAACAATCACTCAACAACGAAAATCTCATTTTAGTCACTATAAAGGATTATTTAGTGATATTTTTCGACTTAATATTTCAATACATATTCTAAAAAAAAATTTTCATAACCACCATCAATTATAAAAAGTGTTTTTTGACTAGAGATAAATTGAAATAAATGTGCAAAATTTTGGATTTAGTCACTGGACTATTTTTAGATCCAAAAAATATCACTACACTAACAAAAAGTGTTTCAAGTTGGATTTTAAAATGTAATTCAGAAAATTGTTTGGATGATATTTTATTTTCCATTAGGTTTTGTGTTTAAGAGTTAAAATAAAATAACAAACAAACAAGCACTTAATGATTTTTACAATGGAAAGGACTGGCATGCACAAATCCAACATAGTCAAAAAAATCCAACCTGTTTTATTACAGGAACGAAAAAGACACAAAAAATAAATAACCAATAAATCATGTTAGGAAAGGAAAAAAAAAAAATTACAATCAAATTTCTGCCAATGGCTGTTCCAGTTACATTCGTGAAATACATGAACTGAAACCTCGCACCTAAAGCTTTGGGAGGAAAACCAAAGACTATAAAGCCTGCAAAAAACTATGGCATAAACAGCAATCAATCTTACAGAACTTGCATTTGCATGATTGCATCCCTGAATATAAATTAACATTGGAGCGATTTGCTCCACAAAGATCAATACACTAAATGAATATGGTTTCCAAAAAATATCTGACAAGAAAAGGAAGGACAATACAAGCAGCACTGATTGAAATCACAACCAAACTAACGACTAAAATCACCATGCTCAGACATGTACAAAAAATTGCATTTTCCCTCTACTGCCAAAATGAGGCGAGCTTCGTTAGTGCAATCATCATAATACAGAGGCAATCCAATCGGAAGCAGCTTTTAAACATTCTGACTCCGACTCCGTGTGTGAGGCGACCGATAAAGGAGTGAGTGATACCTGTTGTTAGAAACAAAATCAGCCCGTCATAATTCTAAATAGGTTCCACGTTAATCTGGAAGCCATTGGTGTGTTCACTAATCCACAGGACATTTGAGGAAAAAGTACTAGAAGAGAGCACGAAGAAGGTTTGCACTTACAAAGCCATTGTCAAGTGCCCTGAAGTCCAGATCTTCGTCTTCTTCTCCATGATCTTTATTGGTCAACTGGAAACAGGCAAACTAGCTACATTATTGATGCACTAAAAAGTGCCAAACAAATCAAAACACACCAGGCCAGCCCAAAGAAATAATATTTTTCACATTAATCCACAACAAATGCAATCAAAATCCAGTCACTATTTAACCAAAAATAAAAAATAAAAATTAAGTCACTAACATTGCAAAAGGTAAATTTGCATGCCCATTCAGACTTATCTCAAAATGAATACTATCAATCATTCTTCCAAATCACATTTCTCAACAAAGAAGTTCCTACAATGCCAAATATTTTCACAAGTAGCATCTACTCCAACACAAATAGCCACCAATAATCAGCAAGTATTCCAAAGAAAAATTTAAGCTTTATCTTGAAATGCATCGTAATTAGCATCACCTCAAGCCTGAAATATCTGGACGTTCTATTAGAGTCAGATTTCCCTGCAGCACCAACTGACTCAACAACCTCAATATTCTTCTTCTGTGTGCCCAAACGCCGTGCAGCACCCTTAAAAACAGAGAAAAGTTGCAAAGGCAAATAAATGAATAGCTGGCCCCCAGATAGCACCTCCACGAAAAAAAAAACTACTACTATGACATTAAAACAAAAGATACTCACTGCAGCAGAAGCATCTCGGCTTAGTTGTGCAAGCTGCATACCCAGGATTTGTTGATTAGACATGAATCGACCAGATGATGGATGCCTATTTGCTGAAACAGCTTGCCAGTTAAGCATAGACCTCCAGAGACTCTTTCTAGTTAATTTAAGCCCCTGAAATATAAGTCCATCAGCAACTTGCACATGCAAACAAATTTGCACAAGCTTCATTTGCTTTTACAGAGTTACTAAAGGTAAAACTTCAAATGAGAGTCTTTATTCACTGAAAACACCGGGAATCATGTGAGCTGGCTACATCATTTAGAAGGAACAATTCACATCAGATTCACTAAAAGAAATGCTTGAATCCAGGCAATAAAGATGCACAAGTTTCAGTTTTTGAGAACTCTATAACAGTTACCATTACTTTTCAAACTAATGAAAGTTTCCTTAGGATACACATTAAACATCTATGGAAAGCCCAATGAAGGACAACGAGCTGTATGGTTCATTAGTTTAGTTTAGCCACTATGAGGGATGAGATCCAAAAAGGAAGAACCAAACCTTGTTTGCCAAAGGAGATGTAGGGATTTCGATATGGATAGAGCAATTTTTAGGGAAAATGCCCTTCTCAAGGTCTGCAAGAGCAGCATCAAGTAACGGCAGACATACAGTTACAGCATCCTTGAAATCATTGTCTTGACTTACGTCATTCTTCCTAAAATGCAAATGTATCGAATGGTTGGTCTTTCACAACGGCAAATGTTGAACAAGAGAATAATTAAGAAATTATTATCAACCCACCAATTCAAAGATATTGAAATAGATGGAACACCACTTATCAATGCTTCTCGAGCTCCAGCAACAACACCAGAGTATAACCTGAATGTCAATCCAGGAAACACATTTTAGCAACCATCTCTAAAAAAAAATAAACAAAAATAACCATGGTAGTAACAGAAGAGTAATTCGTCCACCCAACAGAGAGTACAGAATTCACAGCTATGTTCGAACTAGGGCTATTAAACTTACATGTGGTGGCCACAACTTGATCCCCTATTGATTCCACTAATTACCTAGAGAACACATAAGAAATAATAATATATGAAAAAGACCACAAAAGAAAGCTTTGAATACAAGAAATGAAATGGTACAATAATATACCAGTAAAGGTTTTGACCAGGAAAACAGCGCTCCAGACAAAGCTAAAGAAACACAATCCACAGGAGTTCCTAAGAGCAAAAAATTACACTGCATCTATCAGCATCTTAATTAGCTTTAACAATAAAATCTCAGTTCCCTAGTTTGTAACAATGAATCATCATACCAGAAATCTCATACGCCGTGGCACCATCCATTTCATATGGTGTAACAGAAATGGTTTCTTTAAGAGTCAAGGAATGACCAGATGTGGATTTATCCCTGCAAATGAAAAAGCAACAAATTATAATTTCCCACTCAAAAACGAAAGAAAAAAAAAATTTTCAGAAAAAAGAAAAAAACTTATTACGTTTCCCGCATAAAATTTAAAATCGCCATATAAACATCACAAATCCATCCATCGCCAAGAATCACAACAAGTAGATGAACCATAAAAACTCGCACTTTAACAAAAAAAAAAAAAAGTTCACACCTTGATGTCCAAACAAAAACATTGATGAACAATTAAAAGAATAAGAAAGAGAACTGACGATTGAGGGGCGCAAACGTGAACGTCATAACGGCCTTTACGAACAAGAGCTTCAACCAAATGGGTCAAGCCAGGGGAATCAATCCCATCACCATTAGTGACCAAAACAACGGGCTTTGAGCTGCTTTCGGGCTCACCATCAAGCGCAGAGCCCGAAACCGAAGCGGGCTCCGCCAATTCACTCCCAGTCCCATTGCTACCATGATTACCATCATTACTCGGAGGGGGAGATGATGATTCCGACTGTGGGCCCGCCTTCCTCTTCGCCAGCACGTCCTGCAAATTCGACACCAACCCAGGTGGCAACAAGCTGTTCTTCACCGCCGACGACGTCGTCGTCATGGTTCCGACCACCAAAACAGAAAAACAATTGATAAAGGGGCAATTTTTAGTGATGAATTAAGGAGATTCAATTCCAAACCCTAGAAAACGAGAAAGAGGGATTGAAGGAAAGACGATGGCTGAAAAAGGGAATGGGATGGACCGATTCAAACGGCGTTTATGGGGATGTGGGAGGGAAAGAGAAAAGAATCAGTAGTACTTTCTTTTTGGTTATTGTTTTTATTTTTAGCTACCATGGAAATGCAACTAAAGAGAGAGAGGTCGAAGCAAAAAGCAACAGTGATCTATCTGTAAATGGATTGGACAAGTTTATTTGATTAATTCTTAACGCGTTTTTTTAGATCGTGGCGTACACGGACCAATTATCAGGTGACAGTTTGCATATGGGGGGTTCCATTTCTTTTTTCTTGGGCCTTGTTTTTAATATTCTTGTGTGGTTGGCTAGTATTGGGCCAACGGCCCAATAACAAATCCTTAACCCTGTGGATTTTGTTTTTGTTCAATTTAATCCCGATTTTTAATTAGAGTGATGATCACTAAATCCATCACCTTGAACAATACAAAATAATAAATACGGCATGAGTTTTATGAGCATTTATATTAACGTCCATTTTATTGAATTGAAACAGATACACAACGAAAATTGCATACATAAATTAACCCAATTTGGTGCAACATGAAAGGTGGTAATTACTTATCAAAAGTCAAAAGCATGATAAGTCAAAAAGAAAAGTAGATTTTTTCCCCCCCAATCCATTTGGGGTGGAAATGGAATGATTACTGTTATTCAGTTTGACCAAAGGCACAAATGATTAATGAATCTTAAGAGTAGTTCGAAGACGTGGTGACAACGTTTGTATAGAATGTGGTAGATTTAATGACTAATTTATTTAAATACACTTTGATTAAAGTCACGGGTACAATGACGCGAGCATTTGGCCAAGTTGTCTTAAGTTGTTAGTATTAATTTAACTTTGGTTGTTATCCTTTACTTGGTCACAATGAGACTTTATTAATAGTTGATTAATAATGCCTACTTTTCTCTTTTTGACAAAAATCATACCATTACATCTTTTTTGCATGAGTATATATATATTATGGTTTACTAGATTAGCTTTTGAGTCATGCTCGTTGATTAAAATTAGCAAATCAGAAGTAGTTGAACTACATAATTAGGTTTTGTATGAATGCGGTTTAATAGTATAGGTGTCGGTTTACATTAATATACAGGTACCACTTCTTCCTTTATAAAATTAAACTCATTTTATTGATTTTAAGAGTTAAACGAACAATTTCTTGAATTTGACCAATTCAGTTTTCTTGAAATGAACATCAATCTTGTTTTTGTTTTGCTTTTTTTTAGGTTTAATCTCTGACTCTAATAAGTCGGTTCATTGTCGATGAATTTGGATTATAGATTCACCGACAAAGGAAGCATTTTAGACAAAAGCATGTGCCAAATTCAGTGTAGATTGTGCTGCTTTCATGGCTTCCATTAATTGCCTGCCTCAATTCCTTCCTTTTGGTTGTTGCTTCCATATTTCCTGCTTCTTCTTCTTTTTTTTCCTTAAATTTTTCATCAATCAATTTGATGCAAAGTCAATATCTACCTAATTTCCATATTTGTTCTAATAATGTTTTTTTTAGTTCAACCAACTAACCTTGTCCAGGCAAAAAGGAGCATTTGTGGGCCTGAGAAAATTATGCACTCAAGGCATCTCTCACCCCCCCCCCCCAAAAAAAAAAAAAAGAAGAAAATCTTCCCATTCAAGATCTGCTGTGTAGTAATAAGAGTAGAAATACACTTTTCCTTTTTTATTTGTGCACATGGTTTGCAATATTCTCACGTTTTTCTATCCGAATCTCTAAATTTGAACTTCAAAGTTCAAGCTTCAAGTTAAGATCTTCAAGTGTGATCAAATGAACTAGTGTACATTTTGGTTCATTTTGGAGGGATTACAAGAACACCAAAGGCACCACTTGAAAAGGATCTTGCTGATTCGAAATTCTGTGAGTTGAGATCAAAAGGCACTCAGTTAATGTGAAAAAATCGAGAGCGGTGACTTCTCTGACATCATTTTTCCCTCTGGATTTTGACTTTCAGAGCTTCAATTACGGCTGAGAAGTCCTCGTCACTGAGACCATGCGATTTTGCCACTTTGTAAAGTTCATTTGCAGCTGCAGCGATTGGAGTTGGCTGAGAAACTGACTCGGCTAATCCCAGTGCAAGCCGAAGATCCTGCATCAGCGAAAAAAACCAATCCAACAATCAGTATGTCGAGTTCAGGTGGCCGGTGTTAAAATACACATGTAAGGAGAGTAATGACATTACCTTTTGTTGATGTTTTAAAGGAAATGCAGTAGGATAGATGGATTTGACCATTGAAGGTCCTTTCATGGAGAACATCGGCGCACTGATGGCGCCCTGTGAGATGACCTGCAAATAAACCAAATTAGGTCAAAATTGGAGATACTCTTACGAGTTCAAACGTGTTGCCTAAAATTGATTAGTACCTCCACCAAAACACTTGGATCCAATCCAACCTTTTCACTAAGGAGCAATCCTTCGGAAAAAGATGCCATCATACTGCACGTTGTTTTATACAGCGTTAATCAATCAAGTTCAACAGAAAAAAAAAGGTGCAATAGCATCTCAAAGGAATAATTGACATCACCTTCCCATAATCATATTCACCACAAGTTTCATAGCAGCTCCATTCCCAACAGCCCCGAGGTAAAATCTTGACTAGATTTACGATAACGATTAATCAGTTAAGTCGAAAAGACAATCTTTCAGACTTTCACTAAATATTGGAAAAAGCAGAAACCTTTCCCATGATGTCTAACATAGGAGCAGCCTGTTCATATAAAGCTTTATCCCCTGCAATATTGCATAAATGGCTTCAATTAAGATGAAAAAATAACCAAAACACTCTTGAGTATGGAGTTTAACAGCAACATCTTCAACACCAAACAATATTTCCTTGACTCAACAAAAACAAAACAGCACACCTGCAGCAAGAAAGATCAACTGTCCATCTTCTGCCGGCTTTTTGGAACCAGAAACAGGAGCCTGTTGGGAGTGCATTATGTTTGCTAGGTTGGTTAGTTGTGCATGGTAAACTTCTACACCAGTTTCTCAAAGTTTGTTGTATGAAGTAAGTGGAAAACTTCTTTACAAATGCAGAGAAGAAAAACCTAAATTGCCAAAATCTAGCAGCATGTAATGAAAGACAGCAGCGGCTATCTCTCTGTGTTCAATACTCAAATAAATCTAAATATTTACCTCCAAAAACTGGGCTCCTGTTGCTTTGATGTGTTCTCTTATCAACTTTGAAGTATCACCATCAACGGTAGACACATCTACATAACTGCAATCAACACAGAAAGGCAAATTTGCATACTGAACTAATGTGAAGATGATATTTACTAGTTTCAGCCCACATCAAGAAAAAGAGGAGAATAAAAAATTTCTCTCGTAAAAGAAACTCAAATTCTGTCAAATCATCACCTTATTGGTTTATTTATCATTGTCTTTCAGTTCTTATAGATATACGAACAGAAACTTTTCAGTTCTTATACAAAACTTTCTCGTAACAGAAACTCAAGGTTTTGTCAAAAAATCACCTTATTGGTTTATTTATCATTGTCTTTCAGTTCTTGCACATATACTAACATGTTTCACACTTGTTTGAAAAAAAAAATTTTTTTTTTTTTTTGGGGGGGTGGGGGGGAGGGTTTCATTGAAAGCTTTTGACAATGCCTGATTGAACATAAATCCAAAACAAATGTTCAAAATTAAAATGGCAGCAGTGTGTGATATAACCAGGAAAGCAGCGGTAGGGAGTATACTCAGAGATGATAAGGGTAATTTTGTTAAAGCCTTTAACAAGGCGTTGGCCCATTGCTCTGTTGAAACAACGGAGCTAAAAGCGATCCTCTTAGCTATGGAGATCGCAAAACTGATTTGCGAATCCGATTCTCAAGCAGCCATCGAGCTTATTGAAAAAATAAGGGGCCAATCTGAACTGAGGGGAATTCATAGCCTTTTGCAAAACAATTGGGTTGTGTGTTTTCAACGCCCGTCTAGAGTGTATAATCTATGTGCTGATACACTTGCAAAGGCAGCATTAGATAGGGATAGGGGGTTATATTTTTTTGATGTTCCCCCAAGCAATATTGTAATGATATTAGATCATGATGCTAGGACTTCCTGTATTTAGAACCTAAGGCGTTAGCCTGCTTTGTTATGTTATTCACCAAAAAATAAATAAATAAAATAAAATAAATGTTCTAAATTAAAGTGATCTAGAGACAAGCAAAAAGAAGATATGTTCATGGCGTACAAAAGGTAATTGATTGACTATTAGTTATTTTGACCGGAAAGAATGGTGTACCCTTTTCCAGGACCAATTCCACTTGCGGCTCCATGCTTTCCACAAGCAACATCTGTCTGATAAAAAGGTTAGATAATCAAAGTTAAATGATAAGGTTAACAGATTCTAGAGATGAAGCATACTCACGGCACTTTGCGGATCAGCAAGCATCGCAAATGTGATGTCACACGATGCAGCCACTTCCTCAGGGGTGGATTTATATCTGCAAAACAAGAGAGAATATAGAAATGAGACTCAAGCTTCTTTTCAGGATTAGATTATGTTTGATAACATACTTACTTTGCACCCATCTCTACAAGGGGATCGCATTTGCTCTTAGTCCTATTCCAGACAGTAACGTCGCATCTACCAACCATTCCGTTGCAGTAAATCAGAAATACAAACGTCCATGTCAACTTATAGAATACATGGAATGATAATTGTGGTTTTATGTGGGCAGACTCTTTTCATAAACCATTGCAGCTCGTATGGAGTTTTGCTTACCCTGCTTTTATGAGATTTTGAGCCATTGGAGAACCCATTATTCCAAGTCCTAGAAACCCAATGCGAGCAGGAATATTATCTAGTCCAACCAACACAAGTTAATGATTAGATAAACAATGTGTGTGTTATGATGTTTGATTAATTCTTCGATTTACATATGTAACTTGCACAAAAAATAAGAGGTCATTTCCTATTTACACCGAATAATTGCATAACGTCATCTCCAACTCCAAGATGACGTAAAATACCACTTTTGACATCAAATATTGTTGAGGGAAAAAAAAACCAATTTTTGCATCATAAATAATTGATGAAAATGCTAATTACCCAGCCAATTGATTGTGGTAACTTAACACTAATAAAGCACTTGGGAGCTCTCAAAATGGGATCGCAAGTTTAATGAAATATCAATGGCACACATGAATCGGAGCAAAGATGGCCATAGACTGCATAGAGCGAACTCATCTCTCTCCTGCCTATTAGTTAAATGACGGAAAACAAAAATATTGCTTATTTAGTTATTCCAACAAGTTCAATCCCGCAGTTTAGCTTCAGCCATTACACTCAGACCAATTTCCTGCATTACTACTTCCTCAACCGTATCTACCCATTTTTATAACTCCAACCCTTGATTTCTAAAGCCTTTTACTCCCTCCATCCCATAATTATTGTCTGAGTTTGGGTTTCCATTTGTAGTTTAAATTGTACTAAAAGTGAATTCTCAAACTGGACAATAATTTTGGGACAGAGGGAGTATCAGAATTGGTAGATTTTCGACAACAAATATAGTACTCGGTGATAAATAAGATCGTTCAACAAATTCCTAAATGAGAAATGTAATATGTCAACCAACAAGAAAAACAATCTCATAGGAAAGTTTAGGGAAAACCCAAGAACACATGAATTCAGAGATGGTACCTTTAGTGGTGGCAGAAGTGTTGTTGGCCGGCCTAGAAAACGCCCTGAAGGAGGCACAAAATTGAGGCTTTCTGTGAAACGAAAATATGGGTCGGAAGCTTGAACAGATAGCCATGGCCTTCGAACTACTGCAAGTAGAATTCAAGGTTGACGATGAGGTAAGAAGATGCTGGTTGTGTTGGCTGAAAATGGGCTTGAGCAGAAATGTGTTGGCCATTCGTTCGGGGGTTTATCTTCACTATCCGGAGTAAGTTACATTACAATTCATTTTGTATTGTCAGCCTGAGAGCGGTATGGAGTTCTTCTGCCACATGATCCCAATTTGTGTGGAAGAATGCTCCCACTAAATCTTTATAAATAGGGGTCTGAAAACTTGGTAAATGGACGAATATAGGCTCGATTTGGGGGGATCAGGATAAAGATGATGGAATCATCGCATTGAATCAGTTAATAAGAAAAAGTCACGGTCCATAGGTAGCATATGCTTGGTTGCCAATATAATAGAAATAGAGTAATTTTCCAAAATCAACAGCATAATTATCATTAAAGGTTCAAACTAAGTCAGAAAGAGAGCATTGTTTTAAGTTTTCCTGTCAAACCTATGGCAACAACACACAATACAGGTGGTTTTTCTAATACGGTACTGAGAATCAAAAGGAGCGGAAACAAATCGCTCTAACAATTCTTGCTACACAACAAGTTTGGCATAATAATTCAGAAATATGCAACCTTCCATAACTCTAATAGTTCCAAGAAGTTGGAAATGAAAAGCAAAACCTACAAACTTCAGAACTAATTATATAGTGAGTTGCTGACAAGTACAGCAGTAAACTCATCCCAGACGATACCATCTTTGGGAAATCTCACTTCCTGTACGGATGGTACCGTGCACTTGGAGCTGCACCGCCATTCCCATAACCCTTGCCAACCCCATGACCGCCGCCACCGCTGCCGCCACTTCCACTGCCGACGCCATAACTTTTTGGGCCGCCATATCCGGCAGTATTACCACCAGGTCCATAACCTTTACCACCATCATAACCAGTTCCATATCCCCTACCACCACCGCCATAGCTATTCGCACCACCATAACCACCAGGGTTTCCATAGCCAGCACCATACCCAGCACCAGCATACATTGGCCCACCAAAACCAAACCCATAGCCGTAACCACCATAGCCAGGATAGAACCCTGGACCTCCAGGAAAATTCCCAGGATAATTCCCATACCCACCATAACCACCAAATCCTCCATATCCACCATACCCTCTGCCCATTTTTCCAGCATATCCCCCTCCAAAACCATCAGAGCCACCACTAGCACCACCTCCCCCACCACCATTACTATAGCCTCCAAACGCCCTGGAGTTACTGCCTCCACGGCGTATCCGGCTGTCACTTGAGCTATCAAAGCCAGGCCTTTTCGGCTCTGCTTTCTTTATTTCCACCTGAAAGATTTTGTTTTCCCATTGTAAGCTTAGCTCTTTCTATTAGAAATAGATAGGAGGATGAAACTTTTAAATCCTAGGGATAAAAAGAACTCACTTGTTTACCACCAAGCTCGTGCATTTGACCATCAGCAAATATCTTCTCAACAGCATCTTCCGAGTCAAAGGTGACAAAGCCAAAGCCCCTGGATCTGCCAGTTTTATGATCTAGCATAATCTGGTGCTCCGCAACTTTACCATAGGCTGAGAAATATTCCCTCAGCTCATCTGTGCAAACCAACAGAAACGATGGGCGATGTTGCAATGGTTTCCAAAAGAAATTGACAAGTCCAAGTCCACAAAAGTTACCTTCAGTCAAGGTTAATGGAATACCACCAATAAATATTTTCTTCGTTCTCGAAACCCCTCTACCTTGCATGTCTTCTCTGGGGACAGTTCTTTTCACTTCCACCTGTTGTTACATAAAAATTGCATTTAACCAACAATTTAACTTCTTACTTCTAATGGAATACTGAGCAACATAGAAACAGGCCGAAAGTAAGAAATTAATACCGTTCTGCCATCTATAACATGCTCCTCTTCGAGAACCTTGTTTGCAGCTTCAGGGTTAGCAAACGTAACAAACCCAAAGCCTCGTGGTCTTCCAGTGATTTTATCCATCATAATGACGGAATCAGTTAATTCCCCAAACTTACTGAAATACCTGCTAAATGATTCTAGAGAGAGAGAGAGAAGAAAAACAACAGCAAAAGTTCAGACTCACAAAACCCAAAGCCCCCCCCAAAAAGAGAGAGAGAGATGCAAAAAGAAAACACACATGCATGCATAAAAGCAGGAGAAAGGAGCCCCATATTCAGTCCCCTAAATCCCTAATTCACAAAGGTTACAAATCAATAAGAAGCATATAGTAGCGGTATGCATGTATCTCTCTCAAATAAGGGATTACATATGGGAGTTCAAAATCAACTCATCTTTTTATTACCCCACAAACTTCTCTTTATGACCTATATACTCAGGAAAAAATAAATCCTTTAAGGAAAAAAAAAAAAAAAAACTCACACCAAACAAGAAACAGCTAATCACCAGAAGAGAAAACTGAAACAATACGAGGAAAAGTTCACATCTAATGTTAATTATGCCAAACAAACCATGACACATCAAAACCTCAATTCAGCTAAAAACCAAAATCAAAAAGGCTAATCAACTTCCCCAATATTCAAGCAATAATAGTACAAAATCATGGCAACATTCAGGAGGGGCAAAATGGAAGCGAGCTAAATTAGGTACCTTCAGAAGTCTCCCAAGCAATTCCACCAACGAAGAGTTTTCTACCACAGAAGAAAAACCAACAGTTATTGCTAAGATTGTTCACAACACATGCCTTTCAGTTTTGTATACAAGGGTTTTTTTCATGTGGACATCGAAAAATCTCTCTCCCCATTTTAAAAAGACCACAACTTTGAACTACTATTAAACAAAAAGTGATTTGTTTTTGCAAACCCTAAGAGGAGGAGATTCAAATTCCCAGCACAGACTATAACTAGAAACTATAACTAGAAACTATACTATCAAACTAACTATAACTAAACTAACTAACCCTGCAGAGGAATCATCGATTGAATGCTTTAAATCGTGGCCTGCGTTGATACTATCATCTAGGCTATTCATGTGACCGCCAACACCGACACCATGCTCCGAGTAGTAATCTTCCCTTTGATTTTCCTCATCATACTCATCTTCCTCTCCACCGACTTGTCGGTGAGATTGTTGTCCGTCGACAACGCCGTAGGCGGAGAGGTTCTGTTCGGCGGCTACGTAATCATAATCCATTCTGTTCTAAAGGATTCTTCTCTCTCTCGACTACCTATCGAAAAAAACCTGCAAAAATCTGAAAATAGATTCCACTGTTCTATGAGATTTCTTTTTTCACCTGAGCTTCTTTTGTTATACACTCTGAATTGAAAACCCTAATCCAAACCTGATTAGAAGTATACAGTATACACGATTACCCCTATTCAGCTAGGGATTTTCGCTTTCCTTTCTCTAATTCTCTCCGATAAGATTGGCGCCGGGTGATTTGAAATTGGAGAAACCCTAGCTCAGCTGTGTAGGAGGATCGATTTTTCGCCCAATAATAAAAAGAGTGACTATTGGCGATTGACGAAGCTACTTAAATAGACCCGACGAGGCTTGCTTGTTTATATATCAAACGACAACGTACATGCCAGTTTACCCGCTTGTTCTAGTGGGTAAAAAAAAAAAAAAAAAAAGTTACCTGAGAATTTTATAATATCTTATACAACTCCAATTACACCGTTCTAATTTCTCTTCTTCAAAAAAAAAAAAAAACAATCGGATGTATATTTCCCTAACATGTCCTCTCCGAATGTTGCTACCACGTGAGAAAATTTCTAAATTTACAATCACCTATTAGGTAATAGAATCACACAATCTTTAAAAGATTGGTGACTAGCGTTCAATGTTGGAACTACCGAATCAGTGAATCACAACTTGGTCCATTTATTTTTAACATTCAACAACAACAAAAACCAAGTCATTTCCCCACTAATTAAAGTCGGTTATACGAGTCATATATATCGTTATTGTGCTCGATCAGTGCATAATCACAGAAATTTAAATATTTCAAATTATTTTTGATAGTTTGTTTCCATGTTTTCTTGGGATTTATAACATTCAACAACACTGCAAAATTTCTGATGGAGTGTCTAGCCAGTCTTTCAGGGCATTTCACTTTAAGAATATGATGACTAGTTTTGTAAAGCAAATTTCACTTCTGAAACTAGAGTAGAACGATCTGATCGAAGGAGCAAGAAAACTAGACCATAAAGATGGTTAGATTGTGCCTTATGATCTCATGCAAGAATCAGGCAAGGTGCTACTTTGATATTACAAGACATCTCTACAATTAGGCCACAAGTGAAATCACAATAAAAAAGATTGTTCAACCAGACGAGATGTACAAACTACAAACAACCAAATTAAGAACCGTTTCTTTTTCAATTTGTACAATATGTAGAAGATGACACTGCTGCAAATCTACTTGGTACTTGCCCTGAAAAAAGATCTAACAAAACAAGATTCGAAATGTAATAAAATCTTCATCAATTACCGATCAATCAATCATCTAGCTCATCCCCATCAAAATCCTCTTCTTCTTCTTCCTCCTCTTCCTCCTCCTCGTCCTCAACTTCTTCCAAATCTTCATCACCCACAATGAAACCTCCTAGTGTCTCATCACCTTCATCATCCTCTTCTTCATCTTCCATATTGACATCTGCATTTTTATCAGCTTTCCTTCGTGTCAATGGAGCTGCAACCTTCTTGTTCTCTCCGGCGTCATCCCTACTCGCGAGTTTCAGTTTTTGGCGATCCTTGGATCTTGTCGAGTATTTAGGTGTCTTCTGAACCTTCCCTTCTTTCGATTTCAACAGCAACTCCATTTGCTCCTCCTCCTCTTCACTTTCCCCTGTCCATTCCTCATCATCTTCCCCCCTGCCACCTTTCTTCTTTCTCTTCCTTGTCCTCCTCTTATTATTCCCTCCAACTTCATTATCATCCTCACTACCTTCATCTCCACCTTCCTCAAGAAACCAATCCCAATTCTTGATATCCTTAATCATTCTACGCGGGTAGCTGTTAAATTCTTCCCCAATTACCAGGAATCCAAATTCTGTAATTTATCAATTAGTTAATTAGCAGATAAATTCATATGAAATTGCTTGTAATAGTATGTTTTGACTCTGTTTGGAACATCATACACGCCATATTCAAAATCCCCCAATCCAAAAAGTTTAAACTTTCATACACCTAGCTTTACAGAATCGCATTGCTTCACCATCCAAATAATGAAATAAATAATACTGTATCAATGCTTTGATAAACTGGCTGAAGAAAACATTCTTACAAAAGTACTGTATCATTCAGGTAACAGTAATCTGGAAAAAAGAAATCCATAAATGGGAAAAAAAAAGTACCTTTAACAGGATCAATGAGTGAAATGTCAACAGATTCAAGCTCTAATGCATCAAAACCTTTGACCTCAAAGCCACCACTTAAGCTATCGGCCAATTCACCATCTAAACGAAGCTCACCCTTCCCATTATTTTCCCCATTTTCAGCCTCAATCTCAACATCTTTACAAGTGAACCAAACGGGATTCTTAGCCGAAACGCAAAACGCATCGCCGATCTCCAATTCGCCACTTTCAGAAGTCTTGAATCCGCTGACTTCGCCGGTCTTGCTTCTATGAACCCATATGGGATTCTTTCCGTGGACTATAAAACGAACCCTTGGTTCCCTGATACCGGAGCCAAAGACGGGTTGGAGCTCGACGTGTCGCCGTGAAACCGTCCGGTCGTCGGTTTTGAAGCCGGAACCTCTTCCCCATTCTATTATTGAATCCCATTTCAGGTTGGCTTTTGAACCGTCGCTGCCCTCAATCTCCATAGTCCATACACTAACCGGAATTATTAGGACAATTATTTTTGCCCCCTTTAATCACTGCGTCGCCGGCGAAACTTCATGTTAAGGTCACCGCCAAAGTTGATTTTTCATTTTTACTTCTCTAGTCTGTTAAATATATAATTTCGTGGTTTTGGCCAAGTATCATCGATAGATTACGGGTTGACCCCTAACCTCTTGAAATTGCAGTAAAATAATAATTATACCTCTTTTTCTAGAGTTTTTTACCTAAAAATTTTTCTTAAAAAAAAGGTAGACCAAATTAATTTTTTTGAAATTTGTGTGGACAAACCTATATCCTCCGGATTTTCAAAATCCGAATCCGAGGTAAATTCGGATTTCGGTAATCCGAATTCAATAGAAAACGGATTTTGAAAATCCGAATTCATTTTAATTAAAACTAAAACTAAGTAAATTTTTAATCTGGCATAATTAATCATAATTCGAATTTCTGAAATCCGACTTTATGATTAAAATATTAATTTTTGGGGAAAATTTCTTTTGTACAAGTGTTGGTAATTTTTTGGACATGAATCGGATTTTCAAAATCCGAATCTTCCATATTTCCCTGATAAATTCGGATTCTAGAAATCCGAACCTAAACCCTAAACCCTAAACCTAAATCTGAGTATATGTTACACTCGGATTTCGATAATCCGAGTATATGTTGCACTCGGATTTTGGTAATCCGTATATAGATTATACTCGGAGTTTGGTAATCCGAGTATAAGTAACACTCGGATTTGAGAAATCCGAAGTTAAACCCTAAACCCTATGGCCTTATTTTGAAAATCTAAATTTTTGCTTGACTCAAATTCTGAAAATGTGATTATTTGCTTAAAAGGTACATAACAGTAGTACAGATAGATTATACTGAATTAATGATAATATTTAATAACTAACAGATTTAACAATAATAAATAACAGTAATACCACTAATGTATAATGAGTATTAGTATTAATGTACTACATAATACTAGTACGTACAAATAGTACATAACACTAATACAGATGAATTATACTGAATTAATGATAATATCTAATAACTAACAGATTTAGCATTAATAAGTAACACTAGTACTAGTAATATATAATTAGTATTAATATTAATGTACTACATACGTACAAATAGTACATAACACTAATACAGATAAATTATACTGAAAATACAAATGAATTATACTGAATTTATGATAATATATAATAACTAATAGATTTAACAATAATAAGTAACACTAGTACCATTAATGTATAATGGATAATAGTATTAATGTATTACATAATACTAGTACGTACAAATAATACATAACACTAATACAGATAAATTATACTAAATTAATGATAATATCTAATAACTAATAGATGTAACAGTAATAAGTAACACTAGTACCCGTACTGTATAATGGGTAATAGTATTAATGTACTACATAATACAAGTACGTACAAATAGTATATAACACTAATACAGATGAATTATACTGAATTTATGATAATATCTAATAACTAATAGATTTAACAGTAATAAGTAACACTAGTACCAATAATGTATAATGGGTATTAGTATTAATGTACTACATAATACTAGTACGTACAAATAGTACATAACACTAGTACATATAAATTATATTGTTTTTATGATAATATATAATGACTAACAGATTTAATACTATAAATAACAATAGTACCAATAATGTATAATGTGTATTAGTATTAATGTACTACATAATACTAGTACGTACAAATAATACATTACACTAGTACATATAAATTATACTTAATTAATGATAATATATAATGACTAACAGATTTAACAGTAATAAATAACAATAGTACCAATAATATATAATGAGTAATAATATTAATGTATTACATAATACTAGTACGTACAAATAGTACATAACACTAATACATGTAACCAGATTACGGTATTCTAGTTCTTTGATTTCAAAAATTTCGCGCCTTGATTTTATTTTATTTTATTTTTCTTTTTGAGAACTCGGATTTCGGAAATCCGAGTACTACTGTTTATTTAAGGAGTCCAAGTCCTGGACTCCTCCTTATTTGAGTTCAAATATTTCGCGCCTCAATTTTTTATTTTTTAATGGGACTCAGATTACGCAAATTCGAATGGCACTGTTCATGTAAGATTTTTTTAAAAACTATTATTCAACAAAATTTATTTAATTATTATTTTATTATTAAATATAGATTCGGATTTACAAAATCCGAATGTTTAATTTTAATTATAACTCAGATTTCAGAAATTCGTGGGTATTCCTGCCCACAAATATTCTGAAAAATTTAAATTTGTCCACCTTTATTTTAATTAATTTTTTTAGGGAAAAGACCCCTTTTTCTAATTGAAAGTATTATTTTCAAGACGTTGGATTGGATACGTCACCAAGGCATAACCACGGTTGAACCGGCCCGGAACCGGATTCTCGATTTATGAACCGGACTGGAACCGTGAGTTACGGTTTATAAAACCGTAATCGGACCGTCTAGTCAAGGGTCGGTTATAGTTCAAGCCTTCCAAAAATTGTAAAACGACAGTTTAAACCGGCGGTTCAAACCGTCAAAAACTTCTGGTTAACCGTCGGTTTCATAAAAAATAAGTATAAAAATATTAGTTTTTATAAACATAAAAATGTTAATCATCATCTTATTTTCAAAATAGATGTCCATTTTCTAATTTGTGGTTATATCAAAGTATATGTTTATTTTTGAATTTGTTTTCCCTATCACTCTTTTGTTTTAAATATGATTTATAGAGTCTAATCTTTAAAATTAAGTGGTTGATCTAATTACCTAGGGATTAAATAATTTTTTTTCATTTGTTAATGATTAGCCCGTTACTTTTGCAGTGTTCAAAGTATGTAATTTTTATTTTTTTTTTGTTAATATTATGTTTTGTTGTTTCTATATTTAGAGAAAAAATATAATGATAATTCATATGTTTGAATAAATTTAAAATATTGCCTAATGTATTTATTTTTGTTATTATTTATAAAATCAAGAAAATACTTGTGAAGTTATCCAAAATTTAATTAATAGAATTTGTATTAAACTTTTTTGCTAGACTAACAATCATACATTATAATAAATATATTTTGAGGATTTGAATAAGTTGCTTTAAAAACCAAACACGAAATTTTTATTTTTTTAAAAACACAACACAAAAGAATTGTATAAAAATAATGTTAAAATCGTAAAAGAACCGGATTAAACACAACACAAAAACTGTAGGGTTAAGAATCGGAATCAGCCCAAAACCGGACCTTAATCGGAGATTTACGAATTGTAACCGTAACCGTAGAGTTAAGGGCAGCTTAAAATTCATCTGTTTCCTGAACCGTGAACCGGCGATTCATGAACTGGAACCGGCGGTTCATGAACTGGAACCGGCGCTTCCCAACCGTGGTTATGCCTTAGTCACCACTCACCAATGGGAAAAAAAGGGAGCTATCAAATGTTTATTAGCATCATTCAATAACAAGAACAAAAACCATAACATGTAATAGTAATTTGTACTTGTATTAAAATTTAGAAGGCTAATGTATTGAAAAACGCTATATAAATAAAATTACCTAGCGAACAAATTATGACAATTCATATTCCTTTTGTCCCAAATTATTGTCCAGTGTAGATTCATTTTTAGTTCAATTTGTATTGAAAACGAAAATTCGAATTAGACAATAATTTCGGGACGGAGGGAATTGTTGATATCAAGATTCGATAGCTTATAGATACTCAAATCAAAGAATATCTTATCACCTAGCAAATAATTATTTTTTATCACTGACTATTGTTATTCAAATCAAAATATGACTGTAGATATACTATTTTTTCCAACTATAACAACGGAGGTTGAGGTTATTTTTTCGTTTTCCATACAAAATGACATGAGCTGAGGCCCAAAAACCCCAAGGGTCCAAAATTCTCCAGAACTGGCGCTCGAGGTTCAGACAAACGTTCACGATCACGCGCGCCTATATTATGATCTTCATCTGTCGCCGGATTCTTAAAACCTCCACGCTGACAAATTGAACAAAAAACCGCCCATTCTTCCCAAAAACCCTCGCACAAAATCGCCGATATTCTCTCTTCTTAACTTAGCTTTACCTCCCTTTTCCCTTTGTTTGATTTCCGTGAAGTTTGCTGGATTCTTTTGTAGGGGTTTTTGTCTTTTTGACTCTCATTTGAATTCGAAGATGAGCAAAGATACTGAGAATCTGGACATGTCTGACGTCGGGTCCGCCCTTCCTGCCGCCGCCGCCGGTAGCATTCTGAACCCCAATTTCCTTATAACTATCATTTTTTCAATTTAATTTGTCATCTAATTATTTATTTTTTTGGGCGGCAATTGAAACGCAGCTTTGAGTGCGGAGGATCGCGCTGGCTTAGTTAACGCTCTCAAGGTTTCTCTCTTTCATTGCTCTGGGTTTTGTTGTTTATTGCTGTGTATAAAATGATGGGTTGTTTTTATTTCTTTCTGATTGATTCTGTGATTGACTTTGCGGGGGGTTTTCTGTAGGATAAACTTCAGAATTTGGCCGGTGAGCATTCGGATGTATTGGAAACCTTATCTCCCATGGTTCGGAAGCGTGTCGAAGTGTTGAGGGAGCTTCAGGTACTGTTGTTATTATCGAAGTCTTTAAGTTTGAACCATCATTTTTCTGGTTGTTTTCGTATATGTTAAGTTTTCATGAATTGATGAATTTTCTGAATGTGTTTTAACTTCTTTAGCTTCTGAAGTTTTGCCACTCTGCTTATAGCTAACTTGGGACCATTTAATTCTTTGGGAACTAATGTGAAATATGCACCCTTACGTGGTTCCTTTGGCCTTTTTTTTGATGGTTTCATCGGATAGGTAATTCAAAATTGAAACAGGACTTCATTATGGTCAACGATCTAATTCTTGAAGATAATTGCCGTTTGATCATTTTTCTCTGCTATGTTGGACAGACTATGAATCTATATAATCCATTTGCCCATATTTCCTCTGCTAAAAGATAGTTTGTTTTGCTGTTATTCTATGTATGCTCATCCACATTTACAGCACACGGTGCTTTCTCTGGTGTTATCGCCCATTGCCACAATGCTGTGAGGTTCTTACCCTGTTTGTTTTTACAGTCATGAACTAAGCATCAAACTAGTTAGACTGGTGGAATTAGCATCTCATCTCAGTGATCTCAGATATACATCAGGACATGTTGATATCAGTCAGGAGCTGTATAACCAATCAACATTACCACTTTGGAGCACTCCTCTGTTTTAGTGTACTGGTTTGAAGCTTTATTAAGCTGTTTTTATTGCCTCATGAGTTTGCTGGTCTTCTGCAGAGCCAACATGATGATTTGGAGGCAAAATTTCTTGAAGAGAGAGCTGCACTTGAAGCTAAATATCAGAAGCTTTATGAACCGCTTTATACTAAGGTTCGCCTTCCTTTTTGTAATATTGACTTTAATTTTCCCCTTTTATTTTCTTTGACTCCCTCTCGGGTGGGCTCTAGCTATTTGTTGTTCTGTAACTACAAGCCTTAAAGAATGCATTATTATTGCCAAATTTTCCGTGGTTGGGTTTTGATTATTGTGGTGCTCACATATTCTGCTACATGTACTGCAGAGGTATGAAATAGTTAATGACGTTGTAGAAGTTAAAGAAGCTGGTGATGCTGCCCAGGAAGGGGACAAAGGGACAGAAGATTGTGGTACATCCACCCCTATCCCGCCACCCTTCTTATTTTGTTTGTCTGCTTTTGCGTGACCTTGTGATTGTTAAAATTTTGTTGCAGAAAAAGGTGTACCTAACTTCTGGCTGCTAGCAATGAAGACTAATGTTATATTGGCTGAGGAAGTTAGTTCATTTTAATTTTCCTTTTTTGCAATATTCGAGTAGTTTAAACTGGATAAGCTAAAATATTGTCACTTGTGCAGATTACAGAACGTGATGAAGCAGCTCTGAAGTACCTCAAGGATATCAAGTGGTGTAAAATTGATAATCCGAAGGGCTTTAAGCTTGAGTTCTTCTTTGACACTAATCCATTTTTTAAGAACTCTGTCTTGACAAAAACCTATCACATGATTGATGAAGACGAGCCTATACTAGAACGGGCCGTAGGGTAAGCTACTTTTTATATCTTATTTGTAGTTTTGACTGATTTTAATACGATCATTAAACAATCTTGCTGCTGTACCTTGTAGGACAAAAATTGAATGGTGTCCTGGAAAATGTTTGACGCAGAAAATCTTGAAGAAGAAGCCCAAGAAGGGGTCAAAGAATTCAAAACCTATAACTAAGACTGAAAATTGTGAGAGTTTTTTTAACTTCTTCAACCCTCCCCAGATTCCTGCTGATGGGGATGATTATGATGAGGATGCAGTAAGTTCATATCGTTGTTTTGTTTAGCTACGTACAGTATGAGTTTATGGAGAGTGAACTATTTAATGAATTCCATGTTGAATCTTCACAGGCAGAAGATTTCCAGAATCTAATGGAACAGGATTATGATATTGGGTGAGCTAGTTTTTTCATCCATCGTGGTTTCGTGGTCCATCGGATTGTATACTTCCTCCTTATCGTAACGTATTATGTTTGAATTGCTCTTTTCTAATACTCTGTTTTGGTTTACATGTGGCAATGGTGTGCCATACAACGCAGTTCTACCATTCGGGACAAAATTATCCCTCATGCTGTCTATTGGTTTACGGGTGAGGCTGCAGATGAAGATGACTTTGAAGATGAAGATGATGAGGATGAACTAGACGAAGAGGAAGATGAAGGTGATGATGATGATGAAGAGGATGAAGTTGAGATCAGTGGGAAGAAGGTAAACTTCTAATTTTATGCATGAATTAGGCTAGCATTTACAAAATAATATTGCGCTGATTGGAATTTGATCTTCCCTTATTTGGGGTTCATTCGTTGCTGCAGTCCTCCAGAACAAAGGTTAGGTGATTCAAGGACTGTTGCTTGTCGACATAATCAGATGGTGCAGCCTAGCCCCTGGTAATGAGTGTTTTTGTGAATCGGAGTGCTTCTGTGAAACAAGGAGCCTTAAGGTGGGGAATATCGATGCAAACAGCAGGAGTATCAATGGGGCGCAGACTTATTTGCATAATAGATAGCTTTCTGTTTATGCTTTTGTACGTCTCTCCATATTTCGGGTTACCTTGGCTATCTCCATTTGGTTGGACGGACTGTATTTCCTCTTTACAGTCACAGGTTGATCTATTCCTGTTGTCATAATATATGTGTTATATATACAGCATAGCGATTTTTTAGATGTTTGGACTTTGAAAATCTCCTTTTTTTCGTAGCATGTTTATAGCCTAAAACAATTAGCAGAACTATGGAGGTTGATCTGCCGCGCCATTTTAGGATACCTTTGTATCAAAGACTCAAAGCTCTCCAGTTTCCATGACCGAAGCTTGGGTGTAAAAGCTAACCAGTAACCAGGTTGATATGGGATAATAAACAACATAAATGGCAAGTTCCATAAGAACTTACCAATTTCTTAAGTATTCTATTCCCCCATCGCTTTTGAAGTAATATTCCCTCCAAAGTTCCTCACTCAAATTTAGAAGATTTCTTTCCCTCTAACACACTTGTTTCTCTTCTCCCCATACAAACTTCCCTCCAAAACTCAATCAAAGTTTGAAACGAAGGGTGGTTATATTCTAGTTGGTCATGCACAAAAGAAAATGCCTTTTTTTCTCAGAATTTCTTTTTCTTTAGAAATTCCATATTTTAGACCAAAAAAATTAAAAATTTGAATGTAGTGGCAAAAAGTTGTTTTTCTTTTCCCCCTCTTTTGTGGAGGACCAAAATTACCGAAGTGGAAAATTAGGGTTTTTTTTTTAATCTTTTCACCTATATAACGTAATTGATAGGTTGTTCTTTTTCTTTGTTTGAATTGGTGACTTGGTTCTGCAGTGCTTTTTGTTGGATATGTATCAGAATATGTCCGGTGGGTATTGGGATATAACGGAAACCTTACATCCCAATGTTCAGAAGCGTGTTGAAGTCTTGAAGGAGCTTCAGGTAATTTGTTGTTAAAGTTTCAAACTTGAATCTATTGGGATATTCTTTTTTTTCTGCTCGTTTTCATCTACGTTTTTGAGTTTTCGTGAACCGCTGAAGTGTGTGAATGTGTTCTATCTTCTTTAGCACACCAAGTTTTGCTTGAATTACCCGAGAATGGAAGCATGCTTTTTTTCATTCAAGCTAAATGATTTCTTTGCAAAATGCAGGCTCTAATTACACTTTATTGTGCTTATACCAAACCTGGCTTTAAGTTAAATCATTCAATGGTTGTTTCCTTGGATACTAACATGAATTCTACCATTTTTATTTGGGTAAATCCGACCATTTATGTTGGACTGGTTTTGAACCATTTGCCAAGTAGTTAACTAAAAAGAGTTAATTTTTTGTGATAGTTTATGTATGTTTCAACCATATATACATCATGTGGCGCTTTATCTCATGGTTGTGATGCTGTGGTGGTGGCCTTAAACCTGTTTGTTTCTATAGTAGTATACAGAGCATCAAGACTAGTAGTTAGACTGGTGGGATTAGCAGTCCCCATAAGCTCTTTAAGACATGTCAGACTATGTTAATGTTAAATGGTAGCCGTGGACAGCATTCCCAGTTCGGAGCACCTTCTTTTTTTAGCACCACTTGTTTGGATTTTGTGATAAGCTATTGTTTATTGGCTCATGAATTGCCTTGTCTTCATGTGCAGAGCCAATGTGGTGGTTTAGAGTCAAAATTTCGAGAAGAGCGAGCTGCACTGGAAGCTAAATATCATAAGCTTTATGACGCACTTTATACTAAGGTACATCTATCCTTTTGGGGGAGATTCGAAGTTAGATTACCTTCCTTTAGTTTCCAAGATAACCCACCCAAGGTCTGGTCCTTACTCTGCTGCATGAATTGCAGAGGTTCGAAATAGTTACTGGTTGAAGTTGAAGGAGTTGGTGATGCTTCCCAGGGCCAGGACAAGGACCAAGGTTCAACAGGTGATGAGCATTAATATTGTATTTTTCAACTCTATCTTCATTTTTTGTTTGTCCGCATCTCCTTGACCTTGATGTTGTTTCGGAGGGGAAGTTTACTTAGCCTTTGTGATTGTAGTTGCAACAAAAAAAGGTGTACCTAAGTTCTGGCTGCTGGCAATGAAGAGTGATGATTTACTGGCTGACGAGGTTAGTTCTCATTTCATTCTCTTATTCGGGTGTTTGTATATTTGAGAAGATAATATGTGTCGCCTTTTCAGATTTCGGAACGTGATGAACAAGTTCTAAGGTACCTCAAGGATATCAAATGGTGTAAAATTGATAAACCGCTTCGGCTTTAAGCTTGAGTTCTTCTTCGACTCAAATCCATTTATCAAAAATTTTGTCTTGACAAAAATTTATGACGTGAGAGAATTTGATGTAAAGGCAACATGGTGAGTTTCTCATTTCTCTGATGCTTTACTTTGGACTGATTTTGATCCTGGGTCATTTAATCAATCTTGTTGTACCTTGTAGGACAATAATTGACTGGTATCCTGGTAAGTGCCTGACACAGCAGATCTCGAAGAAGAGGCCCCATGCAAAGTGTATAATGAAGATTAATACTCTTGAAAGTTTTTTCAACTTCTTCAACCCACCTCAGCTTTCTAATGACAAAGATGTTGACGAGGATACTGTGAGTTACTCTTTGTTGTTTTCATTGCTCATGTGGTATGAATTAATGGAATTTGCTTTGAAATAAAATTTACGAATGTCATGTTATGTCTTGTCAGGCAGAAGAATACCTGAATCTAATGAAACAGGACTATGATATTGGGTGAGACTTTCATTTCTTCTATCATGGTTTCTTTGTGGACCCCAAATGTGTACTCCTATCTTGATCAGTACTTTTAACCTGTTCTTTTCTTATAGTATGTTATAATTTACTTAGGTCGATAAATATTGAAATTTGCAGTAAAACCATTCGGGACAAAATTATTCCTCAAGCTGTGTCTTGGTTTATGGCCGCTGAAGGAAGTGACTTTGAAGATGATGATGATAATGAGGATGAGGATGAACTGTGCTAGTAATTGTAATCCCATTTTCGCTTCTTTCGGGTTTTACTAATTTGTTGCAGTCTTTTCCAGAACAACATGTTGAGTGGATGCTTTGGAGAATCCAAACGGACTCTGAATTGTAGAAGAGTATGACCTGCAGAGTGCAAGCAACAATAGTAGGAAATGGAGCACGAACTTTTACTTATTGATATTGTGTTTCTTTGTTGACGACATGGTTTGTCTCTCAATGCTCCAGGTTACCTTATATTACCTTTAGTGGTGGTCTCTTGTGTTTTCATGTTTTCGGCCTTACTTTTTGGGATTTGGGTGGCAGACTATAAATTTTCCCATTAATCACCGGTTGATCTGTTCCAATATAGTCGTACTGAGTGTTATATGCAACACATTACACCTGTATTTGGAATGGATCTAGTAATGCTGCAGTTAGTTTGTAAAGAACCACATAAAAACATAGAGCAGAATCAATAATTAAAGGTTGATGTTTCTTCTCGTTCCGTTGAACAAAAATTATTGATTGAATGAATACACTAATTGAAATTACAGATTACTAATCTACAAAGAGAGAAAAATTTAGTAATGACACTAAACAAGGCTCAACGAGATTGCTAATAAGGAGATGCGCGGTATTTGGTGTAGTCCTTGGAAACACTTCTGGTAAATTCAACAAACCCTTGAGGCCAAAAGCTCATCTCTTTTGCGCTCTCGCTAGTTTTGGAACTCCAGTTTTCCAATGAATTATCTTGTCCACATGATATTTTGGAGCTAAGTGTTTGTGTGTATCATAACCATAGACAAATTTCTGATCGTGAAAGAAGATTTCATTACTATTTTTCCGCGAGAACGGTATAAGAGTAAGATGAGCCCTCAACCAATCAAATTTGGACAAGGTTGCAAAAAAACAATCTTGGTGATGACATAATCATGACCTATTTGTATGATAACAACATATATAGCCATTTTGTGTGTTATTATTGTAAGAATTAAATGAGGTGGATGGGATTACAATAACCTATGTTAGATTACAATAATCAGCTCATGTCACACACAAATGTTGGGATTACAATAACCTATGTTGGATTACGATTAGTCTATTTCGATAATCCACAAGCATTAGTCTAAAATGAATGAAGTATATACACGTACACATATGCGTGCAGTATACACATCGCTCCTTTCAATTATCTTGTTCTCCTCTCCATCAAGTTGGTAGAAGTTTCTTTTCGTTAACTGATAAAAAAAAATAGTAAAATGGGAAGCATTTTTTGTTTGGGTAGAGTTGTAGTTTTCGGTTGGTTGTTATTGTTGTCGACAAGTTTAATCATGGCCTTTGAAGAGGGCGTCGTGGTTGACGGTGGTTCGATTATGGAAGAGGTGTGCAGCCGGACTTCAGAAGACAATTTGTTGTTTTGTATCAACTGCTTGAAAGGAAAGGTTATGGTACAAGAACAAGAAGAAGAAGGAGGAGGACATGAAGATGAAATTAAAAGATTAGCGGGCAGACTCATTGACTGTGCCCGCGAAACTTTCGAGGTTTCCCGGTTGTTCATGATAAACTTTTGCAACAATTCCACCGGGACCAAGTTTGGAGAGGCAGGGAAATTTTGTGTGCCAAAACTCGGCAAGGCGGAAGTCTCATTCCAGGCGGCGCGGGAGTTCTGGAAGTATGGTCGTAAAACAACAACATTGCAGGAGATTGAGAATGGCTTCAATGCTTTTCATGAGTGCGCGATCCATGTTCCAGATACCATGCCCAACATGGTTCATGTCACACTCAATCGTCTTAGAGTCAGATGTGAAATGGCTAAAGATGTCATCAATTCCATCCCTGCGGTGTAACTACTGATGAAATTCTAATTTAATATTAATAAAATTGGCAATTATATAGTTCGCCTTCCTCTCTCTCTCTCTATTTATATATATATTCGATCATCATAATAATTCGTGGATCTGTTCCATCTGTATACAATAATAAATGCAGATTTTCAAATAAGATAGTATATAAAACACATTGTGGCCGGCGAAATTTCTGCAGAGACTAAAATAATTAGAAAGGAAAGACATATATCATATATGATTTGTTCTTTTAAACATTGATAAAAAAAAGTTTGATCTTGGTACCAAAAGACCAAAGCCCCAAAACTACGTTCAAAAGCTTATTGTTTTAAAGAGCAAGATCACCCTGTTGTGATGGATCACTTCCTAGGAAAATTAATGTAAATCTCTAAAAGTAGTTCCTTCAACTCTGCGCAGATTAGTGTAGACTGTTAATTTTAGTGATCAAAATGTGTTTTATTAGATGGGGCTAAAATAACTACACAGTGGATGGCAGCGGCGAAGATAGTGATTTTTGCAAAACAAAGAATAGCTTCATTCATACTTATCAAAGAATATCAGGTGGTGTAAAATTGATAAACCGAAGGGCTTTAAACTTTAGTTCTTCTTCGACTCAAATCCATTTATCAAAAGTTCTGTCTTGACAAAAATTTATGACGTGAGAGAATTTGATGTAAAGGCAACAAGGGGAGTTTCTCATTTCTCTGATGCTTTACTTTGGACTGATTTTGATCCTGGGTCATTTAATCAATCTTGTTGTAGCTTGTAGGACAATAATTGAATGGTATCCTGGTAAGTGCCTGACACAACAGATCTCGAAGAAGAGGCCCCGTGCAAAGTCTATAATGAAAATTAATACTCTTGAAAGTTTTTTCAACTTCTTCAACCCACCTCAGCTTTCTAATAACAAAGATGTTGACGAGGATACTGTGAGTTACTCTTTGCTGTTTTCATTGCTTATGTGGTATGAATTAATGGAATTTGCTTTGAAATAAAATTTATGAATGTGATGTTTTGTCTTGTCAGGCAGAAGAATACTTGAATCTAATGAAACAGGACTATGATATTGGGTGAGACTTTCATTTCTTCTATCATGGTTTCTTTGTGCACCCCAAATGTGTACTCCTATCCTGACCAGTACTTTTAACCTGTTCTTTTCTTATAGTATGTTATAATTTACTTAGGTCATTAAATAATTAAAATTTGCAGTAAAACCATTTGGGACAAAATTATTCCTCACGCTGTGTCTTGGTTTATGGCCGCTGAAGGAAGTGACTTTGAAGATGATGATGATAATGAGGATGAGGATGAACTGTGCTAGTAATTGTAATCCCATTTTCGCTTCTTTCGGGTTTTACTAATTTGTTGCAGTCTTTTCCAGAACAACATGATGAGTGGATACTTTGGAGAATCTAAACAGACTCTGAATTGCAGAAGAGTGTGACCTGCAGAGTGCAAGCAACAATAGTTGGAAATGGAGCACGAACTTTTACTTATTGATATTGTGTTTCTTTGTTGACGGCATGGTTTGTCTCTCCATGCTCTTGGTTACCTTATATTACCTTTAGTGATGGTCTCTTGTGTTTTCGGGTTTTCGGCCTTACTTTTTGGGATTTGGGTGGCGGACTGTAAATTTTTCCATTAATCACCGGTTGATCTATTCCAATATAGTCGTACTGAGTGTTATATGCAACACATTACACCTGTATTTGGAATGGATCTAGTAATGCTGCAGTTAGTTTGTAAAGAACCACATAAAAACATAGAGCAGAATCAAATAATTAAAGGTTGATGTTTCTTCTCGTTCCGTTGAACAAAAATTATTGATTGAATGAATACATTAATCGAAATTACAGATTACTAATCTACGAAGAGAGGAAAATTAGTAATGACACTAAACAAGGCTCAACGAGACTGCTAATAAGGAGATGCGCGGTATTTGTTGCAGTCCCTGGAAACTTCTGGTAAAGTCAACAAACCACTGAGGCCAAAAGCTCATCTCTTTTGTGCTCTCGCTAGTTTTGGAACTCCAGTTTTCCAATGAATTACCTTGTCCACATGATAATTTGGAGCTAAGTGTTGGTCTGGATCATAACCATAGACAAATTTCTGATCGTGAAAGAAGATTTCATTACTATTTTTCCGTAAGAATGGTATACGAGTAAGATGAGCCCTCAACCAATCAAATTTGGACAAGGTTGCAGAACAACAATCTTGGTGATGACATAATCATGACCTATTTGTATGATAACGACATATATAGCCATTTTGTGTTTTACTATTGTAAGAATTAAATGAGGTGGATGGGATTACAATAACCTATGTTGTATTACAATAATCAGCTCATATCACACACAAATGTTGGGATTACAATAACCTATGTTGGATTACGATAAGTATATTTCGATAATCCACATGCATTAGTCTAAAATGAATGAAGTAAGTATATATACGTACACATATGCGTGCAGTATACACTGCTCTCCTTTCAATTATCTTGTTCTCCTCTCCATCAAGTTGGTAAAAGTTTCTTTTCGTTAACTGATAAAAAAAAATAGTAAAATGGGAAGCATTTTTTGTTTGGGTAGAGTTGTAGTTTTCGGTTGGTTGTTATTGTTGTCGACAAGTTTAATCATGGCCTTTGAAGAGGGCGTCGTGGTCGACGGTGGTTCGATCATGGAAGAGGTGTGCAGCCGGACTTCAGAAGATAATTTGTTGTTTTGTATCAATTGCTTGAAAGGAAAGGTTATGGTACAAGAACAAGAAGAAGAAGGAGGAGGACATGAAGATGAAATTAAAAGATTGGCGGGCAGACTCATTGACTGTGCCCGCGAAACTTCCGAGGTTTCCCGGTTGTTCATGATAAACTTTTGCAACAATTCCACCGGGACCAAGTTTGGAGAGGTAGGGAAATTTTGTGTGCCAAGACTCGGCAAGGCGGAAGTCTCATTCCAGGCGGCGCGGGAGTTCTGGAAGTATGGTCGTAAAACAACAACATTGCGGGAGATTGAGAACGGCTTCAATGCTTTTCATGAGTGCGCGGGCCACGTTACAAATGACATGCCCAACATGGTTCATGTCACACTAAATCGTCTTAGGGTCAGATGTGAAATGGCTGAAGATGTCATCAATTCCATCCCTGCGGTGTAACTACTAATGAAATTCCAATTTAATATTAATAAAATTGGCAATTATATAGTTCGTCTTCCTATATATATATATATATTCGATCATCATAATAATTTTGTGGATCTGTTCAACCTGTATACAATAATAAATGCAGATTTTCAAACAAGATAGTATATAAAACACATTGTGGCCCGCGAAATTTCGGCAGAGACTAAAATAATTAGAAAGGAAAGGCATAATCATATATGATTTGTTCTTTTAAACATTGATAAAAAAAAGTTTGATCTTGGTACCAAAAGACCAAAGCCCCAAAACTACGTTCAAAAGCTTTCTGTTTTAAAGAGCAAGATCGCCCTGTTGTGATGGATCACTTCCTAGGAAAATTAATGTAACTCTCTAAAACTAGTTTCTTTCAACTCTGCACAGATTAGTGTAGACAGTTAATTTTAGTGATCAAAATGTGTTTTATTAGATGAGGATGAGGATGAACTGTGCTAATAATTGTAATCCTATTATCGCTTCTTTCGGGTTTTACTAATTTGTTGCAGTCTTTTCCAGAACAACATGTTGAGTAGATGCTTTGGAGAATCCAAACGGACTGTGAATTGCAGAAAAGTGTGACCTGCAGAGTGCAAGCAACAATAGTAGGAAATGGAGCACGAACTTTTACTTATTGATATTGTGTTTCTTTGTTGACGACATGGTTTATCTCTCCATGCTCCTGGTTACCTTATATTACCTTTAGTGGTGGTCTCTTGTGTTTTCGGGTTTTCGGCCTTACTTTTTGGGATTTGGGTGGCGGACTGTAAATTTTCTCATTAATCACCGGTTGATCTGTTCCAATATAGTCGTACTGAGTGTTATATGCAACACACTACACCTGTATTTGGAATGGATATAGTACTGCTGCAGTTACTTTGTAAAGAACCACATAAAAACATAGAGCAGAATCAATAATTATAGGTTGATGTTTCTTCTCGTTCCGTTGAATAAAAATTATTGATTGAATGAATACATTAATCAAAATTACAGATTACTAATCTATGAAGAGAGAAAAATTTAGTAATGACACTAAACAAGGCTCAACGAGACTGCTAATAAGGAGATGCGCGGTATTTGGTGTAGTCCCTGGAAACACTTCCGGTAAAGTCAACAAACCACTGAGGCCAAAAGCTCATCTCTTTTGCGCTCTCGCTAGTTTTGGAACTCCAGTTTTCCAATGAGTTACCTTGTCCACATGATATTCTGGAGCTAAGTGTTGGTGTGTATCATAACCATAGACAAATTTTTTATCGTGAAAGAAGATTTCATTACTATTTTTCCTCGAGAACGGTATAAGAGTAAGATGAGCCCTCAACCAAACAAATTTGGACAAGGTTGCAAAACAACAATCTTGGTGATGACATAATCATGACCTATTTGTATGATAACGACATATATAGCCATTTTTTGTGTTATTATCGTAAGAATTAAATGAGGTGGATGGGATTACAATAACCTATGTTGGATTACAATAATCAGCTCATCTCACATACAAATGTTGGGATTACAATAACCTATGTTGGATTACGATTAGTCTATTTCGATAATCCACATGCATTAGTCTAAAATGAATGAAGTAAGTATATATACAGTATACATTGCTCTCCTTTCGATTATCTTGTTCTCCTCTTCATCAAGTTGGTAAAAGTTTCTTTTGTTAACTGATAAAAAAAATCGTAAAATGGGAAGCAGTTTTTGTTTGGGTAGAGTTGTAGTTTTCAATTGGTTGTTGTTGTTGTCGACAAGTTTAATCATGGCCTTTAAAGAGGGCGTCGTGGTCGACGGTGGTTCGATCATGGAAGAGGTGTGCAGCTGGACTTCAGAAGACAATTTGTTGTTTTGTATCAACTGCTTGAAAGGAAAGGTTATGGTACAACAACAACAAGAAGAAGGAGGACATGAAGATGAGATTAAAAGATTGGCGGGCAGACTCATTGACTGTGCTCGCGAAACTTCCGAGGTTTCCCGGTTGTTCATGATAAACTTTTGCAACAATTCCACCGGGACCAAGTTTGGAGAGGTAGGGAAGTTTTGCGTGCCAAAACTCGGCAAGGCGGAAGTCTCATTCCAGGCGGCGCGGGAGTTCTGGAAGTATGGTCGTAAAACAATAACATTGCGGGAGATTGAGAACGGCTTCAATGCTTTTCATGAGTGCGCAATCCACTTTCCAAATGGCTTTCCCAACATGGTTTATGTCACACTTAATCGTCTTAGAGTCAGATGTGAAATGGCTGAAGATGTCATCAATTCCATCCCTGCGGTGTAACTACTGATGAAATTCCAATTTAATATTAATAAAATTGGCAAATATATAGTTCGCCTTCCTATATATATATGTATTCGATCATCATAATAATTTCGTGGATCTGTTCTATTTGTATACAATAATAAATGCAGATTTTCAAACAAAATAGTATATATAACACATTGTGGCCGGCGAAATTTCGGCAAAGACTAAAATAATTAGAAAGGAAAGACATATATCATATATGATTTGTTCTTTTAAACATTGATAAAAAAAAGTTTGATTTTGGTACCAAAAGACCAAAGCCCCAAAACTACGTTCAAAAGCTTATTGTTTTAAAGAGCAAGATCATCCTATTGTGATGGATCACTTCCTAGGAAAATTAATGTAACTCTCTAAAAGTAGTTCCTTAAACTCTGCGTAGATTAGTCTAGACGGTTAATTTTAGTGATCAAAATGTGTTTTATTAGATGGGGCTAAAATAACTGCACAGTGGATGGCAGCGGCGAAGATAGTGATTTTTGCAAAACAAAGAATAGCTTCATTCATACTTATCAAAGTCTAATCCATCTTATTCCTCAACTTCCAGCTTCACTCCAGTTTAGGTCCTAGAACTTAGACCAATGAGGTAAACAATATCATAGAATTGTCATACTAAAATCGAACGTCAATTCCACCATATATAAATTGGTTTTTAGTGTTAATGCCCTACCTAAAGTAAGTTGGAGTACTCCATTGGCAATGACCACCTTTCTTTTTGGATTATATGCCAGATGAGAGAAATTTGATCAGACTTACCTGTAATCAAATGAAATCCACATTGTTCACAAAGATTCATTTTTTAATTTCAAACCTTTCTTATAATTTAATCCATAAGAATTTTCGCATTGAACCAACAAATCCTCGATATCTTTTACTTACATCGTCGGAATCATTAGAACGTGAAATCGCTAACCGTCGCATGGGTTACTATATCTGAACCCTTAGCTTTCACTATCATTTATAATTTTAGCATAAATGGAACTATAGATGTAACTATCACCACAATCATCACTACTACTTACAATGTCCGTAATCCCGATTTGAGATTGAAGATAACTGTCAGTAATGCGACTATGAATACGAGTATTCCAACTACATTGAGTATCATACATTTCAAGATTAGAGTTCGAGTGGGCATCTCCAATGTAGGTTACATCATTGATAACTAGAATTCCCATATATAACTAGAAAACTTTAAAACCCTTTTTCCCTATCGGCAACAAAGACGTACGTGCCTAAATTTCTTATGGAAATAATAAACTCAGTATATCATTTATTCATACTATAAGGATAAGACAAAATAAATTATTTAGTACACTGAAATTCGCATCACCACCTCTACAATCTGAGCAACTGTTACAGCAACTAGTAAAACAATCACAGTTCCCGCTGTGATCTTCATCCCATTGCTGTACTCCCGTTGATAAGTCAGAATGGAGGCGTGGCAAGTTGAACACAAGTAACAGAAATTGGTGCTATTGTCTTTCCACTTTTTGCACTCCCGGTCTGCATCAGTTCCGGATTCTTGACCACCTTGCAGGTCTGCTGTGGGGCATCCTTTTGGTTTCTCGCAGCAGGTTGGTTCATCTTCGTGATGATCACAGAACCGCTTCCCCGCTAAGCATTGCTCCACTTGGGGCCATTCCTGATCTATTGGAAAATCCTTGTCCAGCTTTTCGTCCCCCGGAGACACAGAATTCACCAACAAAATCAACACCACCATTGAACCTACAACCAGTAACAATTGAAACACAAGATAGACTATGTATGTCCGTAAGTAGTTTTGTTGGAGCAAGATAATAAACCCCACCGCGAGGCTGGAAACTACTATGGCCACCAATACGACAGTTGTGGCGACCTCAACCTTATCATCTCCCTGATAAGGGAGGCAATAATCCCTTGCTTCAGGGATGAGGGTAAATTTTAGCCAGAACGTTGCTGTGACCGTGATTACGAAAATCACAAACATGGACGCGTTTCTTACAAGTTTGGCCATGGCAATCAGCTGGAAAAAAAAAACAGAGAGAAGGAAAAAGCAGAGAGAAATGGATGATTTGATCAGTACGAACAGAGAGAAAAGATTGATGGATGATTTATGCATGGCGTGAAAAGATGAGAAGAGTTCCTAAATCTTGTTTTTTCTTTTTTTGTCTTTTCAGCCCTCAGTATGATTTTGTCGACACTACCCATTAAACTGATTGTGTATCAATATGAGACTTTGAGGTCGATTGTTTCATTCCCAAGTGGGGAAAAAAAAAAGATAATCAAATCCATATTGGTTTCTTTAACTGAAGACGGAAAAATAAAAAAAAGAGTAGGCTATGTTAATTATTTTGGTGTAGTACGGTTAATTGGGCATCAAATTAATCAAAGTGATCAATGATTGTCGTTTAAAACACGGAATTAATATGAGTTGTGAAACGTTTTCATCGATTACAATATTCACGTTTTACCTTTTCCGACAATTCATGTTTTAGTCGAAACTTACCATTCTAAAGTAGTTTAGAAAGTAAACTAGCAGTAATACAAAAATTCTCACATCCAAACACTATAACCAAAGTAATACTATGAAGGAACGGATGGAATGTAACTTGAAGCAAAGATATACCTAGTATTTTATTTAGACACTAATTTCGCTACTTAACAAACCCGACTCAATTTCGTTACTACTCTCTCTCTGATCCTTATTATTTGATTTTGTCCTACGTTTCACTTAGAATATATTTTTAATTGGAAAAAAATTCTTAAAAATATTTTTTCACGTTCGTTGTGTTCTCCTAATTACTATGAAATATTTTTAAGGTTTTTATTTCAATTAAAAATATATTTTAGGTGAAACCTATAACAAAATCAAAATGCCTTATAATAAAGACCAGAAGGAGTACTTAACAAACCCGACTCTGGCCAGTTGCCCAATTTTCAAGTGTGGTACTTCTGTATTTAGCAAGTATATTTGTCAATGTTTCTCCGGAACAAATGATCATTTTTCTTAATTCTTTGCACCCTATTTAGGTGTGGCTTTAAAACATAAAAGAATTCAACGATTATATTTTTAAGCTATAACGTATAACGTATATGATTTGACAAATTAACTTGTCAAAAAAAAAAAAAATGAGGTTAATCCTTTTAGATGTGTATCTCCGAACCATTTCAAACAACCTGAACTAAATTATGGCTTCCTTGAATCAATAGTTTGCTGTAATACTACTGATATTGGAGTTTTCCCCTACTATGGAGCAAATGTCAAGAGAGCATATGCTAACAGTTTGAACACATTGGATATAGACTTGATAGTTTGGTTTTGAAATCATGTTTCTTAATTACGCCCCCAAATTTCTTGTATGTTTCAGCCAAATAATAAATTTCTTTGATCAAATAGGAAGAAATACATCAATTTTATGACAAAATACTCCAGAAAGTTAAAATCTCGGGTCCGTGTACTTACTACACATTTGCAATGTTGGTTGTGACGTGAGACAGCAGATGGAGAGAGTGTGTGATTTGATATTTGGAAGAAGGCAAGTTGCAAAGCCGATAACAGTTTTGTCAAATATGCAGATTGGCCGATCTATCATAACCTTTACATGCGTTGTCAATTCTACCCTATTCTTTTTCGATTAGCTAATATTACCCTAAACTATTTAACCGTTAGCTGATTTTGTGCAATTTGCCAATTTCCGTTTAAATTTACGGATTTTCTGTTAGTTTTAATTACAAAAATATCTTAATAGTTTTAAAAATTATAAAAATAACCCTAAAAACTTGTAAAAATAATAAAATAGTCTCTTTTCACTTTTTATTTAATTTATTTTTGTTTTCTATTTCTTTTTACTATTTTTCATAACTATAAAAATATACTATATGATCTTTTAGAATAAAATTTTATCTTTAAACAATACGGCACAAATTTATAAATATACATATTTGTAATTCATGGTTGATTTACATAAACATATTAATTTTTTTAATACTATGGCTAGAAAATGATGATATTAGTTTTCTAATCCATTTTTTTCAATTTAAAGAATAAGACTTTTTTTTTAACTAAAACTAATTTTTTTACAAAAAATTAAAAAATTTAGCATAGATTAAAAAAAAATCGGCCAAATTTTCTGTTTCATGAGAGTAGATATAAGATTAAGTCTCACCAAAGGATTTCTAACTGGGAGAGTGATTTTATCTATATTTAAGTGGGTTCCACTAAAGGCGAGAGGGTTAGATGGTCAGGTGATTTAGGATGTGAGATAAAATTACTGTGTTCGATGTCTCGATTCTCACTGGGGCAATCTAATTTTTTTTTTTTTTAAAAAAAAGAGATGGAGTCTAGTAGTGGAATAGATTTTCTTTATATTATTTTTTCTTTAAAAAAAAGATTTTATGCTAAAGTTAGATATATTAATATCTCAAAAAATTATCGCAAAATGTTAAACCCTCGCAATGATAAATATAAATGTTTTTTTATAATATATTTTGTACCATTTTTGTAAATGCCATGACACTATATTCTTGTGTTGGGCCAATGTAAAAATAAAATATTTTTTTTACTTTCTTTTCGTACTTGGCCTTTCACAAAAAAAATATATTTTAGTTTTAATTATTTTTTAAATTTTATGATACAATCTAAAGTCTGTTGAATTAAGTTGTAATACAATAAAGTATACCAATAACTTCTTTTTTAATCTATGCTAAATGTGTTATTTTTTGTGCAAAATTAGTTTTAGTTAAATAATCTTATTCTTTAGATTGAAAAAAATAGATTAAAAAAATAATATCATTACCGTTAAACCATATTATTAAAAAAATAATATGTTTATGTAAATTAAACATGACTTACAAATATCAAATTATAAATTTGTACATTAGAGTTTAAAAATAAATTATTTTTTTAAAAGATCATATAGCATATTTTTATAGTTATGAAAATATTAAAAAGAAATAAAAAACAAAAAAAATTAAACAAAAACTGAAAATAGACTGTTTTGTTATTTTTGTTAACTGATAAAAAAATAGTAAAATGGGAAGCAGTTTTTGTTTGGGTAGAGTTGTAGTTTTCAGTTGGTTATTGTTGTTGTCGACAAGTTTAATCATGGCCTTTGAAGAGGGCGTCGTGGTCGATGGTGGTTCGATCATGAAAGAGGTGTGCAGCCGGACTTCAGAAGACAATTTGTTGTTTTGTATCAACTGCTTGAAAGGAAAGGTTACGGTACAAGAACAAGAAGAAGAAGGAGGAGGACATGAAGATGAAATTAAAAGATTGGCGGGCAGACTCATTGATTGTGCCCGCGAAACTTCCGAGGTTTTCCAGTTGTTCATGATAAACTTTTGCAACAATTCCACCGGGACCAAGTTTGGAGAGGTAGGGAAATTTTGCGTGCCAAGACTCGGCAAGGCAGAAGTCTCATTCCAAGCGGCGCGGGAGTTCTGGAAGTATGGTCGTAAAACAACAACATTGCGGGAGATTGAGAACGGCTTCAATGCTTTTCATGAGTGCGCGGGCCACGTTCCAAATGGCATGCCCAACATGGTTCATGTCACACTTAAATCGTCTTAGAGTCAGATGTGAAATGGCTGAAGATGTCATCAATTCCATTCCTGCGGTGTAATTACTGATGAAATTCCAATTTAATATTAATATAATTTGCAATTATATAGTTCGCCTTCCTATATATATATATTCGATCATCTTAATAATTTTGTGGATCTGTTCCATCTGTATACAATAATAAATGCAGATTTTCAAACAAGATAGTATATAAAACACATTGTGGCCGTCGAAATTTCGGCAGAGACTAAAATAATTAGAAAGTAAAGACATATATCATATATGATTTGTTCTTTTAAACATTGATAAAAAAAAGTTTGATCTTGGTACCAAAAGACCAAAGCCCCAAAACTACGTTCAAAAGCTTATTGTTTTAAAGAGCAAGATCACCCTGTTGTGATGGATCACTTCCTAGGAAAATTAATGTAACTCTCTAAAAGTAGTTCCTTCAACTCTGCGCAGATTAGTGTAGACGGTTAATTTTAGTGATCAAAATGTGTTTTATTAGATGGGGCTAAAATAACTGCACAGTGGATGGCGGCGGCGAAGATAGTGATTTTTGCAAAACAAAGAATAGCTTCATTCATACTTATCAAAGTCTAATCCATCTTATTCCTCAACTTCCAGCTTCACTCCAGTTTAGGTCCCAGAACTCAGACTGATGAGGTAAACAATATCAAAGAATTGTCATACTAAAATAGAACGTCAATTCCACCATATATAAATTGGTTTTTAGTGTTAATGCCCTACCGAAAGTAAGTTGGAGTACTCCATTGGCAATGACCACCTTTCTGTTTGGATTATATGCCAGATGAGAGAAATCTGATCAGACTTACCTGTAATCAAATGAAATCCACATTGTTCACAGAGATTCATTTTTTAATTTCAAACCTTTCTTATAATTTAATCCATAAGAATTTTCGCATTGAACCAACAAATCCTCGATATCTTTTACTTACATCGTCGGAATCATTAGAACATGAAATCGCTAACCGTCGCATGGGTTACTATATCTGAACCCTTAGCTTTCACTATCATTTATAATTTCAGCATAAATGGAACTATAGATGTAACTATAACCACAATCATCACTACTACTTACAATGTCCGTAATCCCGATTTGAGATTGAAGATAACTGTCAGTAATGCGACTATGAATACGAGTATTCCAACTACATTGAGTATCGTACATTTCAAGATTAGAGTTCGAGTAGGCATCTCCAATGTAGGTTACATCATTGAAAACTAGAATTCCCATATATAACTAGGAAACTTTAAAATCCTTTTTCCCTATCGGCAACAAAGACGTACGTGCCTAAATTTCTTATGGAAATAATAAACTCAGTATATCATTTATTCATACTATAAGGATAAGACAAAATAAATTATTTAGTACACTGAAATTCGCATCACCACCTCTACAATCTGAGCAACTGTTACAGCAACTAGTAAAACAATCACAGTTCCCGCTGTGATCTTCATTCCATTGCTGTACTCCTGTTGATAATTCAGAATGGAAGCGCGGCAAGTTGAACACAAGTAACAGAAATTGGTGCTATTGTCTTTCCACTTTTGGCAATCCGGGTCTGCAGCAGTTCCGGATTCTTGACCACCTTGCAGGTCTGCTGTGGGGCATCCTTTTGGTTTCTCGCAGCAGGTTGGTTCATCTTCGTGGTGATCACAGAACCGCTGCCCCGCTAAGCATTGCTCCACTTGGGGCCATTCCTGATCTATTGGAAAATCCTTGTCCAGCTTTTCGTCCCCCGGAGACACAGAATTCACCAACAAAATCAACACCACCACTGAACCTACAACCAGTAACAATTGAAATACAAGATAGACTATGTATGTCGGTAAGTAGGTTTGTTGGAGCAAGATAATAAACCCCACCGCGAGGCTGGAAACTACTATGGCCACCAATACGACAGTTGTGGCGAAAATTGGTGTTATTGGAGTTGCTATATTTGATTTATCATGGGAACACCCTGAGTATCATCAAGAAACTTTGGAGAACTTGAGAGCAGGGCAACCAAAAAGCTTTGTGCTGTAAGTTTAGTTTCTTTAATTCTTATTTATTGTTTAGTTTTCAACGTTTCACCACTGACTCAATACTTACATTTGTGAAGTTTCTCATTGCATGCCTATTTAATTGAATGAGTTGTTGTAGTTTTTCCATTGATGTCGAAATAACTTTGCAGCAACTTGGCAAATAACTCTATGCATTTGTTATCTTTATCCTCATTAGACCATTTTTGCCTATGATAAAAAAACTCTGGGTAGTTAAGGAAATACTATTCATCCTGGTCATTTATGATGATGAGTTGTGAGGAGGCTCTGTACTTTATTATTCTCTACATTTAAGATTTCTAAGACAATTATGAGGCATTTGTTCACGGGTTATCAAATTTATGTAACAAACAAGAAGATATTGGCTTGCACATACTGATTGAAGTACTCATCAATGAGCTTGGTTCCCCTCATTGTTTTCAGGTTATGTTGGATACTGTGGGTTCTGATCTCCAGGTTTTTAACAAAAGTGATACTGTTATCTCACTAAAAGCAAATGAAACACTGATCCTCACCCCCGACCAAGGTCAGGAAGCTTCTTCAGAAGTTTTGCCCATCAACTTTGCCGGACTTGCTAAGGTTCTGATGCTATCCCTGTTAGCTTTTACTTCATCAATTTGCTTAACGAGCTGGACGTTGTGTTATTTTTGAAAAGTTTTACACGCTTGCATCTACTTGTTTGCTTGGCATTCATGGTTTAATATTTTTGAATTTAGATGACAATTAAGTTAAATTCCAAAGATGATTGTTGATTTTGTGGGAGTTTTATGACTGACAAAAAATAAGAATACACACTAAGCTTGTCTCTCTGTCTTGATTAGTGCTATTTTGATGTGTGGTTTGGTCACCAAAATCTTTTCTTCTTTTTTTATTTTTTGCTCCTCAATTCTCAGCGGAGAATTACGCCACCTTTCTTTCTTCTGCAGGCTGTGAAAAGGGTGACACCATTTTCATTGGTCAGTATCTGTTCACAGGAAGCGAAACCACCTATGTCTTGCTGGAACTATGCAATACGTCCTTAACAACAAATACACTTTGTTATTTTACTTCCTCTCTCTGCCACCTTCACTTTACTCATTTCACTATCTTTGCTTGAGCAGGTAAATTAAGTGAAAGGTGATGATGTTTGCATAATTAAGAACACCGTAACACTTGCTGGATCCTTATTTACAGTTCATGCCTCTCAAATACGCATTGAGCTACCAACATTTATCTATTAAGGATAAAGAGGTTAATTAGTTTGTGGATCTATGGTGTAATGCTGACGAGACGGTGTTTAACGAAATTCATTTGCTAAAATTTTAGACAAGGGTAGTTTTCCTCCAATAGCTTCTGTTCTCCTGTCTTAAATATTTATGTTCTCTAGGGTTAGGAATGAAGTTTTGAGAAATAGGGCTCTCTCAAGTCCATGCTTTCTATGCAAAGAATTCAAGGAATATGACTTCCATATCATGATTCTGGCCTTATGATTGTTTCTTTTTTATATTACGTAAAGGTTTCTCAGTCTACATGCCTTTATTTTCACATTTCACGCCTTGCTATGGTGGGGATTGAAGTTTTGAGTTGTATTTTATCTTTTGATTAGTACCATGGCTACCACAACTTATTATGTACTGTGGATGTATTCTCGAACCCTTGTCTTACATCTTCCCAACTCTCCTTTACATTCTTTAGTCAATCTGTGTTCATTATCTTATTCTGTTTTAGGTTACTAGCGCACAGGATTATTAGTTGTGTTTCTTTTTTATTACAATTTCTCTGAGCTGTTTTCTTCACGAGCTCATAGGGATTTTCTTTTGCCATACATATCAAATTTGTTTGGAGTTTTGCTACTTGTCCCAAGGTTTGATTTTGGGTAAAGGAATATCATATTATCATGTCTTCTTGTATGATTATTTCGAGGAAGAAAAATCTCGCGCATGGGTTATTTTTTGTGATGGTATTTCAATTCTTGTTTGTTCCTGGACAATGAAATCTTTTTTTTTTTTTTTTGAGTGCAAAATCCATGTACGTGTTATTTCTTTTTATAATTGTTATTTGAAATGGTATTTGGAAACATTTTAAAATTGGATAAATTCTTTTATAATTGATATTTGAAATGGTATTGGGAAGCATTTTGAGATTGGATAAAATCCCGAAATTGTACGAATCCCAGAGCATAAACCATTTTCTTACTTTCATATATAACCACAAATTCACAATGAAGGCATGTGGGTATAAAAAAAAAAAAAAAAAAAAGTATGTGAGTAGTGATGTTCAAACTAGAAAATAATTTTAGAACAGAGAAAGTATACTGCTTATCACGATCCATTCAATAGTGGGAGTGGCTGAAGTGAAATAAATATTATATCCGCTTTTACTTTCTTTTTTTTTTAATCATGTTTGTTGGCATGAATGCTTTTGTATCTAGATCAATTTAATGAAAAATATAAAGTTGGAGTGAATTCTACTTCATGGTTTAATTTTAAGAGTCCAATTATATTAGTAACAAACTCCTATTTTATGTAATTGAAAGAGTATCAAATTATCAACGCTCCGATTTGCATGTTTTACATTCGTTTTTTTTTTTTTTGAATAAAAAACATAAGAATAAATTTTCAAATGTGACCTAATTTCAATGTAAATGGTCGGAGACACAAAAAGAATTAATAACAAGGGATGCTTTCAAAAGGATCAACAGTTGGAAGTTGCCATCACTAAAACAAATTTACACCTGACTTGGAGCAGGACTGTTGGATGACATAAGTTTTGTGCTGGACCCCAAATGTGCCTCTGGCCACGAGGCCATCCTTCCATAAAACCACAGCATCCAATTCTTATAACCTAGTGATCGCCCTCGTAGGAATGAGTTCTGCCACCATTCAAACAGCTTGCTATTCTTTGCCTTCAACAGCCTTCTGTGGTTCCAGCAAATGGAAACATGTGAATCGAAATAATCAATAATGACAGACCGGGTACTTGATCACCAAATGTGAGAAACTAGTCGGTGAGAATCAAGTAATAAAAATGAGGTTATACCTGCGCTTTTTTTATGACAATGTCGGTCTCTTTCAAAAATTTAACCCACAAAGAAATGCACTCCGAGGAGGTGATAAGGATCCTCGATTCAGGAATCTGGATAGGCAAATTAAACCTAATTATTTTTCCAAGGCACAGAATTTGAAATTTCGGAATAACTAACATAACCACATGTCTACCTACACACAATACAAGTCCACATCACACAAATAGGATAGTACTAATACCACCTGTTAATCAATTCACTGAGGCTTCTGTTGCATTTTCAAAGATTGTGAACTAGAATTACCACTTTGGAAACAATTGAAAATTTACCCACACTTCAAAATCACTATAATTCACACATACGGGAAGAATCACGTCAAGACTAAGCAAATCACAAGATCATATGCCTGGGAGCTAAAAAAACTGTATCAGTTACGTTGAAGTTCAATTCACCAACTTTTTCATGACCAAGTAAACTGATTGAGATAAAAAGTGCTACCTTAAACAATAGGCTTGAAAAAGGGTCTATTGTAGACGAAGAACAAGCTTCCCTTTTGATAAAAGCACTAACTAGACAATTCTCAATATCATCTGGCTCACCATCCAAACGTACCGCAGCCATGACTGACAATAGCTTCAGTGACTGCAAGAAAGTACTCATAAATATCAAAAGAAGGTAAAAATACATTCAAAGGCAATACAATCAAAGAAATCTATACTGAATGATGCCCTACAGAAGAAAGGGCAAATCCGGTACTTGATTCAACGTTTTTCTTCCCAATGTAGAAATGTATATCAAAATCTAACAAGAACCTGCAAAAAAAAAGAAGAAGATATATTTAATAACAACATCTGCAAAATACACTACACTGCTTCAGAATTCATAAGCATGTAAACAGTTGATACAATTGAAATAAAAAAATGCAGCCACCTGTCTTTCATATGTATAAGAACTCTCGCCGCTTCCTTTTTCACACTTGTCTCCACCACGCTTCTGGCGTAAGCATTCAAGCGGGAATTCAATTTCTTTATTGTTTCATTTTCCACTTTAAGACCAGAAAGTTCAGACTCAAAAGCCATCGGCAGCAGCTCTAGTTTCAGTTTTAAGAAGTTTTCTTATTGCCAGCCACGGATCTGCACGGTCTTCAAGCAGTAAACCTTTCACTGGCTCAGCTAAGGCTGCTTTTAATTTAATCTGCAAATATTACATTCATGACGGTAAAGTTATGCCCAACAAACATCAAATTATCACAGTATTAGAATCCCCGTGCATTTTAATAGAGTAGATAGTTTTCCTAAAAAAGGGTACGAAAATTCATATAGATTTACTGGTAACTGTGTACAATTGTACAAGTCATCCAAACCACAGAGCACAAAAATTCTACAAATATTACAAAGTCGCAACAGAATACACTATGGATATTAGAGTACGATGTTCAATGAAATTTTAAGGCTAATTACATATATTTAAGCATATCACTGCTATCATTTGAAGCACAGCAGACATGTTAACCAGCCATTTATTTAAACGGAAATACCCCTGATAGGTGTTTTGTGGGATTTGTTACAGTGATTAAACCATATCTTTTCGGTAGAAAATATTCAATGTACTAGTAAGCAACCCTCAGATGCAACAATATAAAACTGATACGTATAGTCTCCAAGACTTAGTTTAATCATCGTTTCGTCAACTGACATGATGTGTATGAATACCAGCAGAAATTACGTAGAAACAACAAAAGAGACGGCTCAGGTCAAATAAAACTGAATTCTACTAATTCAAAGCATAATGCAACAATTAAATCATATTGTAGTTCGCAAATGGATACCTCATAGACGGTTTTCAGTTCTGATACTTTGCCTACACCAACTGTCTCAACATACAAATTTATTCCACATTGTAAACTGTCCCTCACTACCGATGTGCCCCAATTTGCATTGTCAATGGCAGCATCTGTAGGAAATATACCAGCAGCATATCAAAAGCAAACACATAGCATATCAAGTATATTCAAGGAAATAAACTTGTAGTCAGGTGTGCAAAAGAACGAGCACCCTTATCTCTACACAACCATAGTTTGGTGGCAAGCCTCAAACCAAAATGGATTTAGGAACATTACTAGAACCCCCATAGGAATTCTAAACATAACAAGTAACAAAAATAATGAGAACATATGGGGTACAACAAACCGTAACGAAAAAATTAAAGCTAAAAAAATTGAACAATATAGTTTCTTTTAGGTTTAGCACTATCTCCTCCTCTCTAGTAAACAAAGTTCATACAAAATTGAAAAACCACAACAAAAATAACAAGAATATATGGTCACAATGTAATACAAAATAGTACTGCAGAAATAATGATCTATGTCGATAAGTTAGGTTTAGTCCTCTTTTTTAGGTAACCAAAGTTCACACTGGATTCAAATTAAAACAATATGTGAGTAGAACCATGCGACTTTACCAGCACATGCTCCATCAAACTGCTTCATAAAATCCTTAGAGTAAAGAGGAGCAACAAGGGCAAGCTTTTTTCCTCCATTCAAAGCAGCATCAAAACTTTCCTTAAACCTCTCCAAGGCATCACATCCAATGCGTCCCAGTATTGATCGGTGAGTAGGTTGTACAAGCTACAATATAGGACAAATTATCATCATCAAAGACAATTCATCTGCTAGAGAAATTAAATTATAAAAACAATGTTTTTTTCAGTGAAATGGGACTCCTTTCAACATTGGAATCAGAGTGTGGTAAAGATAATTACTTTCAGTAATTTCTCTTCCAGCTGTTTCCGTATTCTCATTCTCACAGCTTCATCAAAATAAGTGGTTTCGGCATCATACCTATAGATGAAAAGGTCAGAACTTAAACATCTCCAAACCATCTCAAAACAAAAGATTGAAGATCAAAGCTGAAAAAGCCCCATCCTTAATAACACTACGTACCCAATAATGAAACCTTTTGCTTTTGTAGAAGCGGGAAAAAAACCAAATGCATTGTTGGAAAAATAGTCCTGTGCAATGCCAGGCATATTAACCCAGAACTTTGACTTACTCAGTTAGGCAAGTTTTGATAATCGTACTAAGCTTCTTTCCAAAATTGGGAACTGGATGGGATTGGGCAATCTCTTGTATTCCACGCCATTCCTGCAGTAGAATCGATCGCAGTGAACTTAAATCAACGAAACATATGGTTCAGAACATCACACAGCAAGCACTCAAACAAATGAACTCACCTCATTTTTCTGAAAAGAATCATATTTTGAGTCAGCTATATCATGACATCGCACAGTAGAATTCAAAACCTACAGGAAAATAAAAAAAATACAGGCCATGGTAACAATGAAAAGTTTATCAAAAACTTCAATACAAGTAAAGATCATCTCCTAACCTTGTAGGAAGGCAAATCAAAGCCCTTATAACCCTTTATCTCATTCCAGATCTGTACAGCAGCTGAGGGAAACTCTGATGCTGCAGCCAGAGCTTTTCTGCGTCCAGCAAGCCTCCCAGGTTCGATGGAGTTCACGAATCGATCTCTTAGATCGTCCACCTGAAAGAGAATGCCGAAAGGAAAAACATCAAATCTAACTTCAAAAGCTCATTGCTTCCAGAAACCAAGCAAACCACACTTTTATGATGACAATTGAATAGGCTCTGCAACAACTAACTGCATAGAATGGGTAAAACTGGCTTTCAAGGTGAGCATGAGAGAATGAGGGCTGTAAAATGCACGTACCTCCTTGTTAAAGTCTTCTTCCTTATAATCATAACTAGACAATGCTACAACTTCCACCTGGAAAAATGAACAAAAAGATGAACTGCAGATGCGGGTAAAAGCTCAGGCTCAGTATAATATGCTACAACAATGCAAAGCTAATCTCAATCAGACAAGGAAAATCTTACAGTAAATAATTCGTATATAGAAGTACTGTGGAGATCCCGCGACTTAGGAATAGAATCCCAGATCTGAAAGTGGAATAGCAATAATTGGATAAAAAAAAAAAACAGGAAGGAACAATATGAAGTAATCAACTAAAACTGTTGCCAAGACGAGGGACACGAAGTTCTACAAAAACAACCCACCCTTTGGATGTCTTTATGAATAATTGACTCCAAGTTCCCCAGAGGTGTCTAGATAGGAAAGCCAGAAGATATAATATTTGTCAGACGTATGACGAGGGAGAAAACCAAAAGGTAAATAGAAAGCCTCAACACAGATGATAAGAGGCATGTGAAGCAGGTTAAAAAATAATGAATTCTCATAGCAATGAACAAGAATAAAGCAAAACAACAAGACATACTCTTGTTTTGTCGCGTATTACAAACATCAAAGTTGTGCTGCGAGGATCAAATAATCGTTGCATCATCGCCTATTCACCAGAAAAAATAATTAGCACAAGCATTCTAGCCACAAAATTTCGAAATGCATACAAAACAGTCACCTGTAATACTGTTCTCAGAATATTATTGTTTGTGGCATTTTCACGCCCAAGGTCACAACACCACCTGAGAAAGATACTTAAAAGCTTATTTTCTACAGTAAATTATATGCAATTTCATCACTGAATTGCCAAAGGCTTGATCTGAGACAAACTTACACGTTCAGAAGCACTATATCTGAAACTGCAACTGCAAACGTTGCAATCTGCTTCAGCAATACAGGCTCCTCCTAGAAAAGTAAATAAATACAGTCAGACCAAGAATAAGTAACAAAGAAAAAGTAGCACGGTAAAAGATATAACATTCACAATTCATACAAGTCGGGAGTACTAAACACAACCATAATAACACAAAACTGGAATACAAGAAACATATTAGTTTAATATACAAAGGAAGATCATAGAGTAATAGATCATTATTGAATATTAAAAAATAAGTATTAATTTTCAAACAGATATGGAAATCATCCAGACGAAAACAAATCATGAACAGATGCTGCATCAAAGGAAGCATAATAGAAACTAACACGTTACATTAAAATATCCCCCATCCCCAAAGAAAGGTCATGTTGGTTCAAATAGATATTAAAATCAAATACTCCCAACATCCATCCAAAACAAAGGAGCCATGTTTGTTAAAATGGTGAAAACAAACATGACTATTTTGGGACAGGGAAGAAAATAACATAAAACACTAAAAAAATTAAACTCTTAATAAAAATATACAACCACAATTGTGCCAAAGCAGCAAGAAGTAAAATACAAAGGAGGGGCCTTATCAAAATATACCTCTCCGTGATCTAGTCCATCAGTTCCCTCCAAATCCATAACTAGAGTAAAAGGTTGGATTCCAATGCATCTGGCCAACCAGATTCCTTCTGTAGTTGTAGACCTGATGATATAGCATAACAAGTAAATTCGTTTGAAACGAACATAAAAACAAAGTCATGTTACAAAATTAATTAATTACAGAGGATACGTGCCTTCTTGGAAAAGCATCCGACTCTTTGAAATTAGTGCCAAACAGTTTATTTAAAAGAGTACTTTTCCCTGTTAAAATGTAGAAACAACCAAAAGCGGTAAGAAGACGACGCATCAAAATCATAGAGATTTAAAACATGCAACATGTTGAGAAGAAAGTAAAGATGATTGAAAATGCACTGAACAACAAACGGGTTAAACTGTCCCTTTAATTGATATAGGAGGCCTGAAAGAGCAGTAAGAAATGCAAGGATGGGTCAAAAACCAAGAAAAAGAAAACGACCTACTAGACGGTTAGAAAAACATCATATACACACTTACCACTACCTCGAGGACCAATGATAGATACTACTGCATAAGACCGTCCACATTCTTCAAATTTGACTGCCTTCGTAAAATTCTTGAGCTCTTCAGTATTAAAAGTTCCATTCCCATCTATGAGGGATGTTACTAAACTACCACTGATTTCCGCTGTTTGACACCATTCCAACAAGTAAAATCACAGGTGGTAAGACTTCCATCATACAAAAGCCAATTTACAGACAAAGGGTACACACTTACAACAGACAAGACAAGCATATTCAATGAATAAAACCAATAACAGGAGCAAATCTAATATACAACAGTTGTAACCACCTTTTTAGTACAATAAACCAATAGAAATTAACCTTTAATTTTTTGGGCCCCATGAATTTCTTCCTCTCTCCCGTAAAAATTTTATCTTTCCCGTTTTTGTATAGGATGTAGAATAGTACAACAGCTGTATAGTAGATTTACTCCAATAACAGAACCTATAACTAATACATAACCAAAATGTAGTTTCTCATACTTCTATTCAAACATCATCGGTACAATTGACGAATAAACAATTGTTCCACCACAAAAAGATATCTCACCCAACAAAACCTTAAGTTTTACAGCAAGAAATTGAGTAAATAAATAATATCAAAAAAAAAACTAACTAATTACTGTTAGTATTCCCGAATATCTCGTTCTCTTCCATCTTCACAATTAAATTCTACCTCGGATTATTCTCTGTTATCACTAGCTTATTTGAGGATGAGATTGGAGGACAAGGTCAGTTAACAAGAAGTTCTTGATATTTAAGTGCTTGTTTGGACGTCATCTTACATTTCATTTTGCCACTTAAAAGTGGAAAGCGTTAAAGTTGAAAACTAAATGGGAAGAAAATGTTGTTTGAATGGTATTTTGAGCAAAAAGTTATTTGTATGTTGGTTTTGAAAAAAATATTTTGAACTATATTTTGAAAATATCAAGTACGAATCATTACTAAATAATTAAATACTGTCAATTATAGTCGCTGCAAAAAAAACTTTTTCAAAAACAATCACTTAACAACGAAATCCTGCTAAATTAGTCACTAAATTATTTGTAGTTCTAAAATGGTCATTACACTAACAAAAAGTGTTTCAAATTGGAATTTAAAATGTAAATCAGAAAGTTGTTTGGATGATGTTTTCTTTTCCATTGGATTTTGTGTTTAAGAGATAAAATGAGTTAAAATATCGAATGAGTGCTTGTCCAAAGGTACCAAACCCTAAATCTGCAAATTAAATGGAGCTACAAATGCAACAAGGAAAACAAAACCCGCCACCACCACCACCACCACCACCACCACCACCAACAACAACAACAACAACAACAACCAAAGAGCAATTCAGAGAAACAAATTTGATGAAGTCTCAAAGGCCAACAAAATCCAGCGGAGTAACGGAAGTTGAAAATCAAAACAGCAAGCCGTTCAAATCGATTTAATCAATATCCAAACAAACATGAAAGGGATGAGGGATGGAAAGTACCCATCGGAAAATAGGGGATGGTCCTCCAAAATATGTCGACTCTAATCAGGGTTCACGAGATGGCATGAATACCTCGATGGATTAAACTTTAAAGAGGCGAAAAGTCACTTTTTGGCTTTTTGCAGCTGTGTGAAAAAGCGTTTACGTTTGATGGAAGAAAACGGGTCTTCATATTTATTTTTTCTACCTACTACATATTTTGGAAAATCATAAATCATAAATATAGTGACTATATACACCGGTGAAAATAAATATAGTGATTATATTTTTATTCTTAATTATAGTTGATACACCAGTCACTATTAGTTTTCACTATAATTTTTCACTGGCTACATCATTGCTGATATATTATATTACTAGTGATGTCTGGTCGCGCAATGCGCAACCCTGGCCCAGTCTATCTGTAGATCTTAGAAATGTTTATATTTGAAAAAAATAAAATTTTGTATTTGGAGCGATATATTTTAGAAATTTTTGAAGGATTTAGAAATATTTTATAAGTGTGATCATAGAAATATTTGTATTTCGCAAAAAAAAAAATTAAAAAAATTGTATTTCGCCATGTATGTTTTAGAAATGTTTTATAAGTGTTACTTATTAAATATAAATAGCTTAATCGAATCTATGAGTTGAAGTAAATGTTAGATAAAATATAAAAGTATCCTAATAAATTTAAATATTAGTAAGATGATTTATTGATGTTCTCATTGGTCGTGCCAAATCAATACTTAGTTTTGGGGATTTTTAATAGCTTTGTAATAAGTTTCATCCGAAGGGTATACGCTTAAAACAAAATTGACACTTTGTAACAAAAAATCTAATTGATCAATTCAATTTAAAAAACCACTCTAGTTGAATGAAACATAAAGAAAAAATTTTAAGAAAAAACGTGTCACGTAAAGTGCAAAGGGAGATTTAGTAATTTAGTTATGGTTAGACAAAAGGGCAATTTAGTATTTTCTATATGTCACGTGGCAATCATATGAGGTGTTTGAAAGGGAGGTTTTTGTTTCTAATATAGTAGGATATTACATATATAATAATTATAAATTTGAACAAAATTTTGATAGTAATGTGAAGGGTAATTTTGATGATTTATTGACCTTGTAATCTATCAATCTTTATCATTATTAATTATTATCACCATCATCATCAATAATAGCAACCTACAGATAATATTTAATGAATATTAATTAAGTTTTTAGTAGTTATTATTTCATAAATCTTTTCGTCTTGCACGATATAATTAAATAAATTATTAATACTCATTTCGGTCCTTAATATAAGTCATTAATTTATCTCGGGGTTCACTTAGTACACATTTTTAATTTTTTAAAAAAAAACTTAAAAATATATTTTCACATTTATTATGTTTTTTTTATTATTAGAAAATATTTTAAAAAAAATTTTGTCAATTAAAAATGCATACTAAGACAAATGCCTTATGTTAAGGGCCGGAAAGAGTAATATTTTTTATTTTTTCAATTTTATTCTTTCCATCTTCTCCTCTATATTTTTTTTCATATTTTCCTTTTTATTTGTAATTTTTTCGTTAATTGATGAATGTAAGATTGAGTTTTGTAGTACTCTTTAAATATAATTAATTATCAAATCCATTTATATTTTTTTATCTTCCCGAACGGTTATGTCTTTTTGTTTTCTTTTTTATTCCAACTACTCTTAGATGATTATTCCATTATTGAGGATATCTCTTTGTTTTGTTCTTGATCCTCACTATTGTTAGATGATTATTTCATGATTAATTATGTTTCTTTGTTTTCTTTTTAATCCTCACTACTTTTAGATGATTACTTCATAATTAATTATTTTTAATAATATAATGAATCTTTAATATTTCTTTTAGTAATTTCTTCTTTTATATTGTTACTAAGACTCCAGAAAATAATTTCTCATTGTTGGGTGAATTTGATAAGTTAAAAAACGGTTTTGATGTAGCCACTCTAAATTTTGTCTTTTCTTCTATTCATCTAATGTTTGAATTTAAAAGAATCATTAATAATATTTTAAATTGTTCAACAAATGAAAAGAATATTAAAGCTTGTGCATCACCTATATATAATTCAGAATTATGTAAATTTTACTACTTCTTTCTTTCTAAGTCTTTGTTTTTAATCTCTCTATCTCAAGTTTATTAGAGGTATCCTTCTTTCATTGTTCATCTTCATTTTTTTTTCCCACAATTTAATTTTTGTTTTAGGTTTTTCTTCTTATTTTGGTTATTCTTTCTTTTAAGGTGATACATTTGAATTTATTTTATTTCTCATTTTGCATGGTCTTTGTTTTACTATCGGGATATTGTGTTTCACTCTGTTGAAATCCAAAAGTAACGGACTTTAGCTATTTCATTTTGTTCTTATAATGATCATATTTCTATCGATAAATTTGTTAATTATTAATATTTGGTAGATGGTGTAAGAGACAATAATGTAACAGATATTTTTTAATTATTAAAATTTTTTCTTTAATATAATTTATATTATAATATTATACGCGTATCCATCTAGCTTTTTTATAAGTTTTGGTAAATTTTGGTAAACTACTATCATACGTCTGAAGTGTAAAATTTCTTTAATTTCAATAATTAGTTTTATTTTTCTCTTTTTGTTTGGTAACCTTTTCAGCCTCGATCTTTTATAGGTTTTTAAAAAGTTTTGGCAATCTACCACCGTATATATGGATAATAATTCTTATAATTTAGTAACACATTAATCATCATCGGCCTATTATTATCATCGGAATCAACATTATATATAATACTCACTCCGTCCCATAATTATTGTCCAGTTTTACTAAAATGAAAGATTTTATTTTTAGTCAAACTTAACTATATTTTACCTTGAACAACCGAATATACCGCTACATGAATAATTATTTAACCACAAAGATTTTAATGGATAATTTTTTTTACTAAGGACAAATGTGTAACTTGATCCATAAAAAGTCAAATTGGACAATAATTTTGAGACAAAATTTTTTAGGCAAAGTGGACAATAATTATGGGACGGAGGGAGTAATTAATTAGTAAATGCCAATTAAGTTTTAGCATTCATTTTCATGAATCTTTTCATCTTGCATGTCATATTAAGAATTTTTATTTTCTTCTTCTCATGTACAATTATTTTAATTTTCTATTTTTATTTGTAATCTTCTCTTTTATTTTATTTTTTCTATGTGTTCCACTCTTTCACTCACTATTAAAAGTTTTAGCAAAAGAGCAAAAAAAACCTCCAAATTTTTTGTATTCTCTAACCAATCTATTCTATTTGTAAAATTTATATACTCCCTCCGGTCTTTATTATAAGGCATTTTGTTTCTGTCCTAGATTTGACCTATGATGTTTTTTTAATTGAAAAAAATCTTAAAAATATATATTTTCATATT